ACTCTCTTTGTGAACGGAGATGCTCTCGGCTTTGAGTTGGCCCGCGATGGGGTTATCTGCATATCTTTTTATTTTGCAAACAATATCTGGCAAAACAGACAGAATGTCTTTTCTTTCAATGAGTTGGCTCTATTCTATATTTTCTTATAGTTCCCAAAAAGAAAGGGAGCTGAACATGATGAAGATTAGCATCGAACAATCTGTGATATTTGATTTCCACATGAGGTTGTAATTCGACCAATCCATTCATGTGTAGATTGATAGATAATTGCCAGGAACGGTGTCAAACAACGAGTTTGGATGAAAACGATGAAATCACTCAAAACAACTGTATGGACCGATGCATGATTAAATTCCTGGAAACGGAGGATATAGTGAATAGAAAACTTGCTAAATTGACAAATCAACAATAGTGTGTTTGTCTCAAACAAGATACATCAATTCCTTTCGTGCAAACTCCGGAAGCACAAAGGAAGCTTCGTGAATCTCCTTGGAGTAATATCGCAGCTTGGGGAGCATTTCCTGCGGAATTTCGTGATTGGGATGGCTCAAATCATCTTCTACACCTCCGATTCCACGCAGATTCCCTACCACAGTCCTTCACGGCCAAAATAAACCCGATTTGTCCACAAGGATAGGTCGGAATAGTCGTATACGCATATCGGACCGACGAATACAAGGTGGCCGCGTTGTTCATCACACGTTTAATCAGGGGCAAATGCAGCCATTGGCACTCTCCCTGCAAAGAACCAATCGACTCTACGTTATACCTGCGTGCAAATGATTCCGCCCTTCCGAAGCGCAGATTTCATAGTGTTGTAAAAGGAGTTGGTGTACAAACTCTCCGCGGGACCTACACTCAAGAAAGAGCTTGAAACGGACCCACAGGATCAGACGAATCAACAATAATGACATCGAATTGATCAACTTGGTCCTTCACGAACAGGGCAGCGTCCATAAAAAGCTAGATCAAAGGTGAAGCACAAAAAAGTACCAATTCCAAGCGGGGATCGTCGAACGCGACGGCCGTAGAGGCTGTGAAATACTTCTTGGCCACATCCACTACACCCTCGTCGATCTCGCACATCACAATGCGTTCGACACCGGGGTGTTTCGCCACTTCACGCAGAACACCACCATCTCCCCCTCCGACGATAAGCACCTAGCCGTGAAATAGAAAATTCAAATGTACGTTCTTTGGGTTACGATGAGCAAACAGCGGTAAATGAGTGATCATTTCCTGATAAGCGAATTCATCTCGCTCCGTAACCTGAATTACACCGTCCAAAACGAGGACTCTACCATAGCTTTCCGAGTCAAACACAAGAATATCCTAGATTACAGTGAACATATAGCAAAACCTGGTATTTCGATTTCTCGTGATAGAGGACCTCCTTTACCTTTAAACCGAAACGCTGTCCTATGCATGGAACACAACGACCAGCCATAACCTGACCAAAGGGTTTCAGATTCGTAAAACCATCCGTTTTCAATGCTCATAATTTAAATAAGCGATAAAGTTAAAAAATAAAATTGAGCGAGAATAAGGAGTGAGGTTGGTTTCCAATCGATTAGTAATAATACCATATATTCGTAGCTATTTTTACCTCAACTACTGGACAAAGTGATTCCGAATGTCGAATAATCAAAATCGATTTTGGGCAGGATACGATTCGGAAGACGATTATAGCGATTATTCGTCTTACTCCGATTCTTCCGAGGAAGTGGTTCAACGCAAGCCTATGGAGAAGTCCAAGTATGTCATCGAATCCGATAGCGATAGCGAAGAAGAGAAGCGTATCGTCAAGACTCCTAAGTGAGTTTGGCTTGGTGTGGTTTATTTGCAGGGAGAAATATATGGATGAGATGAAGGAAGTGACCAGAAATATAAAGAATCACTTTAGAATCAATGACTGGGTCCAGTTGGCAAATGGTGGGAATTGGGATGAAAACTGACAACTAGACTATGACAAATTGAAGAGTCAGGTGGATGACCATGGTCGTGTTCTGAGTGAGACTGTTTGTGAGGGTTTTGGAGATGATGTGTAGGGCTATCCCGTGATGTACATCCGCGAGTTTGTGAAGCTGGACGACGCGATCAATAACACTTCGAAGGCGGATACAAAGAATTTTTCAAAGAATGTCGCCATGGCGTTCAACCGAATGAAGCAAACCATCAAGAAGGAGTTGAAGAACGCCGATTTCGCCCAGCTAGTTGCGGATTTCCGTGCCAACCCCATCGAAGAGAGCGAGTCGGAGCCGGAGCCGAGCGAATCGGAGTCTGGATCGGAGAGCGATTCGGGTTCTTCGTATGGAAGTGAATCGGAGTCCGGATCCGAGTTTGATTCGGAATCGGAATCGGATTCGGGTTCGGGTTCGGGTTCTGGATCCGAAGAGAGCGATAGTGAGAGCTCGGAGAGTGATGAATCGTACTATGATGAATCGTACTACGATTCGGAAGCCATGTCGTCCGATAGCGATTTCTCGAGCGACAGTGACAGCGATAGCGACAGCGACGAAGAGCCGAACCCCAAGCTGACGGGACGTGCGAAGTGGGTGCTGCAGCCGAAGGACATCGAGAAGCAGAAGAAGAAAGAGGAGGAGAAGAAGAAGAAAGAGGAAGAGAAGAAGCGCAAGGACGAGGAGCGAAAGAAGCTCGACAAGGAGAAAACCGAGCTCTCCGAGGCCGAAGCCGAGGCCGAAGTCGTGCGGAAGACCTACGAAACGCCCGAGAAACTGATGACGGCGGTGCGCTCGATCCTGGAGACGCGCGAGAAGCGAAGTTTCCTCTCCGTAGCTTGTCTCACGGCCTAGGCGCGTCGCTGGTGCTGCAGAACTTCAGCGAGCTGCTTCCGTTCGCCGCCGAGCTGGGCGTGAAATACCAGCTGCGCGTGCTCTCGCACTGCGTCGTCTCGCAGCTGCGCAGCGCGTCGCGAAGCGGCTCGCTCTCTCCGGAGGACTGGAGCCGCGTGTTCGAGCTGATCGAGTCGATGCTGTCGCTCGTGGAGTCGCATCCCTCGCTCTCCCTCGAGTTCTACAACGTCTACGAAGCCATCCGCGGCGCCAACACGCTGGAGGCCGACCTCCAAGACCTCGCCGCCAGCGACTCGCCCGCGCGCATCGAGGGCGATTTGGCGCAGTACGTCGCGCAGCTCGCCGCCGACTACGTGCGATCGCAGCAGCAGAGCGACGCGCACTCCACCGCCTACGTGGCGCGTCTGCGCGACGAGGTTCGCTTGGAGGGCCTGGCCGCGCGCGTGCAGCGCTACTACGCCGCGCAGCCGCGTCTCTGCGTGCAGATGGCCTTGCTCCGCGTCCGTCTTCTGTTTTTTCTCTTTTATCCTGCCTCACCCCCAGCCATTATCTCCGCGAGCCCGTCTATCGCGCGCTCTACTCCACCTGCCGCCCCGCGCAGCCCCCCGCGGATCTGTTCGCCACGGTGCGCGCGGCGTGCGGGCTGGTGTACCGCGAGGGCATCGCGGCGCAGCGCCTGGAGGCGGCGCTCTACGAGCTCATCCACCTCTCGGTGAACGGTCGGTTCGTGGCGGCGCGCGATCTGATGCTGATGGCGCACGTGCAGGAGCGGATCGTGCGCGCGGAGGACGAGCAGCGGCTGCTGTTCAACCGCGCGATGATGCATCTGGGCGTGGCGGCGTTCTGCCAGGGCAACATGGTCTACGCGCACAACTGCCTCGACGACCTCGTCAATCTCGGCACGCGCAGCAACCAGCTCCGCGCCCTCGTGGCGCAGGGCAGCGACGCGCAGGACGAGGAGACGCACGCGCTGCACGAGCGGTGGAGCGTGCCGATGCATCAAGTACGCCGCGGGAGAACGGGTGAACGGTAGTGGGTCAACCTGGAGCTGGTGGAGGTGTGCTATCTGCTCTCCTGCGTGTTCATGGACGTCGCCTCCATGGTGGCCGATGTGTGTTTTTGTGTTCCGACCCGCTCACCCGCAGCGAAGCAACATCTACAAGATCTCCGCCTTCTTCAAGCGCTACTACGATCGCTATCGCAGACACGTTTTCCTCCGCCCCGACACCGATTCGCTCCGCGTCCTCGCCGCCTACGAGGCCATTCTCGTGCTTTCCCCGCGGGACACTCACCTCTAGAAGGGCGACTGGCGCCAGGCCGTCGCGATTTCCCGCGGAATCGACGCGTGGCGGTTCCTCCCCGCGGAAATGCGCGAGAACGTGCTGGCGATGCTGGAAGGGAAGACGCAGACGCTGGCGCTGCAGGCGTTTTTGCTGGAGCGCGGCACGTGCTACCAATCGCTGAGTCTGGAGGGGCTCTGCGAAATGTTCAGTCTCCCCGCGGATCGTGTGCGAGCCGAGGTGAACCGGCTGCTGCTGCAGGGATTGGTGAGCGCGTTCTGGAATGAAGACGCGACGATGCTGCAGTTCGTGGAGACGCTGCCGAGCCGAGTGGAGATGCTGACATTGCAGATGGCGGAGAAGGTGAACGAGCTGGAAGATGCGAACAAGAGAATGCGGGAGGAGAAGCGAGAGGATGGGTACAAGGGAAGAAGACCGTTCAATATACTGAGTCAGCGAACGACAGGGAGAAAGCAACGTCCGACAAAGCAGCAGCAGCAACAGCAGCAGCAACAACAACAACAACAACCACAGCAGCAACAACAACAGCAGCAACAACAACAACAACAACAACAACAGTAGTAGTAGTAGTAGTAGTAGTAGTAGTAGTAGTAGTAGTAGTAGTAGTAGTAGTAGTAGTATGTGGGAAGTGTATTTGTGGAAAACAAGCATTGAATAAAGATACAATAGAGAAGAATAATTACTTTTCGTTAAGAATCATAAAAGAACGGTGATAAACAAGCTTAGCTACAGCTATGTCGCCAGGAGGAACTCCTGCCGGAGGGAGCACTAAGTAAATGGCAGAAGGTACACAGTTAAATGTACGTCCTTTATTAGGAAGGAGAGGATACTTTCTTGGCCTTCCTCTAGAGCGCTTTGGACCTTGTAACAATAGTTCACCTAAGGGAAACGCAAAATCGACTCCATACTTGTAGCAGTGTCACTAGTCTCAATAACTTGTGGATTTGTTGAATTGACTGAAACTGCCTCAACCGAGGAATTGGCAGTATTTGTATTCTGACTCAAAACTTGATATTGTGAAACAAAATAAGTTGTTTCCTTTGATTCTCTGCCCATGGACATGAATGATAGCAGATTCCAAATAAAATGATAAAAACTTGAAGCCAATGAAATCAATTATTTTTCCAAAAAAACGCTTCAATTCTTTTACTTTAACGATTTGTACGTTTTTTCTCACAAACATGTCTCTTTTTAAGGAAATTGCAGTGTGTGGAAGAGGCTACCATTTGATCCGTTCTTCGCGCCTTCTTGAATAAGGAAGCCATACCTTCTCAGATAGCGCTGTAAAACGTCCGAAATCTACCACTAAGTTTCTTATCCGAATGCTACCTCTTGCGGGGCGTCCTCGTGAATATAGTGTCCCATACCGTTCTGCAATACCAGTTGGAATTTTCCCTGCATATGTGCAATAATCAGCGGAGTGTCCATTCTCTCTCTTCCCGCTAAGATCAGCATTTTTATCGCAGGGGATTGAAGAAAACGATTCGACATGTCTTCGTACCACCCCTTCCAATACTTTTCTGTGTCAAACAAATTCGTTCGCCAGCGGAGAACGTGATTCTCCATCACCAATTGATCGGGAATGGAAATGCATGCGGAGGCACGATTATGCAGGAGATGGGTGTCGACACTGTTCAAAAACAAACAAATTGGAAGAATACCTCCAATCAATTGCATCCTCGTAACAATAAAACTCGGTGGGTCGCTTCCGCAGTACTCCCATCATCACGGGAAGCGATTCCAACGCAGTGCCTTCGACGACGTCTACGACGATGAGGCCGCGAATGCGATCGCGAATCGAGGGATCGTTAGCGACATGAACAGCGATACCGCCTCCCATACTTGGTGAAGGGATGGAGAAGAGTGTACCTGTGACCAAAGAGGATAATGGGAATGTTCTTGTTCTCTGGAGTGTCGGGAAGAATGTGATTAAGTAACAAGAGACACTCTTTGGTGAGGGTGGCTGCAGAAAGGTCAGACTCATTCTCTACGTGAGTGTTCCCTACTTTCGATATGAGGTAGATAGCAAACCGTGACAACGTAAGTCAGGTGCGTACATTCGGCAAAATCCTTTGGAATACTTCTTTACATCAATTCGTTAGACGATTAAAACTGCAAGGAGAGTAAAACTCAGCCCGCTTCCACCAGCTCCATGAATGCAAAACACGATCGGTCCTTCCTTGCCTGCTGCATATATTCTGTACGTCTAAAATCGAGTGGTGCTAAAGCGAGAACGTTATTATCGTCCACATGGTAATCTTCAGCCACATCAAATCCGTCTTTCCACGAACCTATCGTACTCTTTCTCCCTTTGTTTCTAGCAATCAATAAAATTGAAAAGCTCCACAATGACTGAAATGAATCTCCAAAACCTTCTTCATCTTCGTCAATTCTTCCCAGCCCTGATGGCGGTCTCATAAAGGAAAACATTTTGCAATAAACTTTGTTTTTCAAAAAAATAGTAGTACAAATGGATCATTTGAAGAATCATTAATTCTTTCGTACTGTTATGATGTTCTTGAATTGAAGTGTTCAGTCGAACTTGCAAGTACTGAGGTGGTAAAAAGAGTTTGCACTTTCTTCTACACACTCAGAAAGGGAATAAGGGGAAACTTGAGGGAGCGTCTAAAATAGTTTCGTTGAAAAAGGGAGCATTCCTTTAGTGTAGCTGCTTTTCGGATTTTTAGAATGGAATCATTGTGCGAGTCGATAGAGAGGATGAAATCTCTTTTATAAAAACTACTGCAGTAAGTAGGTGGAGCCGTGAGGGAGTGGTTTTGTTTCTTATGATAATAGTGTTTCTCAATGCATACACCCTTTAAAAACAGTTTCCATGGAAGCAAAACCGGAGTTTGCTTCTCTGTCACCCAACACTTCTTTGGCATATGGGAATACATAGCCTCATAGTACTCTGCTCTATAGAGTGGATATGAATTCTCTCCGAATAGCAGCACAAACGTTTTGTTTGCCATCATTTTGCGAGGAATATCTCGAATGAGCGGATTCGTCTTTATTCTATCACTGCACGTTGCCAGAATCCTACCTGTATGATCACTCTCACATTTCGCTCATTCAAAAACATTTCTGACACGTTGTTATAACATGGAGCCGAAGTGAATATGATGTATCTGATTCAAAAGCACAATGAGACACGCGTACTCGTTTCTTTCGGACAAATTCATTAACTGTTTTTGCAACAATGACACGTTGTGGTAAGCTTGAAACACAAATCTATATCCCAAGAAAAAAGGAACCCTACAATGCATTTTTTGGATAATGCTGCGAACTGCGCAACGTCGATCGTGGCTTTGCATCGAATCGATATTCCATTTGCTCCAAGTCCATTTCATGTGTTGACAAGGAGTACTTTACAACTTGCCGAAGAGCAAAAACGAAAAGGACAGCGAATAACAAAAGCATTGTAACTTAATAAAGAGAGATGTCTTCGCGATTGACAACAAACAATAAACTCACTGTGAGCCTTCATACATCTATTAAAAAGACTTACAAAAACAAGATCGGCAAGAAACAAAACAAAAGCAAATCCTAAAATAATGAGGAGCACATTCCCGAAGACATTTCCATCGCTAGACGAAAGGGAACAATTACAGTCATAGCAACGGAGGAATAGAGTAGAATTGTCCTCAAGCACATATTGGCCATTCACTGATTTGAGAAAAACGTATTGTTTTGTGCCATTGTGCGATTCCCATCCTTCAGTTACCACCTCTCCTCGACTATTCGTACAATTCCAACTACATTAAAACAGCAAAGCATGGCTACGTGATCGGAAAGCGCGTGTTCTTCTTCATCCGTTGAGTACACTTTAGTCGTTTTGCACGCATATACTGCAGGTCTTCGATTACATAAAACTCATCTACTATCTCTACCCAAGCAAGAACACTTCCATCGGTGACAGTGTAATTGTTTACTTTCATCCTATATGAAACTCTTTCGAAAAAAACTTACTGTTGCCCAAAAAAGTAGTCTTGATCATACCAGCAGTTGTTGTTGATATTGTAACCATAATACATATAAATATCGGTGATACTGAAAGTGTCATTTCTCACTACATCAATAGCTCTGTTTGTGTATTTGCTCCCCGTAAAACACCTTGAAACGTGACGATCACAATCTACTTCACATAATCGTAATAGGATCTACGATAAGCACTCTCGCCAAGTACTAGAAGAGACAAAAAGTACAACAATAACATAAAAAACTGTAATCGTTTAAGAAATCACTCCAACTATTGGAATTGCGAATATCCGGTATTCAATTTGTTTGTTTGCGCGATCTGGATCTTTGCTCTTTTTCATTCAGCTACCCTATCGGCGAGAAATAGCAAACATTTTCCTACTTATGCAATGCGTTTTGACTGAGAGAGACACAACTGTTCATTCCTGGTTTCTCCATTTCTACTATCTATCACTAGTTTGCTTGGAAATATGCTTTCTCGAAGTTTTTCTGTACTGAAAACACGGAATGTGGTCCGTGCTCTGTCGACCTCTCTCAAGAGCTATCCAATCAATGGCTTTTTTGATGCCAAGAGCTATGCTATTATTGGTGCTAGCGAAAAGCAAGGAAGTCTTGGATACATTATTTCTGATAACTTTTATCACAAGTTCCAAGGAAAAACCTATTTTGTGAATCCTAAAGGTTCCTATAGTGTCCGATCGCTTATACACTAGGTGGAAAGCTGTTTGACCAGCCGATTTACAAGTCTGCCTCCGAGATTCCTGACACCATCGAAGGAGTCGTCATTTCGATCTCTGCAAAGTTTACTGTGGACGCGCTGAAGCAGTGTCTTGAGCGCGGAGCCAAGTGGGTCACCATTGTTCCTGGAGGTTTCCGTGAGACCGGTACGAAGGAGGGAATCGAAGCAGAAGTGGGTTTTCGAGTCATGGTTGAATGGATAGAAGGAGATTGTGCGTCTGGCGAATGAGTACAAGTGCCGTATCATCGGACCGAACTGCATGGGAGTCTACGATCCTCGCAACGTGGACACGATGTTTATCGGCGACCGCGGTCTTTCCAAGCCCAAACTGGGTCCTGTCGGTTTGTTCTCGCAGAGCGGCGCGCTGGGCACTGCCCTGCTGAACGAGGTATTTTTTTTGGATTTCTCGTCATCCCAGCTGTCCGGCGCGACGCAAGAGCCCTGGATCTCTCGCTTCATTTCGTTCGGCAACGCGTGCGATGTGGACGAGAAGGACTGCATCGACTACTACGAGCAAGATCCCTCCGTGAAGCAGATCTGGGCCTACATGGAAGGCTTCCACAACGCTCCCGAGTTTATCCGCAGCGTGAAGCGCATTTCCCAGAAGAAGCCGGTCATGGTGCTCAAAGCCAACCGTGGAAACAGCGGCGCCAAGGCCTCCGCGTCGCACAGCGCGTCCCTCGCCGCGAACGACGCCGTCTGCGACCAGCTTCTCCGCAACGTAGCGTGCAAAGAGGGCGATTGACGGCCAGGCCGGCGCGATTCGCTGCGACGTCTGGGCGGATCTCCACAACATCGGCACGGTGCTTCGCAACCAGCCGCTCCCCAAAGGCCGGCGCGTTGCAGGTCCGCTTGTCGAAAGCGTTTTCATGGGTAGTGGTGACGGACGCGGGCGGTTTCGGCGTGCTGCTCGCGGATTCGGTGGACACGTACAAGATGAACCTGACGGACTTCTCTCCGGAGACGATCAAGAAGTTCCGCGCGACGTTCCCTCCGTTCTACGCGTGCTCGAACCCGATGGATCTCACGGGCTCCGTCAAGACGCACGAGTTCATCGAGGCCGCCAAGCTCGCGCTGGACGACCCCAACGTGGACTCGGTCATCTTCGCGTACCAGCCCGGCGCGCCCGGCCTGGAGCTCCCGCTGGAGATGGCGAAGACGATCGAGAAGAACTTCGGTCCGGGGAAGACCAAGAAGCCGTTCATCGTGCTGGAGTTCGGCGGGAAATACCCGGACGACGATGTGATTCGCGACTATCTGAAGCAGGTCGGCATGTCGGTCTATGAGTTTGGGCTGGGAAAGGCGTCGAGTGTAGCGGGCCGGAGGAGGGAATGCGCGTGCTGGCGAAGCTCGCGGATTACAGCGAGTATCTGCAGCGCATGGGAGCGGTCAAGAGCGAGACGCACCCGAAGATCGACGCGCAGCTGATCAACGGATATGTGAACAAGGTGGCGAGCAAGGGGCGCTACACGCTCACGGAGATCGAGGGCTACGACGTACGGGAGAGAGAGGCGTGCCAGGTAGATTCTGTCGGCGTGCGGCATTCGAACCCCCGATTACAAGCTGGTGACCGCCGGAAACGACGCTGCGGACTTCCTGAGCAAGGCGAAGACGGACGCGAAGGACAAGTTCGTGGCGAAGATCGTGTCCCCGGATGTACCGATTGGTTCTTGATCGATCGATCCGCGTGTAGATCATTCATAAGAGCGACGTGGGCGGCGTGAAGCTGGGTCTGACGACGCCGGAAGAGGCCTGCGCGGTGGTGAACGAGCTGAACGCGAAGTTCAGCAAGCAGGGCATCGACTATCACGGCGTGATGCTGTACAAGATGGTCCCGTTCGGAACGGAGATGATGATCGGAGCCAACCGCGACGCGACGTTCGGCCCGATCACGGTGTCTGGATTGGGCGGCGTGCTGGTGGAGGTGCTGAAGGACGTGGTGTTCAACATGTGTCCGGTGAGCGTGGAGGAGGCACAGATGTCGCTGGATAATTTGAAGACGCAGAAGATGCTGAATGGGTAGGGATGAAAGGGAGGAATGAGGGGAAGCTTCCGAGGACAGCCCGCGCTGAATCGGGCGAAGTTCGCGGAGTACATCGCGATCGTGTCGGAGATTATGACGCAGTGCGAGCAGATTAAGGAGATTGATATCAACCCGCTGATTCAGCTGCACGATGGATCGCTCACGGCTGTTGATTCTGTGTTCACTTTAAAGAAGAATTAAAACGTCAGTTCATTGAAACGTGTTTGATGGACTCACTTTAAAGAAGACTAAAAGTAATCACTATTTCTTTGTTATCATAAATGAGTGGTCACTGTACGGTTTCAGTATAGTAGTAGTAGTAGTTTCCTTGAATATCATGGATATCGGAATTACTGGATGAATATGCCTGATTGCTTAGAAAAGGAATTATCATCGTCTTTATCTAAGGTAGATTGTGAAGTGTGTGCTTGTCCTGCGAGCAGAAAGCTCAACGTGTTTAGTATCATGCCCAGTCTTGATTACACTCATCCTCGTGAATTTGGCCCTGGTTCTCGCACCTGGTACTTGGATTTTGGATGGGCACTTAGCTGTGTAGCCGTGCTTGTGGAAACCGCCGTGGTCTCATTAGAAAGTATGGACTGATGCTCTGCAGACGCTGCTTCCGTGAGCAGGCTCCTAAGATCGGATTCATGCACGTAAGGGGTATTTAGTGGGCGTCATGTGTAGTACCATTAAATGTTCTCGAGTAAAGATGAATAACTCCTGATAGTCTGTTTTTTGGAACAAACACGCTCCCTGCTTTTAGTCTTCCTTCTTGGAGGTGCTCTTGTTCAGTGTTTGGAATACCCCTAAAAGCACACTATAGAAGTAGCCGAAGTTCCGCCAATTGCTCAGGACGATCGAGATGATCACGAACGCCTACAATTAAGGCCACCACTCACACACACAATGAACGAACCAAAGAAATCACTAGTAGTACGACATGTGGAAGACCAGGGTCCACAAATAGAGGAGATGAGTACTTTGAACGCATAGGCGATCACTACGATAACGCAAGGTACCTACATCCCATCCTCATCTCTCTCCACTCCTACAATATACGCCGAAACCAGCGCCAGCGGGTCACGAGTCATGTTTTCGTCCCATAATCCCTCTCTGGCCACATCGATCGCGTTCATCATCATCCGTCGATACTCATCCACGATCTCCTTCCTCCCAATCGTCGCTCTCTTCTCATACATCTCCACCGCCTGTCCCAGCGCGTCCTTGTGCAGCTGCTCGAACGCCTCCTTCCTCAGGAAGCCGTATTCGGCGTTGACTTTCACTCGCATCAGCGCTTTGTAGAGCTACATCGCATCGTTTCCACGTTTCCCACCTCCACCGCGCCGCGCATGGCGTTGCTGCTATTCACCTTCGCCGTGGCGCCGAGAATGGTGAGTGCCTGCGGGAAGAGCGACCCCTCCGCGAAGAGTTCTCCGTACGCGATCGCATATCTACGCGATGACCCGCGCTATTCTTCGCCACTCCTCGAAATCCGCGGCATACAGCGGCGCGTGGTTGATGATCTTCGGCTGCAGCCGCGTGGCGAAGATGTGCTCGATGTACAGCCCCAGCAGCGAGAGGAAGGAGGGCTCCACCTCGCGGATATTCCCCGAGAAGTTCATCCGCGTGACCGGCGTGCCGGGATGCGGCAGACAGAACACGTCCACGTTCTGATAACAAAACTCGATTTGCTCCCGCGTCTCCCGCAGATCCGCCGTGCCGCGCGGCGCGAACAGCTGCGTCTTGTACGCCTCCATCTCCTCCAAACACGCCTCCACGCTCTCCTCGTCGCGGAAATTCTGCCAGTCGCGAACCAAAAAGTCGAGCTGCTGGAACGGCGCTTCGCGCTTCCGCAGCGATTTCTCCGATTCCGAGCGGTCGATCGCCTCTAGAAACGAGGGCACCGGCGAGCCCGGCGTCGTGGGCTGGCGTGGAGAGTCGAATCCGTGGGGAGAGAGGCGTTGTGCGAGGGCGGGAGAGGAATCTCCGTTGAAAACAACGCGACTGTACCTAAAAAGGAAAGGAGCGCAAGAGCGGAGACTCTGAGAAGAGAGCGAGGTTCTGGAGGTGGTCTTCTTGAAGTCGCTTCTCGACGTTGTAGATTTGATAGGAGGAAAGCAGAGTGCTCATGCCGAAGATGCTCGTGGTCAGCATCTGCCCGGTCAGGCAGTCGAACATGCCTTGAGTGTCCATGAGGAGAACGCAGACGCGGCCTTCGGGAACGGCAGAAGATGAAATTACGAACGGCTCGCTCCAGAGCCAGATGCCCTCCGTGTTGCGATCGCTGCCGCCTTTGTAAGAGAAACCGTCGTAGGGCTCGTCTTCGTCCTTTGCAGACATGCTGCCCTCCAGAATTGACCCTCCGTAGTGCATCCACTCAGGAATGCTGCCAATTTGCGTACGGCCGTGAATCTCGCCAGCTACAGTCTATCTCGGCTTAAATGCAATACAATTCGTAGCACGCAAATAGCGAAGAAAGAAATCAAGAAGAAAGGATTTGCCACTACGGAATGCACCCACGACAGAGACAACAGACACCGGAATATCAGGAGGAATCTCAAAGAATAATCCCACAGAGTCGATACCCTCTCCACAATCGTGTGCAAAGCCTCCCTATTTAACACAAAAGTATTCGAGTCTGAATCGGTTGATAAAATCTACAATCAACAAAAGTACACAAACAGTGTACCTGAACTGCTTGTTCCTTATAAATTGTTTTTAATTCAACTTCCTGATTATGAATTTCTGGTTGGTCAGTCATACCAAAATAATTGTGTACTTTGGTTGCAAAATAGGAACGGGTTGTAGATGGGTTATTGTGTGTGTGTAAAAATAAATTGATGAAGAAATCATGTGGGAAGAACTCAGATTGAGGAGAAGGCATTTTGTCAGGATATGAATTCGAAGATCTGGGTAAATAATATGTATGCTGTCTATTTTGGTTAATGATACAAGAGAAAATTATACTTTTTCGAGATTGTGTAATCGGAACGTGATATCTGACGATGTTATTGACTTGTAATATGGAATTCGGTAGAGTGATACTTTTGTGATATCTGAGAGTGTGAGGAGTATTGGGTAATGAAAACAGTTGTTTTAATGTGTAAAAACGGATTGGTCTACACACTTGTTGTTGTTGTTGTAAAAGATAAATGTGAAGTCTTATTGTATTTACGGCGATACGTTTTCGGGTGTAACTCAAATAGCGGTTTTAAAGAGGGCGGATTAGTAAAAGCGTGTTTGTGTGAAAGATAAGTTGTAAATGATTGGGTATAGAATAGTTGTCAATACAATAGAATTAAAACTGGTTTAGTGGAAACAAAGGCATATATCTATATAAGTACACATATTTACAGTCACACAGAACACTCAGGTCACAATGAAATCGCATATTATGATTCATTTTCTCGCTACTGGAGAGGCACACTATTTGCAAGTATGGAAGTCACATCTAATCCTTAAAAACGTGAAAGTGAAAGCAGACTATCAATAGATTTCGATTCAACATTACGAAAAGAATGAGGCAGATCAACATTCTGTAAATTTGGAATATCTATGTCCATCAAGAAATGTCCATTCAGCCAACTTTCTAGAACGACCGACCGAATATTATAAAAACTGTACTGCTCCGAGGCGATCGACGTTAAAGAAGGAAGGTCTATGCATTCGATCCATCCAATCATAGCTTGTATACTTCGCATTGTCAACGAACAAGATCCATCTGCTTTTCCACCCAGCGAGGTTTTGCCTAGTTTCATCGACTGCAATGATGGAAGATCTAGAATATTAGCACTTAATTCACGATAAATACTTTCAATTGTTATTGTTATCGGACCATAGAAAGCAGTATCACCCAAAGAAATAATTTGCAGATTTGGGAGATCTACATCCAACCAATTCAATCCATTTACCTCGAACCACGAATGAACAATAATAGAAATTGCTTGATTCCTTTCCAATTTTGCCAATTTGAATGGATTGTAATTGTGGACAATTCTTCAATTCAAAGTCTCCAGCATAATCACTAAAGCTCCATTCACCAATTTCAATCGATTCTAATGATTCACAATTCAGAATGTGGAATGATTTCGATTTATCGCACGACTTGTACACTTCTTTGGAATCAAGTGATTCCTTGATACGTTTTTTCAATTTTGTGAATGAATTCTTGCCTATCTTTAAGCTCTTCAGTTTTTTGAAGCCATCAAGTCGAAATGATTCTACAGAACAATAGCAATCATCTCCAATCTCAAATGATTCAAGAGACGTAAACAGAGAAAAATCAATGCTGGTAATAGAGCAATCATTGCATGTCCAGTTGGGAATCTGAATGATGGTGGAGCGTTTATCAATCGATTTAACATATTCAATATCATACACTTGGGGAAAAATAGCAGAATGAACATCTAAAATGAAGATACAACATTGATTCAACTCTCGACAATTGGATATAAAACTTTCCCAAATGATTCAGGCAAAATAACATTTTGAAGATTTGGAATATCTATTAATGAGCAGGGCATTGCTGAAAGCATTGCAATACTTTCTAGTGTAACAGAACGACAGCGATAAAAACTAAATCCCAGAGAATTGATTGACTGCAGGGTAGGTAGATCTAGTCATATTACAGATGTTGAGATCCTTTCCACCTTTCATGATCAATTGAGACGTAGGATCATAAAGACTTCCACAAAGTGAAAATCTACCGAGTGTAATGGATTGCAATGATGGGAGATCTATACAGATTATTACATTCAAATTCATTCATTTAATACTTTCGATTCTGGTTACGAAGGATTCACTGAATACAGAATCCCCTAAAGAAATGGATTGTAGATTAGGAAGATCTAATCATTATTCATTCACATATTCAAAATCATGTCATTTCTTACCTCGAACTACAAAGGAACTTCTAAAGAAATTCGGTGAATAATATCCAACTGTCCCAATTTGAATGGATTGTAATTGTGGACAATTCTTCAATTCAAAGTCTCCAGCAAAATCACTGAAACTATATTCACCAATTTCTATTGATTCCAATGATTCACAATCCAATATGTGGAATGATTTCGATTCATAACACGACTTGATTGTTTCTTCATATGATGCAAATCCCCAATTAACCCTTTTCACTTGAGTAAATGAATTACTTTCGATTTTCAGAGTCTTTAGTCGATTCAATCCATCGATTTTGAATGTTTTCACTGATTCAAAACAGTTGTTGCCAATTTCGATTGATTCAACCAAGGCAAAACGAGAAAAATCGAACAATGTGTAATCCTTCTCGTTACAACACCAATTAGGAAGGATAATAGATGTGATAGATGAATCAAGTGATTGAACATAATCAAAGTGATATAATTTTGGAAATAGTAATTCCGACACATCTAGTTAAAACAAGTCAAATTAAAATACTGCAAACAACTGGTTCTAAGACATTATCAAATGAATTTGGTAGATCGACATTTTGAAGATTTGGAATATCTACATACTATCAATATTCAATTTTCGAAACTACTTTCCAATGTCACAATACGAGGTTGACATAAACTATTGCCCTCCGAAGTAATGCTTGTTAGATTTGGAAGATCTAGATTCAATCATTTCAATCCATTTCATTTATACTTCGCATTATCAATGAGCATAAAGGATCATCTTCGATTCCATATAGTGTCCATTCGCCGAGTTGAATGGATTGTAATGATGGAAGATCTATATCAATCATTGCATTCGAATTCATTCAATACTTTCGATTATATTGGATTCGGATTCTTCAAACGATTCATCACCGATAATAATGGATTGTAGATTTGGAAGATCTATGCATTATTCAAATCTTCAATATCTGTTCAATACCTCGAATCACAAACGAACGATGATAAAAATTGCCTGAACAACTTCCAATTGTCCCAATATGAATGGATTTCAATTGTGGTAGATTCTTCAATTCAAATTCGCCAGCAAAATCACTGAAACTCCATTCACCAATTTGAATGGATTCCAATGACTCACAATTCAATATATGGAATGATTTCGATTCATCATTGCCATACCAATTCTTATTGTGAGTAAATGAATTGTTTCCGATTTTGATAGTTTTCAATCGATTCAATCCATCGATTTTGAATGTTTGCACTGATCCAAAACATTCATCCCCAATTTCGATTGATTCCAAATTATACAACAATGAAACATCCCAATCTTCCAATATACAATTGTCAATCAGTTTCAAATGTTTCATTCCAATATTTAGTGGTTTGCTTCCATCTCCTTCATATTTTCCACTAATATTACTTTCAATTCCATTACACCATTCACAATCATTCACTAATTTACCATATCGATCATACACTTTTCCAATTCCAAATCGATTATCATCACACCAATATCCTTCATATTCAATACATCCATTATTATGATAACTCGTTCCATATCCAAATCGTTTCCAATTGATCATTATGCCCTTGTACAACAATAATCCATCATCATCATACATTTCACCATATCCAAATGGAATTCCAATTTTACCTTCTTTTTCTTTTTCGTTTTCTGTAAACACCAATCCTTCAAATCGACTTCCATGATCCAAGTCCACGATTCCTTCTACTACCACTCTATCATTATATGAAATATCACCAATTTGATGATTTCCAAGCACTTTCAACACTTTCTGCTCATTGAGGACAAAACCTTGATTCATGAATACTCCATTATTGAATTGCAATACTACACATTGTCTAGTACTCAATATGAGTGAAATCCAGCCATTTGGTTTCCATTCTTTACCCAAACATCCCTGTACAATCTGGATAATAGAACTATCAATATAAAAGTTATTAATAGCAGAATTGATAAAATCGACAAACTTTTGCATCGAAATACTAAAAATAGTATTCTGTACCTTACACAATAAGTCCTTACCAATCTTTTTAAATACCGAATTTCTATTTGATACTCGTGTTGAACCATAGAAAATACCTCTAAAGCATTGAACAGTCATGTTCTTCCAAACTTGAATCCCTATTTTTACTCTGTAATTTCTTCCAGTTACCATTCGTAATACATATAAATGCATATTTCACTCGTGAGCCATTCTATCATACCATTAGCTCTAAAAACGAACTCTAATGTATCTGCATACAGTTTATAATCAATCCATCACGGCAAAACCTCACGATGTACGTTTTCAATACAACAAAAAAGAAAAAAGAGGAAATGCAATAGCCGGGAATCGAACCCGGGCCTGATCCGTGGCAGGGACCTATCTTACCACTTGACTACTATTGCTCGAAATTCCTCCCTCATAGAGATCATTTAAGGTAAACCATCACCGACCTTTATTATTTTTCACTAACAAACAAACCACAAAGCCTAAAGGAAATAATCAGGAACCTTTCTCACCAAATTGAACTTTTCGTCACGCGGTGCCGGGTCGAATTGTGTACTACACCTTATCTCCCACAAATCACAGCCTACAAGGACTTTTGCATATTTTCACTCACCTCCATAATCGCTGCCTGGTTTCCACATCGGTAGCAATAATTAGGCGCAGAAAAGATAGTACAGATACGATTATCATGTCCCCATAAATAGCCCTATCCGTTAATTCTCCGCTAAAAAACAAACCGCTTCACACATCTGGTGAGCACGCGAGATGAAGTCCAGATTATTGGTATGACAAAATTTGGTAGTTACGTCCTGGAAATCACACAAAAAACGAAGAAAATACTCGGCCAAAAGTGTAACCAGCGCCTCGTGATGAAACTCCATAGCCAACACGATCGTCTGGATCGGACCACACTAAGTCGGAGATCGCTCCTTCATGGGGAGTTTCACGAACACGATCGAGTTTACGAACTTGGTCCAGTGTGTCTAATGATGGTGACAATCCACCATGGAGAGCAAAAATGCGGCCTTCGATGAGAGCAGTGATCGGGAGGTAATCGAAAAGATCGGTAAACGCCTTCCAAACATCGGCATTTCCGTACTTGCGCACACATTCGTCGTAAAAACCGTAGACCTGGGTGATCTGACGGCTTTCATGATTTCCACGCAAGACCACCACGCGATCAGGCCATCGAACCTTCAGTGCAATGAGCAAAGCTGCAGTCTCCAGAGAGTAATAACCACGATCAACATAATCACCTACTTTTCATACCCCAATAGGATGCCTACCCATAAACAAATAGTTCGTGTCAGGAAGATCGCCACCAATTCTGAAGAGTTCCATAAAGTCATAGAACTGGCCGTGGATATCCCCACACACTGTTACGGGACATCTGACAACTTGAATATTGTCTTCCTTTCGAATGATTTCCTTGGCCTTCAATGTACGAAACTAAACAAATATACTTTATCACATAATTCGATTAGCACGCTAGCAGGCAGTAATTCTCGGTTACGAAGTTTCTCCAACTGCTCTTCGATGTTATCAGACACAGGTTCAATAGGCTTTAATGTATTTTCATCGGGAAGGGCTTCCATTTTCAAATAAGATTTTTATCACAGCCAAGAATCACCGAAATAAGCAGGAATCTTTCCAAAAATTGAGATGTGAAGAACGACAGAAAAAGGCACTATTTCAAGATTCTTGGAAAAAGGATTGTTGATGTGTAGTTACAAGCATAACAAATCATCTGGAGAGTATACTCTTAAGATTTCGGATTCGAACTATTGTTTTTCTCAATAATCAAGGAACTGATAGGTCTTATGCTAAATAGATTAGATTCATTAAGATTCTGCGTTCATTGCTAAACTACCAAAAATAAGGTCGATTTTAGGAATTCAGTACAATCCTTAAATAGAGATAGACATTATTAGTATTGTATGAAGATTTAAATAGCATGAAATCCACTTATTATGACCTTGTCGATAGGTATTATAGTGGGTTTTGTGGTAGTGGAGATGAAGTGGAAGTTCGGAATGATTCTGTGAGCATTTTCGGTTAATCCTTATTTCTGTAGAACGAAGAGATAACAGGAATTGTCAAGCAGTGTAGTATTACCGCAATCAAGTTAGATGTACCATCTAATACCCCCTTAACTGTGCCTCGTTCCTCGATCGTTTCAATTAATCACAGCAGTAAGCGTTGGGTTGCAATTTCAGTGCTAGTCCAGTTCAAGAATCGGATTCCTATTGAAGTGAATGATCTGATCTCTATTCCGCAAGGAGAGGACCGAGTAGATCCTAGCTTTTTCTGTCACTCTCTAGGATGTTCGTTGTCTGGGGGTTGTTTTACGTCAGAACGCTCCGTATGCGAGTGTACGCGTTCTAACGGGCCAGAATATGACAGAAGTGACCAACGTATGGCTGAAGAAACTGCAGTTTGTGGCTAAAGGCTTTTCGCTAGGTATCGTTGATTGGAAATAAACGATCTAGATATGTACAATGAATTAGGTGAAGAGGAGATGAATATTTCCTATAATGCTCTCTCAGAACTGTTTGGAGTGGATCTCATGAATCAGTTGGCATCTCTTTCCGAGTTCTTCAGTCCACTCAAAAACCGAGCCAAGCTCTACAGCAATCCTCTCTTTCTCCATGATATGATGAGTAACGACAAGATTAAGCAGTGGAGCAAGGACATGTTTCGCAAAACGAAGGCAGTTGCTACGCGGCTAGTCAATCCCACTGCTTCTTCTTCTTCTTCAGATGATGATGATAATAATGGTGGTGGAAATGGAGATAAAGAGGGGGGCAATACGAAGATTTCTGGGAAAGCCTCGTCTCCGATTCGTGGAATGATGCCACCCTCTGAATACCTGAGCGATGATGAATTATTTAACATCGATTCGAATCGAATCGAGAAGAAGGAATCTCCAAATCTCGGCGATGTTGTGTGTCTGACTTGTAATCGATCGCAAGACGTTTCGCCCGAAGAAAAGCCCAATTTCTTTTCGAAACTCTTCAAACCAAAGAAGAAAACGGAAGGGCAGACGCCAACTCATGCTGATTCCATGTCTTCCTATCCAGATACGCTTCAATTTCGATTCTCTTCTGATTCGGATAGTGAAGAAGAGGAGGAAGAAGAAGAGGAAGAGGAAGAGGAAGAAGAAGATGTGGAAGAAGAGGAGGAGGAAGATGTGGAAGAAGATGAAGAAGAAGAAGATAATTATAATGATGATCTTGATCTCGATCTTAACCAAGATGATGACGAAGATCTGTTCGAGCGATGCAGCTTCGATCATTTCTCGTACGACGAAGGCATGACGCAGAACCTGAAGCCCATGCTGCAGCGACGAAGCAGCGAGCAAGGCGCTGTGCCTCGACTCCATCGATCGGCTCGACGCGTCCCGCGACCGACCACCATTCCCAGTCCCTTCAATACCGAAGTCGAGCACTCCAAGTGCGTCTGGCTCAACGTCAATTCGCAGGTTTTTTCCCTATCTTGCTCTCAGCGTTAGCATCCTTCTGTCACGTCGTCGTTCGGTTCAGGACGAGGCCGATCCTATGTGAGTCCGCCTCCTGCGCACTATTCGTCGCCCGAAGAGTCCTTTTTGAGAGAACACGATTCCTCCTCTCCCGAGATGGGCGTGTTCGTCTCGATCGACTCCACGGAAGGTGGGCAAACGCAGGGATTCGACTTCGAGCAGTACGTCAAGGATGCAGAGGCGTCGTCTCGCACCAAATCCGGATTTTACGAGTCCACCGGCATCGAAGTCGACAAGGCGCACGTCAACGACGATCTAGTCGGTAGGCTTTGACGGCTCGGTTGGTTAGCAGATCTCAGTGCGCTGGGGATTCCTTTTAACTCCCCGACAAGTCTCAGGAGTCCGCAGGAAATGTCCTCGCAGCCTTCGCCGCTCTCTCAATCCTCGCAGCAGCAGGTCTCATCGCCTTCGCAGTCCTTACACTCCTCGCAGCCGATGAATCACGACATTCTGAAGGATTTCTATCTCCCCGAGGAGGAGGAAGAAGAAGAAGAAGAGGAAGTGGTAGTCCCGGAAGGATTCATTAAGCCTGGCGTGGTGCGCAGAAGTCGCCAGTTGCGTCTGGAAAAGGGAATCGGAGTGCGTCGTGTTCCTTCGTTCCGGAAACGCGTGGTGCTGCTTCCTCCACTGCCAATCTCAAGACAGCAAGATCGAACGAGGGATGCCAACAAGGAGAAGCAGGTTCGGTTCTTCACGAATGTGATTTGCCATGAATACCAGAGCTATTAGTTGATTTTTCATCATTGCTTTTGTGTGGACTGTTTGAGAACAAACTCGATTGACTAATGGTGCTTTCTCCGACGGGATTTCTTGCCCTTCTTACTCTTCTTGGACCCTGCCTGCTCCCGGATCTTACGCATCTCCTTCTCAGAAAGACTAAGGAATTGATCCCCTCCACTTTCCCTACGTTACACTCTCCAAAACCGCCTTTTCTTCCTCATCCAGCTCTTCCTCCTTCTCGTTTAAATCCATATCGTCATTGTTCAGGAGCGTCTCGTCGTCCACTTCGGGTTGCTCCGGCTGCTGCTCCTGCTCTGGTTCCTGCGAAGCGTTCGGATCGTCCCCTTCATATTCGACAGTCACCGTGACCTGGTCTGTACCAAACATATCTTTTGAAAACTTGTCTTGCACGTCGTGCTGTGATGTCACTAGAATCAATCCAATTCGCTTCAACTCACCTGTAGATCGAGTACCCTCTGGCTCCAGCAACCCCAGTTCTTTCTCTCTGCGAATAAGGTTCCGTTTTCTCTATGATAAAACCAAAATAAGAAAGCTACGGCCATTTTTTCGAGCACACGATTCTTTTTGTCTCGTAGTGCCTTCTTTGTAAGGTAATCGATCTTTTTCTGCTGCTTTCTTTTGTGAAAACCCAGGAGATATTGTCTACAGTAAACGAGCCCCTCTGCTTTTACTCTCTGTCGTTTTCGTCAAATATCACCTCGTCTCCCTTTTTCTGTTTCATTCTCAGAAACAAGAGAAAAATACAAAGATCTCTTGTCTATTGGAATTCCAGGTTTCGAGGCGACTTTTGTGATTTTTACCCTTTTCAGAATCGTTGGAATCCTGTAGAGAAATTATGGTGTTCGGAAACTACAACGCATGGAGAAGCCACCCGGCTGTCAATCCTAAGCTTTATCACGCCTTCCCCGGTTTTAAGTGGGCTGTCGGAATTTTTGCCGTTTACTGTACCGGCGAATGGGTGTATGTCCCTTCTTTCTGCTGATCACGTTCTAGGTACAAACGCTTTATTCACAAGCCAAAACAAATTCGGGATGGTCACTGAGTCTGACGCTCCTCCTTAAAATGAATTATTCCCTGTGTAATCAATTTTGATATTTGACTGTTTGTTTGTACCCTTCATTCCGGATTTTTCGTACATGGTCTAGTTTTCTCTCAGTTTCTTCCAGAACCGCTAGCATCAACAAACACCCCATAAAAGACCTCAGGATTCCCACAACTCTTTCATTTCGGGGTAGTTCTCTACCCATTTCTGGTACGCCTTTCCGGGCGTGAAGTCCCACAGCCATCTTCGGTTGCACAGCAGGTTCCACACCAGTTCTCGGTAGTTTCCCTGCGTGTGCGCATACAAGTACTCTCTCTGGAACTCGTTCATCGCTGCCCGTCACTCCGCCTCCTCTCTCCTCCTACGCGAGATGATGTCGTTCTTCTCGAACATGTCCACGAACGCGTCGAACACCTCGAAGCTGCACTTCCCCACCGTCAGGTTGTGCTTCTGTCCCAGCTGGACCACATCTTCGAACTTGATCTGTCGCTCATTAGCTCCGCCCTTCCCTACGAAGTGGTCGTACCGGTTCTCCACGGCTCCGATCACCACGCCGTTCCGCAGCGTGTTCTGGAATGCGATGTGCGGCGTGGGGGGCATGGGGGTCTCGGGCTGGAGGGGCGGGACTTCGCGATGGAGCTGCGCGGCGCGCTGCTGCGGGAAGTCGTCCAAGGCGCGCTCCTGCATCCAGTCCGCCTCATCGAACACGCGGAACAGCGAGGGCAGGTAGAGCTTCCGCGCGTGGATGCTACGGTGGAGGGAGGGCGCGCGCACTACGGCCGGTTCTGGTACTCGAAGAGCGAGTAGTCGTGCAGCGCGTTGTAGTCGTCGATCGCGATCAGCACCGGGTATCTGCGTCCCACGCGCCCGCTGCGCCCTACTCCGTGCACTCCTCCAGTTCCCGCTTCACGTACGCCGCCACTTCGTACGACTAGCTTCGCACATTCACACGAATTTCCTACGTCACGCGCGCTGTTCACGCCGTACAGAACCAGCTGGTCCACCGTCAGCCGGCTCGCCGCGCCCGAGTCGATCGCCTACGTCCCACGCGCTCCGCGTCCCTACCGCGCCGAACTGCGACTTCGCCCAGAACAGGGAGCGGTCGAAGTGCCCCTTCACGCGCACGTTCCGCAGCAGATGGCCGCTCGTGATGTGCAGCTAGTCGTCGTCTCCTCCACACAGCGCCCCTACGTCCAGCAGAAGCTTCTGACAGTGCTCCGGCTGCGCGAAAAAACCGCCCGAGCGACGCGTCATCGGAATCACCTGGTAGCCTGCCTCGCACACACACCCCGATGCTACCTCGATGGGTCCACACGCGCGCAGAGGGAATGAACCACGTGATCCAGTTGTTACGACGACACTCGTAATACACGCTGCGAAGAACCATCCTGCAATCGAGCTACTCACCACGCACAAGTACGATTTGCCACTACCCCGAGGACCCGTGAGGCACAAGAACGGATAAAAGTCGATGCTTTCTCCCGCCTGGAACGCTACCTATCACCCCGCGCCTCCCATACTCACCATTCAGCTTGGATATGATCCGCAGAGCTTCCTTGCGAATTTGCATTGTGTTCATAAGCGTCAGTTCTCTCTGCTTCTCAAAACCACAGTAGAAACTAGGACTCACCTCACTAATCACACCCTATACTCATGAGGAAAGTAGTGCTTAAATTCCTCGTCGTCAAAATAGACAATGTCGCCCTCTTTCTTCTTACTCAAGTCAACACGCTTTTCTCTAGGCACATTTTTCAGATAATCTCGATTTCGAATTCCTTCCTTATAATCATCCTGAATAAACGGGAATTCAGGGAAATCGGGCAACTCTACACCTTTCTTTGTGGATTGTTTTTCATTCGCATTGGGAGTTGCTGTCTCGACAGGTTCTCCTTGTTTCGCTGCGGAATCGCTGTTGGCAGCCGATTCGCTCTGAGTTGCAAAGCACCGAACGGTACGATAGAGTGCAACTCTCCTCGCGGAAGAGATTGCGATGCGGTTCCTCAAAGCAATCGAGAGCATTGGAGAGAAAATAAAAAGAAATCGATCAAATCTCCCCATTTCTCTTTTCTCTGTATTTAACGAAAATCAACAAAAATATCATAATCATCATTATTATTACTATAACAAACAACCCTGAGTAGAATACAAACTACACATGCAATTGAGAAGCTTAGAAGCACTTTCTGTGGACAATGGTAGGACCAGCCTCGTCGTACTCGGACTTGGCAATCCACATGTTGTGGAAGGAAGACAGGCAAGCCAGCAGCGATCCTCCGACCCACACCATGTACTTACGCTCAGGAGAAGCCAGCACCTTCACCTTGATGCTAGGAGGAGCCAGAGCCAGCAGCTCCTTCTGCATACGCTCACCAATTCCAGGGAACATGGTGGAACCTCCAGAGAGGACCACGTTGCTGTAGAGCTCCTTACGGATATCCACATCGCACTTCATGATGGTCGAGTAGGTGGCATCGTGCACACCTCCGTGACGAAGCTCCTTACCCAGCATAGCAGGGTTGAACAGAGCCTCGGGCACACGGAAACGCTCGTTTCCAATGGTCACGATGTTTCCATCGGGCATCTCGTACGACTTCTCCACCACCGAAGACTCCTCGGCAAGCTTCATCTCCTTGTCGAAGTCCAGAGCCACGTAGCACAGCTTCTCCTTCATGTCGCGCACAATTTCACGCTCAGCAGTAGAAACCAGACTGTATCCACGCTCAGACAAGATAGTCTGCATGTACTCGGTCAGATCACGACCAGCCAGATCCAGACGCAAAATGCAGTGAGGCAGCGAATAACCCTCGTAAATGGGGACAGTGTGCGAGACACCGTCACCGGAATCCATCACGCAACCAGTGGTACGACCCGAAGCGTACAGAGACAGCACAGCCTGAATCTGGACGTACATGGCAGGCACGTTGAACGTCTCGAACATAATCTGAGTCATACGCTCTCTGTTCGCCTTAGGATTCAAAGGAGCCTCGGTCAGAAGCACAGGATGCTCCTCAGGAGCGACACGCAGCTCATTGTAGAAGGTGTGGTGCCAGATCTTCTCCATATCATCCCAGTTAGTCACAATTCCGTGCTCAATGGGGTACTTCAGATTCAGCACTCCTCTCTTCGACTCAGCTTCGTCTCCAACGAAGTGATCCTTGTTCTCCATACCCACCATGTACACAGGATGCTTGGGACGTCCCACAATCGAAGGGAACACAGCGCGAGGAGCATCATCTCCAGCAAATCCAGCCTTACACATACCGGAACCGTTATCAATCACAATAGACTGCACTTCAGCCATTCTCGAGGTTTACTTGTATTAAAATTAATATGACTTACACTTTGATATCCCGTACCGTTAATTGTACAGTGGTTCAATTCGCTTGATTATCAAGCTTGCTCCAGTAACTCGTTTTTTTATCGTTTTTATCAAGAATCTAGTCCCGATTCTAGCACATTTTAGACGATCCTGCAAAGATTGCCAGCTTGAAGGAATGGGGATTAGGTGTATCGTAATTTAGACTGAGTGTTAACAAACTTTGGAAAATTATTTAGATATTTACAACCTGGACAAGAGGAGAAGTAAAGTTGACGCTTTCTCCGTTGGAAGTTGCCGTCACTCTCGCATAGACCATCGCGTTCGGAGTATAGGTGTACGCTACGTGAAATACCAACAGTATCTGTACGATCCACGGTCACGTTTGCAGGCAGGGAGCTCGCTGATCCCAGAAGCGTTCCCGAGCTGCTGTAGAAGGATACGCTACGAGTAACCATCGTTTTACCTCGAATTACTTGTCAACCGTGAAGTTTTCCACAGGTTGTGCTAACGCGCCGGTGAGTTGTAGCCGCGAGTTCGTAGAGTCATAAATGGCCGTGATATAGAATCCGTTGAAAGCCTGAATCTCGGTCAGAACAGAATCATAGGAAAGTGGCAGCTCTGGGGTCGGTCCCGTGGGTCCGGTGGGACCAGTGGGTCCCGTAGGTCCCGTAGGACCCGTCGCTCCGGTCGCTCCGGTTGCTCCCGTCGCACCCGTAATTCCAGTTATTCCAGTAACGCCTCGAATACCCGTGGCACCCGCAGGTCCCGTGGCGCCTGTCTCTCCGGTGGGTCCCGTGGGTCCCGTGGGACCGGTGGGACCGGTAGCGCCCTGAGCTCCCTGTGGACCCGTTTCTCCGGTCAGTCCGGTGGCTCCCTGCGGTCCCGTCACGCCAGGCACTCCCGTCACTCCCTGCGGACCTTGCGCGCCCTGCGGACCGCGAGGACCTTTATCTCCCTGTCTTCCCTGCGGACCAGTGGGACCCGTCGGACCCGTGGGACCGTCCACGCCGACCGCTCCCTCCACGCCCACAGCACCTCGCTTGCCTTGTCTTCCCTGCGGACCGGTGGCGCCGGTGGGACCCGTTGGACCCGTCGGTCCCGTGATTCCGGGCGCTCCGGAAGGTCCTGCCATTCCGGTGTCTCCACGAAGTCCTTGCGGTCCAGTGGGACCCGTGGGACCCGTGGGGCCGGTGGGACAGTTGATGCAGGGAGTGGGTCGCGCGGGACATTTGCCAGGATCGACGATCTCGCCCATGTAGCATTGCTTGGAAGGAGGAACGGGGTAGGGTCCTTTGCGGATTCCCTCGTCGCAGGTGATGAAGTAGTCCGTGCATTCGTCCAGAACGGTGTTGCCATCGGCATCCGTGCACACCAATTCGCAGAAGGTGCAGGAATCATCGGGACCCACGGCGCAGGCAGTGGCCTCCACGATCGAATTATCCAGACAGTACATGCCATTCCCGACAGGGAGAGGCGACGAAACCTGTCCATGGTTGCAGTAGGTGTAATACAGCGTGCAGACGCCCGCGCGTTCGTTTCCGTCCTGGTTGGTGCAGCGAATCCCGGTCCAGAAGCAGTCGTAGGGAATCGGCTCGCAGTCGTCCGGCGAATTGATGAGCTTTCCATTGGAGCACGACTTCCCAGAGGGAACTGCGATCACGGAGGAGAGATATCCGTTCGTGCAGGTGTGGTAATACTTGGTCTCGCCGCTCTGATCCTGTCCTGCAGCGTTCGTACACGAGATTCCCGAGAACGAGCATTCATCTCCCTGCCCAGAAGGCTTGTCAGTGGGTCCAGAAGGCTTGTCAGTGGGTCCAGAAGGCTTGTCAGTGGGCTTCGAAGGATCCGACGTCGTGACAGAAGAACACTTGTCGGAATGGACCAACGCACCATTGAGACACATTGTACCCGGCGACACAAACATGGGCTGCGACCAGTAGCCATTTCCGCACAAAGCATAGAATTCGGAGCACGATCCAGTCACAGCATCACCGTTCGACGTCTGACATTCGATCAGACGGGAGCCATCACAGATTCGAGGGGAAATCGTAGAGAGCCCGGTGCGAGTGATGATTCCCTGGGAACACACCATTCCTTCAGGAACAGGGAGGATCGCGGAGAGCTTTCCGTCCACGCATGTTCGGTAGTAGGTCGCGTCGCCCTTCTGTGCTTGGCCAGCGCTATTCACACACAAGTAGTCAGTGAAGGAACACTCGTCAACTGGTCCAGGGGCACTCGTAATCACCGAATTACACGTATCGGAGTGCACAAGAACACCCCGGAGACACATTGTACCAGGAGACACAGGCATAGGGTCCGACCACACTCCATTACCACAAAGAGCATAGTACCCGGAACAAGCATTATTATCTACAGCGTTTCCGCTGGCCGTTTGACACTCTACAAGTTGACTACCATCACAACTTCCTAGAAATGAAGAAGCACACAGTATTCATACTATTCGCGATTGCGATAGTAGCGAGCAATACAAAAGCTACAAATCCTTTCATCAGAATCTGGAAACTAGAGAGCAGCTTGTCATCTGCTTCGCTTCGTCTAATTTCAACATCAAGTTGATATATTTGTATAGATAGATATAGACTGGTAGATTGATGACCGAGTTATTTACGCAACTATCACTTGTGATTCAAACAAAACACAAACAAGGCGATACACATGAATTAGATATATCGTGTGATTACAGGGAGGTGCGTACTGGTATTCATCAGCAATATTGGCGGTAAATCTTTCACCAACGCTCGTAATTGTTTCATGTACTCTGCCGCACCGCTCTGATCTCCATCGGGTGCGTGCAGTTTCATCAAAATCATCTGGCTGTGCGGGCAAAGCTCCTTCAGCAGCGGATTCAGCAGCTTCGCCACCACATCAAACGGCAAAACATGGAAAGCTACGAATAAGCCCCAACTTTTGGAATTACAGAAATCCGGGCGATTCTTGAACTCGTCAAAAGCACTCGAAGGGATTCCAGTCACAATGGTCTTCGCCTCCACACGGACTTCCTCCAGCATTTCATTCAATCGAGCGTACTCCTCAGTAAACTCTACACATGATGATGCCGCATTCACTGCCTTGTACCCTCATTCGGATCTCGATCCGGGAGAATCTGGATGAGTCGAAGCGTGAATCGACTCCAGTTCTTGTTTCGATGGATAATGTAACCGTACTGAATAATGAGGGAGAGATAATCTACCCGTCACTCCTCCCTTCCAAAACGACTCGAAAACTCCACGTGCCAGTCCCAGTCGCCCACGATCACCATGTCCAGCGTGTTCTCCTTCGGATTGGGGTAGTTGTCACGCATCGCCGGCCAGCAGATCTCGGTGCCATGTGGCTGGATCTTCTCGTAATTGGCGGCGATCACGATGTTTCGCTGCAGAACCATCACATCGTTAATCAATGCGTAATAGTCAGAATCGCTCAGCTGGCTCGGCAATGGCTTCCTATCAACCCCTCTCCCCGCGTCCTACCACCGATACGAGCGGCAAATCGACATCCGTCATGCCCTTGAGGCGATGCAGGATCTCCACGGAGGACGAAGCGCCGTAGGAGCGCTCTTTCTCGAGCGGAATCACGATGGTGTTGGGACGAAGGGCACCCAATCCACACGTTGAGACCATGTTATGCAGTCCTTCGGCCGCGGAAGGAGCGAAGCTCACCATGGAGAAGGCCTTGACGTTGCACTACGCGTGAGAAAGCGAAGACGGCTTGAACGTGGCCGATGAAGAACGACCAGAAGTTCTCGAGCGTGTAGAACTCGTCGTTTTCTTGCGTCAAGTCCTTCTGATAGACGGTGCCCACGACGTAGAGTCCGCCCTTCTTCAGAACGTTGCAGAAGTCGATGAGCGGGAAGGTTTCGGGCGTGGGTGCGTAGAGAAGAATGGACGGACGCCAGTATTTGGGATGGTTCTTGTCGAGATCGAGCTTCAGAAGCATTTTGCGGGCTTGGTGGAAGATGAGCGACTGCGAGATGTCTCCCCACTCCTGCCGAGGCGTCGTGTAGAGCAGATAGATGAAGATGGCGACCATCACGAGCACCGAAATGAGAGCCTTGCTAAGAGGATGAAGAAGGGCGGAGGCTCGTACGCCCAGTTGATGTAGAACATGATGATGAAGTTCAGCAGCGCGCCGGAGAGCGAAACCTGCCAAGAGCACAGCTTGAAGCGAGGTCGGTAGTTCGGCGCCCCGGTGATGCGGAGAACGAACGCGGAGAGATTCACCAGCGCGTACGACAAACAGAAGAAATTGGTCATAATGGGCGCGATGGTCTACCTCGCAACTCCCTTCCATGCCTACCTCGAGCCCTCCAATGAACAAGCAGACAAAACAGAACGAGAACATCAGCAAGATCGCAATCCGCGGCTCGTCGCCCTTCCCATACCCCTTTCCGAAGCATCCCAAAAACGAGAACACGCGGTCGCGCGCCAGGGCCTGCAGCACGCGCGCGCCTCCAATGAACGAGCCCAGCGCGGACGAGAATCCCACGATGAAGATGCCCACCACGGCGATGTACGGCGAGAACCCCACGTCCTGGAAGACGTCCGTGTTCTGCACCAGCGTGTCGTGCGTGAACACGAACGCGGAGAGCGTGTAGAGCAGCGTGTAGTGCGTCAGCGACGTGCAGACCGAGATGATCGTGCCGCGACCCAGGTCGCGACCCGGGTTTTCGAGATCGCCGGAGAGATTGGCGCCCTCCATGATGCCGGTCATGGCGGGGAAGATCACGGCGAAGACGGAGCGCAGCGTGGAGGAATTCAGCGTGGGCGGGATGAAGTTCTCTTTGAAGGTGGCGAAGGAGAATCCGGTGAAAAGACCGCCGTGAGGGAGCTCCTGAGGGGATAAAAGAGAGAGGGAGACACGTACGTAGGGAGCCTTGCGGAAGAGCATGCAGCCAAAGGTCAGCCAGATGGTGACGAGTTGGCCGAGGAAGAGGAAGCGATTGATCTTGCCGTAATTCTCGGCTCCGATCATAGCCACAATCGCTACGACGAGGAGAGTTACAGCTCCCACGGTGATACGCACGGCTTGGGTATCATGGTCGGAGAGAAAAGTATTCATTACAATCTCGACGACACCTACATTACACCAGTACCGAACGCAAACCAGAAATGTGGAACGTACTCCCAACGACGTACGCGGTGAAAAACAGACATGCCATCGCTCCTCCAAACTCCGGTCCCAGAGAGCGACTAATCATGTAATATGCACCTCCAGCTCGCATCTTTCCATTGGTACAAAGAGCACTCAGCGACATGGCAGTGAAGAGCGCCATGGATTCTCCCACAATAAACATTCTATATGTCATCAGAAACCCAAAAAAAAAGATACAGAAAGGTCGCTAACCAGCCAGTCTCCCCAACTGCATGTGGAATCTGGAGGAAAAACAGAATACCCATCATGTGGAGGAGACAGGGTACAACCACACCGTTAAGCAGGTGCAATTTGTTGTGACTCTTCGGACCTTCCTCCGATTCAAAGTTTGTAATTGTTCTTCGGAAGGTAGGATTGATCTGTTCCTCCAAATCACTATGCTTAAGAAGAGAATCACGATTCATAGAAGATTTCTTTTAATCCAAATTCATTGGAATGACAGAAATCGATCCCTTTTTCCTATTTTCCGAACTATGAGCGATTTTGAAGTAAACAGCTCTGTTTACATCGAATATAAGAATGCATATTATAGTGGAATCGTGAGAATTGTTTTTGCTCCTCATGGTCTAGGTCACCGAGGTTCGGTTTAATATGGAAACAAACAGCAAGGAATATATGGTTCATTATAATGGATGGTCCAACAAGTGGAATGAATTAGTTCCCGCGAGCAGGCTCAAGATTCGAAGTGACAATGAAGCACATGGAGAGAATAGAGAATCCGAAGTCAAGTCTACAAAACCAGAAACTCCTTTGGAAAAGAAGCAGATTCAAGTTGTGAAAAAGCCTGCAAAAAAGCAAGACAAATCTGCAGTTCAGCGATATATACGCCAGACATTTGTATGCAAACGAAATCTTTTGAATTGGTAGTGCGAAATCTCAGAGCCGCGTATCCCCGTAAAACTCCCTCATTCACTTTGTAAGATTCTAGTAAATGATTGGATTGTGCTAGATTTCTCATTCTTTGAATGGTAGTCGATCGAGTGTGAATCGAAGTATGTCCCCCTCCCGCGCGTTCCCTCCGTGTCTCAGGTTCTCGACGACGTTTTCATTTCAGCCTACTACCTATCTGTAGTTTATGCACTCCGTCGAAACCCCATCGCATGAGCTGCAAGTGGTTTGTTCCTCCCTTCTCCAATACTTTGACAAGTTCTTCACAGGCCGTCTTTTATACAAACCGGAAGTGCGGCAGCTCCGCTCCGTTCTACACAACAAGGAGTTCCGGCCGCCCTCTGCGATCTACGGACCCGAGCATTTTCTTCGTTTGCTGTGTAGGCGAGCGAAATCGTTACGAAATAGTCCAATACCCGCAGTTGGTGGTGCATACGGATATTAATGAGAATACAACCGTGATCATCTGTGAAGTGTTGAATCAGCTTTTTAAGTGCGTTCCGATTTTGAGGTTTAGAGTAGATATTTGGAAAGCCACTCGGAAATATTTCTTTCGATGGATCAGTACAGCAGTAGTTGGGTTTTTGCTTGACCTGTTTGTTAGAATCTAATTTATCTCTTTTCTCGACTGCATTAAAGGTTGCTTACCCTCAGTAGGTGTTGGATATTGAAGTCAGAATACCCGATTCGTTCAGTTCAGAGAAATGAGTTCTCCTCTTCCTGTAATGCCGCCACCATCGTACTCTTTATTTTTCCAGTTTATGGTGAAATAGTTTGTCCTATTCGGCGTCCCAACAAAGAAAACGAGCATATCATAATGAGGCAGAGAAAAGAAGAATAAAAACGATAAATAGTCACATTGATGAGCTTCGAAGCATATTATCCGTACAAGTGAAACACATTGCTTCAAAGTAGGAAGCGGGCGTGAATTTCAAATCGGACAAAATATCCACGATCGAGGCTGTAGCAAATTATATGAAGGATCTCATCCGTGAGCGCGATCGTTTGACTGCTTCCCTTGGCTGTATGCAAATGTGTTATTCATTCAATAAAGATATCGATAAAATTATCAATCAAGCAGTAATTCCCGATTCAGAGGAGTCTGAACCTATTCAATATGGTCCGAGTCCATTTCAAATTCCTCCTTCCAATCCTCCTATAAATCACTCTCCTGCTTCTGCTTCTGCTTCTGCTTCTGCTCCATCACCCCTCCCTTCGTCCTCTTCCTCGGACACAACGTCCAAACGTCGCTCTGCTGCCTCTTCAACGCGCTCGCGCGATCCAGACCGCTACAAAGGCCACAGTTTGATGCGACGCATTTTAGAAGCCGAAGCCGAGGAACGAGCCAAAAACGCTTCCTCCCTCCAACAAACCGGGGAAACAGGGGAAACTAGAGAATCTCCCAAACCGGAGGAGTCGACCAAAGCGAGCGAAACGGCGGAGGGGAGCGAAACGCTGTCGATCTCCGCGGGGATGAACTATAAAGATGTGTGGATGAAGAGCAACGTAGCGACGGTGGTGGCGAATCTTCCGAGCGCGCAGCTGTTGAAAGGGAACTCGGCGTTTATGCAGTAGGCGCAGAGGGAGAGAGAGTTGACCGTAGTTTGTTCCAATTCGCGACGATCGAAGAGGTAAACGCGCTGACGCTGCTGGATTTGGTGGTGGTGAGCGACTTGTCGAAGGCGTGGAGCGAGTTGGGGCAGCTGGCGAACAGCACGCATCACGCCGTGCGATCGTTTAACCTCACGGTGGCGAATGATCGGCGCAATGTATGGATGGATGGGACGTGCGAGGTAGATTCGCTTCCCGTGCTTGCTTACGATGGGAAATGTGATGGATATGAACGGGTACTACTGCCAGATCGCTGTTACCTTCACGCCGTTGCAGCTGGTTGGAGCGTCTGGGATGGAGGAATGTGATGCTATTGGTGGACATTGTGCAGGGTTGGAAAAGCTTGTTTGACTTGTTTGTTTTAGCAATTGTATTGAGTGTTATGCGATGGTGCAGATCCGAGAAAAGGAATTAAGAGGGAGTGGAGAAGATGATCATCATCAAAATAGATTGTCGGTTAGACACTAGTAGTCCCTTTTGAGTCCAAACAAACGATGGATTGTTTACATACATAGAGTGAGGGTACCATTACAACGTGCTATTAAAGAATAGAACAAATGAATGATAGGTTAACGTTGAATAAGTCTCTATTTGTTCACAGTATTATCATTTATACATAGAGAGTAAAGGGCGGATATGATCGTGGTAGTCTTTGGAGTGCGTGTCCCTTTTCCACGCACACTAACAATCAATAAATTCCATCTTCCTATCAAGTAATTGTTTCCACAAACAATCCGAAGAAAGCATTAGTCAAGCAATGAGTTTTAATAAAATACAAACAAAAAAAGATAAAATATTGTTTCCATAAACCTTCAAACTATGAGTTTAAGACCATTTGCTTCCATAATAACAAACTAGTACGTACTAAATACCACAAAAGGTTTTGATTTCAATTATGACATTCATATCGACTTCAACATTGATTCGATTCGATTCGATTCGATTCGATTCGATTCGATTCGATTAAACTTCAACTTCAATTTCGATTTCGATTAAACTTCAATTCGATTCGATTTCGATTTCAATTCGATTCGATTTAATTTCAATTCAATTCGATTCGATTCAACTCAATTCGATTTCGATTCGATTTCGATTCGATTCGATTCGATTCGATTCGATTCGATTCAACTCAACTCAACTCAACTCTTCGCGATTTCCCGAAAATCCAATCGCCCTTCCATTGTGTTCTCGATCCCAGCGAGCGCTTCCCCACCCAAGCGCGCAGTCCCCTCCTTCTCTTCCTCTTCCTCCTACGCGCTGAGCGCACGATTCAATGCCGCTTCCTCCGTGTTTTTGCAGTCCTACGATCGACTCCACTCCCCACTTCTACCACACACCGACAGTTCGGACCGCAGCAAATCCCGTTCTGGAAGCAGTCGCAATACTTCTTCACACATCGCGTCTTCTGACACCTGCAGCCGCGCAAATTCGTCCGCGTCGCGGGCGTGTCCCACACCACGTGCGGCTCGAACACGTGCGGATCGCGCTGGATCAGCGCCTGCTTCACTTCCTCGCGTTCTTTCAAATGTTCCTGCGCGTCACGCCGCACCACCGCCAAAATACGGGGTTATTTTTACAGTTGACACAGTTACAGCCATTGCAGAACACGTCGGACGCGAAACACTCGCAGTACAGCTTCAGACACCGCGACTTCCGGCAATTGCACGTGTGCTTCTACCCTCAAAAAGGAGAAACGGGGAAACCGAATGGTTGGGATCGTGCGGCGACCCGTCGGAACTGGAGCCTGCAGGACCGCGCGTCGGCACACGCCCAGACGACTCTTCTTCGCGTGACAAACCCCGATCACTGCTACCAAGCCGCGTCGTTTTCGACGAGCAGCTCGACTCGTCCTCAAAGAAAAAACGTTTCCCTTGCGACACGGACCGCGCGAGCGGCCGGGCGCCTCCGCTTCCACCGGCTCCCGCCGAGCTCTTCGCCGCTTTCTTCTCTTTCGCTGCTGCCTGTCGGCGTGAATGCGATCGCGAACGCGTCGTGGAGGGTCCGTAGCGCGGGATCAGCAGCTCGTCGTCGCTCTCGTTCTCCTGAAAGGACGCGTCTCCGTCCGAGCTGCCTTCGGACCCCTCTACAGCCTCACTCCGCGTTGTAAACGCTCACGGCCGCGCCGTCGCTCGCGGTTTGGATAGGGAGAGTGAGTGGGCGGTTGGACCGGCGCGTGGCTGTGCGTTGGGTTGTGGGTCGGAGAGACGTCGGGCTCGCGGTGCGCAGGAAGATCGTACTCCCCTGCAGCGTCGCGCTCACGCTCGCGCTCGCGCCGCTTGGATGCTCCATGCGGAGCAGATCGGCCTGACTGCGTCGACTGGGCAGTGAGAACAGACTGAAACGCGCCGCTCGGGTGGGCCGCGGGGTCCTTCCCGCCTCCTTCCGAGTCCCGATCGCCATCTTCGCTCAAGTGGAACACGGTGATGCGCACGTCGCTGCGTGGCGGAGCGACCACGCGCCCGTCTTTGGCTTGGTGGCTCCAGGAGTCGCGGACGTCCCGATTGATGCCTTCTTTGTCGCTTTCGGAGTCCTCCCGCGAGAGATGCAGCTCGATTCGTCTTTGCGAAAATCGCGTCGGGTCCGTGCCGCATGGAGGGCTGGGAATGAGGGGAGGGAGAGAAGGAAGTACGGAGTTAAGTCGGTTTTACAAGACATGGCGGGAGAATAGTATAGTTTATCAAAAAGAGGAGGATTCGATCCCAGAGAGAAAAAGGGTGTGGAAGGGTCTATGATCTGCTTAGAGTCGTTGAGTTCTTTAAATGAGTCGAAACTCATAGCGTTAGAATGAGGTGAGAAAAAGTCTAAATAATCATCGGAGGGATGGTGGAATATGCGATATCCGCTGCGCATACTACTACTTGGTGGGTTCTGGGTTCAACAAAAGAAACAACAACAAATACACTATAGAGTGGGCAAGTAGAACGATTATCTTCGTTTTCGTCGACTACTTTACTTAGAGGGGACAGGTAGAAAGGATAGGCCGGCCTCTGAATGTTTGGGTAAGAAATATCTTCGTTATTGAATAAACCAGGGAGTTGGTTCCTAGAAGTCAAATCGAAAAAGAAAGCCAACGAAAATCGGTCGTTAATATATGAATCTTTCCCCGAGCTTAAGTAGCTAGGGGAATAATGGTTCAGTGGCTTTTCTGTCAGATCGTATAGTTTTGGAGTTGTCGGTAAACTGGAAGACGTCTACAGCCATAGTCATCATAATAATAGACATACGATAGGATGTGTGGCAAAGTTCGAGCTCGGTGATTCCTGGGAATTCTTTGTAGGATAATCTTCTGTATTGCCCTTCTTTGCAGCATCCATCTGGTTTTACAGATTTTACGTTTTCTTACAAAGTATTTTGAAAAACCGTTAACGTCCCCTTTTAAATTTTAGCCCTTTGATTTGGGTAGACGCGAAGGATCTTTGTGCCTCTTGGAATTCATACGCCTGAACCTTTATCGCGTGTCATTATTCGAAAACTGCTTACAGCGTATCCGTTGTTCTTGGATGGAAAAAAAGATTGACTCTTTAATTGAACGTTTTAAGTATACGAAGGCATGTTTCTGTATCCCTGATGTACTTGCTCTGGAAACCGTAAAACTATCGTCAAAATGTATTCAAAATGAGTTTTCTAGCGAGTCGAACCAGAAACGGTAAAGATTTTCAACACCGTTAAGCAAAGGTTGAGATCGCTTGTGGATATTGCCTATACTGCGTCGGATTATCCGATCAATGGATCTCAAGTATATCGCCTAAATTTCCTTCAGCAATTTCTGTGTGAGGTGGATTATATCTCTTCTCCGGAAGCAGTGAAGTCGCTTCAAGTGGTAAGAAGTTGAGGTCTAGTCGAAATGTAGAGTGAGATCGTGGAATGGAACCCGAACTTGAACATTACATTAAATTATGATTTAACGCTTCCCCACATTTACAAACATCTCGGAAATATAAAGTTTGTATTTTTGCGCAGGAATACTACAGTTTGTGTCTGTTGGTTCGTTTGATGTAGAATTTCGATTTACATGCTGTGAAAGTGATTGCTACGTGCTGTGATATGTTTATTCGTATTTTAGAAAACTTGAAGGAATTGCTCCCTTCTCTTTCCCACACCGAGAATCTCATTTTGTCAACTATTCTGCAGAACATCACGGTAGTTTTTAATTCTTGTTGCTTTACTAATTTTGTAGATTCTGATTCTTCGTCCGTTGGCCGATATTCTGTCAAGTGAGTGTCAGAGAGCCATCAATGAGTCCTTTCTCGAAGTTCTGCTTCCTTCTTCTGTTTGTAAACACACACAACATTATGAATTAAAGTAAAAATATACAAAAATAAATATATTTAAAACGAGTTAAAGTACACAGAGGAATGTAAAACCATTGATGAGAAGAGTCAGTTCAATCCCATCATTCATTCATTCATTCATTCATTTAGCTTTTCATTCATTCATTCATTCATTCATTCATTCATTCATTCATTCATTCTAATTCCACTTCCGATTCGTGCTCTATGTCCCCCTCTTCCTTCTCCGATTCTCCGCCTTCCTCTCCCTGTGTTCCCCAAAACATGCTAATCCCTTCCTTCCTATGCAATCCCAGCCATCTTCTCTTCAGCTCCGCGAACCGCTGCTTCTTCGCCAGCTCGTCCAGATTGTACGTCTGCGCCAGCCCCGCCCTCGACGTTTCGCGCAGCGTGTCCTCGATGTCCTCTCCGGTCATGATCATCGTCATCAGCACTTCATCCAGCGAGATAATGTGGAACGCGTTCGTCATCAGCGCGTACTGCGCGCACTCCAGCGCCCGCGTCGCCGCCATCGCGTTCCGCTCGATGCACGGCACCTGCACCAGTCCCTTCACCGGATCGCACGTCAATCCCAGCATGTGTTCGATCGCCATTCCCGCCGCGTATTCGATCTGCTCCGTCGTTCCGCCCATCAGAAAGCACGCCGCGCCCGCGGCCATCGCGCAGGCCGTTCCCACCTCGGCCTGACAGCCCGCTTCGGCTCCCGAAATGGACGCGTTGACCTTGGCGAGATTGCCGATGACGCCAGCGACGGCGAGAGCGTCGATGCAGTCCTCGTCGGTGATGCTGGGCTGGTGCTTGTGGAGATAATAGAGCAGTCCAGGGACGATGCCGCACGCGCCGCACGTCGGAGCGGTGACCACCGTCTCCCCGCCCGCGTCGTTCTCCGACACGGCGAGCGTGTACGCGAAGAGATACGCGTTCTCCTAGCGATGAGACTGCCGCCCTGCCGCTACGCTCATGAACTTGCTGCTGCGCTCCGCCGCGCGGTACATGTCCCGCGCCTTGCGGGGCAGATTGAGCCCGCCGGGGAGCACGCCCTTGCCCTGCAGACCGATCTCCACGCAGCGCTTCATCGCGGTCCAGACCTCGAGAAGATAGGAGTGAATCTCGTCGTCTTCGCTCTGGTAGACGTAGTCGTTCAGCTTGTAGCCCGTCTTGCGGCACCAGCGCATGACCGACTTCATCGTGGAGTATTTGTACACTGGATCGAAGGTCTTGCGGTAGGGGCCTTCGCGTTTGTCGAGCTTAGAATCGGCAATAATCGCTCCGCCTCCAACCGAGTAATAGGTTTCCTGACCGATTGCCTTGTCGTTTTGGAAGGCCTTGAGGGTCATACCGTTCACATGGAAGGTTAATGTTTCATTAGCCTTCCAGATGAACGTGACTTTTTTGGGCTTCAACTCGTTCTCAATGGCCACGTCGGTCATATGTCCCTTTCCCGTAGCAGCCAGAGAACCATATAAAGTGACTTCGTAACGATCTGCTTTGTCATCGTACAGTTTTTTGAACGCTTGTGCAGCAAAAGAAGGTCCCATCGTGTGGGAACTGGATGGACCGTGCCCTATTCTATCCGATTACCGATTCGAAACGGCCGTACCTGTAGAGCTCTCGCAGCGAAGGCATGCCATCGGTTTGAGTTACAGAAGTGTAGAAAAGATGGCTTGTTCCCTATATATATCCAGTGAGAAGCAGAATTACCTTTTTTGAAGTGATTCTAATATAGGTAGTATCCCTCTTGTCCTTGGAATTTGTGTTCCATAGCGGAATCCTTTCTTTTTCGTCGTGGTACTGGTCGTTCGTAGAGATTTCCATGTCAGAAGGTCTAAAAAAATAATACCAAATCTGTGTGTTAGAAAAGTTGAAAAGGAGAAAAAGAGAAGAGCAAAAGAGAACCATTGCGCGAATCAATTCGGCCGATGATTTTATTATAAATCGTCTTCCCAGAATAGATTCGATATTTGCGAAGTGGCTACCGTTTTCAACGAATTACACTTTTTTCCAAGGTTGCGATACACACTTTTCCCTATTGCCATCCCCTCTTTTCCCAAGCAAGCAAACTACTTGGTATTCAAGATCGTGTTTAAAGTCCTTGTCGAAGATTGCGTTCTTCGAAATTCAAGAATCCCTTCATCAGTCGTTCACTATACACATACAGTTCTAGAATAGATGAATCGCGCGGGGTTCTGGAAGGAAAGGGTTCTCGAAAAGAGAAGGCTTTCTTAAATTGTTTTTTAATGAAAATTGCATAAATGAAGAGAGATTATTATTCAGCATTGGTAGGTTATATGCTTGGTGTGAACTTATCTTTAGGACAATGAGGATCCCGGAGTTTGGATAAAGAAACAGAAGATAAGTCCGGACGCGCCTCTACCTCCAGACAGATATATTTTAACTCCCGTTCCTACCCTGAAACGTGGTTTTGAGAATGAAGAACCTAGTTTAAGTAAGAAGCAGCGATGCGACAAACTGGAGAGGCTACCAGAGAATGTGGTGCGATATTTGGCCTTTGGGCAGAAGCCTGCCGATCTGCCCGAAATTGCAATTCGCCAACTGCAGGAAGAGGCAGAGAAGTAGGTTTTCTTTGGAGTCGACTAATGTATAGGCAAAGTGAGAATTACCGCAACCTCGCTCTAACGATTTATCATGGGCCGGTATCAAAGGAAGAAGAATCGGAAAATGAATTGGAGGACCTTGGTCCGATTTCTTACTCTCTTCCTCCACTGGCAGGTTCAGCCCCAATGGTGCAGCAACCTTCATGTATGGAAGACGAACATCCATTGAATTATCAGGAACAAATGCAACGGACAGGAATGATCGGTGTTCCCCCTCCATCCAACGATGATAGTTACTGGATGATGTAAAATATGTATTCTATTTAGTGCATTCCTCTTGTTTGTTTCCACAAGGCAGATTATTTTTTGTGATGAGCGCAGAAGAAGTTAAGGAACATCGATTTGTTACTAATCTTTTTTCACGTGATTGCATAGAATCCAAGGGCTCCAAGCTACTGTCCAAGGAATGTCTCCTCAGGAGGATCTCGCTTTGCTAGCTTGGAAACTGGGAGCTCTTACAACAGCAGGTAGTGTGAATTGATAAGGATCCCGATGGATAGGTCCCGCAGTAGCTCGTTTGCCAACGGAAAAGAAAACAGGCGACGGTCCCAATCGCTTTCCATTCAGTTGGAGGCTAGACGCCCAGTAGCTCCTCCTTGTGTGGATAATATCCAAGATCTTTAGAATCCGTGTATCGAACTTTAGTCCCAACTTTGATAAACCCAAATTTGTCGAACTGCTTAATTCCATGTTCTCCGATATCAAAAGCATTGATTTCCAACCGCGCTATAATGAAAAGGGTCGTCTCTTTGGGTTCTCACTTTCCTTCTGTATCATGATCAGATTTGTAACTTTTACATCGGAAATCGGCTATAACGAGTGTCTTCAGTTAGGAACCTACACCTTCGGAGATGATGAGCTTCGTATCGAGCCTGGCCAAGATAAAGGCACAATGCCTACCAGCGTATCTCACTCTCCATCCCCCTCTCTTTCCAGACCACCCTCGTTTTAAAGAATGTACCTCTGACCGTATCCGATGCGCAATTCCTCGACTGGATCGTATTTTTTTCTTTTTCTTCTTTTTGTTCTCACTCTCAGAAAAAGCAAGCCATTTCCCCGCTCTCCTTCACCTTCATCTCCACCAAACCGCACTCCAAGGCGCGCGAGTTCTCCGGCACCGTCTTCATTCAATACCGCAACATCGAAGACGCCGGCATCGTACGCTTTTTCCCGCGGTTCCATCCAGGCCTGGGGCTATCTCAAAGACGAGCAGTTCGCAGGCGCCAAGCTGGAAGTGGAGTACAAGAAAAAGCAGGATAAGCGCGAGTTCGAGAGCGGGTTCAAGCCGGTTTTCCTGTCTACGGTCGCGGAGCAGCTCTGGAAGCAGCTGACGCAGTTCAAAGAGCGTTTTGTGGGGCAGAACCCGCGCGGCCCGGTGCCGTCGCTGGTGTTTCCGAACGATCTCTCGGCGTAGTGACGAGAGGGAGGAGTGAGATGCAGGCTGGAGAAGTCGATCGTGTTCACGTACGCGGAGAAGCTGAGTTTGTGCCACTACACGCAGGGCGAGGGCGACGAGAAGAGCATTTTCATCTCCACCACGCCGCCTTCCGCCGCGACGGCGGGCGTCGGAGCGACGGGAGGCGCGGGAGGACGACAGACGCGGAGCGGCAGGGCGTCGAGAGCGCCGTCGGTGTCGGGACTGGGTTTGGAGACGGAGGAAATCGTGCAGAGAAGACCGCGGATGATGTCGTGTCCTGATTTTGGAGTGAACGAGTTGCCGCATGTGACGGCGCCGGTGGAGACGCCCATGCAGAGAGTGGCGGCGGGACCGGAGGGAAATTCGGTCGGATTTACGTTTCATAGAACCTTAGAATGGAGTGTTTGTTTGAAACCTTGGAGTCGGTGTGCAACATGAATAGTCCTTTGGGTCTATCACCGGAGGAATCGAAAACACTGGGATTGTCCCAGAGTTTATGTAGGGGAGCTGATGGGGGTGAATCGATAGATTCCGGAGAGCTGCTTATTCTGAACCAGAAGAAGCGCTGGAAAAAGCGATATTTCGTGCTAACGTGGAGAGTTGACGGTTTGTATAATGCGCAGAGCTTCCGTGCTTGTCTACTACAAGGATTCCTTCCACTACAAGAGTGAGAGAGATTCGCCGATCGGAATGCTGGAACTGAGTCATTGCACCGGAATTTACTCCAGTTCGTCTGATAACCGCATTTTCACTGTTCGATCGGTGGACGTGGATTTCGTTTTAAAAGCTCGTTTCGAGGATTCGGTCGAGGGCTGGAAAACAGCAATTCAGTGTTCCTGGGACTTGGCTCGCAAAGACATCGAAATTCAGGACGACGCACTCAATGAAAACTCCGCTCTAAATCAGGTTATCGATCTCGAATTGAAACTCCACGCCATCGCTTCTCCCGACAAGGCAATCGCCGAGTTTCTAGGCGAACTCACAGGCTCTTTCACTGTACGCTATGCACTTTCCTTTTTCAGCACAGTCCATTCTCGATGCCTTCTGTTCTCGCTCCTCCCTCGACGATTCCACCAAACTCGCTTTCCAGCTAGCTCGTGATCGTTTCGAAGCTGCGAAGAGCCCCGATTTCTCCCCGCTTAGTCCGCTCACCTCGCCATCATCGAGCTCCAGCAGCGACAACGATGAAATCGACGAAGGCGCTTCGCTTCAGTTCGACCAAGACCTCAAATCGTCCGTCGAAGTCCTGCAGAGTCCCAGCTTCGCGCCTCTCCCCTCGCTGGCCAACGTGGACATCGCGAAGCTCGCCTGCAGCACCGATCTGATCGGGTTTTGATCGCTTTCTCGGGTCCATCGCAGATATCTCACTCGCACGGGCGATCTCTACGTCTCCAAACGCGTCGCGACGCAGGCCTCGGGGCAGAACTTCGCCGATCCGCAGCTGAATCAGTATCTGTGCATTCGCCGAACGCTGCAGCGAAGCCAAATCGAGCAGATCGCGATGGGTTCCGGGCATTTTTTGGTGCTGCTAGACAGCGGATTGGTCTACGCGTGGGGCGACAACCAGCTTGGGCAACTGGGAGTCGGGAAGAGCGTGCATCGCTGCGAAACGCCCATGTTGGTTTCGAGTTTGTTGAACAAACGAATTGTCATGGTATGATTGGACGGGTTTTTTCGATCAGATCGCCACGTCGTCGACGCACTCGCTCGCATTGGACGAGTCGGGCGCCGTGTATGCGTGGGGCGACAATCGAAGCGGCGCCTGTGGCGTGAGCTCGCTCTCGTTCATCTACACGCCCGTTCTTTGCTTTCAAAACTGCACACACATCGCCGCAGGCTCCCACTTCTCCGTCTTCGTTCACAAACAAAGCGGCGTCTTCGCCTGCGGACGCAGTCGCGAAGGCCAGTGCGGCGCGTACGACGGCGAAATGCTCCTCTCCCCGCGACAGATCGCAGGCTTTCCCTCCTCTCTGCAAGTCCAGCAGGTCTGCTGCGGCGACGGCTTCTCGCTGCTCCTCGCGAAGGATCGCTCCGTGTTCACCTGGGGCTGCGGGAGTTTCGGCGAGCTGGGGATCCGCGATCCGCTGGGTTCTACAAGTCCGCAGGGCGCAGCCAATCATCTTCTGATTTCGCATCTCCCCACGCAGATCTATCTCAACGCCTGTCTCCAGACCGGGGAAACCGTGGAAACCATCGCGTGTGGGGCGCACAATTGCCTGCTGGCGACGACGCTGGGTCGCTGCATCGCCTGGGGCCGCAACGCGGGAAATTGCTTCGGACTGCCGGACCCCGTGGAAAGCGTCCCGCGTCCCGCGGTTCTGCCACACCCCGCGCTCTCGCACATTCGATCCATCGCCGCGGCGGACGACGTGCTGGTGTTTCTTCGCGAGCCCGCCACTTCGCAGGCCTCCACTTCCCTCCCCGAAGCCGCCCCGTCCAAATGGATGGATTTCCCGCGGTTCAAAGACACCAAAACGATCCGACAGCTCGACTTGGAGGAGCAAACCCGCCTCGTTCTCTGGCGTTCGCAGCTCTCCCGCGATTATTTCACGCACGGCCTGACCACGCAGGTGGCCGCGGAGTGGCGGCGCGGCCTGCCCATCGAACTGCGCGGGAAGCTGTGGTCCCACCAAATCGGCAACGCCCTGCACTTGACTCGTGAGATCTACTCCATGTACCAGCGGCACTGGAAGCGCCATCGCCTCTCCATCGCCTACGCCTACCGCGAGCCGAGCGGGAACTCCACGGTCACCATCGGGCGCGAGCAGACGCTCCGCGGCGTCGGCGTCGATCTGTCGCGCACCTTCGGGTACCCGCGGGGGAGTCGCTGGACTGTAGCGCCCTGCAGCTGTTCCGCGTGGGCTCGGCGCTGCGCAGCAAGCTGCAGCAATGCCTCGAAATCTTCGCGATCTACCGGCCCGATCTCGGGTACGTGCAGGGAATGAGCTTCGTCGCGGGGCTGCTCGCGCTGTACATCGCCGACGAGTTCGCGCTGTTCTGCGCGCTCGCCAATCTCCTGGTCTCCCGCCATTTCTTCGCCTATTTCCAGATGAACGAGGAGTTTCTCCCGTAGAATCGGCGCTTTTTTTTGACACGCAGCAAGTACTCGCACCTCTTCGATGTCTGCTTGGAGAAGGTCTGTCCGGAGGTGGCGCGGCACAAGGAGCAGCTGGGCGTGCAGACGGACATTTTCTTCTTTCAGTGGCTGCAGTGCGGGTTTTTGAGCGTTTTGCCGATCGAAGTCGCGACCGCGATTTGGGATCTCTTCCTGATCGACGGCACGGTCGTGTTTTATAGAGTGGCCCTCGCCATCTGCACGATACTCCGCGGAGAGCTCGTGAAGGCGGATTACGAGAACTTTATCAAGATCATTACGTGTCATGCGGACAAGCGACAGTTGTGGAAGGATGTGATGGACGAGAAGACGCTGCTGAGTGTGGCCGGAAATGTGTCGCTGCCGTTCGATGTGGGAACGGTGCTTCACAGGTATGAACGCGAAAATGTATAGTTTTTTTCGTTTTTTGTTGGAATAATGAACGTAAGGGGTGAACAACCGGACTTCAACCGCGTAGGATGCTGAATACCACACAGGCGTCGTAAATCAGGTCCTCTCACGAATACCCCTAGTAGTTGATTCTCTTGTGTATAGACGTCGGTCCAAGTTGTAATCGGTAGGAAAAACTTTACTTTGCAACTAAACAGGCTGAAAGGCGAAAAAGAATCTCTTATATCCTTGAAAAGGTGGAACACGGCTAGACTTAACCGTACGAAGCCGAGAAGCAGGAGTGGAACAAAGAGCGAGAATGTCTTTTAGAAGAAATCAAACAATTGAAAGAGCGAGAGGCAAAGGAGCATGTGTTGCTTCTAAAGTGCAAGGAAGAGCTCTCGCGGTGTAAAACACAGTTAAAGGAGGTGGTAAGCGCGGTGGATCAGGTCAAAGAAGAAAATAAACTGGTAATTCCTCACGTATTTCCAACGACAGAGTTCAAAACATTAGATCCAACACTCCGTTTCGATTCTCCACGAAAGTGCGTCGTCCCTCCCCGCGATCGTACAGCAGTTTGGTTCCGTCTGTGCATCGTTTCATGACAGCCGAATCTATTCCTATTCGGAAGATAGCAAACTGGCTGACTTTTGCATCCCTCTTCGATCTGAATGGAAACTTTTAAATCGCTTCTTTTCTACATGCACATCCCAAGCTAGCAATATCATAATCGTTTCTTCCTCTCCCGACGACGGAATCCGCATTTGGCGACATTTAATCGAGCAAACAATCCGAATCCGACGCATCAAGGGAGACATTGTATCGCTCTTCGACGTGAACGGCATCACAACGTCGTACTCCGGCGAAATCGATTCATTAAAGCAGCTTTCCGTATATCTTCGCAACGCATCATCCGTGGGTGGTCATCATGTCTTTCTTTCCTCGGCAGATCAACCGACGATGAACATCTTTAAGATTTCCATGCGGGATGACGACAACAAAATCGATATATCGTGGAAGCTGCTCCATGAGCTCTTGCAAACCATCTCGCAAGGCAAAGCGTCTCCGAATTTCGCTTGCTGCTCGCTCACGAAGCTGATGCAGCCGTTGCTGGAGTCGCGAGCGAGCGCAAGCATTATTTTGACAGAGGAATCGAAGGAAATGAGCGAAGTTTCCGTGCTGTTTCGAGCGATTTTACGGAAGGAGAACAAGATGCAGCAGCAGATTATGGAGCTGAAGAACGAGCTGTTTTTAATGGAAAACGATGCGGATGCGTATGAGGATGAGATTCGAAGGTTGAGGAGAATGTTAGATGAAACTAAGAATTGGAGTGTTTGTTGATGAAAACGAGTAATCGAGAAAAACAACTGCTGGAGAGTGTATCGAGGACTGTTACTAGCGTGATTGAAGGAAACCCCATATCAGTTCAAGAGCACTATAGTTTTATACTGTATGTTGCTTGTACTTTCTCTAGTCGTAGATGTAGCGACGAATGCATCCGAAATGGAAGAGTTAACAAGATTCTCGAGACTGTGTTTGGAGGCTTGACTACGCTCTGTACTCGCCTCAATTCACAATCCGATTTTCCAGGATATTCACGCGTTGTGAGTTTGTTGTCATCTCTGCTTTTTCGTGTTGTATTTTTATGAATTCGTGTTTCACCCCTTATAGATCCCTTCTTTTATAACACAAGAGACGTTCAATTCCATCGCCTACTCTCTCTTCCTTGAATTAGTGTTGGTTCCTCAGCAAGATACAATCTTGGAATCCCTCCGTCAATCTCAAAACGACTCTGAAATTACTGCCTTGCGCAGTGTGCTTCAAACAATCGACCCAACCAATCGCACTCACATTTTGCACTCTTTTCTCATCCATCCTTTCCTCTCCGAATTCGAATCGAATCCCTCCCTCCAAGCCATTGATCAGGCGTTCAATCGGTGGAGTTCCGTTCTGACCGAGCAAGCCATGATCGATTGGCGATCTCGTTATACTTCGTTATACTGGCAGCCCCTCATCGAAGACCTTGAAAAGAACGGATTCCCGTGGGAATCCCCCAATTTGTTTCCCCTTTTACTCGATTTAAAGCCCAACCTTTCCAAGAGTTTCATTCATTCATTCGTTCTTTCGCTCACCGAATTCTTTTGGAACTTGTGCGCTCCCATCGAAATTCCAGAAATCACCAAGATTTCGGTCGACCCTCAAATCGTGGAAACGGGGAAGAAAATATTGGAGTTTCTATCGAATTCGCTGCAATTCGACGATTTTGACATTCGTCCGATTGTTGCAATTCCAAAAATCGAGGAGATTTCGCAGCTCACGATGCATTCGCTTCTCTGCAGCGAAAACGCGTCGATTCCCGTTCTTCACTACGCGGCGGCGTTTCGCAGCCTTCTCTCCAATGACGCAATTTACATGAAACTCTTCTTGATTCGATGGAGTTTCGTCGATCTAAACGTGGAACTGGAGTTGCATTTGGTCGGTTCCCCGTTGGCTGCGAGCACGTGCGCGGCGATTAAAACGCTGCTGATTCGCCGCGGTCGTGTGAATCGACGATTGTTTTCGTCGTTTGTGGGCGAAGAAGAGTTTATCATTCCAGCAAACGTGGAAACAAACGTGGAAACAAACGTGGAAACAAGAGAAGCGAAGGATAATGGAGAAGAATCGCGTGTGTATGAAATGCAATCAGAGTTTGGTCGGGTGGAATTGGAGGTGGATGGAAAGAGAATCATCCGCTGCTGCCCGGCTCAAGCAATGATTTTGATGCTGTTTGATTCAAACCAGTGGATTGGGTGGAGCGAACTGAAGCGACGCTCGCCGTTTAAAGAGGACACAACGAAACGAATCGTGGAGTCGCTGACTTGTTGCGAAGCCGATGCGAATGGAATTCGGTTTGTAACACCACAAGAAGACGTGGAGTTGCCGTTTTTGTTCCGGATTTCGTTGGGAGAGACGAAGAGGGAGGAAATGCATAATAGTCTACTGGATGAACGGGATCGAATTGCATCGTGGGCGATTCAATGCGTGAAAAAGAAGAAACGAGTCTCCGAGAAAGCGATTCAGAAGTATGTGGAGAAGCATATTTCGATTGTAAATGAAATGGCGTTTAAAGAAGCGATCGAATACTTGATAGAAGGCGAATATTTGAGTCGTGCAGAAGACAATCCAGCGCTATTGGAGCTTCAGTTTTGCACTGTTTCTTGCAAAAAGGTTGTACAACAAACAATCCCCATTAAAAATATATATATATATATATATGTATATGTAATAAAATAAAATATAATAAAATAAAATAACACTATCAATAGTAAGAAGGATGTAAAAGTAAACGAAAATCGAAACGATAAAATATGCAGCCGTAGCAGTATATAATAAGCAAAATAACACTCAACAAAGCATTCAATGATCGATCGAGTGGCTGAAACTTGACGATTTCCCATTCCTTTACGACCACTGATTCCACACTCTTTCCTCACGTTGTTTCACCAATTCCACATACCGTTCCTCGCACTGCAGCGCCGATTTATACACCATTTCTGCCCCTCATTTCTCTCCTTCTCTTCCTACTCTTCGCGATCGCTTCCCAATTAAACTGAAACGTCTGCGCCAGCACTTGCAGCGTTTCGTCCTCCAAACCCGTCCACGACTCCGTCGATTTGCTCCCTCGCTTCCCTCCGCCGCTCGGCGTCCCCAATTTCCCGCCCGCTGAAACGGACGAAGAAAGGATCCCCGCGGGAGAACGGCCTCCTTCTGCCGCCAAATTCCGGCTTCGCCGCCCTCGCCGACCCTCCGTTGAGCCGGTCGCGTTGGATGGATTTGGAGAAACCGTGGAAACCGTGGAAACCGTGGAAACCGTGGAAGGGATGGGAAGAGGGGATTGTGTTTTGGTTTTGACGAGTGTTCCACGGAATTCGTTGAGTTTCAGAACCGTTTCATCCAATTTGTGTTCCATTGTGTCTAATTGTGTCTCTCCCAAACTTCGCAGAACGGGAGCGTTTCGATCCGGTAGCCCAATCGGCCATTCCCTTTCTTTTCTCGCCTCCGTTTCCCCATTTTCTCCATTTTCGGCTTCCTTTTTCTCTGCCATCAATTGCTCGTACCTCCGTTTGACCTGCTCGCGGGTCTTCGACCCCAGCACTACATGCCACGCCCTTCCAACGCGTACTTTCGGCGATAAAATCCCAATCCTGGCTGTGCAGCCGCGACAATTGCAGAAGCATTTTGTCCAGCGACGGGCTCCACGCGTCCGCCTTGGCTTCCTGCGGCTGTGTCGAGGGCTGTGTCGAGGGCTGCGATGAAACGAATGATGCAGACGATCGCAATGATGATGATGATGATGATGATGATGATGATGTCGCTGCTTGCGTCGTCTGCGTTCGCTCGATCGTCTGCTTCTGTGGAATGGGGATGGGCTGCTGGTTGAACAGCTCGACGAGCTCTTCCGGCGTCGGATACGAAGCCAGCGCCGGCTTCTCCACTCGCACCGCTTTAAACGGGGAAACCGTGGAAACCGTGGAAACCGTGGAACCCATCAAGGAGATGGAGGGAAGAGGGAGCGAAGACAACGGTGCTGAAGGTTGAGGAAAACCGCGGGGAGGAGAAACCGAATCGGAATCGCTTGCGTTGATTGGCTGGATTCGATTGTGTTTCGGATTGTGTTTCAGTGTTTCGAGTAGGCGCTGCGTGTAGAGGTCGCGCAAAACGGCGATTTGGCGTTTGGAGGGATGGAGGGAATTGGCGATGCGCGTGGCCGGATCGGGAATGGATAGGGAAACCGTGGAATCCAGGTGGTAATGGTGGAAACGGCAGTGTTTAGGCGTGAGATACTTGGAGATATCGCGGCCATTGACATGCTCCAAGAGAAAGATAAAATAATCGCGGTTCACGATGATTTCGTCCTTGGTGGCGCGGAGAGAGGAGCCGTGGAGGGAGGGAAGGTCATCTTCTGATTCGGATTTGTCGAATCGAGGCGCTGAAGGTGAGAAAAGAAGAGAAAGAAGTACAATTGGATGATGTGCTGGATGGCGATTCGGAGAGATGGAGACTACGCTGAGTTGATCGCCCGAGTGGCCCTGTTCTCTTTGAATGTCTTCGCAGTTCAGTATGGAGGTTGGGAGGCAAGGAAATGGGCTCGAGGGTTTCGGTTATAGTAGTATCACTGCTGAACGATTCTTCTTGTACTCTCTCTCGTTTCTTGCTTTTCTGTAACAGGAGCTGGTGCTGCTGGAGCATTGACCGAATAATGTCTATAAAAGCCGCTCTCGTTCCTTGTAGATCTTTAGCAGTAATAGGTGCATCGTAGAAAGGGTCCGCCGACATCATAATCTAGCATTCACTCAACTGAAAGTGTTTGCCCCACTTGTTTGGCGAACTTGGTGTCAATATTTTTAGCATTCTGTAATTCTAGCAAGCATGATAGAGCTGTCACTGTATTCTGGTCATTCAAAATCGATGAGCTGTTCCACGCTGACTTTGAAATATTTACGGCTTCCGCTACGAGTTCGATTCGATTCCCAACTCTTACATGGCTTGGAAGTGCTGGCTCTCAACTTTGGTAATATTTTCCTTTCACGCCTCTCCATGTCTATTCCCGAAAGACGACAATGAAATGGAGCAAGAGCGACAAGAAAGCGTAAAGTTAGAAAAACAGTAATCCAATCAATTCTTCATGATCAACAAACCACTGTACGCTTAGAACTAAAACAAACAATTGAAAGAATCACCAAAATCCACAGAATCGCAATTCCTCCCAGCGTATACAAGACCGTACTCTTTAGCTTCTTTTTATCCGCACAAAACTTCTTCCACTCATCCGATTCCAATTCCGGCTTCATCACCACCTCCCCCGTCTTCAGCGACAGCCTGTCCGTCCGGTCGATCGACTGGGAGGTTCGTCTCCACGAAACCATCCGATTCTTCTTGGACATGTTCTTCCCTCCGATGTTTTTATATCCTTGAATATCCTCGATGCACATCAACGACGAAATCACCCCCACCGACCGCGCAGCGCTATACGTCGAAAATGGTTTCCCCATTTCCACCATCTCCGGCTCCCCGCGGTTCGACACGGGGTCTGGCTGCGCAGGGAGCGGCGCGACGAGCTCTTTCATGGCGGCATACACGTCATGCTGGCAGTCGGTTCGCCGATAGAACAGCAGATACGCATCGGGCGTTACGACCTCGGTTTCCCCGATTTCCACGACGAGATCGTCGTTATAAGAGAACCATCGCCGCTCTCCGTCCATCTCGTCGCAGCAGTACGCGTAGTAGTGTCCGCTGTCCGCGGTTCCGCTGTGGTTGCACACGCACACCAGGTCGTAGACCGCTGCTTCGTCCCCCGCCCACGACCGCAGATCCAGGCCGCGCGTCGGGAACGCTACCGCGTCGCCCACCTTGCGACGCACGTACCGCGGCTCGTTCCGCGGTTTGCCCTCGCGCACCACGCGCGCCGTCACGAAGGAAACGTCGAACCGCTCCAGCTGCACCGCCAGAATCGGCGGCAACGCGCCGAACCGCACCGACTGCGACAGCCCCGCGGTTTCGCCGCACTCCCGGCAGGCCTCCAGCAGACGCGCGTTCTGCCCCGTGGCTTCGCTCTGCAGACCCTCCTCCAGCGAGAAACCGTCGCGTAACGCCCGCCGCGGAGCCGCGGGGCGGATCGTCATGTTGAAGGAGATCAGCGAAACGCCCGCGCCCACCATCGACCAATCCAGATACACCGACCGCGGGAACCGCGGGGAATCGTCAAGACCCGCGAAGGCTTCATGGGGGAACGGGGGATTCGGGGAAACTGGGGAAACTGGGGAAACCGAGGGGGGTTTCGAGAAGAACGGGAAATGGAGGGGGCTCCCGGGTTTCCACGGTTTCCCCAGTTTCGATGGTTTGGAACCGCCGGAAACGCTTTGGTTGGCCAAACCATCCGTGGAAACCGTAGAAACCGTGGAATCCAGAGGTCCGTCGGGTCCATCGGGTCCATTGGAGACACTTCCACTTTTGCTCGTAGAAACCGTAGAAACCGTAGAAACCGTAGAAACGTGGTCGTCGGGCGCGTCGCAGTAGAATCCGTTGGGTCCGCGGTCGTGGTCGTGGAAGTGGTTTCCCTGCAGAATCCCGCGGGAAAAGAGGGCGAGGCGGGCGCGAATGCGGTGGGGCTGGGGGTCGGGGAAGCGGAAGACGAAGGGCACGACGTCGAAGTTGACGCGGTCGGCGTAGGTGACGACGTGGAGCGTGAGGAGGTTGGCGGGCCCCGGCTGCGCGGGCATCTACCGAGAACTCCGCGCGCGGACGACGTACGGGGTAGGCGAGGAGGAAGAAGTTGCGCAGCCCGTCGCTCTGGAGCGAGTCGATGGGCTGGTCGAGCGCGGCGAGGCTGTAGGACTCGATGGACCGCGCGGTGAGGTCGTACGTCCCGATGAGCAGCGCGATGTCCAGAGAGCAGGCTTTGCTTTCATCACTATGAGTGTTGGTGTTCGAGTTCGAGGCGAGAGAAGCGAGGATGGCGGCGCGGACGTCGCGTAGAGAGGCGGAGGGACCCACCTTGACAGAGATTGGCTCGGTTCGGAGACTCACGTGTCCGGTAGGAAGGTCCAGGAACTGGTGGACAAGATTCACGTTTAACCGCGTTTGGGTGAGGGGGAGGGGGATGTGGAGCGTGTTGAAGGCGGAGAGCGTAGAGAAGTGGGCGTGGCAATGCGAGCAGAGTGTGGAGGTGATCGAGTAGCCGTAGAAAAGTGTGGTAATGGAGGTCGGATTGTAGCGCTTGTAGTGGTCCCACCACAGCTGATACTCCCGTGGTGAGGCGTTTTCGTAGAGGTTGTCGATTGGACTGCCCGGAACACGGGCACCGAGCAATTCCTCTTCGATGGCTTGCAAAAGAAACGCCTAGAGTCGAGCACACAATTCGGAAGTACGATAACTTCATGGGAATCATGCTGGGTCCCATCACACAGATAAGGAACCCGTGCTGAAAGTGCTGAAAAAATAGAAGATATATAGATAGCTTTGTTTGGCGTTTGGAATGTCCCGGATATGATTTTTGCTAGAATAGGGATAAGTTCCTCATCGGAAGACAGAGAATTATCCTAAAAATCGAAGAGGCTCCACAACAATACAAGAACTCCGCTTTTTGCTGTAAGAATAAGAACTGCTAGCTCCGGGATATGGAATAAACACTTTAGTAAAGTTTCAAAAGCAAACGCATACTTGACAAGCTGCATTCAGAAAACAACTGTTTCCTTCATTATAAAAGCCAACCCTTCCCACTGAAGGAAGTTCTACCTCGACGTCCATTAATGTATGTTAAACAAATACACTTAGAAGAAAATTGATCAAGTACTTTTTTTTCCTTTAGGGCATGCCTTTGTCGTACCAGTGATGCGTAGCCAAAAACTACACATAAAAAACATACTACTTCACCCACAGAATTAACCATATCTCGATTCTTCCCCCTACGAACCCAATGTTCAATCTACACCTTACACTGCAAATTTGAATGTACCATCTCCTCCTTATCTGTCAGGATGCTCTCCTTCGCATACTTCTGTACCCACTCCTTCGCCTTGGCTTCATAATCTCCGCGAGATTGGAGATACTGTGTGGCTACTTCATGATCCTAAGAGGTCACAGATCCGAAATTTAATTACCTGAGGATCGGTTGGCTCGGCAGCAGTGAGAAGGGCTTGAATGGAAAGAAGAGCGATACTTATATTTAATGCTGGAGTCCACTTAGACTTCAAAATATCTAAACAAATAGCTCCAGTCTAGGAGAAAAGCAAATCAGGGATTATTTACCACGCTGCTTATATTAGGATGCCAAACTTTTGTCATAAAGATCATCACTGGAGGCTCGAAAGGATATCTGTCAGGAATATGACAGTGTAACTTAAAGTATGCTCCCTCAAATATAGTATCTTTAGGACCTCTAATAAAGCAAATTAAATTCCTCTTATCACTTCCTATCCAGATAACACCAATGTCTGGGTTATTGTCCTATACTTTAGAGAACCACCCGAAAACCACCTTGGCCATTCTTTCCAACTCTTTGCCAACTCTCGCAATGCTCATCGTACTTAATTACGTCTAAATAATACGTTTTTATAAAGGTGGAAAAATAGAACCTATTTTTAACAATCCTCTTATGATAACAAACAACGCAAATTAGTGACACAAGGATTCAAACTGATCGAAGATGCGTTGGGGAACATCTACCTGAGAACTACCTTCAATTTCGTACTCTCCAACTCTAGATGATGCAACGACCAGAAGCTGCTCAGGACGTCCACCCTTAGCTTCAGCAAAGGAGCATCTAGTATCAATGGACCCAAAAGCGCGTACTCTTAATAGTAAGTGAGTGTATCGACACAAAAGATTGCTCTAGGCTCGTAAAAGCTGCCAACGACGGGAGATTCTGCAATACGAGTCTTCCCTTGTAATGGAGCGATCGGAAGAAACATCCGTTTCCAACGATGATAAACAATAGTTTGGGCATGTTACAAAATAGTACAGAGTTCGTATGGTAAAACGAATAGTCTCCGATCTTCACCGTCTTGATTTGCGGCAATTCTTTCAAAAACAGACGACTGCAGTAGAAGAAGCAACACGAAATCCCGATCTGCTTCTCCTGCTGCCCGCTTCTCCCAATTCCTATCGAGATGAGTTGCGGAACGTCTGTGACAGAAAATTCGCAGTAGTCCGAGAATGATCCCACGCCAATCTGCAAGATTTCAAGCCGAGGCAAATCGCGAATCAAAAAGGCCTTTCGTTTGCGCAGAATGGCGTTCGAATCGGACAGAAGAAGCTCGAGCGAGTTTCCATGCGTCGTAAAGGAGTAATTTCCGATAATGGTCGTGGTGAGGGCGTTGTTGTGAGCGATCAGCAAGCGCTTGCACTTCCTGCAGCAGTTATCTCCAACAATAAAGCGTTGTAGGAGACAAAACACACTCAAATTGATGCTCTGGATTGTGTTCAGCGAGTTGTTGGCCACCACAAGCTCTTCGACAAAGCAACTCGCCATCGAGAAATCGCTCCCCTGAATCACCAGCGAGGATTCGTACATCTCTTGATTGAGCAGCAATCCTTTTAGCAGGGAGTTGCCGAACAGATCGAATCGATCGGCAATGCCCAAGAGATTGCCATGACACCACATTCCCTCGCTTGCAAGTTGTGGCTTGTTTCCTACGGTTCGAGGAAAGAAACTCTGTCCATAGCCCTCCCAATAGAAGTCGACGCACATTCCACGATAGATGAGATAGTTGTTCTCATCGTAATACTCGCCAAGGCCGCAGGGCGAACCACGATAGGACAGTCCTTCCCACCTCTCCCCATTGTCCTTGTCCAGTATTTCCCATTGCGGACAGTTGGTTTCATCGAAAAGAATGGTTTCGCAGTCGTCGACCAGACACAGAACTTTGCTCGTTATCCGATTGTACACAAAACCTTTATTGGATCGGATATCATTGATCCAGCTTGTCGAATATACAAGAGCATCATATTCCCCTCCAAAGTGAATCTCACCGTATCCCTGCTTTTTACCATTACAAATTGGAACTATATAATACATTGGGATATCGTGACGCAAAGAGGGTTCCCGTCTCAAGCTGTCATTTAGAAAAGAGAAACGCTCGTCATCCTTACTTGACGAAGATTGATCACTCTCGTCATCGATGAGTCGTTTGTACAGACTACATTGATACTTATATGCATTTTTGTGTTTCAAGCGATTCTTAGGTAACACAGAGGAAATGAGACGTTGTTCACATTTATCACTCAGAGACGAACCATAGCTGTTCTTCATCCGATTTTAGCAAAATAAAAAAATGATTCGATAATTCAAAGAATGTGAAGAAGGATGCAAACACATCGTCACTCTCGTTCTCCAATCAAATTCGGCAGCTGGTAAGCGAGGGATTTGACGCAGCCGTCATAAGTGTTAGGTTTGCTCTGTTCGGAGACTTGTAGAAGAGTAGAGGATGCGGAATCCACGAATATGCCTCCTACTCTTGAACAAGAACAAACGGAAGGGTGTATATGCATCAACATGATGCAAATGGACTGTAATCCATGAATCAATAATTCTACGATGTGTTTACGGTGCAAAGAAGGCAAGCACATAATGATACATTAAATTCGTTTGAAAACATTGGATATCGTCTTTCTATTGAAAATGAATGGAGTAGATCCTATAGAGAATTGAAAGGAGAGAAAGACCAAGGATCTTGGAATTATGCTGAATTGAAAGCTGATTAAAATTCGTAAATTGTGTAGAAATATGATTTCGAGGCAAATAATACCTTTTGCTTTTAGGAATGACAAGTTTGACAAGAAGAGAATTAGGAAGTACTATGCACGTTTTATAATCGACAATAATAATCGAAAACGTTTTAGAATCGTACTTGGGAACATTATAACTCTCATTCCAGAAACACTCAAAAGGAGATCAATTCATAGCATATACACCCTTCATTTTAAAGTTTAATAAATAAACTTAGTGTGAACTGGTTGTGTTTTATTCTAACAAACACATGAACGATATCGAGCAGGGACAAAACACATCGCAATGTAGTGAACAACCGCGAATACCAACATTGCTACACTGAGTTGCTTCATTTCCGAATAGGTGGACGACTCGTGGAAATTCAAGCCAAAACTCTAATACTCAGCGACTTCACACAATATTACAGAAACGGAGACCAAGTAATAGGAAGAGAGGTAAAGGGTCGCGCAAAACAGAGCCGTGGCAGGCACCAAATATTTCCGGAGACTCAAAAATACGCAAACTACTGTGCTGGCCACAATACAAAAGAAAACTAGAAAGCAACACCTATCGATGCTTGCATAATTCAAGAGTTTGTAAAGTTCAATCTCTTTGCTTCTAGACTTGGAACCTCCACCATACACAATACGGAAATGGGATAAACCGTACGACGGAAGTCGTAAAGGCGGAGAGTTGCAGTTTGAGGAGTACATCTAAAGCTCAGAATAACTCAGAACAACTACATATAAATAAGATGCATAATACTATGGATATGGATATATTGGTATAGGTCAATAATCTATCGAAAACGGAAATCAAGACAGAAGTACTTTCGAATAACCCTATTTGGGTGTTTCCATACTTCCTGATAGTAATATTTTGCGCCAGAAACACCGTTATGCGCATCATGGTCAGCTCCCCTGTCAACTTGTTTTTGATTTTTCTGTAAGGTTACCTTCCTTTCCATTCTTCAGAGTGGTTTAATGATCGATAATTCCTAGAAAAAATACTGTGCCGGGAGATGACAGATTTCAGTCTAGATTTCATTGTAGCCATGTTACACATGGTAAAAGAGAAAATCAATGCGATAAAAAGAAAAAGCGTTATGACAATATAATAATGTTCCAACGGGCATCCAATAGAATGAACAGAACTAGTATGGTATTGGTTGTGTCATTTATTCTTTTACCCATTTTAAATGATGGAGGAGGATAAATTGAAGAATGGGAGTCTTAAGTATTGCAGGCAATGTAGGAAGAATATGCCAAGTGAAGATTTTTTAAACCGCACAAAATCTGGTTATTGTATTGTATGCAAGACCTGCCGAGATAGGCAGTTACGGCGGTACTATGGTGAGCCTTTCTGTATGCCATGAACATATAGAAAAGAATGATCGAATTAATCAATATCCATATGATGAAAAGAAAGATAATTTAAAAGTCGAAGCTCAGGAGGGCGTTCCCGCTGTGAGCAACACTAATAAAGACTCAGAAGACAATGCTAGTTTGGAGCTATCTTCTGTTTCTCCTAAGAGCTCTCTGTGTAGCTCGATGCAGAGCGAGGCCGCTCTGCCTATGAGGCCTTCCTCATTTCTCCAGTCCCGTTATCGTATTGTTGAGATATCTCCGTCATTGAGGTCACGAGATGATGTGTATGTCGCGAAGTTATTGTATCACCGCACCCTTTTCCAGAACAAAGCAAGTTTGGTATCTCGCCGTTTCCTAGAACTAATGTAACTTTCTAAATAATCGTGTTTCAGTTGGTTGTGTTTGTTTTTACGACATGTAGTTGCAGAAATGGCTTTGAAAACGGGAGTTTCAGTACATAATCAAAAACCCTTTCTCGGTGGTCGCTTTATTAGTTTTTCATAACGAAAGATGCTTAGACGTGATATTCGTTTGCGTAGAGACTACCTGTATCGAAAGTCTCTGGAGGGAAAGAAGAAGGAGGAGTATGAAAAGAAAATGAAGGTGCGTGAGGCTCTTGCGAGTTGGCTATTTCGTTGCGGGTGTTAGTTTTAGCTGGGAAGAAAGTTCCCACGGAATTGCGATATGAGGCGGAAAAATTGAAGCACACAGTTGACATGGAAGATGAAACCACAAAGGAAATGAAAGTAAGCATTTGTAAGGGGTATCCAGAGATAGACGCATGTAGACGATGAATATGCTATGGCGGGAATCGAAGACCCCAAGGTGTGCGTTACGACATCGCGCGATCCGAGTTCGCGACTCAAAATGTTCATCAAGGAAATAAAGCTTATCATTCCAAATTCGCAACGAATTAACCGAGGAGCTTCCAAGTTGGACGAAGTTCGCCTATTCTAGAAGCCTCACGCCTAGTTGGTGAAAGCATGTCGTGCCAACAACTTCACGGACATCGTAATCGTAAATGAGCACCGCGGTGAGCCAACCTCCTTAATTGTGAGTCATTTACCGTACGGTCCCACCGCTTATTTCAGCATCACCAACACGGTGATGCGCCACGACATCGAGAACGTGGGAACGATGAGCGAGGCGTATCCCCATTTGATCTTCAGCAACCTCACATCCAAGCTGGGCGAGCGAGTCACCAATATCTTGAAGCATCTCTTCCCCGTGCCGCGTCCCGACAGCAAGCGAATCCTCACGTTCGCCAATCAAAAGTCGGTTTACTGCGAGGTTCTGAGTGTAGTGACTTCATTTCCTTCCGACATCACACGTACTTGAAGGAGGATCATAAGACGGTCGCGTTGACGGAGGTGGGTCCGCGGTTCGAGTTACGCCCGTATCAGATCCGATTGGGCACGGTGGATCAGGAGGAGGCGGAGAATGAATGGATCCTGCACCAGTATACGAATACAAGTCGAAAGCACAAATTGTTGTCGGTGGAGTAAGGGGAGAGTGTTGTTCTTTTATTGGTTTGGAGGGTGTTTGTTGAATGAATGAATGAATGAATGAATCAATCAATCAATGGATGAATGAATGAAAGGGGGAGCAGAAAAGGAAAGGAAAAGGAAAAGGGGTGAGGCAATAAGGAAGAGATGTTTTGGGCAGAGGACAAGCAAACAAAGAGATTCAGATTCAATGGATTGATAGAAATTCAATTATGACTTCATCACATCGAAAAAAACGCACTCCAAATACGAAAAAACTTGATGGCAAATACAAGAATCGTTCTCTCTCGAACAAACAGCCCATAAACTATCACATATACATATACATATGTATGTACATGTATATGTACATACATATATACATACATACATACATACATATATAAAGAAAACCAAAAGCAAAAGAGTATTCCATAAAAGAAATCCGACGATGCACAGTACCGTTATTTCACCACGCGCCACGAAATAAAACGTCGCTTCTCGTCAATCACCACCTGCCTCTGCACCTGCTGCTTCTCCACCTTCTTCGAGAGCTGCTTCACGCGCAATCTACCATGCACTCCACTCCGCTTCCCCACATAAAGAAAAACGAGATAATCGAAACGACCACGATCATTCCAAGAAACAGATACAAATTCACGCTCTCTTCCAAGGAGTAGTTGCAATCGACTCCCATATGTCCGTCCCAGCATAAGCAAACTCCCTTCTCTACACACTCACGCCGCTCTGCGCGCTCTACCTTCATCGCACGCTCCGTTCTCCTCAAAACAATGCGGAATGCATCGATCTTCCTCGTACAACGTATCGCATTCTATTCGAAATTCCTCTCCCAAAAAACACTACTCAACCCCACAAATCCATCGCTGCACTTGCATCGCCCCGTTCCCAGCATTCCATCATCGCACTCTCCGTGCGCGCTGCCTATCCTCGACCCCCACCCCCTCACTCTACACACCGCGGTTTCGCCGGGACACGTCTCATTGCACGCGCTCCCAAACCGCCCCTCCACGCATTCTCCGCATCGCTGCGCCGCGTCGAACCCCTCGTCGCACACGCACGATCCGTCGCCCGTCCGGCCGTCCTGGCAGTCTCCGTGCTCATTGCAGCTCTCGCAGGCCGCGCAGGTTTCCCCGAAGAACCCCGTTTTGCACTCCGTGCAGTTGGAATACGCGGAGAACCCCGTGCTGCACACGCAGGACCCGTCGCCCGACAGCCCGTCCGCGCATTCGCCGTGGTGGCAGTCGCGGCAGGGACTGCAGTTGGTCCCGTAAAACCCGTCCAGACACTCCTGGCAGTTCTGCAGCGGGTCGCGACCCTCGCTGCAGTTCGAACACACGTCTCCCGGACAGACGAACTCGATCGCCAGCTGCGAGGCGTTCGTGCTCAGCTCCAGCGAGCCGTTGAGCATCACCGTCACGAAATACTTGCACTCGTTGCAGTACTTCGCGTGGCTTCGGTCGATCGTCACGTTCACCTGCAGCGGACTCGCCTTCGCGGGCGTTTCGCTCGACCAATCGAAACGAGAGGGCGACGGGTACGCGTCGACCGCGACGAACATCGATCTACGATTGGAGAAACGTGGAAACGGAGACAGAGAGCGGAAATCGGAGGAGGTTTTGGAGGCGGAGAGCGTGATGGCGGTGTACTCGGTGGAGTAGAGGAAGATGTACGTCTGCACGACGTTTCGATACGACGATAGCGAGCCTTTGATCGAATTGCTCGGCGTCAGCAAGAACGGAGTCATCGCCACGCCGCCCTCGAACACCCACGACGAAACGCCCTCCGTGCGGACGGCGATGAGCAGAAAACACCCGACAGAATGCCGGTCGATCGCGATGGAAATGAGCGGCTGGTAGAAGAAGGATTCCGTGTACTCCACCACGGCAGAATCCGCGATGTTCAGCAGTTCCGCGGTTTCGGAGTACCCGTAGAACACGGTGAGCGGGAAGCACACGGTTCCATTCGAATTCCACGCGTACGCTACCTCCGAAAACCGAAGATTCACCCGCGAGACGGTGCCCAGATCGTCGCTGGGGATCCACACCGCGTGGTACGAAACCGCGGGACGAGCGGGCGTTTCCACGGACACGGGCTGGTCGTGAGGGGCGCAGAAAACCGCGGTTGTGTGGAGGAAACGCATGGAGACGTTGAAATAGCACGGCGAAGCGGAGGAAAGCGAGCCGGTCGGGAGAGGACGCACGCGGAAATAGAGCGGCCGGCCCAGCTGGAACACCGAGCTATTCGTGGAAACGTGGAAACCGAAGGGGTTGGGCCCGGTGGTGGTGTGCGGCGAGGACTGGACGAGAGCGGATCGGAAGGTCTGGAGAGAGAGAAGAAAGAAGAAGAAAAACCCGATCACTGAGAGCGACTTCGATGTCGCCCTGGAAGGAATCGATGGAGAAGAGAAGCGAGAAGGAGTCGAAGAGGAGTTTTGTGGAGAAGTCGAGGATTAAATACCCGATCACGTCGTCGCGAGGCGTGGATTCGGCGCTGCAGTTGACGCTTGTTGAAAACGCGAAAAGGCCTTGCGAATCGGGGCGCAGCACCGAGGAGAAGGCGGCTTGCGACGTAAGCGTGTAGGGGATCAGCGAGGCCGTTTCTTCTTCCACGATGAGATACACAAAAACGTCCCGATTTGTGGAAAACAGGGAGGACGAATGATCCAGCACTAAGGACGCCGTGGAGTTGCTGGTGAGGCGGAGAGGGACGCGGTTGCGACTCAGCGGACGCGGACTTGTGCTCACGTAGCCGACTAAGGAAGGAAGAGAAGGACTCTCCAATGTGAGCTGGATCATGTCCACCAGACAGCTTCGCTCTTCGGTTTTATCCGAGTTGGTGCTTTCGGAATTGGAAATCTAGATGGGGAGGTGGAAGGGAAAGGAGAGATACGTAGAGTCGGTATGTGAGAATGCTGTCTGTAGTGTATCCAGAAATCGTTCCATTGACACTGTCGCTCATCTGCATGGAAAGCAGCGAGTCTACAGATGAACCGATCCTAAAAATACAAACCATCCATTCTCTGTGCAACTAAAGAATACGACGCTGCAGTTGTGACAAGGCTTTTTAGCAGAATGTGTGTATATGACTGTCTGCATATGCTTTCCCGGTGAAATAGACTTAGGAGCGAATCTGGATAGATGTTCCTATTCCAATCAGCCGCAATTTCAAAATAAAACTCTGTCTTTTCCGTTTCATTACAAGAAAGAGTCACCGATGCAACCGGATCCGTTTCGTCCGTTTCATCGCTAAAGATTTATTGAGTACTCATGTAGAAGTACGGAGACACCATAAAAATGAACTGGTAGTACTGCCAATCTGTATAGGAAGAAATTACGTAGGCTTGCTCACCGCCACCTTCTAGAACACCTTCGACAGTTACTCCTTCATTGATTTCTGTTTCTGAGAGACAAGTGATGATTTCGGCCAAAACGAGTAGGAGGATAACAAACCTCCACAGGTCACCCCTTCTTCCCATTGATCAATTTGGCAAATCTGGTAAGAGCTGCCAATCTGGAATTGGGTCAAGGATTTGGGCAGACAAAGTCCCAATTCACATTTTCGCCCTTCCAGCGTTTATTTCTGCTATTCATTCAAACAAACATACCACTCTTCCTTCTTTTTACTGTACACAAACTCCTTCAGATTCGCGTAGGAAATGTTATTCCGCTTGATGGACTTTCTGCAAAATTCCTTGTATTCCTCCTCCTTGTTCTCTTCATATTCCGCCGTCTTCTTCATCGTCACCAGTCTTCGACTCACATGTGTCTGCAGCTTCTCTTCCGAGTTCGAAACAAGCTCCAAACACGGGTGTTCGGGCACCTCCTTCTCTCCATGCCTTCCACTCACATCCCTCCCCATCTCCCTACTCTCCAAAAGTCGGCAGCAAATAAGCCAGTCTTCCTCCCAGCACGAGCGTTTTCGCAGCCACATTCAGCAAATCCACGATCACATCATCCGGATCGTACACTTCCGTCCTGGGAATGTGTCCTTCGCGAATTTCCGTCGGCGGATGCTCCCCCACGCGGCTACGTCCCATTCCAGCGCCTCATCTACCTGCATGTTTTCCTCGCTCCCGCGCGGATTCCATACGGCGGATCGCACAGAATTCCGTCGATTCTGCTCATAACCACACAAAAAACCCGCATACAACCCGCGGAATCGCAGCGGCAACGCGGACAAATCGGCGCGCACCAACTCGGGGAACCGCAATCCGTACTGGCTAAAATTGCTTCGCACCGACTCCGCCTTCTTCCCCTTCTTGATGCCCTTCAAAACGCGCACATCGATGTCCGTGCCGATGCAATGACTGCCATGCGCCGTCGATGCCACCAGCAGCGAGCCCGTCCCCGCGAAACAGTCCCACATCACCGCGCCGGGGCGAGAGAGCACCTGATTGGACATGAGGAAGGAGAGTTCCGCGCACGTGGAGGTCGGACCGATGTATTTGCGCCGTTTCAGGTCATAATCGCGGTTAATCGTGCGTTGTCCGGAGGCGACGAAGCGGCCGAAGTAGACCTGCTTGATCTCTGGAGTGAGCGGAGAGAGGGAGAACGACCTTCGCCGATGTGGCCGCAGTCGAAGGAGAGCACGAGAAGCAGATCGGGATGCTTCATCTGGATGGGGCCTGGAAGGTTGATTTTGTCCAAGACGGACTGGATGTATTTCTTTTGGTCGGTCGAGGAGATGCTTTTGCCGAACGAATCAACGTCGAGTTTCCAGGAGGTTTGATTCTGGAAAATGAACGTTGGAATGGGTTGCTACTGTGGAGCACTTTGGCAAAAACTCTTGGGAAACGGATGCTATGCGCTCTAGCAAATTTTCAAACGAGGGAGCATTCATCCAGTATTCCTGAATCGTTTTTATGAGTACCGCTCGGGATGCAATCTATTCAATCAAAGCATCTGGGAAATAGACACCTTCTTCGCAACATCGTCACTGGGAAGAGAAACGATTAAAAACGGTGATTCCTCGTGATAGTCTTCTCTGTGGTATTATAGATAAACGCCTCGCTACGAACATTTTGTAGCAGTCACTCGGTTGAAGTCCATTCAACTCCAACAAGGAGTTTAGCTCAGGGATGCGAAATTGGAAGTACGAGTGAGAAAATTGGATGAGGTATTTCATTCCTGAGAGTATTTCTGATTTAAAATAGGTACCCGATTTGAGATGATACTGTGCACTCTGAATCAAATAGAGATGGTGTTGTAGCTTTGGCGATTGGTGTTACACAATATTGTTCCACCTTGATTATGAATGGGTGTATGTTAGAATGGACGTAGTGTCTTTTCCCCAATAAGAATTGGAAGTAAACAAAAGGTATGGTTGATTCCCGCGATTCTGCACAAACTTATGAAACTTGCATATTCAATAATATCGAATACTACAGATTGCATTAAGCAATTATGAGTGCTGAGAGTGAAAACAATCAACTTTTAGCTCAGCCCCTGATGAGCAACGAGCCCGAGCAAAATGTCCTCGTTCCTCAGGAGTACATCGACGATGAGAAGGGAAAGATGAACACCCTTGAGGTAGCAATATGCGCTATTTTTTATCCACTAGTTCTGCATCAACCTGATGAAGGGTATTGCAGGAACGGGTTCGTTGGCCCTGCCTTTTGCATTCAGCCAGGTATGTGCAGATCGCCTATTTGTGACTTGGTAGGTTGGTATTATTTGCGGAATTATTCTGTTCGTCGTTGTTTGCGGCATGATGATTTTGGCCACCTGGCAGCTCGTTCAGCTGAACAAGGAAATTATCGAGGATCATCCTGTATAAGATTTCTCTCTTACTCTCTTTAACCCCAAGAACGACTACAAAGAAATTATGACCAACAACACATACGCAGAGCTTGTATACAAGGCGTTGGGAAGCGTCGGTTACTGGATCTACTACGTGTGCTCTCTCATCACGCTCTATGGCTCCAACATCGGTTCCATGGTGGTGATGACGGACTTCTTGGAAGCCATTCCGATCGGCAGCAACCGCAAGCTGCGCCGCGTGATCTCCCAAGTGATCCTGACCCTGCTTTGCATCCTCCTCTGTCTTCTGAAAGACCCCAAGTTCCTTCTCTTTTTATTTCAAATTCACATCGCAGAATGCTCGTCGCCGTCTCCTCGCTCGGCCTCTACGCCATCGCCGCCGGCTTCCTCGCCATGATCATGTACCTCGTTTCTCCCTTCCTCTCCCCTTTCAGCTTCGGCTTCATCGAATATCCCTTCAAGTTCGAGGTGAGCGATCTCTGGCCGCGCTCCATCTCCGCCTTCCTCCAGAACTTCGGCATCATCGTCTACTGCATGGGCTTCATCCTCTTCCTCCTCACCCAATACGTTCCTCGTTTCCCCGTTTCCCCATCTAGAAATACCTCCGTCGCGACTGCAAGAAAACCGTGGTCCGCTCGACGGGTATCTCCATTTCCCTGATGGCCGTGCTCTACTCCGTCGTCGGCATCCTCATCGCCCTCATCTACAAAAACGGCCGTACCTCCGTTTCCCCGGTCCTCTCTCCTAGCGCACGGCGTGCAGGGCAACATCCTGCAGTCGCTGCCGGACGGCACGTGGCTGGCGATCCCGGTGAATCTGCTGATGGTGATCACGGTGATCGGCGGGTTCCCGCTGTGGATGGAGCCGGTGAACGAGATGGTGGAGGGACACTGGGGCCCCTGCACGAAGGGGAAGTACTTTATCACCAACCCTGTGTATATTGTGTTCCGAATCGTGGAGATTGTGTGCATCTCGCTGGTCGCTTATTTCGTGCCCTTCTTTGAGGATATTCTGAGCGTCGTCGGAAACTTCAGCGATGTCATTACCACGTTTATGTTCCCGGCGGTGATGCATTTGTGGGTGTTTAGGAAGGTGAACACATGGGGAATTAAGCTCATGGACTGGGCCACCCTGATCTTCTCCACGTTCATTATGGTGGTGTGTACGACTCTGTCGATGAAGAGTTTGATTGAACAGCTGATGCACAAGGCATAATTATGAACTCCTTTCTCGAATGCTTGTTTTTTTAAATACAGGTTATCTGTAGCATGCACGTTTAAGGAAAAGGAGCCATGGAGCGCGGTAATTGACCAGTTTTTGAGTTTGGACGCGGAAGGAGAGTAAGGATCGCTACAGTGGACTAATATTGTAGAATCGAGGCAGTAGTGCGTATTCCTAACTTCAGTTTCAAATAGACGGAATGTCCCGCTAGTAGTCCGTTCCCCTTGTTTGTTGCTCATCCTATTGTCCTTTGCAATTGGTGTAATACGCCAATCTACGTAGTTTGCCGAATTTGTTTGTTCCTCTTCAGAGAGATCGAATCCAGGATCATTCGAGCTTTTGTACACTGTATAACACAAAAATCGTATTCTTTTGGTTATTCGCTTGTTAGTCTAGGTGAACGATGAGAGTCAACCATCTCCATCCACGTATCGAACAGTCTGTATTTATTTAGTGTTAGTAAAAAATCGCAGAAGCGTGAAATTCCAGAGAGTGAGGTCAATGCTATTTTAAACTCTCTTCGCGAATCCGGATCGATGAAACAAATAGATCCTGCCTTATATCACAATCGTTCCGTACCTGTATCTACTTTAGAAGCTACCAATACAATCTCTTCTCTCCAGTTTGTTCCACGTTCCTCGCGAAAAAAGCACATGGAATCGTTCTACCGTTCTATTATTCAGAACTCTATGCTTTTTGATGTTTGTTACAACCTCACTAGCGAGTAAAACCGTTGTTGCTAATTTAGAGGAATTCAATATCAAGGGATGGATGGAGATATTTAACAGTTTACAGCAGAAATAGAGTGAATGCCAAAACAATGGAGCAACGTAGCAAAGTCATGGGTTGAATAGAATAAACAAGCAATCCAGACACTTACAATAATGAAAGTGCAATTGAGATGTCATGGTGATTCTAAAGTGTTTTTATATTTGAAAATATAGGTAAATAGGATGCATGAACAACTATTTGTACCTTCTAGTGCCCAAAATAGAATCCCATAAAAGGAATTCTGGGATAAAACCTTGATAACTTCTTGCTTGTTTCATGCCTAGCTTAAGGTATGTTTCCCGACACAAATCATGTTGCTTAATTGTGTACACGATGAATAGGGACATCTAATATCTTGAAGGTTTTTATGTCACAAGTATAACATAGTATAGGCAAAAATAGATACTATATTACACTTTTATTTGCGTTATTTCTCATAGATTGCTTTCAATATTTGTTGTGAATGTATGGCCATATCTAAAATTACTCATTTAGAATGATTTAAATCCACGTGAATTATTGGGTGTAAAATATGGTGTATAGGATCATTCATCAGAGAAAGATATGCATAAAATACCGCTATTCACACTGAAAACTTTCTAATTGAATGAGAAAAAGTGATTCCTCACTGATGGTGAAATTAATGATTTGAAAGGTTTGGTTTGACTTGTTATTCCAGTTAACTCTATTCATACAAATATGAATCGTCAAAGAATAATAGGAGATAGTAGAAACAGATAAGATAAAATAACACTGAAGAATTCACAATTGATGAATTGCTTTTATTATAACAATAATAGAAATGTTTAATTGTATATGGAGTTAATGGAAAACTAACACACAGATGCACAGTATTCATGTTGGATTAATCGTAGCAATGCTGATAACGAATCATATCCAAAAGGATAGATATTATAATATATCGATTCACCACCCATATATTTTTGTGATTACCACTATTTAAACTCTCAATGATATATGATAAATAACCAAGTGGATTGTGCCAAAAGTATGATGATTGAAGATCTATCATTATCAATTTATGGCTATACAATATTATTGATTGGCTGTATCAATTGTCATTCTTTATTAGATGGAATTCAAATATTTTGAATCATCATCCTTTATTTGTTTATTTGAATATAGTATAAGAATTAGTTAATATAATCCTTATTTTTATAAACCTGTGTAGATGACTTCTTTACAATTATGATGGTTTTCAAGCGATTCAATCCATCAATTTTGATTGGTTTCACTGATTCAAAACCATAATTGCCATTTTCGATTGATCCACCATTAGTGAATTGAAAGAAAACAAATATTGTGTAATCCATAACATTACAAGTCCAATGGGGTATTACTATCGAATTAACGACCCATCCAACTGTATTCCTCAAAATTCAAGTGATAGACTGTTTGATAGAGCAATTCAGAAACATCTTATTTCAACTGATAATACAAATAGTTACCAATGATGTCTGCATTATTAACTATCTGGAATGAATAAGGTAGCCTGACATATTGAAGATTTGGAATATCTAAATACTATCAATATTCATTATTCAGAAATACTTTCCAATGTCACTACACGAGGATATTGAAAACTACAGTCTACAGAAGTTAGTAATTTCAGCTTTGGAAGATCTACAAACCAAATCATTTAGAATCAATTCATTCATACTTCGCATTATCAATGAAGCTGAATCATGATCCTCTCTCCCTTGAAGTGTAAAATCACCGAGTTCTATGGATCGTAATGATGGAAGATCTACAGATCAATCATTCTATTCGAATTCATTCAATACTTTCTATTATTGTTGTTAAGGATTCATTGAATGCCCAATTACCTAATGTAATGGATTTTAGATTTGGAAGATCTAATCATTCAAATATTCAATATCATATTATTTCTTACCTCGAATCACAAATGAACTATAACAGAAATTGTTTTTACCGATTTGAATATATTTTAGTTTTGGTAGATTCTTCAATTCAAAGTCTCCTCCAAAACCGGTGAAACTCCATTTACCAATTTGAATTGATTTTAATGATTTACAATTCAATATGTGGAATGATTTCGATTTGCGTCTCCTATCATCATCTTCCTCATCATCATTGTAATAACCATCCTGATTAAATGATTTCTTTCCGATTTTGATCGTTTTCAATCGATTCAATCCATCGATTTTGAATGTTTTCACTGATTTAAAACAATAATCACCGATTTCGATTGATTTCAAATTATACAACAATGAAACATCCCAATCAACCAATACATAACTGACAGTCAGTTTCATATGTTTCATTTCAATATTCATTGGCTTGCTTCCATTTCCTTCATAATCAGTGCCGTTTTCAATTCCATTATACCACAAGCATTCATTCACTAACATGCCTGATCGATCATATACAATTCCTCTTCCAAATCGCTTATCATCACACCAATATCCTTCATATTCAATCAAACCATTATTATGATAATTCGTTCCATATCCAAATCGTTTCCAATTGATCATTATGCCCTTGTACACCAATATTCCATCATCATCATACATTTCACCATATCCAAATGGAATTCCAAACTTGCCTTCAGCCAATACCAATCCTTCAAATCGAGTTCCATGATCCAAATCTACTATTCCTTCTACTACTACTTCTATGGATTGTTCTTCATTATATGAAATAGCACCAATTTGATGATTTCCAAACACTTTCAACACTTTCTGCTCATTGACCACAAATCCTTGATTCATGAATACTCCATTATTAAACTTTAATACTACATATTCTCTATTACTCAATATGAGTGAAATCCAGCCATCCACCTTCCAATTCTTATTTAAACATCCATGCACATTTTGAATGATGGAACTATCACACTGATAGTTCTCAATTGCAGAATTAATAAAATCAACGATCTTTTGCATCGAATAGAAAGAGAAATTGTATTCTCTTACAAACACTATACAATGATGCTATTTTGAATCACGTCTATAAAATCTCTTTTGTGATCATTTTCGATGTATACGCTCCCACAGTGTAATGCTACATTCAATTGGAAATAATAATATATTTCGCTTGTCTTTCCATCTTGATTGACCTAAGCTTCTCCACATTTATATCCATAATACCGCAGTCCATTGGTTGATCATAATATAACAAACAATCCATTAAAAGCACATTACTCGTCCTCAACAATCATTCCCTCGTACTGCTTCTTCACCATACCCGATCCCAGCATGTTCTTATTGAACGGAATGTACCTTCCGCGTTTCTTCGCTAATCTCCTCGGCTTCTGCTGGATCTCCGTCTCCTTCTTCGCCTCCTCCACCAGCTTCTCCAGCAAATCCATCAGATACCGTCCGTTCTGCTTCCTCGTCTCATACCGATCGCTCGTCAGCGTCAGCACATCGTTGTTGAAGTTGTACCGCGGTCCTGCCAGCAGCACCAGCTTCTGCGACGCATACACCGAGAGCTTCAACTCTCGCACGCGCACCGTCAGCCGCACACGTCGATTCTCCTCGATCGGTCCCAGCGTTTCGTCCTCCCAGGTGCGTGGAACCACCGACTCGCGGGTTTCCAGATAAACGCGCGCGTCGTTGAACATGTACGGCTTGTCGCGAAGCTTTGAAGGGTCCAGCTCGGTGTCCGGATCGCTGCTGTGATCGTAGGGGTTCGGCAGCATCGGAAGATCGTCCAAAAACGCGTCCTCCGGGAGCGTTTCTTCGGGGAAGTGCAGTTTGGAAACGACTTCGTCGGAGAGACCCGGGTAAAACTCGTTTCGCGCGTAGATTTCGAGGGGATCGGAGTCATCCGACAAGCCTTCCTCGCCGTCCTCGTCGTCCTCGTCTTCATCAGATTCTTCAGCGGCGAGCTCTGCTTCTCTGTCGTAATCCTCATCGCGTAAAGGTTCTTCATTGGCCTCTTCATCCTACATGACGAGATGATGGGAAAACCTACCAACAAGGCGTCGTCAGCAAGTTGAGCTTCGCTCTTTACACCCGATTCCAGATCTTCCAGCCGCAAATCTTCAGTTTCTCCTTCGACATGATCGAGAGCGGCGGCTTTCTTCGCTTTTCTAGCCTTCCTTTCTTTTCTTTCCCTTCTGCGCTCTTCCATCTCCTCCATTTCTTCCATCTCCTTCAATTCCTCCAATTCCTCTCTCTCCTCTGCCTCTTCCTCATAGGCTCTTGTGTCAAACTTTTCATCATCCCGATGGTAACCCTTTCCATTATACAAAGCAGATTAATAGCATACCAGTGTGATTTTCTTCACGGACGAGAACTTACGAGTTATCGGACGCAAATTTGTTGCAACCACAGAACGCCCTTGCAGAGAACTAATTGTTAAGAATATACGAATAACACACGACAAAGACCGGACACCCGTAGAGAGAACTGCTTCTGAGCGTCCTACTGCTCTCCAAATTTGTCTAGATGATTTTAAGACACAGGTTCTGAACATGGAGCCAGAAATAGAGGAAATAGGTGATATGAAGAATTATGGAATTCCAAAAAAATAGGTACAATTAGTATTTGCTTTGAATTATAGGAAATGATAATGATCTTTTGTATATTAAATATGCAGAATTAGGGATTATCATTGGGTTAATTGCTTGGCTTATTTTTATGATCCAATTGGAATGCTTCTTTTTGGTTCGTTTCATTCGAAATCTTGATAGCTGAAGCACGTATATCCTTTTCTTTGTTTTTTCTCACAGTTTTGATAGCATTTTGTATTTTGTGAAACAAATGTTTTTACAAATATCATAAATTATGAATACTTTTCAATGATAGCTTCATATGATATTCGAATGGCCTACTCACAAAGATGCATTTTTAGTTTTCCCGATTATCTTGCTTTCGCTTCCTACTTTTAATGAACGAAATTATGGGAGTTGTAAGAATCATGATGGACGGCGTGGCACTACTATTCATTAGCTTTGTGTGTTTCTACACTGCCAAGACCTCAAACGAGGTGAAGGAAGGTTGGAATAAGTGGCACTCTTCATTTGAACTATAAACGTATTGTAATAGTAAGCTATAGATGTCCTTTATTCTTGTTGCCGACATCAATTTCTTTTCCACTTCACCATTTCTACATATTTCATCTCGACCCAACAAGTCTAGAAGATTATAGATTTGCCTCTTATAATGGCATTCCATAGCTGATCGAGAATATGGAATTGTAGTTGCTATTTGTTTCAGGATACTTTTCTTTCATTATTAATACCTCCATCAATAGTTACCAGCAGTTGCGACTCATTCACACACATTCGATTCAGTGAATGAGTACAATTTAGCTCGATGTTTATCATAGTTGGAGTAAAAAATCTGGATTCGATAAGAGGATCAAGGTTTATGTCGCCTGCTGTATTATTATTATATGCAAATTGAATAAGCAAAAAATAGTCAGATAATACGTCATTCAACTCTTCTCTAAATCAAACAATGACCAATTACCTACACTATCGGTATTAGACGGCTCTGAATACTGGGATCATAGGATGAGCGAATCCATATCGTTACTACTATGGCCAGATTGATATCCATTCCCTTTTCTTCGTGAGTTGGGAATTCTGAGAGACTTGTGTTGCTCAATTGATCGACCCGTTTCCTCAAGTCCACAGAAATGTTGGATAATTGCCATTGGTCAAGATACTGCATCCAGTTAAGTGATCTATATAGAATTGGATGATCTCGCGTTACACTGCAAGTTTCCACAGTGAAATACAAAGTACAATGCCGTATCCTATAATATACAACCTCAACCGTTTCTGATTCATTTCTTGTGTGTTTTGTCAAATTCAGATTGATATCATGTCTTCAGTTTGTATCATTTTGTACACCACATATAACAGTGGTCATACGAATTTCATTGCCATGACAAAGGTATTTGCGAAAAGGATGGTTACTTTCAGGCTTACATGAAATTGCACGGGATCAAGTATGAGGAAGTGAATGGATCCGCTTTGGAAGAAAAAGAGCACCGTAATCAGTTATTTGACATTGCAAGTTGGTTTTACGGAATCTCTTCAATTTAGCTAAGCAGGGAGGCTCCCGTGACTATCCTGCATATTTTGTTAAGAAAGAAGACGGAACTATTACATTTATAGGCCATTTGGAACGTGTTCAGGATCTTATCGATGCCGACACGATCGATGAAAGTATTCTCAAGGAGCATCCAGATATCGTCACGTTCAGCAGCTATTTCAAGGAGTAGATCATGTCCGTTTTGCTTTTCTTTTTTTTTTCGTTTTTGTTACAAACAGTTTTCTTATTCACTCTTCTTCGAATGATGCCGATGTTTCCTCTCTTCTCCCTCCTCCTTATGCGAGTGATGATGTCGATGTTTCTTCTCCTCCGTCTCTTCTCCCTCTTTCTTCGATCGGTGCTTCTTCTTCTTCTCCTTTTCCTCCTTCTCCTTCGCCTGATTCGCCATCAACGCCGAGAACGCGGCTGCAGCCAGCTCCGCGTCCGTTTTGGGCGCTTCTGCTGCCGTTTCCGCAGCCTCATTTTTGCCTTTCTTCGCCCTCGCAGCGGCCTTCTCCTTCTCTTCTTCCTCCTTCTCCTGCTCGTCTTCATCATCACTCTACCTCTCACTGGCTCCCTTCTCTCCTACAAACTCCATCTTCTCGAGCAAGGAATCGCGATAGGCCTCGTACCCTCCTTCAATCGCATGCACGGTCTGGTTGTCCATCAGCCACATTTCGCAGTTGGTCATCATGAGCAGCCGCGCGTCGTGGCTCACAATCACCACGCCGCCCTCGAACTCGTTGATGGCCTCGCCGAGCGCATCGATCGACTCGATATCTCTACGCTCGAGCGAGAGGAGCGTTTTTACAAATGGTTGGTGGGCTCATCGAAGAGCAGGATGTGCGGCTGGCTCAGCGAGATCTCCGCGAAGGTCACACGCGCCTTCTGTCCTCCCGAGAGGTTCCGGATCGCGATGGTGTGCGCGTGGCCTTCGAGTCCGTACCGACCCAGCAGATTTCGCACTACAATCAGCGAGGCAGCAAGAAACCAAACGGTCTTGGTATTTCATGGTGGGGTAGAGCGACTGCAGATACTCCACGGGGGACACGTCCATCGGCAGCTATCCTCGACCCATCGCCCCAATCTCACCTTGTCCACGAAGTGCTGCGAGTACTTGCCGATTCGGAGCTTCTGGTTGCGTCGAATGTCGCCGCTCAAAGGAACCAGATCGCCCTCGATGAGCTTCACCAGCGTGGATTTTCCGATTCCGTTCGGACCCACGATCGACACGCGCGACGACATGTGGATACCGAAGTCCACGTTCTTCAGCAGAATCCGATCCGGCGAATAGCCGAACGTGACGTTCTCGACGGACACGATGGGCGGCGAAAGCTCCGTGCACTACGCTCAAAACTCGCCTCCACTCCGACCTTCGGGAACGTGAACTTCACCGTGTACTCGCGAGGACGCTCCAGCAGCTGCTGCGTGGCTTCCAGCACGGTATCCTCGTTGATTCCCTTGTCCTGGCTGCGCAGATCGCGCTGACGCATCCGCTTCGCCTGCTCCTCCGCGGCGGATTTCGATTTGCCCGTCGTTTTGAGCTGCTTCAGGAGCTTCTGCTGCTTCTCCCAGGCTCTGATTTGCTCGGCGAGCTTCTGCTGCTGCATCTTCTTGAAGGACGGGTAGTCGCCCACGTAGTAGTCCAGCTTTTTGTTGTTCAGATGGATGATGTACTGGCACACCGAGCTCAAGAACTCTTGGTCGTGCGAGACCACCAGCAGCGTTTTCTTCCACGTCTGAAGGTACCCGTCCAGCCAGATCACGGCGTTCAGGTCCAGGTGGTTCGTAGGCTCATCCAGAAGAAGGAGGTCCGGCTGCATGAACAAAGCACGCGCCAGACTGATGCGCATGCGCCAACCTCCGGAGAAGGAGGAGGTTGGCTTGTCCTGCATTTCCGTGGTGAATCCCAGACCGGAGAGAATGCGGCGAGCACGCGGCTCCGCCTTGTAGACACCATGAATGTTGATCTCGTCGAGCACTTCGTGATATTCTTCCAACTAGCTATGAACGAGAAGAAATAGAGGGTACAAGCTTTTCTGTCGAGTCCTTCTTCTCCTCGTCGTCGTCGTCTTCATCAGCAGAATGGTCCTCATTTTCTTGTTCGAGCAACTCCTGCAACTCCTTTTCTCTCTTCAGAAGATACAAACGTTTCGTATCGGCACTCAACACAGCTTCCACGGCTGTCGATTCATCGGCCTCGATTTCCTGTTCGACATAGAGAATGTCAATATTTGGAGGAATGGCAAGCTCGCGACAAGCAATCATCTTCAACAGTGTGGACTTACCCTGACCATTCGGTCCGATCAATCCATAACGACGTCCAAACACGATCTGCTTGTGAGAATCGGAAAACACCCCATACCTTCAAATCTGCGTTTTCAAACAAGGGTTTACCCTTGGCATTGATGCTAAAGCCCTCAATCACAATATCCTTGCTGTTTATCCACGCAGGATCATCCTTGTTCCAAGGACGTTGAGTACAAGAGAATTGACTAGGAGCAGCGCCTCCCCAGTGTTGGTCTTCCACATCAACATAAGCACTCATCGTTCTAAGGAAAAGTAAAATTTAGTCTGTCCAAATCGATATGAATAAAGTTGAAATGGGTAGAGTATAATTGATTAAACCTTGTTCTATTTACAGACAGTGTTTTAAATGGATGTGGAATGAGAAAACGACTGCACTATGTTCGGGACCATTGTCCTAATATCTCCTCAATGAATGGGGTCATTGCATAATACTTCCACAAGGCTTTTCTCTATTCTGTTTAAGATAGACATTGTTTGAAGTGTCACATTTTGTAAGCACAACTTAGGCCATTCAGAACACAAAGAATGGCAGAATCAATGGACTCAGTCCCGTATTCCTCTTCACTTCTTATCCATATTGAATGCAATCGGGAGGCAAATCAAGGACAGTCTCTCCCGATTTGGAGCAGACAACGCCGTATTTTTGGAATTCCAGTTTCGATCGCTTCCATTTGTATCCCTTCTTCATGTTTGAGTCTGTTGATTACTTTCGGAGTGGAATTATTGCTTCCATTAAGTAGTATTATTAATGAGGTAGTAATGAGTCGCTTTGCTGAGAAGTAGTGCTAATCTTCCCAGGACGCGGAAGAATGGTTTTCAGTGGCCATGGCACATTTACCAAGTGTGCTCATGGCTATTATACGTTATTATTGTGGTTTTTGGCATTGTTCTCTTTGGACAGCTATTTCCATGGCCTTATAATATTATCTTTTATGTTGTATCTAGTATAGGAGAAATTGTGGTTGGTATATCGGCAATTGTGACAACCTGGATCGATCCTGCAGACCCGATGAAAGAAACCAATGTAGGGTAGTCTGTCTGGAACGAGCAATAGATTGGACGTGGACATTATTGCTATTTATGTAGGAGACGGGTGAAATCTTCTACAGAGCATTGTTCTCCTTGTAATAAGTGTGTTGAAGAATTCGATCATCACTGCAAATGGTTAAATACGTGTATTGGGAAAAGAAATTATAGGTACATTTTTACGAATGCTTCGAGTTGTAGACCTTTCTTCTGTATTCTAGTATCTCTTTGTGCTCTTTGCTTTTTTCTGATCGTGGTGTCTTTCATCATAATAATCCTTTATTTTGTGGAAGGAGAATTGATAGATAAACTCTGTACCTCGCTTTCTCTGTGTCTGACCACTCTAGTAGCAACTCTTTTCTGGTCAAATTTCTCGCCAGTGTGCTACCTCGTCGCTGTCATCATATACTTGATTCTGAACATCATGGTCCTTTATTTGACGATGGACCTGCTCATCTTCCACATTCGTCTCTACATAGAAGGCAATACGACGTACGTGTGCTTCCTTCTCCCCCAACCATCTAGATACTCACACTTTATGCAGTTAGAAAAGGCCAAGAAGGAGCAGGAGATGCAGGAGCGCGCCAATTCCATCGAAAAGAACGAAAAGAACGAAAAGAACGACCAATCCAAAGTCTCTATCAGCACTCCTCACCCCTTCAATTCTGCTCAGCCAACTTTCGCAGCGCAGCCTTCGCAGTCTTCGCAGCCCTCACAGGCAATCCAGGTGACGCAAAGGGTCAAGACGACTTCGTCCAGCGCGCCCGTACAGCCCGTGTTTTCTGTCCGTTTCTCCGCTACCAAGCCCTTGCAGGATACAGACACGTCCTCGAGCGACGCTTGCGGTGATCGTTCGCTCCGACTCTGATCCGTAGTGGTGATCGGAGCCATCCCGACGCCAACTCCCTCGAAGTCGGACGTGCCGCTCATGACGCCCTCGTCGACGCCCTCGTCGTCATCCTCGTCGACATCCTCGCCGTCGCGATCTACTCACAGCATCGTCGCTCATCCCTCAGCAGGCCACCGGACCGGCTCCAATCTCTCGGGAAGCGCTGGGAGACGGTTCAGTAACGAAATCCCGCTGCGTCCGGAAGACTCGGAGTTCCATCGAGGTGGGTTCGGTGGCCTCCAGTCACTTCCAGGCCCCGCGGAGTCGTTCAGCTCTGCGTGGATGGAGTCGGATACGGATTGTAGGGGCGAGGGAAGGATCTGAGACGTAGACCAGCCGGGGATGAACATCCGTGTGCAGCGATGTGAGGCAGAGGGGGATGGATGAGGCGTAGGGACCTTTGATTCCACGGACTTGCCGTCCACGCAGTCGTCGTACATGCAGCAGTTCTCGAACGGACATATCGAGCCTTGGTCCACGACGGATATGAGGGGCTTCGCGGACCCGCCGCACTTGAACAGCGTGGACTCGCAGCATATGGGCAACCCTGCGGAGCTTCGAGCGAATACGATCTCTCCCAAGTTCTTGGACGCTCTGTCGGACAACACACCGGACAGCGAGCTGAAAATCACCTAGTTAGTTGTGCTTTCGAGTGTTTTAGAATAAACATGGATTCTGTTTGCATTAAACCTTTTCCTTTACAGCTTCTCATAGTAGTCAATCACGTTCTGAGGAGCCTGGACCAGCTCAATCAGAACTCCCTCTCCGCTCAGAGGGTTGGGCTCCTTGCCCTTAGGATGGATGAAGGTCACATCGTAACCAGCAGCACCCTTACGAATACCGCCAGGGGTGAAACGCACGCCCTTCTCCTGGAGGTACTTCACGCAGGCAGGCAGATCATCAACCCACAGACCAATGTGGTTCAGTGGGGGAACGTTCACCTTGGGGCTCTTGGCAGGATCATAAGGCTCCATGATGTCGACCTCCACGGCCATGGGTCCCTTTCCGCAGCGCAGGATATCCTCCTTCACGTTCTCCTTGGTGGACTAGCGATCATTGCTCGCAAAAACACTCACCTCGAAAGAGTGGATCTTCTCGAGACCGAAGATGTCAATCCACAAGTTCTGGAGGGCAGTCTTGCTGGTTCCACCAATAGCAATCTGCTGAATACCCAGAATTCTGTAGGGCTTAGCGGTGGCGAAGGCACGTCTCTAAAACATCAGAGCCCCTCCACTGCAACGTACAGCGAAGTTAGCGAGCATTTCAAACAACTAAATATGAGATGCGAATGGGAGAATTGGGGAAATCAGAGAACCCAACGAAACGCCCAACCCCTATTCAAGACATTTCTCACAAAATAGAAAGCGAGCTGTCGATCCTCTATGAAAACTTTGTGTATCATAAGCAATAATGGCATTGAGCACACTTTTGTCAAATATGCAGTCAATTCGAGAACTTTGCACATTTAATTATGTTGTACATCGCGCACAAATACAAATATCGCGATTTCAATTTTGCCACCATTTTTATAGTTTTCTTTCTCTCGCTCCGATTTTGGCTATGGACATTTCTAGAGCATTGTCCGGCCTTGCTTGCAGGAGTTCTGGACAATCGAGCGCCGAACCAACAATTCGAGTGGTTTCACAGGGACAATCCAACGCAATGCCGCCAACGGGAAGAAAGAGGCAATATAGAGGAAATTCTACGTATAGACAAGGAAAGTATGGATTGTTTGTATAATCGATTGTGTAGTACACGATTTCGACTTCCCGAAAAGCGACTAGAAAATATAGACGATCCAATTTCGAATAAGGAGAAGAGTGAAAGGTTTGTTGTATTGTTTGTTGAGCTATTTTAGAGAAATCGGCACTCTGCTAAGTGACTACGGGTCCAATCTATCGGAAGAACAGAAGAAAATCTTCGAAGTCGTACTGAAGGGATATGTGAGTCGTTCTTCCTTTGCGCGAGTTTGTAGAATGTGTTTTTCACAGGGGATGCGGGTACTGGAAAGAGTTATCTGCTCCGAGCACTTGTTGAGGCGCTCCAAGAGCAGGTGGGGAAGGAAAAAGTGTTCGTGACCGCTTCGACGGGCATCGCCGCTTGCAATATCGGAGGAATCACCGTTCACTCCTTTGCGGGTCTGGGCATTGCCGAGATGGATTTAAACTACACACTTCGGAAGATCCGCCAGAACGAAGGCGCCGTGGATCGCTGGAAAACCTGCAGCGTTCTGATCATCGACGAGATCTCCATGCTGGACGGTCGTCTCTTCGACACATTGGAGTACACAGCGCGCGTGCTTCGCTGCAACGATCTGCCGTTCGGAGGCATCCAAGTGGTTCTCTGCGGCGATTTCTTCCAGCTCCCTCCGGTGGGACTGGGACGAAACGGCGTGATCTTCTGCTTTGAGGCGCGGTGGTGGAACGCGGTTGTGGAGGTAGGCGAGGAAGCAGGATTCCACGTAGCACACAATGATCATGCGGAAGGTGTTTCGGCAGAAGGATCCAGCGCTGCAGGCGCTTCTGCGCGAGGTTCGATATGTTGGGGAGGGAGAACGAGGTGAGGAGTAGGGAAGAGTGTCCGCGTCTTCGCTGCAGTTGATTCGAAGGATGGAACAGAATGTGATTCAGCCGTTGACAGTGGCTTCGAAGAAGAAGGAGGAGAAGCCAGTGAACCGAAAGGTGATCGAGGAATCAGACTACGAAGAAGAAGAAGAAGAAGAAGAAGAAGAGGATGAAAGCACAGTGACAGTGCAGAGTACAAAGTCGGATTTCGTCTCTTTTTTCATTCAGACTCTTCGCTTTCAATCGCAACGTCGACGATTACAACCAGCAGCAGCTCGACGCTCTGCCCGCGCCTCCTACCGAATACGTATGCATCGATTCGGGCGACGACGAAGGCGCCTGCTACCAGCTGCGCAAGAGCTGCCAAGCGCCTTCTCGCCTGGTGCTGAAGCGCGGCGCGCAAGTCATGCTGGTGAAGAACCTTTCCGTAGGCGAAGGCCTGGTGAACGGATGTCGCGGCGTGGTGACTTCGTTCAAGTCCAGCGGGCAGGACAAGCCGCGTCTGCCCGTCGTGACCTTCGCGACGCCGCTGGGCGAGCTGGTGAAGACGGTGGAGATGCAGGAGTTCTCGCTAGAATCGGGCGGACACGTCGTGGCAACGCGGAAGCAGCTGCCATTGAAGCTGGTAGCGTTGGGGAGAAGGGTTGAACGTAGGCATGGGGGATCTCGATCCACAAATCGCAAGGCATGACGATCGATCTGCTGGAAGTGGATTTGACGGGCGTGTTCGAAGCGGGGATGACGTACGTGGCGCTGAGTCGAGGCGTGCGGTCGGACCGGATGTGTGTGAAGGGGTTTCGAGAGAGCGAGGTGAAGACGAATAAGAAGTGGGGGAGAGAGAAGGGTGGCATGTAGAGTGATCGCGTTCTATACGGCGATGGCGCAGGGAAGGAAGTATGTGTCGTATAGCAGACAGCAGGCGATGCGAAATGAAGGAGAGGAGGGAAAGGAGGCGGAAAGGGAGGGAGGAAACAAGAGGAAGGAAGTGGATGGGAACAGGGAATCGTCGAATCCATTCAATTCTGCGAATGGGTCATTCAATCCCTTGAATCAGCCCCGACCTCCCAGAAATCCTACAAATAATTCATTCAATCCCTTGAATCAGCCCCGACCTCCTAGAAATCCTACAAATAATTCATTCAATCCCTTGAATCAGCCCCGACCTCCTAGAAATCCTACAAATAATTCATTCAATCCTTCGAATCAGCCCCGACCTCCTAGAAATCCTACAAATAATTCATTCAATCCTTCGAATCAGCCCCGACCTCCCAGAAATCCTATAAGCAATTCATTCAATCCTTCGAATCAGCCCCGACCTCCCAGAAATCCTATAAACAATTCATTTAATCCCTTGAATCAGCCCCGACCTCCTAGAGAACCAAGACCCCACATTACTCCATTGAACACTCTGTTCCAAGCGTCATTCTCTGCGCAGCAGCGGTCTTCACAAGCTCCTAAACTCAACAATTCCACCAACTCCTATAGTTCGCAAGGAATTACTCCACAAGCAATTCCTCGACCGAACCTCGAAAATCCAACACCACGACAATGTATACCCTCTCCTATTTTGCAAAATCAATATAGAAACACAGAACACACAAGGTTCAATTCAACATCTGCTTTTCAAACCTCCCCATCTTCCAGTAATCCTATTAGTCTATTTACTTCCTCTTCAACCAAGAGCACTACCAAAGGAAACTCTTTGCTAGGTCTAGCTGCTGGTTTACAGCAACAGTATTTCAAAACATCCTAGTTTGTTGTTTGTTTAAAGTAATATCGCATCTATTGATCGGATCCAAGTTTCGATCATAATAGTATCGAAACCATAATATCTGGTAGCTAAATCGCATTTTCTACATTATCTCAAAGAAAATTAAGCGATCATATACAGGATCCACAAATGAAACACAAAATCGGAACAAAAGATTTGTGTTCATGACCACCCCCTACACATTAAAATGGTTCATCCAATGATCTGATAGAGCGACATCATGCGTCATTATCTATCATCTCTCATATTATTTTTGTAAGCTATGAAGGCCATTTTCTTTGTTCTTTTCGCTGTTGCCCTTAGTGTCAACTTGCGTAATTCCGAGTTTACTAGCTACATGAGCAAGTATGGAAAGACCTATGCTGCTCCTGAGGAAGCCAGATACCGTCTGCGCGTCTTCAACGACAACCTCCTTAAGATCAAGGAGCACAATGCTAAGAACCTCCCCTGGACCCTTGGTGTGAACAAGTTTGCTGATGTGAGTGCTGAGGAGTTCGCTTACAAGTTCTGCGGATGCGCTAAGGATCCCAAGACCCGTGGTACCCGCCAGACTACTCTTGTTGGTGATGTGCCTGCTCGCGTCGACTGGAGAGAACAGGGAGCTGTTACCCCCGTCAAGAACCAGGGAATGTGCGGATCCTGCTGGGCTTTCTCTACTACTGGAACCACTGAGGGAGCTTACTTCCTGAAGACCGGCAACCTCGTCTCTCTCTCTGAGCAGCAGCTGGTTGATTGCGCTCGTGATCCTGAGTACGAGAACTTCGGTTGCAGCGGAGGCTGGCCTTGGAGCGCTGTCGATTACGTGACCAAGCACGGTCTGTGCACTGAGGAGGATTATCCTTACAAGGGTGTGGATGCTGAGTGCAAGGAGTCTTCTTGCAAGGTTGCTGTGCAGTCTGTGGACAAGGTGCAGCTGCCTGTTGGTGATGAGGATTCTCTGGCTGTTGCTGTGTCGAAGACCCCCGTGTCCATTGTGCTCGATGCTACTGCCATGCAGCTCTACGACAAGGGTATTATCACCAGATGCTCTGAGTCCATCAACCACGCTGTGCTGGCTGTGGGTTATGATAAGGATGCTGAGACTGGTCTGAAGTACTGGATCATCAAGAACTCCTGGGGTGCTGACTGGGGTGAAGAGGGTTACTGCCGTATTGAGAAGGATGTGGGCGGAATGGGTCGCTGCGCTCTTACTTACAGCTCTGTCTATCCCGTCTTCTAAGTGATTTATGTTTGTTGTAGTACGCGCGTTTTTTTGTACTGTTTTTCGAATGGAGAATGGAATAGAATAGTAGAGAAGCGATCATCATAGCCATGTCTTTTATTATGATTATTATTCACACAAACAAGAAACAATTCTCCTCTTCTTCCTCCTTCCTCTCTCTACTGCACCAGCGACAACACCGTCTGCGTCAGCTCGGGATCCTGGCTCCGCACCGCAATCTTCAGCACACATCCGTACTGCTGGCTCAGAATCACTTGGCACCGCGCCATCACCAGCGTCTCTCCCAGCACGCGTCCCGCGAGCAGCAGCGTATGATTGGTGGCCTACGTCACATCCCTCCTGCACGACAACCCCCATGGGCACGCGCTCGCTTCCCTCCATGGGCGCGAGCCCCATCACCTCCACGATCTGCTTCACCGCGGTCTCCACGTCCTCGAACGGCAGCGTCACCTTCTCCACGGCCTCGCCCTGCGCCTCGCCGACCTCGCTCCACGCCGCTCGGAAGTCGCTCACCGCGGGTCTGGCCACGAAGTCGGGGAAGCTCAGGAGCACGTCCTCGACGGGATACTCCTCCTCGAAGCCCTCGATCGCGTCCACGTCGTCCAGCTCCTCCTCCTCCACGTCCTTCGCCACGAACTTCACCGTCGCGCCGAACGCCGCCTCGGGCACGCCTCCCGCGGGATCGAACCCCAGCGCCGCGAAGCAGGTCCCCGCGCAGCCCCAGGGGATCGTGGCCGCGGGGAGCGCGAGGAGCGGCGTCCAGCAGGCGGCGTCGCCGTCGCGGAGAGCGAGCTGGACGGTCACGTCGGTCATGACCTGGCCTTCGATCGTGTTCTCCACGCTGAACTCCAGCACCACGTGCCGAGCGAACACGTGCTTCCGCACGCTCACCGCGTACTCCGTCTCCGCCTCCGTCAGACGCACCGCGGGACTGCTCCGCACCACGCTCCCGAACGCCGCGAACTCCGCCTGCTCCAGCACACAGCTCTGCGACGATTCCCGCGGGACGGACAACGACTCCCGCGGGGAAGAGCACGCCGCCGCCGACGCCTCCTCGCGACGCGGCTTGGCGATTACCGCGGGGAGATGCTCGAAATCGATGGTTTCCACGTTCTGCTCGCGCGCCGCCAGCAGCCGCTCCCGCAGGTTCCCCGCGTCCAGTTTCCCCGGTTTCTCCAGTTTCTCCGATCGGTCTCCGGCTGCTCCTTCTTCCTAGACTGGACCGGTTTCCCCGTTTCTACCCCTCTCTGCGCGTCCAGATTCCGCAGTGCCACGAGCGCGGCAACGGCTCTTTCCCGCGCTTCGTCGTTCTCGTCGCTCAGACTCCCGCGCAGCAGCGTCTCCACGCCGCGCCGCACCGCGGGGACCCTCTCGGCGAAACGCCCGAGCGCCTGGATGGCCGCCGCGCGCACCGCCGCTCCCTCCAAAATCACGCGGTTGTACAGAAACCGCGTGAAACGCCCGGGCGCCACCGCGGCGGCGCCTTCCGCGGATAACACGTGCAGCACGCGGATGATGACCCGCGGGAAATCGCAGTCCTCGATGCACTCGCAGAGCTGCAGCAGAACCGGCTCCATAGCCGCGGGAATCGCGTGCATAATCGCGATCAGCGTATCCACAATCGCGGTTTTCAGCGCCTCCGACCCCTCCTAGCGCTCACATCTCCGCGGGACGCCTACACAGCGCAGCAGCGAGCCGAGGAAGGCGAGAATTGCCGAGACCTTCTCCGGGAATTTCTCAGTCAAGCTCAGCAAGGACCGCACCAGCAGCTGCTTGAACTCGTCGTCCAGATCGGCCATTGTCCCGTTCAGCTGCTTCAGCAGGCCGTCGATCCTATGGGTCAGCGCGTCCCCGCGGGGATACCGGGCCTCGTCGACGGTCTGCAGCAGCGTGCTGATCGCCAGCGTCGCGATCGACCGGTTCGCGTCGCCCGCCAAAACCTCCAGATCCCCGTTGCAGCTCGCCACGCTCGCCGGATTCCGCCGTGACAACTCGTGCAGCAGCCGAACCGCGGCAAACCGGTTCGCCGCGCGCGACGAGCCCAGCTGGATCTGCAGCATGTTCACCGCGGGGGAGAGCTCCGCCTCGGTCAGATCGGGGAAACGGAGAAACGCGCGGGCAGCTTCGAAGGCGACCATCTAGAGAGAAGGAGAGAACCGCGGGGACATCGTTGGCGTGGCGAAGACATTTGACAAGGAGGTCAAAAAGCGCGGGGCGAAGCTCCTGCGCGGGATCTTCGCGAAGCAGCAAAATGGCGGCACGAAGAAGCTGGCAGACCGCCAACGGCGAAGACGGCAATCGCTGCTGCAGCTGCGCCACCAACTACCCCTAATCGTGGAAACGTGGAACCACCTTGGCGAGCGCGAGCCGGTCGTTGCGTTTCATGGCGAAAAGGAGGAGAAAACCGTGGTATTGGACCATCTCGTCGGCGTAATTCAGCGATTGGCCGATTTCGCTGGACCAGCGACGAATCGCCTCCGGACTCACGCTGAGCAGGTAGAGGCCGCAGAGGAGGGCGGAGGAGGCGACGATCGGGTTTTTGTGGACGATGGCTTGCTTGATGTAACGCTCGGTTTGGGAGAGGAGCGAGGCCTAATGATGATGAGGAGGATGGCATGATCGATCCTACGTCGAGGATGCGGGAGAGTACGCGGAGACTGTTCGCTCGGAAGAGTTCGTTGTCCGAGTTGAGGTCTTTGAGGAGTGTGCTCACGATGATGATAACTTCTTCCGCAGAGGTCTTTTCGGCGATTTCTTTGATGAACAGATAGGCCATGCGACGCAGGTTCGGCTAGAACGAATCAGAGTCATAGGGAGAGAGAAAAATACCTCCTGGCTTTGGAACAGCTTCGTAGCGCCGAAGAAAACGTCACTCACTTCGTTGTTGGTGAGGGTTTCGCCCTCCACAATCACCAGATAGAGCACTTTCGCCATGAGCAAGCAGCACAAGTCCGGCTTGTTGGTTACGACGTCTGGATTGTTAAAGGCTCTGCATTCCTGCAGAACGGCCGATTTTGTGAGTCCATAGAACGGAGAGCCTACATAGAATCAAAACCATGCTTCTAGAGCGAACGTTTTAAATCGTCGTCCTTGTCGTGCCCTCCCAAATCGAAAAACTCCTTGCGGATGATGTTCAACACAGATTCAGGCTGGTCCTGGTCTTGGTTGTCTTTCCGAGTCTGATTATCCATCTTTAAAAATATCCAATCTCTTACGAGAACGAATCTATGAAACAAACAGAAAATGCCAAAAATAGCCGTTATTTCTATCATTCATTGATTTCGCACCGACGGCAAAAGAGAAGGCACTTTACAGTCCTTCTTTAAGCAGCTCTCCGAGTGGATTTCCAGCAGTCGCTTCACGCCTTCGCACGTCTCGCAATCTACTCACAACCCTTCATTAACCCTCACTATCCACGCAGCACGTCAATGCGTGCAGAATCTGCTTCTTTAGCTGCGGGCAATTCGACCGCTTGCAGTCCGAACGATGACAAGAAAAAACATGCAGCAGCATGTCATCCAAATCGCTGTATTCCCCGCGGTTCCAGCCTTTTCCCTCCATCTCCGCACATTCCACGATGTGTGCGGCGCTCCGTTCGCCCTCATTCCCGCAAACCTCGCCATCACTCTCCATCCTGCTCATCCCCGCGGAAGCGAGCTCCAAATTCCCCGTTTCCCCTTTTAGGGGGCGGTTCGAATCGACGGCGACGGGAATCAGCGGATGCGGATGACGAAACCAGAGATTGCAATCGCCGCACAGGTTGAAATTCCGACACGTCGCGCAGTGGAACCGATTCCCCGCGAATATCAGCGACCTGCACTGCGGTGAAACCCTCCCCGCGGTTCTACCTCGCTACAGAAGCAGCCACTGAGCAGATCGTCGTCATGCTGGGCGAGATACAAAATAACCGCGGAACTGTACCGCGCGTGGCGAAGCTACATCCAATCTCCCGCCCAAACCGACTTCGTGGAAATGGAGGTGGTTTTCTTGGCAGATGTTGAGGAATCCCTGGCGACTTCGGAACAATTTCGAGGGAATTTCCACGTTTCCCTGATTTCCCTGATTTCCCTGATTTCCCTGGGTTGCCCCCGGTGGGGAGGAAACTCCCTCCACCAATTCGAGTTTCCCGCGGGTTTCGGGAGGGAGTTTCTCCGCGCAATGCTCGCAATAGCACTCAGAATCGCGGAAATGAATGCTGTGTGTGGGCGTCACGGCAGAATCTGGGAGTCGGTAGTGGCGTCCCGCGGGAATCAGCGTGGCTCCGCAGAGATGACACGTGGGCTGGAGTTTCAACAACATTAATTGTGATTTCTGTTCCTGTTCCTCAGCCTCGGCCAATGAAACGCCCACCTTCAAAAAATCGTACATTTTGGTCAACAATTTCCCCTTCACAATCCCGCGGGAACGGCGCCGTTCCGCGGTTTTCCGGCTTGTATTCGACGAATCGGAGGGCGTTTCCTCCTCCAGGGGCGTTTCGCCCGCCATGAAGAGATCGTTACACTTGGATTCCATCGTGGAGGCCCAATGATCGCCGCAGAACCACGGGGCGCGCAGGATTTCCGTATCCGAAAACCTTCGATTTTAAAAAATTCCAAAAATCGGCACGATTTCTCGTAGCGGCCCATGAGACACTCGTCGACCAGATTGGTCAATTCGTAGATTACCCCGCGGGAATTCCCCTCCTGGGCGATTTCGCGGTACCAGCGAAGAAGCGGCAATTCCCGCGGCATTTTCTGCTCGGGCGGGTGGGAGAGTCTGCGAGTGACCGATTCCCCGCGGTTCTACAGGATGTACTCGTCTCCCACGGTTGGCGGACACGCCCAGAGAAACGCCCGCTGGAATCCGATTTCCCGCGAATATTCGAGATAACTGAGAACGAATTCTTGATAGACAAGGCGACGGAAATTGGGCGGGAAGAGATACGGAACACTGTCCAGGTACGAAACATAAATCGTGTGGGCGTTACAGGGCGTTTCATCGGGACACTCGGTAACATACATAACAAACAGCAGAAGGTCCACCGAATCCACCGTCTAACCGTGAGCAGAACCGCGGGAGCGAATCACTTGGAACAGACATAGGCATTTCTGCCACGCCGAGATTTCCGCGGGAATCTCGAAGTTCTGGAAGTACCACTGGAACCGTTTCCCCGTGGGAATCGTCGTCTTCTACCGCTCACAAAATGCCAAAAATCGGGACTTCCGCGTACATGACGCGCACGTGCAGATCCCCCGCGAAGGGCGTTTCATCCACCGAGGTCAGTTTCTGCGCCGCGATGAAACGCCTCTGCCGCTCCACGCGTTCCACGATTCGTTTCTCCATGAAACGCCCGAGCGGAGTTTGCGGGAAATCCGTCGCTCGGGGGAGCCGACATTCCCGCGGGACCTCGCTTCGAGGCGTTTCAGCGACGCAGAGCGGGCAGAGGATGCGCGTCCCGCGGTAAAAGCGCGCCAGTTTCTCGTTGAAGAGCAGACAATCGCGGTGAAACCACCGCCGGCAGCGGCAACACGCGACCCACTACGCTCGACGTCCCCGCGGGAATCTACCGGCTCCTTGGCGGCAGGCGAAGCCTCCCGCTCGATCAGCTCGCTCTTCACGACCTCCACGCCGTCGACGGTTCCCCGCGGGGGAAGCGCCAGGTAGCAGGCGCAGCACCAGACGAAACGCCCCTCGGGGTGGCAGAAATAGCGCATAATTCCGCAGATGGAGCGGCCGCAGTTGCCGGCGCAGTGGAGAATTGTGGCGGGAAACGAAGCATCGCCGCCGCCGCAGACTTCGCAGATGCGTCCGCTGGCGGGACGAAGATAATCGGCGCGCTGCGAAGCGTCTTTCTGGCCGAGGCGACGCAGCTCTCCCTCCAAAACGCGCTGAATCGATTGGACGTACCGAATCACTTCTTCGTGCCCCTACCTCCGATGAAACGCCCACAGCTACCTCGTTGTAACGCAGCGCGTTCGCGATCAGGCGCCGCGCCTCGCGGGAAAACTGCTGCACGGAGCGGTAATCCCCGCGGGTCGCGCGGGTCGTCATCGCGGTTAAATCGGTCGGGTGCGCCACGATCTGGTAGTAGTCCCAGCAATATTCCGCCGTGGCGCGAACCGGCTCCCAGAATAACTGCCACGAACTGAATGTGAGGAGAACCGCGGGAATGCACTCGGCCGAGCGGAGCACGGAGAGAATGCGGAGAAGTTCCGTGCGAAGCGAGGCGGGGCGCCACCACGGGGAGGACGCGCAGCGCGCAGAATCGCGGTAAAGCTCGTACTAATATGGAGAACCGCGGGAATGGAGACGTTCAAGTTGGGGAGGGAAAAGAAATAGGAGTGGAACGACATGCACGGCGCACATAGCGAAGCCTGCGTCTATATAAAACGGAGAAACCGGGGAAACTTGGTGGTAGGCACGTGCTTGCTGGCAGATCGCGCAAGAACCGCGGCAAAGCGAATAGTGCGCCATCACCACGCGTAAAAGCCGGCAATTCCCGTCGCGGCAGGTTCCTCCGGCAGTGCCCAGCGTGCTTCCGGCAATGCCGAGCGCTGCGGAGCTCTGGAGGAAGGCCGAAGTGGAAACTCCGCTGGGAATTTCCGAGGATCGATCCGACCGATCCGACCGATCCGACCGATCCGACCGATCCGAGTCCCCAGGGCTCCCAGAGCCAGTGGAAACTGTGGAAACTGTGGAAACAGTAGAACCTGTAGAGGAGGCGAGGCCAGTGAAGCGGCTGGTACAACCGCGGGAATGGGCGAGAAGCGAACGGAACCAGATGCAGTACTTCTCGTTCTAGAGAGGGAGGAGTCGAGGGAGGGGGATACAGTGCAGCCCGTAGGGCAGGACTCGGTGTGGCTGAGAAGATGATATAAAAAGCAGAAAAGATCCTCTTTGCCAGAAATGTCGATTGACAAGTAGCTTTGCATCACTGTCGGAGACAACCAGCCCGCGGTAGCTGCCTTGGAGCGCTTGGAATCGGGGCAGATCTCTGGATTCCTCTCGTCAGACTACGGGTGAAGATTCGAAGATAGAGAGACATCTTCCTTGCGTAAAAATGAAGTCACCAACTCGTTCTTGACGCGGGAAAGAGATGCAACCTCACGTTGAAGGATTTGGTAAAAAGCATGTCTCTGCTTGCCTTCTATCTAACACGGATCGAACACTGTCCCTGCCAGCTACCTTGCTTCCACACCGCTTCCGAAGGAGGAACACCAAGTCAATGGTGTAGGACGGGCTTCGACTGGACTCCTTGGGAAATGTTTCGAATAAAAAGTCGTAGCTAGCGAATGATTCCGTTCAGAAAAGCGCACATCCACAGAAGATCAGGTGTAAAGGGAGAAATCGACTCCTTTCGTGTTCGCTCTTGCTCCATGAGCCAAGTTCCCCAGGCAATCAAGAACTCAACTCCACAGAAGTGCTAATCTGTTTCTCACAAACACAGAGGAAAGAACTAATAAAATACGATATGATACAATCCCTAATACTCCTCCTGCACGGAGTCCACTACATCGCAGACCCTCCTCTCGCCTACATGAATCCTCGAAGTCGTCCACGAACTGGTTATCATCAAAATCGAACGTTTTCTCCCTAGGCGTGTGCAGATGCGCCTTCCTCTGCCTCTTCGGCGCCTTCTTGGCCTCCTTGCACTGCACGATATACCTCTCCAGCTTCCGCAGCGTCTCGTTGGGCATCGCGCTCAGATCCAGCTCGATATCGTTCTGCTGCATCTGCTCGCCCGCCATCTGTCCCCACACGATCCGCACCACCTCCTCCAGATCGCTCCCCTTCAGCTGGTTGATCTCCATGCTCAGCGCCTTCTTCTCCTCCATCGTCATCGGCCGCGCGTCCAGCGCCTTCTCTCCCTTCCCCTGCCGCTCGTTCACCTCCTGCGTCATCCGGCTCAGCTCGCCCTCCAGCTGCTGGATCCGCGACTTCATCATCTCCATCTCCTCCTTCTGCGCCAGCCGCGCCTTCTCCGCGCTCGACTTCGCCGGTCGGCTCTCCGACACGCGCGGCAGCTTCGGCGGGATGTCCGGCAGCGGCGCGCGCTCGCGGCGCGAGGGAACGTAGTACGTCGGCGCCTGCGCGTCGGGGCCCGCGGCGAAGATCTGCCCGGTGATGGTCTCCATCTCCTTGGCGAAGAGCGACTGCAGCTCGCTGGCCATGATGTGGCTGGCGGTGAGGATAAAATAAAAGGGAAGTACACATCGGAGCCCTTGCTGTTGTAGAGCAGCGCGTTGTCGAAGACCAGGTTCACCTTGGACGCGAACTCGTCCTTGCTGCGCAGCTCGTGGTTCTCGATCTGCGACAGGATCGTCGAGAAGTCCATCGGGTGCTTCACCACGTCGAAATAGTCGGAGAGGCCCAGCGCTACCGGGTCCACCGGGTGCAGGAACGGACCCGCCCATTTGTGCATCTGCCGCTCACGCCTCTCTCCAATCCACACCATCAGCTTCTTCAGGCTCTTCGCGCACAGCGCCATTTCCCGCGATAAGCCTCGCGGCTGGATGCTCGTTTCACGCAGGTAGCTCTACATCGCACCAGAACCGCGGGAGGCACCATCGGCGTGGACCGCGTGGCGGGCGACGAGCGCGTCTGCTGGTAGAAGGGCTCCACGCGCGGCTTGGGCTTCGGCTTGGCGGGCTTGGGGCGAGATTGGAGGGCGTGGGAGTTGTAGCTACATTCAAGACTCCAGAAATCGGGACAATTTCTCGCAGTTCATGATGTGCGTGGAAGGGAAGTAGAGTCCCGCGATGGAGAAGGGGCCCATGCGGTTCTGGCCGGTGCCGTCGACGATGTAGTGATCGCGGTGCTTGGTGAAGGAGAGGATTAGATTGTTTTCCGTCACGCGCGAGATCGGGACCGATCGCATCCAGAAGTATCCGTTGTACGAACCGTTCACAGGCGTGTCGGGGGTGGAGGGCTCGGACAGCTTCAGCACGTAGCGGAAGTCGCTCGTCATCCCGCGGATCACGCCGGAACTGCTCATGCCCCACTGCGAGTCAGAGAAATAAAAAAAGAGATGGACAAGGCCGGTGAAAACGCAGTTGTGACCATCGTTGATGTAGTAGCCTTGAAGGAGAGGGTGCGAAATCTTTCGGTCGTCTTGATTGGGAGAAGAGGAGCTAAAAACGTACAGCGACTTAACGGATCGATTGTCTTGATTTCTTCCTCGTCTAAAACCGGTTGGTCGGCTTCCTGCGATGCGCCCGCGGCATTTTCCGTGGCCGCTTCCTTTGACTCGGATTTGACAGAAGTTTCTTGCTCTACAGTGCTCCCTTCGGCTTGCTCCTGCTTTACCGGTGGTAACTCCGAAGGTGTTTTCTCAGCACCTTCCTTTTTCTCTTCACTTTGATTATTTGGCTGACTTTCCTCCTTCACCTCGGGGTTTCTACACGTAAAACGGAGAGCGCACAAAAACTGCTCAACTAGGACAGTGCTTTCCTGTTTCTCTTCGTTCATGAAATAAGTCGTAATTCACCACAAAACTTTTAGAAGATATTAAAATCGCGGGTTGGTGCGACTTGAATTCAAATCTGAAAAACCAGGAGAAACCTGAAAAATGAAACCACTGGGAGTTTCGGCATTAGGGTGGTTTCATTATCACATTCCATCCATTAGATTTCTTAACAAAAATGCAACCGATCCGCAGGGCAAGACGCGAAAAAGGAAACAATCAAACAAACAAGAAACACAAGTCACAGTCTTATATTAGTGTTGCATCCAGGGCAAATACCAACTTGAATGTCCTCCGTGGACAGCTCATAACCGCACGCAGGGCATCCACGCGCGCGTTCTACTCGCATCAGCGGTCTATCTTCGCTTGTCTGCTTCGTCTTCGCATTGTAGTAAAAGGGCATGCCTCGCTTGTCGTAGTACTTCTGCCAGCCGTAGGGAGCGTCGGCATCAAAATCCTCCTTCGGAATGCACCACGAAGACAGCCACTTCTCACGATTAAAGTAATACACTCTCGAATCGCTCAGCATGCACGCCTCCCATCCATCGAGCAAGCTCTGCTTCCCCTTCGTCGCCATATCACACACAAAAACCGGCTGCAGGAAATCCTTCGAATTATTGGAATTCCGAGATTCGGTGAGCACGCTAATCTCCGTATTTTGATCCAGCACCGTCGCGTTGTAGCTCAAGCAGCTCAAGCAGAACATGTTCTTGGACCCCGCATTCCGATCCGCGCAATTAATATGATCGCAGCAATTCTCGCAGCAGATGCGATCGCACTTCCTGCAGTGGCAGCAGTACGCCGGCCGCAGCGGCCCATAGCAAACCTCGCATCGCGAGCCGCCGGATCGGTTGACGAGGCTTCGCAGCTGCTTGTTGAGCATCTGCTCCCAGCTCTGCGCGCGTTCCTCGGAGTCGAAAACGAGTCGGAAGGACTCGTAAGCGTTCTCCGCGACGACCTCACAGCCCTCCACGACGTCGTAGCGGTAGTTATACATGACTACGCGTCAGCTTCTTTCTCGGAAAAGCAAAACAGAGCTCCGTTTTGAACAGCACGCGAAGATTCAACTCGCTGTCGAAGCGGTTCGTCAGAATCAGCAGGTCGCTGAACAGAAACGCGGTTACTTCCGTGCTCGCTTTCTCCTTCCACACGCACGGCGTCTACTCCTCACTCCGGACCTCCGTTTCCACGTATTCCAGCAGCTTCCGCGACGCTTTGGACAGCACGAACGAGCTGCCCAGCGCGTTCTGAATGCTCAGGCGCAGCGAGTTCTCGCGGTCCCCGTTCATCGCCGAGTTGCACTCTTTGGCCACGCCGACGATCCCTTCTAACGCCTTCTACGATCGAATTCTATCGAAAAAACAACGGGAATGAACACGAAGTCCGGGTGGTCCGCTGGTGTGCGCTTCTGCAGCTCTTGCAGGAGGAGTTGGTAGCGGGGGATGCGCTGCACCGGCATGATGAGGAAGCTCTAGAGAGAGAAGGGAGGGCAAGAGGGGAACGGTCATCTCCATGCCGCGACACGCAGGGTTCTTGCGGCAAGCCGCGTAGAAGTGGGAGAACTTCGAGGTCTTCTTTAGCTTGCGGACGATTGCGATCGCCTTGTTCTGCTGCTTGCAGTAATTCGAATACCTAGGGAAGCAGCAGAGGAGGCGGCGTACATTTTAAAGAAGGGACAGAAGCGCAGGATCACTGCACCCAGGTTTGCATTCGCATAGTCAGGACAGCCAGAATCATGCTTGACAGCGACATACAAAGCCTCCAACAGCTGTTTGTTGATGTTAAGCAGCACGCGAATATTGCCAAAAATTGCCATAATAAGGTCTTCACTAATAATCTTCTTTTTCCTCATGGGGTCCATAAAAACATTCACAATCACTCTGGAAATATAAAATGAGGCATGAAAACATCCTACTCAAGGTCTCTAACATAATGTTCCTCAGTGACCACAATCTCTTGGCAAATATATGATCTCTTATTTAATATATTACTCATTTGATTTTAGTGTAGACGAATACAAAAAATGAGACGATCCAAACGCTTATTATGATCAAACAGAAATTCAATCCAACACACCAACGACCTGTATTTAAAAGAATGTTGGCATTTCGAGGAAGAGCGCTATTCTCTCGACTGCAAACTATCTGTAGAGGGGGGAATAACCCCTCCTTTCTTTCATGCTGTAATCTTCCTGGCAGACGCTCGCTTTTGGGAAACGGACTGAATGCGCGCTTTTGGGGAACTGTTCCTGATGTTGCCGAGAGCAAGAACGAGACATTGAAAAAGCAAGTTTTGGAAAAACGGTACATTTTTTGTACAGGCTGTAATACAATAGTTCGGCAGAGCAAGAAAAGCGAGTGAAGTATTATCTTACTCTAATTGACCACAGTACCTTTAGAAAACAGGACGTATGTTTGGATTCTGTGTGTAAGTGGCTAGTATGTGCGAGAAACAAAGCAACTGCTCGCCGACAAGGTGTTTCTCTTTCCTAACGTGCTTTCTTGGAAACTTTGTGAGTGAGTCCATAGGAGCTTTCGTCCAGTATTTGCTACATGTACCGTCTGGGCCTCACCAAGCTCGCCCTTGAAGTTTTCCATTTCTACCGCAAGAACAACATGCTCTCCCTCGTCAATCAAATGTCCCTCAAATACGTAATGCTTTGCGCGGCCGAAGTCAAGGACTCTCGGACTCTCCACATGGCGTACAATTCGCAGAGCGCTTCTCGCCAAAACAGCGTCATTCTGAACTGTACGCACTCTGCTCCCCTCATTCCCCTAGCGACCTACATCCGCTGCCTCCTCTCCCTTAATGATGTCAAGCAAGCGACCTCGCTGCTCTCCTCCTTCCTCGACAACCCCGTCTACAAGCGTTCCAACGTCTCCGGCGGAAACGACCTCTACAGCAACGCCATCGTCGGTAGTTCCCCAGTTTCCCCTTTTCCTCAGGCTTCTACGAAGGCCAGTTTTATCCGCGGTGCATCGCCATGTTCCACTCCATCCGCCCCATCGCCCCCACGCTCGCCATCGCCTCCAAGCACCAGCTTGCCGCGGGGAAGACCGAGGAAAACGGGGTCGTCCCGCTCGAGGAGGAAAAGTGGAAACTCGTCCAGAACTCGCTCTGTTATAGCGCTGTTATAGGGAGTTACTACCGTCTGGGGGAGTTTCAGCTGGCTCTGCAGTACTACGACGAGGCGCGCAAGCTGGGCGTATTCCCGCGGTTCCGCGAGGGCATGATGATCGCGGAGATCCACGCGAATTCGCGGGAGTTTGAAGCGTCGTTTTCGGAGCTGAAACGCAAAAACGTGGATGTTTCGGGAGTTCCTTCGAGCGAGCTGTAGCGTTTTGGCGGGAAATCGAGCGTAGAGAACGGTTCTGGCTGAACGAAAGCAAAGTCCCGCAGATGCGCCGCGCGTTGCGGCAAGTGTTCTGGAACTGGTACTACAATCGATCGTTCTGTCCGAAGTTCGAGCCGAAGGCGAACGCGATTTGTAGGGAACGAGGAAACGGGGAAACTGAGGAATAGGCACGTATGTGGGGGATGAGAGGATTGTGGGGAATGTGCTGCTGATGCTGGGAACGATGTATGATTTGAAGTATTTCGCGGAGAAGGACTTGACGGAGACGAAGATTCTGATCAAAACGGGGTTGAATGAGAGAGCGATGGGGGAATTGACGAAGTTCTTGGAGGAGGAGATTTATCCTGTGCTGCCCTATCGAGTGGAGGTAGGAGAGAGGACAGGATGGGATGTAGAATCGAAATGTGGAGATTCAAGTGAAGGATGCGCAGGCGTGGGTGAAGAACCGGAGATTGCTGAATTTGAGTCTTCGTTGGGTTGTTTGTTGGATACGAATTGCAGGGAAGGGGTGGCAGAGAATGTGATTGGAAAATCATAATGTGGGATTCTAGGTAAAAGAAGGATTTGACATGAATCAGAACACAAAAATGCAAGGAACCAAGTTCAAACGGGAAAGTTGTTGTAAATCACAATAACTTGCGTTTACCTGTGGTCACTTAGCATCGGATTATTATTATTATTATTATATCAGAGAATAGAATGGTTGATTTCATCCAAATTGTGCCAAAATAGGAAATAGGAATGTTTTCAGGTTAATTCTGGAAAATCATTTTATTTCCAATAGCAACACAAAAATGGATCCTGAATGTACAAACATGCATTTGTACTCATGAATAGTCACTTTCAGCAAGATGAAGGGAGCGGAACACTTACTTGATGGATATGTCACACATGGTGAGCCAAAAATTGTCATGAAAGACGGAATGCAATATTCTGTTCAATATTATCAAGGAGAACATAAAAACGAGTTTACAATGCGTTCTCCTCTAGGCCATGTATTTTTGTATGAAAATAATGTACTAAAACAACAATGGAATGAAATAGAAAATGAAAAGAAGTGGGTGGGTGAGTTTGTTCGATACAAAAATGGTCGAGTTGATTTCGTTCAACGATTCCAGGATATTTTGGAACAAACTAATTGGGGTCGTATAAGGAATCACAAGAAGGGCCTTCGAATGGAAATTTGGTCCCTCCAAACTGGACATTTGCTCTACCACGGAGAATTCAACAATAATCGTCAAAGAGAAGGGTGGGGTATCGAATATGATGAAGAAAGCGGAAATGTGGTTGTAGAAGGCATTTGGAGCAAAGGAGCATTGAAAGAAGTGATTCGATGTTTCGATGGAGATACAATGACCGAATTGAAGCGAAATGGTTCAGCTAGTTTGGATCCAATGAAACGAATTCCGATGTATGTGGGTGGATTTCGCTATGATGAAGACAATGAACAATTTATTCGTGAAGGTGTGGGATGTTTGATTGATGAAAAGAGTGGAGTTGCAACTCGAGAATGTGAATGGAACGATGGAAAAGAAGTGAGTGGAATAAATCTGAATAATGGGTGGTACAATCCATCGAGTGTTGAAGCAAATATTACGGAATTCAAAGAATCCGAAAGTGTGAGATTTGAAATGACCGATTTGAAGATTTCATCGAATAGTTATAATGATGTAAGTGAACTAAATGTAAACAGATTTGAGTGGTTACAGTCGATCAAAATTGGTGATGATTGCTTTGAATCAGTGCAAACACTCCAAATCGATGGATAGAATCGATTGAAAACGATCAAAATCGGAATCAATTCATTTACTCAGAAAAAGAATGGATGGGGAAATGACAAATCGAAATCATTCCACATATTGAATTGTGAATCATTGGAATCAATTCAAATTGGTCAATATAGTTTCAGTGATTTTGGAGGCGACTTTGAATTGAAGAATCTACCACAATTACAATCCATTCAAATCGGGACAATTGGAAGTGATTCATGCAATTTCTTTTATAGTTCCTTTGTGATTCGAGGTAAGAAATGATATGATATTGAATATTTGGGTAATGCATAGATCTTCCAAATCTACAATCCGTTACACTAGGACACTCAGCATTCCGATTTACTCCATCGATCACAATTGAAGGTATTATACATGAAGAAACAGAATGATTGGAATAGACCTTCCAAGTCTACAATCCATTCAACTTGGACATGGAGCGATTGATGGGAATGATAAAGATTCATTTTGTTCACTGACAATGCGAAGTACGAATGAACTGAAATGAAACAATAATCGAATGTAGATCTGCCCAAATTGTCGACCATTCGTAATTTGAAAGGATGCAGTTTCAATGAAACTCGAATCATCACATTCGAAAGTGGATTCAATCGATATTCTTGATTGTTCAGATATTCCCAATCTTCAAATTGTCGATTTACCGAATTCGTTCCACAGTGTAATGAAATCCACAGTGACAAGTATTTCGAATTCGATTCATCGAATCTAGATGTTCATAATCTATTATCACGATTAGTAGCAACTGAAGTGTATCATGTCGATTTCATTCAATCAATCGAATCATTGGTCACTTCGATTGCTCTTCCGAATTGGATTTGCAATGATGAAGATTATAAGAATTTCGATATCAGTCGATTTACTGTGTTGGAGTCGTTGGATATTGGAAATGACAGTTTCAGTTATGTTCAAACATTCAAAATCGATGGATTGAGAAAACTGAAATGTTTACAAATCGGTCAAAACTCGTTTACTCAAGTCAAAGGTGCTCCATGGTACCTTACCAATTTCCTATCGAAATCATTCCACATATTGAATTGTGAATCATTGGAATCAATTGAGATTGGTAAATATAGTTTCAGTGATTTTGCTGGAGACTTTGAATTGAAGAATTGTCCACAATTACGATCCATTCAAATTGGTACAATTGGAAGTGATTCGTACAATTTCTATGATAGTTCCTTTGAAATTCGAGGTACTAATATAATATTCAATGTTTGAATGCATAGATCTTCCAAATCTACAATCCATTACATTAGGTGACCGGGCGTTCCATTATTTCTCATCGACAATAATTGAAGGTACTGCATGAATTCGAATGAAATGATTGAATGACTAGATCTTCCATCATTACAATCCGTTTAACTGGGTGAATATGCACTATTTGGATCTAAATCAACGTCATTCATAATGCGAAGTAAAATGAAATTGAAAGAAATGATTGAATGATTAGATCTTCCAAATCTGACGTTCATTGATTCGGTATGGGCTGCTTTTTATATAATGGGTGGAGTAACACTTGAAAGTAGAATCACAATAATCGAAATTGATTCGATTTAGACATTCCGAATCTTGAAAGGGTGAATCTACCTAGTTCATTCAATGAATTCACATTGAAATCAATATCAAGTAATGGTTTCCTAGGTTCCACTGAATAATAGACGTTGCTTCTGTTCTGGCTGATATTGTCAAAAAGTAATTCAATTGTTTTAATGTACTTTTAAATCATTTCTCTTTGTTTTCACCAAATAATCGATTGTTGCACGATGTTCTGTGCTTCTCTCCTCCATCAGGGTTAAACACCAAAGCTAGAACCACCCCCTCTCCTCTCCATCACAAAACTAAACAACTCTCTCCGTTTCAAACAAACAATTATTTCCCAATCGATCGTTCGACTCTCTTAGTTCTTGAGGGTTCCATAGAACTTGGCCTTCTCGGCGGTGGTCTGGAATCTTCCGTGACCCATCTTGGAGGAGGTATCGATGAAGGACAGGACAATGTTCTCCTGGTCGGATCTGCGCGTGTGCGTGCGGAGGGACTTGCGGAGCGTGATGACTCTCTTCTTGGATCCCATCACACCTCCCTTCACCATGATCCAGTCGTTGTTGACCTCTCCGTAGTGAGGGAAGCCTCCCATGGGAGTGATGCTCTTCTCCGTCAGATCGGCCTCCGTGGAAGCGGACTTGGCGTCGCCCGCAGCTCCAATGCGGTAGATCTTCTTGTTCACATCGGTGCGGTGATGGTATCCGTTCTGACCCGCACGAGGCACGGTGAAGTGCACACGCGAAGGATGCCAGGCACCGATACAAGCCACCTTACGCAGACCACGATGCGTCTTGCGAGGAAGACGAGTGGTGCCCCAACGGGTGGTCACACCCTCGAAGCCCTTACCCTTCGTCACACCGATCGTGTCGATCATCTCGCTCGGCTCGAACACGTCGCTCACCTTCACCTCCTTCTCCAGAAGGCTCTTCGCGAACGCCACCTTCTCCTCCATGTTGCCACCGTTCACCTGAATCTCCATCAGATGGGCCTTCTTCTGACCGATCTTCAGCTTTTGGATCTGGGTGTGGGCCAGCACACGCACCACCTGGCAGTAGTCCACGATCTTCTTCAGCTTCTGCTCCATGGCCTCCTTGCCCTCGTCCGTAGCCATGCGGGCAGCGTACTTCGTGAAGGCCTTCTTCTTGCTGTTGTACCAGTTCTTGTAGAAGCGGCGCTTGCAAGAGTCATCCAAGTGCTCAGCGAACACGGTGGTCAGGGTGCGCAGACCGCGAGGAGTCTCCACATATCCCACAATACCCACCACGACCATGGGAGGAGTTTCCAGAATGGTCACAGCCTCCACGATCTCCTGCTTGTGGGCCTTGCTTCCGGGACGGTCCAAGACACGCACGATGTGAGTCATACCGGCCTTGTATCCCATGAAAGCGGTAAGATGAGGCTTCTGGTCAGCCTTGTCCTTGGGGAAGCTGCGCACATGACCGCGGTTGTGAGTGCATCGCTTACGAGGAAGGAAACCCATGTGTCCATGACGAGGACCTACACACGCGTTACAATCGCTCCACAGTACTCCAACACAGACCTACATTCGTATTTACGGTGAGACATGCTGTTTGATTAGGAAAAAAGTGAGGAAAATGAATGGTTTGATAATGAAACCACTCCGATTCCATCGTGGAAAATTACTATAGGATCGAATACTCGGATTCTCGGCAGAATCAGTTAAGTATTCATTCTACAATTATTATGTTTGAAAATACGATCCCAATCTATTTTTCTATTTCATTGAGTTAGATACTGCGGTTTAGAATCGACTTGATAGAAATCTTCGGCTTTGACAAATGTTCAAAATGAACGACACTTCAGACCGTCTTTCTTGTTTACTAGTCGAGGTTGATCGAATTGTGAAGAAAAACTATCTCATTGCAGTCATTAATTTGGTTTGCTTAGAAAACTATTTGTAATCGCTAGATTTGGATAGTAATCCAGAATGTTTTTGTAGGGATTTACTGGCGCAGTGAAAACTCCTTTGCTTATCCTATCCCGGTCATTATTATACTCAACTCTGTCACTCCAGTCATACTGTGCACTTGTTATGGGCGTTTTTCATATAGCATTGTGGGATCGCAGCTCTTGGTCAACCAATTTTTGGTAATCGTACAAAATTTGAATTGTATTCTCACCTAAAGGTATTACTGCTGTGTATATTATGTATCGTTCTAGCTGTATCCAAATACTCATGAATATCGCCTAGAGTATTAGTATCATCTGTACCTTCATCATCCTCCCGCAAATGAGTTCGTTCCACTCCAACTGTATGATGACCTTTCCTAGCGAAGATTGCAGAATCTATGATATTCACTATATGTGGCCTATCCTATTAATCCAATTCATCCTTTGCGTCGCTGTTGTTGCTATCAGAGTCTTCATGTTCATTTACACCTATAGGTTGTATAAATTGTTGAATGTGTGCTACAGCCCACTGCTCTTCCTCGACAAAAGCAAAGAGTACAAAGAAATAAGCCTTTCGTGAAAAATCAAACAACTACATGATACATAGAAATAACTGATCGTTCACTTTGAAGAATGATAAATGCAATATCGGTGACTAAACAAGAGCTTTGTTTTCTAACATACCTGTCTGATGTATTCATAACACTGCAGGAAGGTTGTAAACAGCATGGTTTTCCACATTCGGCGCAAATCCCTCCAATGGGCACAGGCATCGTGTCATTGGATTGTTCCTCCATTACGTAAAGTACCTCTTTAAAGCTTCATGTAACCCGCCATAAATCCACTTACTGAACTCCTGGTAAGAAGGGAGGATCTTGCCCCTTGTATATAATCGGCAACGAAATGTTACACACGGAGCATTTAAAATAAGTGGGATTCATTGTTGTATTTTGTGAGAAAGTGATAAAACATCATTCCCGCGGTTGTTGTTTGTACCAATACTTATTATCGCTCAATGACCGAGTATTCTGCATCGAATCGAGTAGAGACTGCGATTAACAAGCATCTTGCAAATGAAGAAGAAGGAAAGCAGTGACTTGTTCTTATCTCTTGTAATGTAGGTCTCGCCATACGGGACGTGATGACAGAGCCACAACGGAAAACGTCATGGATCCTAGAACCCGATTCATTCTCTTCCAGATGTTGAACCGCGGTTTGCTAACAGAAATGAATGGGTGTGTAAGCACTGGAAAGGAAGTATGCTTTTTGCGATGATATAGTATCCCAGGCAAATGTGTACCATGCAATTGGAGGGAATGGAAAGGAACTGGCAGTAAAGATCTATAAAACGTCAATCCTTGTGTTTAAGGATCGAGAGCGTTACGTGGCTGGAGATTTCCGGTTCCGCCACGGTTTCAACAAGTCGAATCCGCGCAAAATGGTGGCAATGTGGGCAGAAAAGGAAAGAAGAAATTTAGGCCGGTTTCAGTGCAGTGTTTATCATAATCCTTTAGTCTCTACGCTGCTGGTCTTCCAGTCCCTCAAACATACAGCCTAACTCGAAACGTTTTGGTTATGGAGTTCTTAGGCCAGAACGGTTGGCCAGCTCCTCGATTGAAGGATGTCGAGCTAACCAAGAAGAGTTACAACCGCATTTACCTTCGTCTGGTTCACCTCCTCCGCGACATGTACCAGAAATGCAGATTGGTGCACGGAGATCTCTCGGAGTACAACTTGTTATACTATAACAAGGACGTTTGGATCATCGACGTGTCGCAATCCGTGGAGATCGATCACCCGAACGCCCTTCATTTCCTTCGAAGCGACTGCAAGAACGTCACGGACTACTTTGCGAAGTACCTCGATCATCATCTCGGTAATGATCAGAAATGGAGTGGAGGTAATGGCTACCAAGGAGTTGTTCGACTTCGTCACACGCCACACGCTGCAGGAGAGCGAATACGACAGCTACATCGAGCGAGTCGTCATGGAGATGCACATGAATGGTAGGCGATCGAAGCATCGCGCGCGATCATGCAGAGCGGCAGCTACCAGAACGAGGAGCAAGTGTTCATGTCTGCGTTTATCCCGCAGAATCTGTTCGAAGTGGTGCACATCGAGAAGGATATTAGCAACTTGAAGCGCGGAAACATCCAGGAAATCTTTTATTCCGCGCTCACCGGGATCGATATCGCCATGAAACAGGAGGAAGAGCAAGCCGAAGAGGCGGAGGCAGAAGAGGAGGAAGAGAATGGTGGAAACGGTGGAAACGGTGGAAACAGCGAAGAAGAAAGCGAAAATGAGGAAGTGGATGAGTTTGAAGAGGAGTTTAAGGAGAGTAGGGAGAGAGGAGTGGGTTTGAAGTAGAATATAATGACGAGGAAGTGAGGAGGGTGTTGGAAGAACATACAGTGCCGATTGAAGCGACATTAGCTGATGATGAAGTGGAGGCCGTGGAGACGGTAGAAGAGGTGAAGGAAGTGCCGTATACGCTGAAGAATGCAACGAAAGAGGAAAAGAAGGCGCATAAACAGCTGGTGAAGGAGCAGAAGCGAGAAAAGAGGAAGACAAAGATTCCGAAGAGTGTGAAGAAGCGAGCTCAGAAGCAGGCGAAATTGAGAAAGTAGTCGTTTTAGAATTTACTTGTTTGATTTAAATGGCAAAGTGACATACAATTATGTTCAGGCTCTCGCGTATTCGTCCCCTTGTGCATACCATTTGTGGAAAGAGTTTCTACTCTACAAAATCTCTGAATTTGGTCTTCTTTGGCTCTGATGCAGTGTCTAATCCTACTTTGCAATTATTGTATAATGACTATATTCGCGAAGATGGGCTTATTAATAAACTCGAGGTATTCCTTGTGATTTTATCGTTATTGTGAAATAGGTTGTCTGTACTGCTGATAAAAAGGGCAAGCGTGGAAATGAGATAATCGAGTCTCCGATCCGACGTTTCTGTGAGAAAAACGAGATTCCCTTTACTCAACTTCCTCGAATGGAGTATTTTGATAACTGATGTGTCTACTGTAGAAATCACTCCCTCAAAGAGTGGGTGCCGCCTGAATCGATCACATCCAAGCAGTATGACTTATGTGTGGTTGCTTCGTTTGGTTATTTTGTGCCTCCGCATGTAATTTCTTGTTTCAAAGATGGTGGAATCAACATGCATCCATCTCTTCTCCCCAAATACCGTGGAGCTGCCCCCATTCACCATGCAATCATCAACGTACTTCTCATTCATTTGTGTAAAGAAACAGGGTGATAAAGAAACAGGGATTTCCATCATCACTCTTAGCGACAAGCAGATCGACGCGGGAAAATGTCTTTACCAAAAAACCCTCGAAATCGATCCCTTAATGCACTATCCCCAACTCGCCACTTATTTGGCTCTCGAAGGCGGAATGGCCGTAATGGACACGCTGTACAACATCGATACGATTAAGCCGATGGACCAGGTTCGATTCATGAAAGACAATGATATATATTTTAGGATGAATCGCAAGTCACACAAGCTCCCAAAATCAAAAAGGAGCTGTCGTTTGTCGACTTCGCTTCCAAAACGGCCACGGAAGTGTTCAACTTATTCCGAGCGTTGAATTATGACTATCCTCTTCGCTGTTTATGGGGAGAGAAAGTGGTTTTCTTGCGGTCCATGGCGCCCATCGAGAAGCCGGAAGTTTCTGGGAAGTTTTTGCCGAATGCTGCGAACTACGCGGCTGGAACGGTGCTGTACTGCAAGGAGAGGAAGAAGCTGATCATTCGCTGCAAGGACAACTGGATCTATTGCGATGAAGTGCAGATCATGCCGAAGAGTCAGAGTGTGATGGCTTCTGTGATCGGGAACGAGTTCGGGAAGGAGGATCAGAAGTTTTGTCAGTTTAAGGGCTATTACTGTGTTTGATGGAATTAAATAAGTGGATCTAAGTGTTATTATGTTGTAAAATGTTGGGTGTACAAGAATGGAAGTGGATTTGGAAAGCGTGCTGTTCTGTTCCTCCTTGCTTTGGATTTTGTTGCCAGTTTTCGTTTCCTTTTCGGTTTCGTTGGTGCTTTTAGTTGTGGTTTTCATTGTGGTTAATAAATGATATCGATGGGCTAGAAGAACGATTTCGTTTCGTTTTAATAACAGAGCGTATTTGGGCTTCGCTTGGCAGTAGAGTGTACAGAGAAGATCTCGACGGAATTTCTCCTCTTTCACCATCTGCTCATAACGCCAATTCCATTCATCCCACCAAAATGAAATCGCTCAGAATAGAATACGGCGCCTCTCGACACAATGAAGAAATGTGAATTCTATAATTCGATTTGTCAAGCAGAATCATCGCCGAAATGCAATTCTACAGTGCCACTCATTTTTGGCTCCCTACAAGAATCAAATCGCGATAATAATGCCAGATAGAAGGACACATTGCGAATTGCCTGCTTCGATTCCAAAGCGAAAAGCAGTGCGAATAAACTTGCTGTAATTGTGGCCACTGTATTTCTTTTTCCCGTTTATCAAAGCAGGCTTCGAAGAGCATATCATGTATCATTTCGAGAACGGAAAGACTCCTTATCATCATTTGAACGATTACATTATTGTTCTCAGAAATATTCGATGTTGTTTTTGTTATATCTTTCATTTCCTTTTCAATTTCAGTTTTCGTTTTTGATTCCACTTTCGTTTTCGAGTTGGATTCGTTGGCTTCGACTGGTTGGTACCATTCATTCGGATAAGGAAGTGAACAAAGAACGAATTCGATCTATTTATCAGCTGGACCGTGTTCGATCTACGAGCGAAGAGAACTGGCTCAATGGAACACGAAATCGGTGCTGCATCCATCGAATCAAGTGACATAAGTGGCTGCACAAAGCAAATTGTTCAGTGAAATTCTTGGAAAACAAAACTTCGCACCAAATTCTACAGTATTAGCAAGTCGTTTGTTTGGAATACTTGTCGACTACATTTCCTTCCTTGATAAAACTTTTCAAGACGCGAAAATCAAACTCGTTATACGTGTTTTTACACACTGCATACACGACTTGTCGTTGAATTGTGTTTTCTTCTGTTGTCGGTTTCGTGCGCAAACAACACGGATTTGAATAAATCGGCATGATTTCTGGTGTTCCAAAATAATCTCTGACTTTAAGCATTTGTTTCAATGCTGCAGTGCGAACCAACAATGGAGAGTAATAGTATTTACTTCGAGCAAATTCACCGAAAGTACTCCGAAGATTGGATATTGATCGGTTGTTTAGCGCATATGCAACAAACCGACAGCAGTTCAAGAATTCGATGTCTTGCTTAGTAGGCGAAGAAGGCAGTGTGCCATGAGAAGAAGCAACAAACAATTTAATGAAAGCTAAAAGCGAGTTTGGAGTGGGTTTCCGAGTACGAGGAGTAGGAGTAGGAGTAGGAGTAGGAGTAGGAGTAGGAGTAGGAGTAGGAATAGGAATAGGAATAGGAGTAGAGGAGGGATTAATATAGTGATTAGATGGAGTAGAAATTGATTTCTGATTTGAGGAAGTAGAAATGGGTACATGATTAGTAGGAGATGAAATAGGTTTGTTATTAGTATGAGAAGAAAGAATAGGCATTTGATTATTAGGAGAAGAAGAAATAGGTTTCTGTCTGGTGGGAGTAGACATGGATTTGTAATTTGAAGTTGTATTATTACAAGAACAGGAAGAAGAAGAAGAAGAAAAAGTAAAATTGTGAATAAAAGATAAAGGAATGGACGGCTGCTCAGAGGCGGATTTATGTGGTTTCGATGGTTCGGTTGTGGGCGACATGTAGCTCATTACCAGAGGTCGCTTTGTATCTGAAAAGTAGAAGGGAGTATTTCTATCGTCAGAGGAGTCACTATCTGTACTGCTAGTGCTAGACTCCAATACATAGGGCAACTCTCGCTTAACTGATATTACAGGAGGCAATGTGGTTGTTCCTAGAGTGTTAAACATACCTTAACAAAAAAACTATAAACAGGAGTATTGCGAGCTTGTATTCCTATTAAGCCAGCATCATTTCTCTTCATAGGCGGTCGTGATTGTCTCACAGGAACAGATAACGGATTCCTTTCTGAGAATAATGTTGATGCACCAAAGATACTGTTGCGAACGGTAGGCTTCGGCACTACAGGTGTTGGTTTTTCGTTTATCTACTCTTCACAGAACACGAAAGCAATACATTTCCCCAATATTGTGGATTGAATACGTCTATATCTTCGTCAGAAGAAGAATCAGTAGTTAGATCCAACATGACCATACAAGTCGAAAGTGTTAAATATTAATTTAATTCGAGCCTCTAAACAAAATCCTGTATTATCTACAGCTTCCAGACCAACAAAAAAACTGGCATATAACCAAATACAGACTATGCATGTTTTTGCAATTCCGTAATTCTGATCGAATCGTTTTAGACTTCTGACATGCTTGTCGATTTTATTGCATACCCAATGCAAAGCAACCACCACATATTAAGATAGACACAAAGCTGAGTAGCTATAAAGGAAACAACATTTTTCATAAGAGAGTGAAATACATTTTCTTTGAATCTACTTTTCTGTCTGTTACTGTTTTTGTAGTTTGCTCTCTCAAATCATGACGAATGCTTCTACAGGACAAGAGTTCGCATTATTGATTCAATATTTTGTAGAGTCTCTGAGAATAAGATTGGAGGCAAAGTTTCCTTTGTATTATTCCGTGATAGTTGTTGCCAGGAAGAGTATCTTTTTACTGATATTGCTAATAGCCAGCGAAATCACCACAAAGATTCGAAAGGATATTTTGAGAAAAATATGGAGATTGTACCAGATTGGTGCGTGCAGTATATATCATGATTCTGATGTATGCTTTGACTTTTATGATGAGCAGTAGGCCATTACATGTGCACTGGATTCTTTCCAGACCTGTTGTGATCGTTGTGAAAACCAAGTGATTTTTTCATGTCCCTGCAGAGACGAAGACTATCTTTTGGCGTCTGATGATCCCGAAAAACTAGTAATTTCCATTGTCGTGTTTGTCATTTCAGAAAGTCGCTAGCTTTACAGCTTTTTTGTTCGGTGCTCTCCAGTACTTAGTGAAACAACAAAAGTCCTTTGCCTGTATCGAACTTACCATCCAATGTCATCACTCCGATCACGATTACCTTCTCTTCGACTCCACCTCCGATCCAGGTACCCCATTTCCACTTCTTTCCACTCTAGATCACTCCCTAAAGCTCTTTCCGGGCGTACATTCTCTCCACCCCTCTCATTCTAGAGCTCCTCTCCCTATTCCCTCGTTTCGCAGTTTCTCGACATTCTTTCCGCGGTTTTTTCTTTCCCTCCCATCCACCGCAGGCCCACCGAACCTTCCGCGCCGCTTCTCTCGACGTCCACTGCTGCATCGAAGACCTTTTCTTCCGCTTTCTCTCCGACTCCGGCGAGGTTTCTCCTTTTCGTTGGATTCACCGCAGCGTTTGTTCTCTCTGCGCTACGTCGCCCTCCATCGATTCGCTCTCGGCGAAGATTTGGCGGCAAAGTTGGCGGCAACCCCAGAGACAGATTTGGCGGCAAATCTGGCGGCGGAGCAGTGGATTCAGCGCGAAATGGAGGCGTTGATCGAGTGCTTCGAATTGTGTTCCCGTGGATCCGATCAGTTCCCCGCGGGGAGCGTAATGAGCGGTCTGTTCCGCGGGGAAATCGCACTGCAGGCGTGCCAGGCCACGTTCTTTCTGTTCGTTTCACCGAACGAGCTGAACGAATTCGAAGAATCGAATCTCGAGAATAGTGTTCCAGAGACAGAGAACATTATTTCAGAACCTGAAACCCCTCCAAAAGAACGGGTCTCACAGAGCAGTGAAACTCCCTCCGACATTCCCGCGGAAGTGGAGTCAAGTGGGAAATGGATCGAATCAGAAATGAGCCGCAAAGTTTTGGAGTGAATTTGATTGGCCGGTTTGACTTGCAGCTATTTCCAAGAGCGAATCGAGCGCGTTCAGCGAGAAAACCAGCAGCTGCACGACCAGGTGGGCTTTTCTCGGCGATGTTGAGGGTAGCTGAGCAAAGCCGAGGCGGATCGGAATTGCCTTTATGCAGGGATGGCTCGCACCTTGCTGGAGATTCGACGGCTCGGTTTGATTCCTGTGGAGGGGGATGTGACGCTCTCGGAGGGCGTTTCGAGTTTGGTTGAGGCGTTCGGCGCGTCGCAGCGGTGGATCGAAGAGGCGAAGCAGAATTTGGCGGCAGGGTTGCAGCAGTGCGCGAAGATCGTCGAGAAAATGAAGGCGTTGGATGGGGAAGAGCGCGATTCCTCGGCAGAGAGCGCAGCTTTCGAAGGGAAACCGGGGAAACCGGGGAAACCGGGGAAACCGAGTGAGAATGGAATCGATGGAGAGTGTGCGGAGTTGGTGGATTCGGTGAAGCGGATGGTTTTGGAGGCGCAATCGCAGTAAGAAAGGGAGGAGCGCAGTAACCAACAGCATGAAGAAGCTGCAAAACGTAATGACCGACGCTACTGACGCCACGGAGGACTGGAAAACCGCGGTGAATGTGCTGGTGCAAGTGAGATCGCACGGGCTGGGTGATGGTCAGGCCGATGAATCCTTCGCGCAGCAGCGGATTCAGCAGATGGAGAGCGAACTGCAGCGGCTGCGCGCGAATCTGGCGACCGCTACAGAGCTGGCGGGGGAAGTTTCTTCGCTGCGGGACGCGAAGCAGCAGCTGGAAGCGCGGGTTGAAGGCCTGGAGCGAGAGCGAAGCGAGCATTCTGCGCAGATTTCGCGTGCGGTTTCCACGTTCGATCTAATCGAGACGGAGCTGCGCGGGCGAATCAGCGAGATCGAGACCTTGAAGGCAACGCTGGACCATGACCAAACGCTCATCGCGAAATTGGAGGTCGGATTGAGTGGAAGAGATGACGTGCAGACGGTCATCGACGATGTCTGCGTGTATTTGTCGCAGTATCAGCAGCTGCATCGTCGGTTGCTCGGCGAGTGCAATCGGTTTTTGCAGCTGCAGCGATCCGGAAGCGGCGGAACGACTTCGAAAGAATGGATCGAGCTGGTGACGTGCGTGTATTCGCTGTCCAAGCTGCTGCAGGAGAAGGAGTTCGCGATGGTGGTGCAGGACTTCGACGATTGCGAAATGCAGGAAATGAAGGAGCGGGAAGTTTTGGCGATGGAGTTGTGCCGAATGAGCGAAGAGCGAGGCGAGGAAAGCGCGACGACCCCCGCGAAACTCGATTCTCTGGAGTGTCGAAGCGAGGACGTATCGGTGGAGACGCTGCAGAAGGATATCACGACGACGCTCTCCGCGCGAAAGCGCACGGTCTTGTCGATTCACTCGCTGGAATTGCGGCTGAACCAAATCATTCGAGCGTTGATAGCGAGAAAAAGCGAAAAAGAAGCGGCGGATAAGGAGTTCTGGAAGATGTGGGACGAGGTGATTTTATTCGCTGGAAGCATTGTGGAGTTGAAGAGGCAGAGTAAGTCGGATAAGGAGAATGGAGATGTTTCGAGCCAAGTGGTGAGGAATGAGAGGAGATTGTGATTGTAGATGGTTCGCTTTTTGTCGCATTTGTACGAGTTGAGCGGAGAATTGGAAGAGCAGCAGAACAAAGAGAAGGAGACGGGGGAGATTTTGCGAACGCTGAGAAAAGGGTTTGAAGTGCAGCAGCGATTGTTGCGAGCGATGTTGGTGCGAAAGAAAGTCCAGGACCAATTGATTCGAATGCTACGATCCCGCTTTATTGAAAAGCAAAAATCCGTTTTGGAACCATATGGATTTACTGAATTGGATGAATTGGATGACAATGATGATTATAATGATGTTGGTGATGTTGGTGACAATAAAAATAATGAAAATAATAATAATAATAGAAATAATAATAGTCATAATAATAATCATAATAATAATGAAACCATCGAAATGAATGAAACTCATCATGAGAATGAAACCATCGAAATGAATGAAACCCATCATGAACATGAAACCATCGATTCTACAGAGCCAAAAGGAACCGGCGTTTCGATTTCGATGAATGAAACGCCCGATTTGACTCCGCAAGAATCTTCGGATCATTCTTCATCTCACCATCGTGGCCTTCTCGACCAGCTTCCTTCGCTGGAATCGATTCGATCGAATCTCCACGAATCCGAAGCCACGGCTGCGATTAAATTCGCTGAATACCAGTCTGCTTGCCAGGCGATCCAGGAGTTCCACTCCCAAATCGACAGCGTCGCTGACGAAGTTTCGCTTCTGAAACGCCAGTTCTTCGCTTCGAAACAGTCGAAACCGGACGAAACGCTCGAGGTAGCGAAAGAGAATCGATCGAATGTAGTCGCAGCCCGAATCGATCGAGCAGTCCATCGAGTTGGCTCAGAACCATTTGGAAACGCTCTGCGAACAATCGCAGACCAAAGAAGAAGAGACCCAGCAGATCTTCACGGAGTTCTTTGCCTGGGGAGTTTCATTGCTGATGACGCAGCGGAAACTGATTTTGTTTGCGGTGCTTTCGGAGGATCAAGTGCGTTTCATCGAATCGAAATGAAAAATAGGGACTTATTTTGGAAGGAGAGGAGAAGATTAAGGGGATTCTTGGTAGAGCGTTCTGTGCCAAATGAAACGTAGAAAACGTGGAAACCTGCATGGAGATCGTGAAGGACGAATACCAAAAAACCCAACAAATTCTCACCGAAGAATGGAATTCCAAAATTCAGCCTGTTTTTTTTTATGGTGGAGGGTCAAGCGTAGTACTCCGAGCGGATCGCCGATGTGCTGCGCGAAATCAATCGAATTGAGCAGCGAATTCGAATCGAAGAAGCCACCGAAGTCTATCCGAATTCCAGAAATCGGGACGATTTTGATAAGGAAATGGTGATTGATAATATGAATCTTCCCGATCTGGATGCCAATTCCACTGCCGACAGCGAGGAAACCGTGGAAATGGTAGAGTTCGATTCGAACAATGCGAGTTCGATCGATCTTCTAGCAGATGAAACTCCCAAAGGGGGATATTCGTTGCAGAAACGGCTCTCTGTGTTGCATTGTCATCTCGCCATTTTGGAAAAGCATCGAGACGAGCAGACTCGAGAGCGCGAAATAGTATTCCAGCGGAACGAAACGGTCGTCCAGCGCTGCCTGTCGATTCTGAGCGGAGCTCGTTCGAAATTGGAACACTATTTAAAGGCGGTTCTTCGCGTTTTGGTTTGGATCGTCGCCTTGAATGTAGAAAGACTGCGAAGTCGTTTCAGCCGATTGCATCGAACCGAATCCCCAACCTCCCCGCGAATTCCACGATCTTCCCTACACTGAGCTGCTTTCTTTCAAAATCGAGTCGATTCTTGGAATTCCAGAAATCCCCGCTACTTCCACTCAGGGCGTTTTCTCGAAGAAAGGCTCGGATTTGTCGGTGAGCGAGCTATCGCCGAATTCGCTGGAGGTCGTCTACGAAAAAAGCATTCACGCGGACTCCGAATCCTCCGTTTCCACGATTCCTCCTGCGCCCAGTTCGGCGGAGAAAACCGCGGAGAAGCCGCTGGAAGCGCGGTGCGGTCGGTGGATGGAGAATTCGGAGAGTTCGACGTGTCTGGTGTGCGGGCGCGCGTTCGGGTGGCTGCGTCGACGGCATGTGGGGAGGAATGGGAGGGCGATGAGGCATAGCATTGCCGGAAGTGCGGTCGATTGGTGTGCGGCGCGTGCAGCCAGCAGCGAGCCGATCTGTCGTTCCTTGGCTATAAGAGCGAAGTGCGAGTGTGTATTCAATGCTATGGAGAGCGAGGCTCGATGGGTGCGATGTCTGCGATGTCTGCGATGGCTACGGCGGCTACGGCGGCTACGGAGGCTACGGTGGCTACAGTGGCCTCGACTCAGGTGTGAAGTGTTTGTTCTCAAACAGAAAAGGGCTCGAGTTCCTTCTGAACCAGATCGTTCAATCCACAATCGTAGAGATTCGATCCCCACACTGCGTGCACTGCTCCCTTGATACACTTATAGCGAACATCGATTCCTGCGTTCTACACGTCAATCGCCTCTCCTCTCTCCCTCCTACTCGCATTTTCTCGGCCACTTCGCGCGCAGCGATCTTCAACGCGTCGTATTCGCACGTAAAAATCCGCACCGGCGGGAAATTCGCGTAGTCGTCGCACACGATCGGCGAGCCGAGCGGGGAGTTCACGCTCTCCCACGAAGGGAAGTACCAGCGCGACATCACCTCGCCCGTCTTGTACTGCAGCCCGAACGTGTTGTCATAGATCATGTTTCGCTCGTCCCACGAAAGGTCGTCGTCGGGGACTTTCCGATTGTCCATCGCTGGGTAGATCAGCACCATCTTCTTGAAGAGATTGCGATGGGCTTCGTCTCGAGCCAGCTGTGCAATGCTGAAGCAGATCATGCCTCCTGCGGAGTCGCCCATGAGAATGATTTGCTTCTCGTCGATGTGGAAGTCTGCTTTGTGCTCCAGAAGGAATTTCAGACAGTCGTAGCAGTCATAGACGGCGGTGGGGTGCTTGTACTCGGGAGCGAGGCGGTAGTTCACGTAGGTTATGATGCTGTTTGTTTTCAAAGCGTATTTGCACAAGATAGGCTCATTCGACCAGCGATTTGCCATAACCCAACCACCACCATGGCAAAAGAATACTAACTGACGGGGCTTTGGGTCGTTTTCGTTGGCAATCGAGCTGGGAGTATCTGAAGAATCAAGAAAAACACAAGGGCAGTACAAGTGTACAAATCAATCTGTGTTCCGTCTCTTACAGTAACAGAGGTGACATCAGCAATGACTCCTTCATCTGAATAGACACAAAACCCACAAAAGCCTACAATGTGGTAGTTTGTCACGAGGAGGAGTCAAATATTTTCGCAGCGAGATAAATCTAGGCTTATTCTTTTCTTCTCCTCTACTTTTGAGAGATGCAATTTCCAGTACTCTCCTATTAGGAATTTCATCGTAACATGCGAAAAGAAGGAGAATAAATTAACGAAAAATGACATATTATGGTTGTACGTTCCATAATACACAACAGCAGTCAGCAGGAAGAAAAGAAGAAGCGTAATGGCGCCTGAAAGAAACCCCATATGCTTAGAACAGGCTGAAATAACAAAATACTAAAATAGTCCGCACAAACTGTCAACAGTTTTTCGATTTGAATTCCTATTTTCGTGCCGATTTCTCATGTTTTGGCGGTTTTTCCCATTCATGAGCCATGACTGGGCTTGCCCATGCCTTTAAGGACTTGATTCTACGTGTAAACACACCCTTTGTTAAATGATAAGAACTCAAACCCAAAACGGTTATCGCAGCAATCTGGCAGGGATGCTATTTTCTTAGATAGTTTAGAACCAAACAAATTGTTATTGCTTTTGAGGATTTCCCGCAACCACATAGCAGACCGTAACATTTGATATATGGAATGAGTAGTGATTTGTCACAAATAGTGAAACTGCTGGGAGTATGGGATATGTGCTTCGCTAACCGTTAGAATCACGAATATATAATTCGTGAGCAAATTGCAGAAACAGAAATCGCAATAACCGATTTTTCGGATATAAATCCCGTCGAATTTCTGTTTTCATTGCTTCGAGATAATATGCTATCGCTAGAAGGTGTAAGCGAGGGAGAGTCTCATAATGCTCGTAGAGACTGACCAGTCTGCTTGTTCTCTACGTGTATATGAAAGAAAACGGAGAGGTTGGTCAGATAATAAGTGAATTCCTTGAGAATTTGTTTGAAGGCGTATTATGTGTGGATGGGATGCTGTGTAGTCTCGTTGCACCCCGGAGAAGATGATGTGCGTTTCGATTGTAACGGGTTCTTTAGGCCAGTACTCCGTATTTCTTTTTCGCTTCTTGAATTCATTCTTTCTAGTCTCTGCATTTATCCGACTTCATATCCAAATCCTATGAGACAGACAGCTGCGAGGTATTATCTTGCCCTTCCTTTCGCCGTTAGTTGTCCTGGACCCCCTCCTTTCGCCCCGTGTTCTTCACTCCCTGCGGCGAAGTCCCCGAGATGCTCTTTCCTGCAATGTATCCGGAGCAGGACCAAGACCTTTCGGCCTACGCGGAGCTTTTCCAGGACTCCGAGTCCTTTTTTCTCTTCTCCTCGCCGCCGTTCGACCGCCCCTCCCTCTCGCTCTCCCCCTCTCGCGACGAAGTGCGTGCTCTTGGCGGTCTGAATCCCAGTTCTACTTTCCCTTCGTCGACTTGGCGCCCTCCTTCCTCTTCATCCCCATGCAGAGCAATCTGCTGGACGATCTCCGCCGCCTCCTCGATCGCAGCGTGTCCCAGCCCCTCACAGAAGGCGAGCTGGAGCAAGTACGCACCGATGGCCGCTCGAACCGTAGCTGCGAAGCGACGTGTCGTGCTACAAAGCGTTGATCCGCGAGGGGAACTGGACCTCGGGGAAGTTCCGCTCGCTGCTGGCGAATAACGTGACGATCGCGCTGGACGTCATGCGGGAATCGTTCTCGGTGCAGAAGAAGAAGCAGCAGCTGCTCGACATCGTGGTGCAGTCGCAGTTGTCGGTGTCGGTGTTGCATGTCGCGAGTCAGCTGCTGTGCTTTGAAGCGATCCCTGCCGCGTTTTTTAGGAACTTTGTAGAGAAAGCCATGAAGAATTTGCCGCTGATAAAGGACACGAAGCTGCAGAGACAACTTGTTCGGTGTTTTTGCTTTTTTTTATCTGGGGTGTACAAGAAGGGGATTGTGGATCTAGCTGTTCAGGTGTGTGGATATTGTAAAATCTAGTTTACAAAGAATGCGGTTACAAAGCTAAAGAGCTCTTTCAAGGATGTGCCTGAAATTCTGTGTCTTCAATCACTCCTGAATAGTGGATATCTTACGTACTATGTTTGTTGACACGAATTTTTGTACTTTTGTAACCTCCGACTGGAATGTCCGTAGTAAGGATAATCTCTCCACGAAGTCACTGGACACCCCTGTCCATTTCACGTTGTGGCCTAAAAGGGAGAAAATGGTGGTGTGTTATCAAAATCTGAATCACCATCCGTATTTCGGTATGTTTTGGCTAAGGTGTATTTCTCATCCGAAGATTGTTCGGGATCCATATGAAAATAGGGAATGGGTTCCCGAACCATAAGTTCGAAAGTGAATTAAGATATTACGCTTAATTACCATGAATATATAATTGTTTTAATCTAATGAGCCTCAAATAAGAGAAAGTCACCAACCCGTGAGTTAGCTGGCGGCCACAAAATATGATCAATAACGAAGGTAACAAGCATATATCGACGGTATATTGAGGCAAGTAAAGAGTGAGGAGAACCGAGGGAGCAATTGGTAGCCGTGATGATTAATTATAGGGTCATGGGCCCTAATTAACCTCAGTGTTTAAAGGGAGTTTCTTATATGGATTGACCGAAATACGGTACAATCCCCATTAAATGGGTATAAGGTAATCCTTAAAGCCAAACTTTTTTTAAAAGATGCTCTTGCTGGTTTCGTTTTTACTCTTTAGCATTTGTAGTGATATCTATTAGTAGTAATTACTAGCAACGGCACAGATCTATAAATGGGATTGTACATCAGAAAAGGTTTCTCTGACAATCAACCAAGAAATGACGCCTATTGTTTGCAGCGTCCAACCTTACAGAGAGTTCACTCCCCGTTTAACTCCCACTCTTCCTGCTGGATTGACATATTCTATTGAGAATGGTCCAGGTCTTTTTCGTAAGGTGACTATATCGGGAACCCCCAAAGAAGGTTTGAATCCTCGTTTGTTTTATGTGGGATTCAATGCTTGGGTGAGTGCAATTGAGATTGGAGGTAGGTGTTTTGAAGTGTTTTTGTGAGTTTCTAGTCTTCAGTACCCCTACTTACTGCAGCTACGGTTTCGATTCTATGACTTTGTACACTGATGTGGACATGGAGCCCATCCCTATTCAGTGCAATACTGCCATCGAGACCTTCACGATTGAGCCTCAGTTGCCCGAGGGTATGACTATGGATCCTGCCACGGGTACCATTTCGGGTCACCTTACCCATTACGATAATGAGAACATTGTGTACACTGTGACCGCCACCAACACTGCTACTGGTGTTGCGGGCAGTACCACTACCACTTTCACCTTCCGTGCTCGTTCTCAGGCCGAAATGACCACTCCTGGTATGATTGGTTGCTACTGGAAGACCATTACGGAGTGCAAGGTCCCCGATTTTGATTTCTTTTATAAGAATCCTGCTCAGCACTGCCAGACTGTGGGAGACATCAACTTCTCTGATAATGATGTGGATAACACTTGGCCTGGTTTGGATCGTCGGTTTGTGGATTACTACTCCGCTTATTTCTATTCGTATCTTAACATTTTGGTCCCGGGTACCTATCAGTTCCGTCTGTCTTCGGATGATGGTGGCATTCTGTACATCGATGATCTGAACACTCCTCTGATCACTCGTGATGGTTGCCAGGCTCGTAGCGAGACGGCTGCCGAGAAGATGCTGACTGAGGGTCGCCACTTGCTGGTGATCCGTTATCTGGAGTACAACTCCTGGTCTTCTCTGTACCTGAAGTACGGATCCACCGAGCTGGGCTATGATCAAGCCATTATCTCGTCCTCCGATCTTCGTGTCGGTGGCCGTGGTCCTACTTTCATCAGCTACAACTTCGTTGCTGGTTCTGTGGACACGGATATGGCTGTGACGCGTCCTGAGCTCAGCTCTGGAACCCCTACTGCGTGGTCCATCTCTCCCGAGCTGCCTTCGGGTATTATTCTCGACCCTGAGACCGGATACATCAGCGGACGACCCACTACCACTTCCTCTGCCTACTACACTGTGACTGCTACTGGAGTAAACGGAGCGGCTACTGCGCAGGTGCGTATTGTGGTGACGAACGCACTGCTGTCGGGTCTGCGTGCCACCTACTACAATATCGCCGATACTCCCGAGATGTGCGACTATCCCATGCTGGCTGGTAACGCCATTCAGCTGTCTGCGATCGATATCGTGGAGAACATTTACCACCCCGAGACCTCTGCTGGCGCCGTGTGGTCCGGATTCCCCAACGACTTCAGCACCTACTTCTACATGGAGTGGGAGGGTTATCTGAAGATGGACACGATCGGTAACTGGCGTCTGCGTATCACCTGCGATGATGGTTGCAAGCTGATTGGTGCGGACGAGCAGATCCTGATCAACCACTGGGGATGCCACTACTACCGTGGAATGGAGACGACCTACCCTGTGTCGAAGAGCGGTTTCTACTACTTCCGTGTGGAGTATCAGCAGGCCGGCAGCACCAAGGGAATGACGTTCGAGTGGAAGACTCCCGGCGGCGTGTGGGAGGTTGTGCCTGCCGACAAGATCTTCTATGTGCCCACTGGAGTGCTGACCTACAAGTACGAGCGCGCGCACTACTTCAAGAACTCGGCGATCATCGAGAACACCCCGATCACCTTCGGAATTAGCACGATCTCTGGCTACAGCTCCTTCCCCGAGCTGCCCGCCGGAATGTCTCTGAACGCCCAGAACGGTCGCATCTCCGGAACTCCCACCAATGTCCAGGTGATGACCTACTACACCATCACTGCCGGATCGGGTTCCAACAAGGAGTCCACCGTGATTGCGTTCGATGTGACCGAGCTGGCTGCTCCTACGGGTCTGCAGTACTTGCAGAATGGCCAGCCCGTGTCCGCCGGAGCTCCCGTTGAGCTGATCGCCCTGCGTGCCATCAACGATTTCACCATCCAGAACACCGCGAATGTGGTCGTGAACCGCTACACCGTGAGCCCTGCGCTGCCGAAGGGTCTTACGCTGGACGAGGCGACCGGAAAGATCTCGGGTACTCCGACTCGCTCGAGCAGCAGCACCGTGTACTCGATCACTGCTTACAATGCTGCCGGCTCCTTCTTGATTCTGCTCAGCCTGTCCGTCTCTGGATGCAAGGGAAGCGGCTGGACTGGCGAGTTCCTGCATGTCACGATGCTGTCCGGAAATGGTCTGGTGGCTGTGGTCAACTCTGCGGAGCAGGTGCAGAGCTGCTCGCTCAACACCATGGGTTCGGATGGTAACGCTGTTTCGGGCACCTGCCAGATCGGTCTGAACGCCGAGGAAGGAAACGAAGCCACGATTTGCATCAACCCTGCGACGGCCTCGTCGCTGAGTGTCAAGGTCACTTGCTACGAGAACGCTGGATGCCGCTGGCAGATGATGCGTGATGACGGCAACTACTATCCTTACCGCAATGCTTACACGGATGTGGGTTACGCTCCCTACTACGATACGGCTCCCTATCCTACCTCCCTGACGCCGCTGAACACGCTGGTGCTCTCTTCCACTACTGTCACTGCTTTCTCTGGCAGCCGCATGCCTCACGTCACCGTCACTCCGAACGGATCCTATCAGTCGATCACCATCTCGCCGGCTCTGGGAGACGTGACCATCGATCCTACCTACCCGATTCTCTCTGGAACGGTGAGCGGAACTGGAAGCCAGGTGTTCACGGTGACTGCCACTGGATCTTCGGGATCCGCGCAGGCCACGCTTACTGTGAACTTCGGTGATTGCTCGATCGCCACCGGACGACGCCAGGTGTCGATTGTCGTGACCACGCAGGCCTACGCACAGGAGCAGTCCTGGCGCTTGCTGAAGAATGGCGAGGAGCTGTACAGCTCGGGCACGCTGGATCAGTACTACATTTACACGGAGACGTTCTGTCTGGAGCCCGGAAGCTACATCCTGGAGCTGTCGGACTCCTACGGAGATGGATGGACGGATGACTCGAACCTGGTGGTGTACGACAGCAACTTCAACGCGCTGCTGACCACGACCATTCCGCACATAAGCGGTAGCACGGCGTACAAGAAACAGAACACCGATTTCGTGCTGGAGGCGCAGTTCACTGCCACCGCCTGGAAGTACTTGATCAACAAGCGTCCCGACACCCGCTGGAACCAGATCGGAGGCGACATCTCGGCGTTCACGGATCTGGAGGACGGAAATCTGGGCCCGTACTCGCAGAACGGTATCTACTTCGTCCACAAGTTTGATCTGACCGATGGAGAGGCCTATCCGATTCTGGAGTTCGGTATCTACTACAAGGATGGAGCGATCGTGTACCTGAACGGAGAGGAGGTCTATCGTCGCAACATGAACTCTGGAAGCGTGAACCACAACACGGCTGCTGTGAGCTCGTTCGACGGATACTTCATGCGTGTGGGAACGGCTCCCGGCTATCTGCTGAAGACCGGAGAGAACGTGTTCGCTGTCGAGCTGCACCGCGTCTCCTCTACGCAGGAGATCGTGTTCAGCGGTTACGTGAGCTACACTGCCGGAGACTGCGTCACTCGCTCTGTGGGAGGAACCATCACGGAGTCGCAGTTCTACGACAAGGTGGGCGAGACGGCGACGGAGGCTTGGGACTCGGACCCGAACACGCAGTGGACGGAGAACGGTCTTCCTGCCTGGACCGTGTACTCGTTCAACTTCGATCACGTCGAGTGGGTGAACCGTCTGTCGTTCGGTTCCTCCAAGGACGACGCCAACCGCGATGCTTCGCAGGTCTCCGTGTTCGGAGGCGATGACGGCATTACCTGGAACCATCTGTTCTCGTACCAGCGTCGTGAGATGTTCGAGTCGCGCTCGCAGGTGAAGACCTTCATGATGATGGACCACATGAACTCGTACTCCAAGTTCAAGATCGAGATCGGCGACACCAAGGATAGCGTGGCTCGTGTTTCCGTGTCTACCATTTCTCTTGATGCTTGCCGTCTTGTGTACTGCCCGAAGGAAGGAGACTATCCCGGAACGGCTTCTGGAGAGACGATCACGATCGACTGTCCCGAGGGCTATCTGGGAGAGCGCTACCGCACTTGCAGCAGCGACAAGCTGAAGCCCACTTGGGGCGAGCCCGATGAGACGGAGTGCCGCTACCGTTATCCTTCCTCGAAGGGAACCACCTACATCGACCTGGTGTACGTGTTCTCTCCTCTGAGCTACATCGACTTCATGGGCGAGCCCGTGGACAACCTCCGTCTGGTGGTTGCCACCTATCTGGGCATCCAGGACAAGTACGTGGAGGTGTGGAAGACGAAGGACGTCACCATTTCCTTCAAGTCCGAGGAGATGGACGAGACTGCGAGTAAGACCGCTGCGTGGGTGCACGTGGAGGTGCCTGACGAACAAGCCGCTGAGAAGAACCAGATGCTGCTTTCCTCCCCCAATATTGTTCTCGAGCAGATGAGAATCTATGTCGCCTCTCTGTTCACCCAGAACACGAAGATCGCTTTCTATATGGCCCCTGAAATGAGTCAGTACCAGGATATTGGTAAGGTCAGTGGATGGGTTATTTTCTTCATGATTGTGGTGGTGCTGATTGTGGTGGCTGTGATTGCCTTCTATGTCTGGTCGAGACTGAAGAACAAGAAGACGAAGAACGGCGCTAAGAAGCTGAAGGCTGCTGGTGCTTCGAAGAAGGGAAAGGAATCCAAGACGGATAGTAAGAAGGCTCGTGTATAAACTGCTGTTTTTCGTTTCTTTTTTACAAACAGAAGAATAGGTTGATTATTATTATCATCATTATCCCACTGGGACGTGCATTACGAGACTCACGATTTGGAGGCTAGCTCCTTATTGATATCTTCCATGCGCATAGATATCCGGTTTAGCGCACTCACAAACTTCTCTGTGCAGTTCTCTATACAGACAATTTCGCCTTGACCCAAATGCTTTGATCGCAGAGTTGGAACACACTTGTTAAAGCATGCTTCGGTGATGTGGTTCTCAAATCTACCGACTCAACTAAACATACAACCAAGAACTTTGCTATATACTTCATCTCTTCATATTCTAGTTTGCTATCAATATCCTCGCCCTTTCCTCTGCTCATCCAGTTGGAAAATCAAATATAGAAAAAGGGAGGGCGTTTCACATTGTTATGTCCGACCAAAACATCAGAATTGACGCCTTTTGGATGGCTCTGAGCGCTGCAATGGGACGAATGAAGGGAAACTAGTGAAAGAGGATGAGCACAGCCGTAGTACTCGAAGGATGGAAGTTTTTGTAGCTGATTAAAATGCAGAGGAGAAATCGTACAATACCGCTGGCTTTTCACGATATCGTAATTGTTTGCTGCTTTCTGAAAAATGAAAATTGCAAAATGTACAACTCATGTATTCTGTGCTCTGATTGCTTCCACCTGCAAAAAAGTCAAGACAACCCACCGTTTAGCACAAAAACGGAGGTTGAGGGAATGGCTTGCTACCATTCTCCTTTAACATGTGAGATAATTAGTTACATACATCCACACGTATACAAGGTCATTAGTGTAATGCAATGACGATTCCAATGAGTCCAAAGAAACAGTTTCACAATTCCAAGAGAAATTTTCCACGATTTAACAACTTCAACATTTTTCCACATGCCATGCAAACCGCTATCGATAGTATTATTTCCTCTATTTCTCAATACAATATCGATAGCTCTAGTATACTAAACATAGAAGAATCTGTAAATGAAAACATGAAAGCGGATGGCTGGGTTTCTTTGGTATTGAGAAATAGAGAGTGTATAGTACTGAAATTCGACAACGGAATATTTATGAATGAAGGGTATATATTGAATGATGCAGAGATACTGACAGTATTCGGGAATCGCGGCATCGGCAACGTTTCAGATGGTGAAGAAATGGCAGAGGTAGTAGAAGAAGGAATTGTGGACTTGGATCATGGAAGTCGATATGAAGGTAGAGTGCTAAAAGAAGGTAAAATTGGAATTCCATTTGGATATGGTGAAATGTATGATGATGATGGAATATTGGTGTACAAGGGCATAATGATCAATTGGAAACGATTTGGATATGGAACGAGTTATCATAATAATGGATGTATTGAATATGAAGGATATTGGTGTGATGACAAGCGATTTGGAAGAGGAAAAGTGTATGACCGTAGGAGAAAGCTGATCAAAGATTGTTGCTGGTGGAATGGGTGTGAAAGCGAAGTGAATTATGAAGGAGACGGAAGCAACTTGAATATAAAGGTGACGTGTCTCCATTTGCTTGACAACTGCATTCTTAATGCTTTTAACATTTCAATGTTTCTGAATTTGAATTCAGTCAAAATAGGTAATGATTGCTTTTATGACGTGAAGACATTTCGAATTGAAGGAATGAGTGAATTGAAAAGGATAATGATTGGATTTAATGCGTTCACTCAGCAAAAGAATTATTGGGGAAATGATACTTCCAAATCATTTCACATATTGGACTGTGAGTCATTGGAATCCATTGAAATCGGTGACTATAGTTTTTCAGATTTTGGAGGAGACTTTGAATTGAAGAATCTTCCTGCGCTAGAATTGATCAGCATTGGATATTGTGGAAGCGACTCATTTAACTTTTTCGAGAGTCCGTTTGAACTGAAAGGTAGGAGGAATGGTTTCAATTCAGATTCTAGACTTTCCAAAACTCAAATCCATCGAACTAGGTGACGGTAGTTTTGGAAATTCACATACTTTTAGCATTGATGGATTAGACGATTTAGAATTGATAGACATAGGTAACAATTGTTTTTCTGGTGTGAAAACATTTACAATCAACGAAATGCACAAACTGAAACAATTAAGGGTTGGCGAAAATTCATTTACTCAGAAACGAAGCTATTGGGGAAACAACACTTCAAAGTCTTTCCACATATTGAACTGTGAATCACTGGAATCGATCGAGATTGATCAATGTAGTTTTTCTGATTACAGTGGAAAATTTGAACTGAAGAATTTGAAATCACTGCAATCGATCAAGATTGGATCAATGACTAGCGAATCCTATAATTTTTACTCGTGCACACTGCAAATTCGAGGTCAGAATTAGTAGAAACATATCATCCATAGATTTACCCTGTTTAAAATCGATAGAGTTAGGTGTTTGGGTATTTTGTAGAACCATTTCTACAGTTTTTGAAAGTATTGTTAAAAAAGGGTATATGAGCGATAGATCTTCCTTCGCTAGAATCGATTGATCTTGGGATGTGCTCTCTTCTCGGTAGATATAATATTCCAGAATGTTCCCTAACGATGAAAAGTATTGACATCCATAGATAGTATGGTGACGTTATCACATAGATTTGCCGAGTTTATCTCGTTTATGCTCCCATGGCCAGGGTTTTTATAGACCTCGAACAGTCATTTTGGAAAGTAACGAATGGTAGAAACTATTGACAGTGTAGATATTCCTAAATGTCACAATGTTCTTTTATTTAATAGTTTTCAAAAGGTTCAACATCTTGCAATTAATAGTTTGAGGTGATAGAGTGTTTGTAATGCTATAGACGTTTCTCATGATCTTGCTCAAGTAGTACATCAGGGTTATATGCCTGAACTGATAAATTCATAAAAGGCATTGATTTGTTTGTTCCAAATCATTAGAAAAGAACAGCAATAAGCATAGTATGGATTTGTGTAGTGTATGAACTTGGATTGTTAAATTGTGTAGATGATAGATGTGTGAATGGTATACGACTCATTCTCTTGTAGAAATAGTAATGGATTGCATTAACATATGGTTGGAGTACAATTTAGTGTGCGTTACACGGGATATACATAATGGACTACTTGACAGTCATGATGACGATATTGTATGCAATATTAATAATGAAAGATTTCATTCTAATTATTTATTACGTTAAATACCATACGCAAACACATATTTGCTACAACAATACTGTTTCTAAACAATAAAAATATATATATAGGACTTAAGAAATAAAAGTGTTGATTACTGATAGAAGGAATAATAGCAAATAAATGATATCGATTTATGGTTGAATGCGACTCTCGATGTTTGATCTAGATTTCTATTTAAAATTACTCTTTGACAATATCAGCCAGAACAGAAGCAACGTCTATTATTCAGTGGAACCTAGGAAACTATTACTTGATATTGATTTCAATGTGAATTCATTGAATGAACTAGGTAGATTCACCCGTTCAAGATTCGGAATGTCTAAATCGAATCAATTTCGATTATTGTGATTCGACTTTCAAGTGTTACTCCACCCATTATATAAAGAGCAGCCCATATCGAATCAATGAACGTCAGATTTGGAAGATCTAATCATTCAATCATTTCTTTCAATTTCATTCTACTTCGCATTATGAATGACGTTGATTTAGATCCAAATAGTGCATATTCACCCAGTTGAATGGATTGTAATGATGGAAGATCTAGTCATTCAATCATTTCATTCGAATTCATGCAGTACCTTCAATTATTGTCGATGAGGGATAATGGAACGCCCGGTCACCTAATGTAATGGATTGTAGATTTGGAAGATCTATGCATTACCCAAATATTCAATATCAGTTCAATACCTCGAAGCACAAAGGAACTACTATGGAAATTATTTGATTTGCTTCCAATTGTCCCGATTTGAATGGATTGTAATTCTGGCAGATTCTTCAATTCAAAGTCGCCTCCAAAATCACTGAAACTATATTCACCAATTTGAATGGATTCCAATGATTCACAATTCAATATGTGGAATGACTTCGATTCATCATCTCCATTTCTATACTTTCTATGAGTAAATGAATTGATTCCCATTTTGATACTTTTCAGTCGATTCTATCCATCGATTTGGAATGTTTGCACTGATTCAAAGCAATCATCACCAATTTTGATCGACTGTAACCACTCAAATCTGTTTACATTTAGTTCACTTACATCATTATAACTATTCGATGAAATCTTCAAATCGGTCATTTCAAATCTCACACTTTCGAATTCTTTGAATTCTGTAATATTTGCTTCAACACTCGATGGATTGTACCACCCATTATTCAGATTTATTCCACTCACTTCCACTCCATCCTTCCATTCACATTCTCGAGTTGCAACTCCACTCTTTTCATCAATCAAACATCCCACACCTTCACGAATAAATTGTTCATTGTCTTCATCATAGCGAAATCCACCCACATACATCGGAATTCGTTTCATTGGATCCAAACTAGCTGAACCGTTTCGCTTCAATTCGGTCATTGTATCTCCATCGAAATATCGAATCACTTCTTTCAATGCTCCTTTGCTCCAAATGCCTTCCACAACCACATTTCCGCTTTCTTCATCATATTCGATACCCCACCCTTCTCTTTGACGATTATTGTTGAATTCTCCGTGGTAGAGCAAATGTCCAGTTTGGAGGGACCAAATTTCCATTCGAAGGCCCTTCTTGTGATTCCTTATACGATTCCAATTAGTTTGTTCCAAAATATCCTGGAATCGTTGAACGAAATCAACTCGACCATTTTTGTATCGAACAAACTCACCCACCCACTTCTTTTCATTTTCTATTTCATTCCATTGCTGCTTTAGTACATTATTTTCATACAAAAATACATGGCCTAGAGGAGAACACATTGTAAACTCGTTTTTATGTTCTCCTTGATAATATTGAACAGAATATTGCATTCCGTCTTTCATGACAATTGTTGGCTCACCATGTGGACATATCCATCAAGTAAGTGTTCCGCTCCCTTCATCTTGCTGAAGGTGACTATTCATGAGTACAAATGCATGTTTGTACATTCAGGATTCATTTTTGTGTTGCTATTGGAAATGAAATGACTTTCCAGAATTAACCTGAAAACACTCCTATTTCCTATTTTGGCACAATTTGGAAGAAATCAACCATTCTATTCTCTGATATAATAATAATAATAATAATAATAATAATCCGATGCTAAATGAATACATGTAAAAAACCTATTGCTCATTCACTTATGTAGTGCTTGCTATCTCCATCTTTTTTTATCATATCACATCATATCATATCATATCATTCTAATTTCATTGAGTCATTATCCTTACCATTTTTTGAACAAACAAGGTTATACTTTCACAGCTTTCTTTACGCCTTCCTTCTTGTTTAACTGTTTCTTGGACGATGATGAGACTTTGACACTCCTTCCTTTCACACCGCCGACTGCCTTAGCCTTTCTGTTTACGCGCATCACAAGGAAAACAACAACCGCAATGATGATAATAGCAATGACAACAAGTATTATAATCATCGCAACAGGCATACAGTATCCACTAACACTCTGCCACTCTCCATTCGTTTCTCCAAGTTTACAAGCTCTTTTCTGTGTACCGACATACGATCCACCCAGAGCACAATCATACACATACACCTCGCCAACATTTGTAGTGGGGAAGTTGCCTTCCGCTTTGCAAGTTCCCTTTTGCACAGAAATGTTGATGGTAACGTACGTAATTCCAGCCTGGTTCTTTCCATATATGGTGTATGTTTTCAGAGTGGTTTCTTCCGTTGGAATACCAGTAATCTCTCCAGTTACAGTATTTAGTGTTAGTCCTGCTGGAAGGAACGTATTTTCCGCCAAATAGAACTCCTCAATAATATTCACATATTCGGGACTATTGATGACTACGTTTGTATCCATTATAAGATTGTATATGGAGGAATCATACAGCAGCTTATCGGGGAGTTTCTGAGTACAGTACTCATAATTAATCTCTCCCAACTGGCCATTTGTGCAGGTACGGTAGGAATAACCGCGATACCCCTCTTCACAACTAGCAGGCGAGATTTCTCCCTCTCCCACAGAAGGATAATCACCGATTGCAGGACATATGCTGCTTCCGCTGGGCTTGCAGTAGAGCAGCATATACGAACTCAAATAAACAATGGACGATGCAGCCACATCCACTTCAAATCGAAGCTGCACGAATCCAGCAATACCCACAGGAACTGACCAAGTAACTCGCGACAATGCCTGAGTGCTTTGGCCAGTAAGCTCCAAAGCCGAAATGTATTCATCGCTGGTATCCATTCGTACATAGAATGAGAACCCATATCCAGTGCAGGTGTACACGGTCTGCATTCCGAAGTTGTTGAATTTGGTTCCTTCTAAGTTCTCTACAGACCATTCGAGATATGTGCCTTGACTATTGGGCTGATATCCATAAGTGGTAGGATTCAGATCCAGCAAGCTTTCCTTGGAAACCAAGGAAACGTCGGATCCTTCGATGCTGGAGAAGGTGTCTACTGCAATCGAACAGTCGTTTACTCCAAACACACCAGTAGCATCGAATACGACAGTACTGGAAGAAGACTGACCTGTAGGGCGATGGATTTCAAATGCGATTACATTCTTTCCAGTTACTCCTCCTACAGTAGACATAATCACATGGAACTTGGAAAACTCGTCCTGACTGTGGACAGACACAGACTGTGATTCTGAGTTGAAGTTGTCCTCCAGATTGAACCGAGCTGTTAGTCTCCCATTGAAATAGACAGCCACTCCTCCAGTGTATTTTACCCGCACATTCAAGATATGGTAACTGTCGATGTCAGGAATGTTGACTTCTTTCCGAATATAAGTGGTGATTCCAGTATTCAGTCCAATATCGCTAGCTTTCTCCACTGTCCAAGCAGAATCATCAAAGTCCAGATTGTACCAATTCTCTACATAGTCATAGTTGATATTCCAGTCAGAGTAGTCGATCTGGAAGGGAAGGAAGGACGAAAACATTGTGCTCACAGCGCTAGTACCGCTTGGCAATTGACCCATTTCGAAAATCATGGTACCCAGGTCAACGGTCAAATAGTATCCAGCAGGATTAAACCAACCATCGCCGTATGAGTCAAGCAGTTGGAGAGTGTAGATGTTATCCGCAAGACAGAAGTCTCCATAATTCAAACTAGAAGACGCTGCAAAACTGTTAATTGAAGCGACAACAGTTCCACTTGTTCCAACTCCTTGATATACTTTGTAGGAAGATTCTGAAGGATAACTATCAGTATAAGCCACCAAAGTTATGAGAGATCGACCACCCGTACAGATTTCAACTGTAAAAGATAAAACCGTGGTGGAGGTACCTCCTGTGAGTTTTTCTGCGGTAATGGTATATGATGAAGAAGATGTTTCGGTTGCCGTTCCAGAGATCATACCGGTGTTCGGGTCAAGAGTGATACCAGCAGGAAGACTTGGAGTGACCTGGAAATTGAAGTAGTATTCAGAGTTAGGATACACTTCTCCCATCTCAATGTTTTTGTAAACAGTGGTGGCTTCGTACGACAATTCAGGAATATCGATCGTGGTACAGACCGAATTCATATCAATTGCTCCCAGTTGCCAGTAGCAATCCGAAGAATCCCCGGTACCGAAATTCTCAAACCGATACTCGTGATACGCCTTGTTGTTCTGGAAATAGATGGTGTGTGTCTGACCAACCTGAGACCATGTGAGTCCCGTTACAGTCGTCAGCGTTGTCCACTCATCACTTCCGCTACGAGCTTTCAACACAAACTGATGAGGTTGCTGAGTACCCTGTGTATACGACAACTTCACAGTCACAGCATTGATCCATTCATGTCGATCATTATCAAAAGTAATATCCAAATAGTTGTCCGTGCAGGAAGAATAATAAATATAGTAAGAGTAATAATGATCAAAAATATTGGTTGGATAGCCATAGATTGAACTATAAGAGCTTGCATAGTTAAACACTCTCGATTCGCTCTCCTCAGTCATCAGTCGAAGAGCACAGTCAAAGATGGCTTCCACTTGATTTGCATTCGCTGCGACTAGTCCAATTGCAATTGCATTCGATCCCTGCTGAATGTAATTTACCGCAGATGTTCCGTTGATTTGTACAGTTTTAATAGGAAGAGAAATCTGGCGATAGATTGCATCTGTGTAAATATTGTTTGCATAGCTCGAAGTGCTGATCGTGGTATCTGTCAATCCTTTTCTGAATACTTCATTTCCGTTCAGATAGACAATACATCCATACATATACTTAATAGAAAGGACGAATCCAGCAACATTGCTAATGTCCGATATTGTGAATGTCTTCTTGTACAGCTGAATCTGATTTGTGGAATCGGGGAAACTACTCTCATTTCCCTCAGACCACCCCTCAGTCGAAGTCGATGAATACCAATCCGAAGGAACTTCTCCATGTAAGTAGTACCAGTTGGAACTCGTCCCAATAGCATACTGGGCATTGAATGTGCGAGTATTGGGAAAGCCAATGTTGGAATCATATCGAATTCGAAGAATCGTTTCCATATCATCACCAGAGAGTATAGAACGAACGTAGAGGAAGGATCCCGACTGCCAATATGTTTGGGTTGTCGCGACAGAGACGGTATATTTGGTCCCTGTGACGCAAGCAACGCTTGTCCAATCCACATTATTTTCCTGGCCAGAATTGTAGGCAACAGAAATCACGACATCTTGAGTGGACGAATCTGTAATGTCAAAGCTTTCGTAATATGCATTGGACTTGTATGTTCGAAGAACATTGAGCATTGTCCCAGAGCATTCCTGTGCAGTTAAAGTGAATGACCCAGTATAGGTGTTTCCAAGGACAACGGAAGATACCGTTATGGACAAACTTGATACTGCGTTTCTCACGATGCCAGAAATCACACAGGTCGTGGAATCGATGGAGAGTCCTTCAGGAAGGTTTTGGGCTGTGCAAGAAGTGAATTCACTGATATCAGGCTTGACATACACCTCTTCGTATTTGGCCCAAACTGTATATGTATTAGGAGTGAACGTAATTGAAGTGGGGACGGATGTAGTACATGTCAAGGGTTGCATTTCGTATACATAGACATAGGAATAGCTGCTCGCAACGATACTAGCCCGATAATAATTATAAAGTCCAGAGTAGAAATAGCCTTGGAAGAGTTGGTAGGTGCTCGATTCATAGGAAGCTCCTGACACCGAAATGATATTTGTCCATTCCTGATTATCGTTTGATCCTTGCCAAGTAAACGTGCTGGGAGCATACGTCGAAAGTGTGTATGGCCACACACGTACTGCATTAATATAAGGTCTTGCTTCATCAAAAGTAAATGTCACAGTATCAGGTAGCGACGAACTGCTTGCATAGTAATAGGTGGATTTCGCGAAATCGAAAATATTACTGACAGTGGTGCCTCCAATAGAAGACACAGTTGTGGATTCGCCGTAAATAAAGCAATTACTTTCGGTAACGGATGAAGCCAGAATGGCTAAATAAGCATTGAAATCTACAGATGTCTGATCAGTGACAAAGTGAATCTCCACAGCCAGAATCGATTGCTGCGACGCTACTTCGGATCCAGGGCGAATGAATCCACGATAAGCGATATCGGTGTATTGTCCAGAAGCAGCTGTTGTGGAAGTGACATCTCCATCGGGCATGTTGTCACGATACACTTCATTTCCATTGATATAGGCAATCACTCCAGCGATGTAGTACAGTCTCACATCATAAGCAGCCATGTCAGATATACCCACAAACTGCTTACGGAAATACTGAGTACCAGATACTGTTGTAGTTACAGAGCCGAGTGTAGCATCCTCCCAAGTGCTATCAGAGAACGAATAGGCAGTCCAGTCACCAGAAATGCTTCCATAGGTCATTTTCCAAGGTTCACTTTTGGAAATACCATAGTACAGCGAAAAGGTGTAGGTTTCTTGCGATGAGGCGGTCAAAAAGTTCTTGAAAACAACATTTTCATTCTCTCCAAAAATAGTCAGATAGGATCCAGATGTCCAGGAGTCTCCATAAGAATCTAGTAACTCAATCGTGTATTGGTTGTTCGTTGAGGTTGTTAGACACTGCTCCATTGTACGGACTTCACTGTTTGCAAATTCGGGGCTTGTATAAAGGAGAGTAGATCCAGAGTAGACTTTGAATGACTCTTCGCTTGCCCAGGATGAGGGGTTGTTCTTTACAAACTTCACGTAGGTTTGTCCAGAGGAGCATGTTAAATCACTTCGAATAAGCGATACTATATGTAATATCATATTTATTATGAAGTTCTACATAGCAACAAGATAATGAACAGCGATTTCATATTTTTAGCTCACTAAAGATTTTTTGAGCAATTGAACCCGTTGTGTTTGATGAACGCAAAAGAGATTGGGATATTGGGGTCATTTGTCTTCAGCCAATCAACTGGGAGTGAACAATTAAAAACGCTCCAAATTTTGGATTTTATTTATTTTGGGATTGTTTGAAGAACGATATTTCATACCTATTATGCTCTCTATATTTTGCTTCCTTATCCTTAGTAAAATACATATATCAAAGTGTCTTAAAGTCAAATGAGATTATTCGTTCTTCATTTCTAATTGGCTGAACTATTTTCGATGATTGTTTTTGGTACCAAAACTTCCAAAATACACATCTCGATCGTGCTCAATCTTTCTTTGAAAATATCTCGCGTGTCGTATGCAATACTATGCTCCATTATTATGCCCATCTTATCAAACAAGATATCTTCTCCCTCAGTCCTCTTCTAAGGATTATCACCAATTGCTCCATTTAAACACAAAAGCTGATGTACATGGTCATGGCGGTCACATAATTCTTAGATAGGCTACATACAAAAAAAGCCAAAGCCTTCAATCCACCCAGTGGTCCCACAAGCAAGATGGATACCCGCAAAGTCACTGGTATATAAAGATAGCAACCGCGTAAAAGTGAAGTTATTGTATCATAGATTGTATGCGATGTAACTACAGCGAACTGATACTAGTTTGTTTGTTGTTTATAAACCATTCATCATTCTACATTCTTCGTATTGGCCTGAAACGTAGTTAAACTGAGGTACTATTTTGAATAGGTAACCTGGAGGAGCTTCTATGTGTTTTTCGTTGTTATTATTACCCGATTGATATCATGATTTATATTACTGGTGTTTTACATGTTTGAAATAGCACGAGAGTATCCTGATGGAGTGTTCATTCTTCAGTAATTGTCCATTGTTTTTATCCTCACTTATTTGCATTAGGATAATATCGTAGTATTATAATAAAAGGAAATGACACATATTATTTGTTTCAATCTTTTTAAAACCTATTGTTAACCACATGCGATAAACATTCAAATTTTCACTTTATATTACTTGATTCGAATTTGCATTGTATTACCCTTTTTTCATTACTCCACCTTAATAGAAAGATTCTATGATTAAGTACAATATAGATAGATATAAGGAAAGATAATTTGCAAACAAGCTTTCGATTCTGTGCAATTCTATAAACCATTTTGATGTTTACTCAATTTTTATATACTCATTATGGTTGTATATAACTCTATTCGTATTTTCAAGTAATATCTTGTACCTATTCACGATTCTTTGGGATCTAGGTGTTGTTAAGCGTCATATCATTCTAGTATTTAAAACTCATCATTATTCATATCTTCACTTTATAATTGTACACTGAAAAACACAAATATCAAGTACACAACCTACCAAGCATTACTATGTTGAATCTGCCCATTCTCTGTATTCCATGTCGTACCTTATACAAATCTTATTTTTTCAATTTGATTCAGCTCAGATTTCTCTTCATTACCATTTTTGCTTCTCGAACAAACAAAGTAAAGTCAAGATACTTTCATTCAGTGGTTGAAATTCTTTTTAGGCTTATTTGTATTATTCCATCCAATCATAGCCTTTACAATGCATGGATAACAGAACGACCGATATTCCATCAACCCAGTACACCTTTCATCACACACATCCAGCCCAAGAAGCGAGAACGTCGTCAATATATTACAACACACCAACTACAAACACACTCCATCCCCATCGTTACATTCAGACAAATCAGCAACGTAAACGCATACTTGCGTTCCTCTACGTTTTCTGTACGCTTCAGTTCACCCTTGTGAATAATATCATGCTTTTCGAAAAGAGTCTTGAGAACTTTTTCAGTAAAATCGACTTTCGCGGGGAATATTGTTTTCATGATATGCTTTACGACTCTATTCAGTCAAAATCATCCCACACTCATCCATACATCAATACATACGGAAACGGCTTCTGCGTCATTTCGTTCTTCGGAATAATACCTCCATACACGCCCTTCATCAGACCGATTCTCTCCTCGACTGGCATCCCTCTGTACTCCAAGTACTTCTCGATTCGCTCGTTCGCATAGCTCGCATTGTTTTCGATTCTACGATCAAAAAACCAGCAGCACATCGTGCAAACCTCTCGTTCACTCGCTCTTCTGACGGATAGTACTCGATTTCGCACCCGTTCGTGACGAAATACGCCTGATCCCCCAGCAGCTTGTAATTGTTCGTTATGAACGTCTTGATCACCGCGACTATTCTTCTCCATTCCCACCACAGTTCCTACACTGCTCTTCGAATTCCGGTGCTTGGATCAGCGGGAATCCGAAATACGCAGAAAACATGTAGTTCCGCGCCAATTTCTGGCAGTTTCGCCGAATCTCCCTGTTGATGGTTTTCAGATTCTCTAGAAATTCACTTCGGTCGCTACGCCAAACCCTCCGAGACCTTCGTTCGGATCTCATCCAAGCTGTCGACATCCGTGGTGAGAGTGTTCCACGGTCTCTCCACCTGCGTGCAGCTGTAGAGCTTCTCGATCATTTCGAACTCATCCATGGCGTCATCATCCGGGAACATTTCCTCGTAGTCTTCCTTGCATTCTCGCTTCGACGTGCAGTTCTTTTGTATATGGTCGAGAATGTTTTTGCCACTCGCCTCGCGACCATCGCTCAGCTTCACCGGATGGTTCTTCGTGAAATCGTTCCCCGAAATCATAATGTAGTAATGGAGTTGGAACTCTTTCAAACCGAGGAAGTCGAGGATTTTGCTACGAGTGTACATGTAAAGGTCTTCTCTGAGAACGCTTCGAGGCAGGAGGATCACTCCCTTGAGATCATACACAAAGAAGTCGCTGTCATTTGTCAGGACAAGGGCATCCTTTTGGGAACAGTAGCTTGCGATATCACTGGTGGTTAAGATAGGAGTACGACTTTACAGATCACAGTCAATTCCGGAGAGAAAAATAATATCCTTCCCGTAAGCTTCAGTAAATGCAGATAAAACTGCCTCTACACAGCAGTCCTGTATCGAGATATGTTCTACATAATAACAAGCTCTCATCTTAACCTTTGCTGGTCAAATCGCTATCCCACCATTTTTGAATAATTTGGATACGGTCCTTTTTTCGACTTAAATAGGTATTCTTTTTGGTCATGTTACTTATAGCGTCAACATAGACCTTAATGACTTGCAGGTTATATCCCTTTAGCATGTCAATTATTTTTCTTGCCATATTATAAAGATTCAGAGGATTATGACTAAAAGCCAAACCACGATTAATCTGGCTGTGATAAATATTGTTCGCCAATGAATCCCCATCTATCACAAGCTTGCCACCCGGAAATCTGTATTTGACCAATTACGAGTTCCATACCTCTTCGTAAGTTTCGTTCCACACTTTTCTTTATTATCAACAACCAGCTTTGTTAATCCTTTCACGCCCATAGACAAACTTGATCAAGCAAAACAAAGAAAAAATTAAAAAAATAACAAAATTATAGTGGTCATGCTACATCCTTTTTAGCCTCGTGAGCACTTTCAAGGGAATTACCCACTGCTGACACCACATGGCTTGACATATCGACAGTAGAGCTATCGATTGCTTCACGCTCATCCTTTTCTTGCTCCGAATTAACACATGCCTCTTGGCATCTTGTTTCTTCCACCTTTTGTTCCACTACCGGCAGCTCTTTTTTCTCCACATTTCCCTGCTTTCCCAACATTTTTCCATTCGGCCACGTGGACACATAACACATCAGCAACGCACCAACCACCGAGAAAATCATAGAGAAGTAATAAATCGCATCGCGATTCATCGAGTAAATGACCGACAGTACAAGAGGACACACGATGAGCGAGGTCTGACTGAACATGTTATTCCAGGAAAGGACTTTGCCTTGAACGTCGGGATGGCTGGTGGTCTGAATGGGAAAAAGCAAACAATACAAAGTACACTGATAATACTCACGGAGGTTGGGGCTGCGAGGGTGAATCCAATCCAAAGGAAGCAGCAGGCGATGTAGGAAGCGGCCATGGTTCGCGTGTAGGAGATGAAGAAATAGGAGACGGCTGAGATTCAGAGAGGAGAGAGAAAGCAGGGCTACTTTGAAGGGCAGCACCGAAGATCGCCAAGTAGGGAACGGGAATATTGGCTTTGGAGGAGAGAAGAGGATAAATGAAGGCTTGGACGGCGCACGTCATGCAGCTTTGGAATGTGATCATGAGTCTATGTCAGAACAAAAAAACTCGAAGCGTACGAATAAGTGTCTTGCTCCACATCGTACTTGGCTTTGAGGAAAATTCCGTATTTGGAATCGATCGCATTGACCAGCCAGCGATTGCAGAACTCAAAAGCAAAGCAAACCACCATTGTTTTCGTTAGTTTGGGAGCCACGGTCTTTCGACTCTGCTTGATATCGGCTTGGCGTTGCTGGATCGATTGCTTCAATACTTCCTTTTCCTCTAAATGTGAGTGCAGCGAGAGATGAGTACTTCCCGAGGCTTTGCGCGCTTTAGCTCGCATTTCGTTGAGCAAAATCACATCTTTGCTTGTTTCTTGCAACAAAAAGAGTGCGAAGATCAGCGCGATTCCCGAAAAAATACCAGCAATGAACAGAGGGAAATGAGTCCCCTTCTTCCCTAAAACAGCTCCCAAAGCAGGACCCAAAATGAAACCAGCAGAATTCAAAGCTTCCAGGCAAGAATAATAGCGATTTCGCTCTTCTGGAGCGGTAAGATCAGCAATGACACTAGAGATGAGAAGAGAATCGAAGAAGCACGCTTGAACCAAAATGTTAGATCCAGCAAACAGACCTGTCAACGATCGGAAAATGATGAGTTGGACGATGTTTTTGGAAAGAGCTTGAAAAAGTGAACCTATCGATGAGTTCTTTCCACAAATAAAAAAATACCAAAACACGAACCAAAAAGCGAAAGAATCAAAAATAGCTTTCTTCCATAAATATCACTAAGAGCACCCACAATTAAAAGACCTAGAATCGTGAGGAGCCAATAAATGCATACTAACCAACTGCATCAAAGAATAACTGGAATACAGTATTCCTGATTCCATATCCGAGGCGTTCATTTCATCCACAATATATGGCAAAATAGGAATGATTAAAGAATAGTTGATAATATCAAGGAAACCCGTGATATAAGTCAATGTTAAATTTCTCTTGTCTTTCCCTGATAAAGGCATTGCAATTTATAGATTATAATGCTTATTGGTGAGCAAAAAAGGATTGTTCAGTGATTCCTTGATTATGATATGGGGCTCAATTCCCTAAACTTCATATTCCAAAAAACACAAAAAAAATATACAAAAAGCAGTTCCTTAATAATAGCAGAGTGTCGTGGATTTGGTTGCTTACTGATCACCTGTGTAAACGGTGAGAAACACTATTGTTGCACACAACACTATTTTCTGCGATGAGTCGAATGAGATCCCTTCTCACAGAGATACGTGTTTAATAAACCAAACAACCAAATGTAACAAAGAGACTACTTTTCATCAGCGGGACGATTCTTATTATTGGTCTTATTAGGGTGGCCTCGGTGCCTTTGCCCAGTAAACGAATCACTTTCTGTAATATGATAACGGGTTTGTTCCGAAATGAAACCGAAGTCCTCGATTAATTGGTCAAGCCGATTTGCATAGTCTCTGTGTGTCAGTACAACAGTTACAAAATGCTACTCTTTCGATCGTACAGCATATCTTACACTTTCTACATCAAAATCCTGGCCTGACCGTTTAGCGATGTCCATCGAACGAAGAGTCTACAAAAATGGCTCGAAAGACAAAGTACTTACCAAATTCGTAATAAAGTCCTTTACCAAATCATCCATCAATTTGACAGTCTCTGGGTAGGGCTCAATACTGTCCCCAAAACCAAACATCATCTCTCTCACTAAAGCATTAGCAGCATTTAAAAATAGACCTACAGTTGTCCTCAAAGCTAATATCCTTCAGGGAGTACAATCCATAACTCTCTTCATCAATGTCCGGTTGGCTTGAGTAATAAGACATTTGCTTCTTTTGCATATAGCCACCTTGTTGATACATTTGAAACAAACAAGGAAGAGATAATAAGTGACTTCGATCAAATTCCAAAAATAGTTCAGATTTGTGTCCTGCCTGGAATCATTGAATCCTTTACGTTTTGGGTTGCAAATATCATGACAGAGGAGATCATAGACGAGCGTTGCCCTGGGAAGTGGGTTCCCAGTTGCCAGTGTTGCCAGAACACTCTATATCTGGATGAAAATGAATATAAGAGTAAGATATGGTTTTCTTTCGGCATGCTATAGAATTTATTAAAACCTACCAACGGAGCTTGCTTGCCCTTTTTTCTTCATTTGACCCTTCTTTTCATAGCACGATGATTTCCTATTCTATGATTGAGTTCTTTGAAAGATTGTAGCTGCGAATCTTTAAACTGATGTGTAGAAGCGCAATTACACACATTGACTTCCCTCTGTGTTCTTCTTGTTTGGAAAAAGTAAAGAACGAAAGAATAAAGTAGCTTTTCGTTCCGATATCTATCCCACAGAGGTCTCAACAAAGATAAGAACGTCGGGTACGTTCTGGAGCGTCTTATCGGAGCCATGACGGTGCAGCAAAAGATGGACGCCCTCAAGGAGGAGAAATCTCCCCGAACGCCCGATGAGGAAGAGCCCCAAGATTCCGAGTTGACGGTGAAGCCTGTGGAAGAAGTACACTCTCCCAAATCGCCTCTCCCCTAGCTGCAACGCGAGAAGAACACGCTGCAGGAGAGCATCGACACACTGCGGATGAGTCTGGCCGCGGCCGAGCGTCGCAAGTTGGAGCTGGACGAAGTGCAGAGCGAGCTGGGAACGCTGCACAGCTCGATGAATTGCGTGGCCTCGGAGATCGCGCTGGACCTGGGCGCGTACGAGGCGAAGTTCAACACCGAGAAGGAGACGGTGGAGGCGCACAAGCAGCAGCTGGAGATTCTGATGCGCTGCAACGCGCTGAACGATCTGTTCAACGTGTGGTTCGACGGCGAATTCGTGACAGTCAACGGAATGCGAATCGGAAAGCTGGGCAACCAGGTTCGCTTCTCCTTCTCCCCTTTTTAATCCTTTTAGTTGGATTGGAACGCGCTGAACGGCGTGCTGGGCGATCTGGCGCACGCAGTGGACGCCATGGTCTCGCTGTACCGCACACACTACCAAAACGTCGTCATTCATCCCTTGGGGAGCTTCAGCGAGGTGATCGACCGCGATTCGCGCACGTCGTTCAAGCTGTAGAGGTGTGGAGGAGGAGCGGTCACTCGAAGGTATTTCAACCCGAAATCGGGGAATCGGAAGCTGTTCAGCCAGGCGCTGCAGCTTTTCTTGCAGGCCGTTGCCTGCTTGATGAAGCACTGCACGGAGCGGTTTAAGATGGAGCCTCGGTTTGCGGTGGACGCGGAGAATGGAAAGGTCGGAAATGAGGTCGAGAAGGAGGAGGAGCGTGACATGTAGGACTTTTTGTTTAATGATGTGGACTCGTGGCTGCGAGCTCTCCGGTATTTGGCGATCGATGTGAAGCAGATGATTGTGTACGCGTATACCGCTAGCGTTTATATTGTTACGCATTCTTGCGATGTTTGTTTGAAAGAGGAAAATCGGGGGAATTTTTGTACCAGATTCTAAATTGGATTGCTTTGAGCACACAAAGTAGGTGGTGTGATGAATGTGGAGTCGAAGAGATGTCTAATCACCGTTTAGGAGTAGGATGAGCGGTACTCCGGGAAATGGGACTTCTACCGATATCGTTATAGCCGATATGGAGAAGAATATGGCCGTAGTTGTGAAGGTTTGATTTTTTGAAATGTTTGATCAACGTGTAGGAAGATTTCGATGAGCCACCTCGTACCTCCAATCTAAAAGCGCCAAATCTTGAGTTGGTCGGACACAAAGTCGGTGCTCGAAGGACGAGTTACTTCTAGGACGCTGTCTATACCGTGCGCTTTTCTCCGGATGGGCAGCACCTAGCAACAGCGGGAATGGACAAAAATATATTTTTGTGGGATGTGTATGGAGAATGTCAAAACTACGCTCTTTTGCAAGGACACAAGAATGCAGTGCTGGAAGTCTCTTGGAACTTCGATGGCACCGAATTATATTCTGTGGGAGCAGATAAGATGGTATGTGTCTGGGATGCTGCTGTATGTTGTTGTTCCTGAAGCTTCCAAGTAGTATGGTCAACTAAAACGCAAACTCAAGGGTCACACATCGTTCGTAAACGGTGTAGATGGTTCCAAGCAAGATGACCATCTCCTCATCAGTTGTTCCGATGATGGAACCTGCAAGGTTTCTCATTTCTCTCTATCCTTATCCCCAGCTCTGGGACGCTCGCGAGCGCGAAGCTGTCAAAACGATCGCCCACGACTTCCAAGTGACCTCATGTTGTTTTAACGAAGATTCCACGCAAATAATCACGGGAGGACTCGATGGCATAATTCGAGTCGATTTTTGGAATTCCCCAAACCCTAGATCTTCGAAGCAAACACGTTTACGCCTTCGATCGTGCTTCCTCAGCTCTCCGAAATGATTACCGGCATTCGATTGGCTCCGGATGGAGGCTATCTGTAAAATGCTCTCGATTTTTGGAATTCCTAGAATGAGCCATTCGTTGGATGCGTGTCTGCGTGTTTGGGATATAAACGCGTATTTCGAGGGATCGAATCGCTGTCTGAAGTTGATGAGAGGCCATACGGTACGATGAAAGGGAGAAAGAGAGTAATGGACAGCAGGGAAACAGTGGAAACTTATTGCGATGCGCATGGAGTCCGGATTTGGCGATGGCGACGTGCGGAAGTGGCGATGGATTCGTGTATGTGTATGATACGACGACGTTAGGAATCAAGTGAGAGAGGAAAGCGAGGTTGAGAGATAGGTATCGCTTGCCTGGACATCGAAGCGTGGTGAATGACGTGGATTTCCATCCCATTGAGCCGATTATCTGCTCGGTGAGCAGCGATCATTCGGTATTGCTGGGAGAAATCTTGCCGTAATAGAAAGAGAGAGAGAGAGAAGAGGGAAGTGGATCGATTGGATTGTTTGTTTGAATAATGAGGAAGCGTGGAAGGGGATTGGATTGGATTAATTGATTGTTTGTTTGAATAAAGAGAAAACGAGGAGAGGGAAAGATGAGAAGATTGCGTGAGAGCGATTAGCTTGGAATACTCTTCTCTTACTTGTTCAAAGGTTTGCTTGGATGACGAAGAGAAGAACTGTATCCAACGACTCACCTTCTTCTCATGCACCTCGATCACTTCTTCGGAGGGAGCAGGACGCGTTGCCCAACGGAATGGTTTACAGAAATAGAGAATCAGCATCACGATTATAGAAATTCCTGTAAAAAACAAGAAGGCGAACTCCAAAATAGCATATTTCATCATCATTGAGATGTAATGGCCATTTTCGAACTGCAGAATCTGTGTTTGCAGAGCAGTAGAATCGAAGGCATCGCGATACAGCAAGATGAGAAAGTGCAAATTCGCTGGCACAGTGAGTAGAACTACCAAGCTGTTGATCATAAAGGCATTTAACAATGTGGCGTGCCGTTCGAGAGAGTAGGAACCAAGTCCCAAAGCATGAAGGGCTGAAAGAGCGCATAGTTGAATAAACAAGGCAAATAAGTCAGTCTAGCGTTGATAAATAGAACCGTTGATTTACAAAAATCATCATGACAGAAGGGTACTTCCACTGCAAAGCTGTAAAAGCCTCCATTCCCCAAGATATTAATGGTTTCCCGCGCAAATTGAGCGGAATCGTGTACACAACAAGGTGAATCAGTATCGAAACGAGAAGAAGCAGACTGAGGAGGGAGCCACAAAACAGGAAAGCGCTCCAAAGAACAAAGGTCACTTCCCCGTCACGTTGTTTCCTTTCTACTTCAGTTCTACAGATGGATCGGAACTGTTCCTCCATCTCACGCCTATGTGGAAGAGGAGAGACACGTGCAATACGTGGCTTGCTGATACACCCGATTCATCGATTTGATACGGGCATGAAAGCAAATGCGGTCTCTAAGTTTAAGCGATTGTTTGTTGAGTTCTTGGTGTGTGATAAAAGACACAAAACATTTGTAACACAACGGATATTTATTTTGAGAAGATTCTCACCGATTGATACCAGTTCGGGAACTTGAAGTCGTAAAAGACGACTCATTTCCTCCGATTTGCGAAGTCGTTCCTCAAAACGTCCGGATTTTCTCCGTCGTACATACTGAAGGAATTCTCTAGGTAATGCAAGGATTCAAAAGCAACGTAAACAGGTGTATTGGCAAATAAACCATTCCATAAGGAACAAAGAAGATGAACAATACCCAAGAGCAAAGAGTGACAAGACTGGGTATTGCATATCGGATAGAAATGGTATAGTCGCCATCAACAGTAGTTCCATTTCTTTCTAGAAAATAGTAGAGCAGAGCGAGAATCGATGTGATTCCTATTGACCCTACAACAAGAATAAGAACGGTGACGGGTTTTGATAGTTTTTGAGAAAAGGTGGAGTTAGGGTGGAGCAGTGAGTGCAACAATTGTGGATATAGCAGCGAAGCTTCGTTTTCGTACAGAAAAACGCAAACAGGTAGAATACAGACAGCAAGCAAAATTAATGCATAATACACACCATTCCATAGCATAAGCATGCTACTGGAATCACACGTAGAGTCCCAGTTCTACACTTCACTTGACGGGGGGTTAAAACTCCACAATCCGTGGTGAATTCATTCGCAGTGTCATCCACCGGAAGAAGGCAGAGTGCGAATTGCGCAACGAAGAAACATAATCCCTAGGAAGCAGAGTTGAAAGGATATTTACAACGACAATAATAAATCCAATTCGGCTTTTCGTTTTCTCCAACTCCGATAGATAAAACCGAATGAGCAACCAATCAGCAGCACACAAAATAATGGCAATACACACGAGGATCAGTAAAGAAATCCAATCCATCACTCCAATCAACGCTTGCAATATCTGGAACAGCTCCTGGTGGATGTATATCCTCTTAAAGTACAGCTAATAAGTATATCCTAATCAAATCGCCACGAATTCAGATCCTCCAATGGGTTGATTCTTGCTATCCACTTCCATTTTTCAATTGCATCACCCCAAAAACGTAGTCAGAGCATTCATCCTCCCACTATTCACTGTATCGACAGGCTAATCCTTAGCTCATCATCGCATCTATAAATCCTTAGCTCATCATCGCTCCTATCAATCCCATTCTCTCCAACAAGGCGAAGCGGTATGCAACAAACACTCCGAAAAATAACCAATACACATAAAACACTTTACCAATTCGTATAGACATGCTGACTCGTCATAACCAGCGCCCTATCGCTCTCCTCCGCCGCTTGAGCGCACTCTCCGCCAATATCCCGACAATGCGAGAGCAGCGAGTGATACGCGGGGCTGTCCAACACCTACACCTCACTCCGCTCCCCCACACTCACCATCTTCGCTGCTCGCTCTCCCATCTCGTACGCCAGATCGCGCAGCATGAGCACCATCGCCTTGTCCAGCTGCTGCGAGTCGAACTTGCTCACCATGACGCGTCCGACGAGATTGAGCGCGTCCTGGAGGAAGGAATCCGCGGTGGGACCCATGGTCAGAACCACGTTCGAGATCGAGTCCCAGAGCTCCACGACCGAGCAGAACAACCGCTCGTACCACTCCAAGTCCTCCTGGAAGGTCGTGGTGATGTTTGTGGTGCTGGAGGCCACGTACGAGATCTCCAGAATCTCCTGCGTGAACGGCAGAATCAGCTCCTTCATCTCCCAGTAGAAGCAGGACAGGCAGGTGAAGAGGTCCGGGAGAATGTCGCTCGGCGTGTTGGAGCTCTTCAGACTCTCCACCACGCTCTTAATCAGCATGTTGTGCACTTTCTGGATCTGCACCGCGCACTGCTGCTGCTCCTGCGAGCCCTCGCTGCTGCCGATCGTCAGCAGAATGTCGCTGAAGCAGTTGATCGCGCAGCGGCACGTGGACACGTCGTTCGGCTGCGAGATCGCCATCACGATATACGACAAGAAATCGTTCTACGGTCAAACCGCGGAGCTGCTTCCCACCATGTAGCGCAGAGCGTCCATTCCCGTGTTGATCACCAACGCCTGGTACAGCAGAATCGCCTGCGGGTGCGCCGACGTGTTGTTGCTCTCCAGGATCTACGGCCTCGCTCTCTCCTCCCTCTCCTACTCGCAGCGCCAGCGTCGCGATCCGGTCCACCTCGATCTTCACCAGGCTCTTCAGTCGCTCCAGCAGCGCCACCAGCGCGATGCAGTAGAACCGCTGCAGCAAGAACGCCTGCTCCATGTCGCTCCCCGGAACCTGCGCCGCCAGCACGTTCTCGCTCTGCTGCAGCACGAACTGATAGAACCCCACCAGCAGCTCCTCGCTGCCCGGACCCGCGCACGCGATCAAACTCATCAGGGCGTACGCCGCGCTCTCGCGGAGCTGGTTGCTGGCGCTGTCCATGCGCCGCGCGCAGCCGAGCAGCTTGTTCAGCAGCACTTCCAGGTAGGGCTGCAGCAGCTCGCTGGACGGCGAGTTCGCCACGCCGTCGCAGACCGCGGAGAGCGCCGCCGCGGCGTGCTGCGCGACGCGCGGCTGCATGTCGAGCGCGGCGACGAGGCAGTCGAGCAGCGGGTGCGTGAGCTCGGAGGGAATCACCTGGAGGAAGCGCGCGCAGATCTGGCTGAGGACCCAGGCGGCGGAGTCGCGGACGGCGACGGAGGGGTCGGAAAGGATCATGGTGAGCAGCATGGAGGTGCCCGACTTGACGATGTCCGCCATGAAGTAGGGGTCGGGGCCCTGCAGGAGGCAGCCGAACACCATAATGGCGGCCTCTTTGTAGTGCCAGTCGCTCGAGTTGATGTTGTCGTTCACGAACGGCCACACCACCTGCACCAAATCTACGCCTCATCGCCTCTGCGCGTCGCTACCGTTCCGCAGCACCTCCGCCAGCGCGCGCAGACACGTCGCTGCGGCCGCTGCGGGCGTCATAGTCTCGCCCGTGTCGTCCTCCTCCTGCTTGACCATCACCGAGCACAAGCTCCGCGCCAGCTTCTCTCCGTACTGCTTGCCCAGCTGCAGCGTCGGCTCGCCCATCTGCTCCTCCTCCAACTCCACGTCCAGCAGCGTGTAGAGCGTCAGCGCGCCGCGGATCGCCAGCTCGGACACCTCGCTGCACAGCGCCGCCTCGCAGGCCTTGTAAAACTCGTCGAAAAACGGACCGATCTTCGGGTAGAAGTCCTCGAAGACGATATTCAGGCAGTCGAAGCCTTGGCACTGCACTTCCAGCGACGACGCGCGGCAAGCGTTCAGCAAGGCCTGCATGAGTCGGAGGAGCTGCGCGGAGTCTTCGAGGAACCCTTCCGCGAAGTTGAGCGCGCTGGCGAGAGCGTGGACCGCCTCGGACCAGAGATCGGGAGGCTGCTCGGTGCTGAGGACGTTTAGAAGGAGCTGCATGATCGTGCTGGACAGAGCAACGTTCATGCTGGGAAGATCTTCGCAGATGTAGCGAACCGTCTCCACGCACGCAATGCGCGGACCCGAGTCCAGAGATGTGTTCATGATCACAGATTCGAGATTCACAAAGAGATCATCCCACAGACCGATCGGGAGCTCGATCTTTGCGATGGCTGAAACTGCGGAGGCAGCCGCGTTGCGCACAGGTGTAGAACTATCACCAAGACATTGTGTCATCTAGATTGACGAGCTCAGCAAATTGCGTACTGCACTTTTAATTCGTTCGCGTAATGTGCTGTCCATATCCCTCCACATTACTTGCTTTTGTTCCAAAATTTCCCCGTTCTAGAAACGTTAACGAGCAGCGATACATCGCCTACAAGGCTTGAGATCGATCGTTTAAATAAAGTTCCAGCCATCTGTCGGCAAACATCGCTGTAGGATTGGTTTACAAGAATCTCCATCATACGAGTCACATATTCCGGAAAATTCTCATTCAATCGGTTCATTAATTCATTCTCAGCCTGCTGTCGCTGCTGATTATCTAAGACGTTAGAAACCCGCCAAAAGACACGATGCCTACCTATACTAGAAAATTGTTCCAAAAGCTGAACGTAGTCCATACTTTAATATATTGAAACCAGGGTAGACTGAATAAAATTCCTATCCTTAACCTTCAGTAACCAGTCATCATTATAAGAAGGTTGATTATTATGAGCGTACAATCACTGTACGTCTTAGCACCCACCAACATTTTTCGTATTTCCTTTCTACAATTATGTATCATATCTGGTTCCTACCAATATCATAACTCTTTCTTGGTTTGTAAGAATCTGCTTTCCTGTTAGCGGCAAGTTTGATATGGTATTGCAGTGTGGATAGCAACAACCAAGCAACATCAAATTAATATATTTCAAAAACACACTTTCACACTTTTATCATGTTTTGTGGGAAAAGAATTTGGTTCGTTTATAACGACCTTTCTGGACTTATTGTGATGACTTGCGTTTCGTTTTGCGCATTGCGCTGATGAATAGGCCTATTTGCAAGTTGCATTTGTTTTTTGGTGTAATATTTATTGGATCATTTATCCCTCTTATGGGTATTCCCTAAAAGGACGCATTCTTCGAGATACTATCTATCTACTGGTTTTCATGGTTATTTGGTGCGGAGTCCAGTCGACGACTACAGAACCAGGATGCGTAATTCAGTCTAGAGTAGAGTACCCGTTCCTGCTTTTTCTCGTAGGAAATCTCTGAAGAAGAGCGTAAGTTGTATATAGAAACAAACGCGAGTTGTTATTGTAAGTACGTTTTGTCTGTTCATCACCTCCCTTTCAGAAAATGTAACCGGATGAAACCGTTTCGCGCTCACCATTGTAGCCGGTGTAAAACCTGCATTCTAAAGATGGATCACCATTGCCCGTAGGATTGGGTGCGTACTTCGACCCTAGCTGGATCAACAACTGCGTAGGCGCTCGAAACCAGAAGCACTTTTTCCTTTTCCTTCTCTACGTTCACGTCGGAGAAGTGTTCGCTTCGTTTCTTGGTATCGGTTTTTTGTGGCTCCACCGCGCCGATCTTGTCGTTTGCTGCCTTCTCTGCAACTCCTTACCGAACTAGAAGCACATTTCGTTTCATCTTCTTCGTGATTCCTTTGATCTCATTCGCCATCTCCCCCCTCGAGTCCAGCTTTGGTTTTGGTACCCCCAGATTGATTCCTCCGCATTTTACCTGGTCGTAATCATGATCGAGGTCTTCTCATCGCTCTGCTTCAGCATCTTTTCGTTGCTGTTGCTGTGGGACCAAATCAACATGATTCGCTACGATCTGAGCTACGTGGAGTATTTAAAGCAGTACAGAGTGAACACTCTTGAGGTAGAGCAAGTTTGTGCATGCGAACTAGAACTGCTTTTACGACTGTTTGGTTAGCATGATGGGAGAGCCTCCCTGCATTCGGTGGGCTGTTCCACTGGAAGGAAAATACATGAATGTGATTCTGAGCAAGCTGAGTCAAGAATTTTTCTACTACGACAGGAGCCGCGCGTACGAAACGGTGAGGGAGGAGCCAAGTCTGGAGGAGAAGAAGAACCAGTAGAATTCCATTATTTGGAGCTTTTTGTTTGTTGCTTTCGCTCGTATTATCTCTACGTTGCAGCATTTCCTAGTGCTGTTTTTAATTTTATCGTTTGTGCTTAGCTTCGTTCCGATAATTGCCTATTTGGAATTCGAATAAATCTTATGCCTGGTCCTTTGGACGTTTCCGGAATTGTTTCTGTTCTGCAGAGCAAGTCTTCTGCGTTTGAGGACGTGATGAAGGCATTGGATAAGCTACAAGTGCGAATTCTTGCTTCTCCACTGATCTCTTAGTCCGTTGCTGAGCATCCCGAGAGCTTTATCCTAAAGGCTTCCGACGTCACGGATTTGCGATCGTCATTCATTTCTCTCGTAGTTGGTGCTACATCTTATCAAGCGCAGGCCAACGATAATCGCTCGAAAATCGTGGTGAAAACCTGTAAAATTATTCAGCTTTTCTCCGAAAACTTAAAGAACTCCTTTGACAGAATCGCTTCCAATATATTTCCTACATATCTAGAAAAAGTATCTTCGGGAATCACCGTATTCGCGTCTCTCTGCCTTAACCACCAGGTGATTAGTTCGAGCATTGCTCAGACCTGCCTTTCGATGACAAAAAATATAGTAATGAAAACAAATATAACCGTTATAACCACATCGATCGATAATCGAAGGTATTGATTTTTCTATCCCCCTCTTTTCTCAGTGAGAAGGTAGCTGATACGAGCATTCAGTGTCTGGAATACATTCTCAAGTACTGGCCGTCCAACGTGGTGGACAGTTTCCAAACGATCATCTCTCTCGCGATTGTGGTGGGTATTCGCGGATTTGGCTTCATCGTAGAAAGCTGTGTCCAGCTACAGCGAAAGAGTGAGAGTCAAGGCGCGCTCGATCGTATTGCTCTGTGACAAGGACTATCCTGGGCTCGCTTCCATGTTTTGTTTTCTCTGCGTGCGTAAAACTCAGAATCAACAGCAAACTGCCGGCCTCCAGGAAGAAGGGCAGCGAGCGAGGGACATTACGCTCTGTCCTGCTTTCTGCACGGAATTCACATCTAGCAGCCTTCGGTTTCGCCCAGACAGGCGCCGTCGCCCTTGAAAACGCTGAAGCCACGCTCTTCCGCGTCCGTGTCGCGCAGCCTCTCTTCCTTTAAGCAGAACGATCGGCTTTTCGTTCTAAATCAACACGTAATGTTCAAAGACAGCAATATCATCCGCTACGGCACCATCAAATACATCGGCTTGTTTCTCTTGCCTTTCTTCACCATCAGGCTATCCGGACAAAGCTAATCAAAATCTATTCGTCGGCCTCCTCCTCGATCAGCGCATCGACTCCAAATTCGACGGCGTGTTCCTTGTATCTGTTCAGTGGTTCTTGATTATCAAGGACCGGAAGCTCTTCGATTGTTCGCCTGGCTACGGCCTGCTAACCGTCGCTTCCTCCATCTTCCCGATCGACGGTTTGCTTTTCTGGGCTTTCTAACGCGCAGATTTGCAAGCGAACGGCAGCTTGCGAAGGAATGGCAGTTTGCAGAAGATCCCCACGCCGCTTCCTCGGCGATCCGCTCTAGTGACTCGCTCCGTAGTGCTGATGCGTTGGGTTGACTGTAGCCGTCGTCTCCGAGCCAGCCGTCCGCCCATCGGACATTATCGCTGCACTCGACCCAGTCGGGACAATCGTCGGTTCTATCGACTCAGCCAGCCCAGTCGGGCCGGGCGAGCCAGCCGAAGCAGCCGAGCCAGCCGTCGAGCCAGCCGAAGCAACCGAAGCAACCGAGGCAACCGAGCCTGGCGGAGGGATTTCTCTCGGTGGACGACTGCATCACGCAGCACAAGCTGCTTCTGTTCAATGCGATAAAGAGCCTGCAGGCCGAGCTGCGGCTGCTGGTGGAGTTTGAGGAGGTGAAGGAAGATCATGATGCAGTGAAGGCGTATAAGCGAGATGTGATGGAGATACGGACGCAGTGCGGGAAGGAGAATAGTGGATTTATGTCAAAGCTAGCTCGACTTGAAGTGTGGATTGTTTGTTGAACAAAGAGCGCTCATGCGTTTTCACGTAAAAGAACAATGAAACAACAAGAAAAAGCGTCAATCAGGAATGGCTAGGAGGCAGAGTCCATTCGGGAAGCGAAAAGGGGGAGGTATCATGATAATTAATACGCGGAATCTCGTCATTATCGGACGAGCAAATTAAAGAATAGCAACTATATGACGGAGACTTGGTCAAACGGTGCGCATAGTACGACGAGGAGTTTAAAGAAAAATTGCTGGTTGTGTGGTCCTTGGGCTCACCCTTTAGGTTGAGCTCCGAATCCACACGCTGATTGCAAAAATAGTCATCAAAAAGAGAGGGAAGGCGGGATACTCCTTCAGAACACGAGGACGACACATCCGAAATAACAAAAACGGGAACATTTGAATTAGGAGCCGTTGTAACGTTAAGATTCAAACTCTGAGAGGACCTAGAACGGTAATGCTCTAAATTATTCGCTTTTCTTGGTAGACCAGAAGGACATGCACTTTCGGAATTCAAACGGTGCATCGCAGGCCCAGACTCTGTACACGACGCTGAACGTCGCAAAGAGCTGGTATGGAATTCTCCATCTTGATCAGAATAATCACCAGTCACAGGAGCAGGTTGTGAGAATGGAAGACACTGAGTGTCCTCTTCACGCCTACCATCAATAGAGATACCGGGATACATAAAGTGAAAATAGAAATACAAGTAAAAAAAATAATAATATATATAATAGTAATAATAGTACATTTTTGTGTGAATGGTCCAAATTGTCCATGTGAGGTGCAAAGAAACTACCGATTCGCAAGATTCCAGACATAGGAAGAATTTAGTTTGTAGAACACACTTAAGTAATTAGACTAACGAACAAAGTGTTTGGGCTGATAGAGCAACTCACTCCCGTTCTATATAGACGTGGAGAAATACCCGTCCTATGAAGAGTGTGAGGTGTATACTTACTTATTTTCACTTTGCAAACGAACAAGTGATTGACCACAAATCCTCACTTGAACCACGTACGCTTGCGTAGTACTACTGGCCTTGTTATCCAAATTGTATTATTCCTGCTGTATGGAACGCAAGGTTTCCCCAGCAACCTAAAGAAGAAAACCAGCATTTCGAAGCAGAATACGATGTAATGCATGCCCATTGCGTGCTACCAACAAAACAAGCTTATAGCCGCAACATCCGTCTGTTTTCTCGTGATCCCCGATTTTCTCCGGTACAGCCTTTGCATAAAACAAACACGCAGTCCATCCCATCTTAACAAAATAAAAACATATCTCTCTTCCCGGCGAGCATCTTCTTGTACCTCGATGTTCCCACCACCCGTTCCATCTACTTCTTACCTCGTTCCTCCTCCTCCTCCCTACCACATAAGTATCAAACTTGGTATACAGGACGGTCACTCCGACACTGAGTTCTTTTCCCTCCTTTTCTCCATTTTTCATATTATTCACAAAATCGCTATAGCTACATCTTATTCTCTTCAATAACTCGCCACAAGTTCGGATAGGAGGGAGGACTCACAAAATAAATGGTCTGCGCATTGTAAATCCGCATGCGTCGGAAGAACTCAAATCTCCCGCTAAACAGCAGCACGCGGATCGTCCCGTTATCGAAATAGCTTCGATTCCGCGAGTTGCTCGCGTCCGTCATATATCTACAATCAACCTCCCCGCGGGGAACCACTCGTCGATGACTCCGCATTCGCGCTCGTCGCAGTTTTCCATGAGAAGTCGCTTCACGTAGACATACTCGAAGTAGCTGTCGCAGTAGAGAAGAATCTTCTTGTAGGCGGGGTTGTTGATCACTTTCAGCACGTTGTTCTCTAAATATTTCACGCGCACCGTCGACGTGTCGGTGACTTGATCGCAGGGCAGTCGCAGAAACAACTGGCGCGGCGGAGACTACGCCGATCAAAAGAAAAGAGAGAACAGAACGAGAATGTCGGAAACGGCGCCTTCGTAGACGGGCCTGCATTCAAACCGACCCTACAGAACACCAGCGAAGCGATCGCCAACGATGGGGTTGAAGCAGGCGCGATGGAAGAGCGCCAGCAACTGGCTGGTGAGCGCGGTATTGACGAAGACGGTCTGTCTGCAATACTTCTGCATCTCGCAGAGATAGCTCTCGCGCAGCCGCGAGAAGTCCGTGTTGCGATTCTTCACGAGCGGGCTGTTTGTGTTGCCCAGCACGCCGCGGAGATGGTCCACGTTCTGCATCGCGATCATATCGCCGCCGTACACGACGAGCACTTCGATCGACGATAAGTAGTCCCAGCCCTGACGCGTTTCGATCTGCTTCAACGACAGCGGCGAGGCGATGATCAGATCGCTGTTGTAGAAGTCGGTGTACAGGCGGAACGTGCTCCCGCGGAATGAAACGCCCACGCGGAAGCAGTCTGCGTGAGAAGGAGAGGAAAGGAGTACCGTCGTTATTGCCCGGGAAATAGGTTTTCCAGTAGGGCTGGCGCGCCTCGGAGGGGTCGGAATCATCGCCGAACTCCTCATCGAACTTGGACTTGCCGAAGACGTTGATCTTGCGAGGCAGCAGGGAGAGAATGCGGTGGACGAAGTGGAAGGCGTAGTGGCGATAGGGGCAGAGGAGGAGGACGGTGGGACGCGTGAAGCCCTGGTCCTGGAACGTGGGGATTTCGATCTTCGCGGAGAGGTCGATGTCCGGGTTGGGAGTGTAGGGAAGGCCTTTCTTGAGAGCGTCTTTCTGGAGGATTCGCTCGTGCGTTTGCTCGTTGAGGAGACGCTTCTGCGCTCGGATTGTGTTGGTGTGGGAGAGGTCGAAGTCGCTCGCCTGCAGGGTGAGTGAGTGGTGGAGGACGCAAACGAACCTTCATGATGTGGTTGAGCATGTGGATGCTGAGAGCGGAGATGAGCTGATCGTTGTGGTCGGAAGGGGGGCCCAGCTCGATGCCGGATGTGTATAAAATGTCGTGATAGTGCGTCAATTGTTGGAATAAAGTGAATAAACGATGGTTCTCGCGGAGCTGGGCGAGGTATGGCTCACTTTTCGCCTTAATCCGCTCCTAGATTCGATGGCTATGCGAACACACTACTTTTAGGGCGACATCACACTGGACTGTAGAGTAATCGACAGAATCATCCAGGCCATTCACAGAGACTTTTGTCTGCATTTTCTCATCCAAATTCAACGTTTTCATTTGGAAATCGTTCCTACAATCAACACCACGTCCAAATCATGCAGAATTTTGTCAAACGAAGCTTTATCGCTCTCTGTTACGACTCGTGTAGCGAACCATTGCTGATAAGGATCCCTCACCTCCGACTCCACTTCCACGTCCGACACTTCTTCAAGATTCTCTTCCTCCACACGTTGAGTCCCCACGTCCGTTCCTAGCATTGCGTCATCCAGAAGTTCCTCATCTTCCAGAGTTTCTAAACATATATAATTTGAAACAAATTCCGTACTCCGGCGATGATCGTTTTTGCCCTTGGAACTACTGATAGACTTGTCTCCCCTACAATCCCATTTAAAAGTCAATTATTACCACTCCTTCTTCTGCTTGGTTCGATTTCCGTGGTTGATAGAGGTTTCCTTTTGTCGTTTAGGCATTGTGTGGGAAAACAATCAGAATAAGTCGTAGTATTTAAAGGTCAAACGAAAAAGGGAAAAACAGATCCGAAGTAGTATAGTGGTTTAGTATTTCCGCCTGTCACGCGGAAGACCGGGGTTCGATTCCCCGCTTCGGAGTTCTTTTCTTTTTTCTATTTCATATTCTGAGTGAGTTTTAGACTCTACCAAATAATCAGTTCACTCCTTTGATTTTGTGATCTATTATTTGCTCTATTCATCTATTTTGTATTTATACAGTATTTACCGCTAAAATCGTATACAATGGATCCTGTGAGCACTATTGAGAGAGATTTTATTTTTAATGCTGCGAAGGAGGGTATTCGGGTAGATGGTCGCAATCTCACAGAGTTTCGGGATATCGCGATTGACTTATCTCGGACTGATTCACAATCATCATCAATCGTATCTATTGGTGATACAAAGTAGGAACCGTTGTTAGTTTGAGTCATTGGGTAGGGTGTGTGCTATAACGAACTGTGAGATCGTGTCTGGTTATTCAGACCATCCAAATGAAGGACTGTTTACGATTCATGTGAACGTCACTCCCATGGGAGGTCGTGAATATACAGTTGCTTGTTGAGAGTGCATTGTGAGGAATAGACGGAGTTATCAGATGATGTCCGGTTTGAGCTTCAACGCGTTTTGGAGAGAAGTCTTAAAGACAACAACACTGTGGATGTCGAGTCTCTCTGTATTATTCCTGGAGAAAAAGTATTTTCCGTGCACTGCTACGTCAATATTATCGACAATAACGGTAACATCTTCGACGCTGCCGTCCTCGCCGCAACATCATCTCTCTGCTACTTCCGTCGTCCCGACTACTCCATCAACGGCACGCAGGTTCGTATCTACGCTCCAAACGAGCAAGAACCAGTGCCTCTGTGCCTGCACTACCAGCCAATCAGCATTTCGTTCTGTTTGTTAGACAGCGAATTAACGCTTTTGGATCCAAACGAACGCGAGGAAGCTGTGAAAGAAGGAATGATTTCTCTCGTACTGAATGCCTTCGGAGAGCTTTGCGGCGTGCATTTCCTCGGCGGAATTCCTGTGAGTGAGAGCTTGTTGCTTCGCTGTGGACAGATCGCTTCGGCGAAGGCGAACGATATATCCGCGATTTTGAAGAAGGCGCTGGAGAAGAATTCGGCGTGAGACACAGAATTACAAAGAGAGAGAGAGGAGGGTCAGGATGAAGCAGTTGATTTGATTGGGTGTTTGTTAGAGAAGCATTGGGAATTAGTATCGTGCTTTCATCGAAAGAATGCAAAGTATTCCTGTCACACTTATTGCTAGTTATGAAGGCCAAGTCAACAAAAACACAATATGAGTCTCTCCTATACCATGACTTGGTATTCTCAACCCAATCGTTTAAAAGCCAGTTATTGACATGTCAGGTGTAGTAATATCTATTTTGTACTTTGAAACAAAGTGGATTGCCTCAGTTTGACTTTTATTAATTGAGATATTCTTTTAATAATCTTTCATAATATCGATGACATAAAGGATTAGAACATGCTCACTTAACTAATCTGGGTTGAGATAAAAAAGGAATCAATCGATGATTGGATTTTGAATCAATTAATAATTAAAGAATGAAGGCAAAGGGTTTAAAACAAACAAAGTAAGCATTGAATATACAATGATCATTGAATTTCCATAGAACCAAATGCAATTAAGTGCTGAGTTTTAACGCTGGAAAAACTGAATGAACATTAGATTAATCAGAGAAAAGATCAAGAAAGGGATCGTACCCATTTACATTCCAGCCAAGTAACTCTAATTGATTTCGTTCTAGTGCTGCTCTCTCGATATGATCAATTAGGGTGGGAGAAACATCTATGAATAAAAGAATACAAAAAGCAAAAACTCGAAAATTGATTTTGATTGAACATACACAAAATGAACTGTCAGGTAGTATTATATGTAGAAGATTTGGAATATCTAAATACTATTAACAATCAGTTAAAATACTCTCTAATAGAAGAGTACGAGAATGATAAAAACTACCTCCTCTCGTATTATCTATGGATGTTAAGTTCGAAAGATCTATATTCAATCATGTTAACTCATTCCATTATTACTTCGCATTAGCAACGAACATGACTCGATATTTTCACCCCAAAGTGCATTTTTACCGAGTTGAATGGATTGTAATGATGGAAGATCTACATCAATCATTTCATTCAAATTCATTCAATACTTTCAATTATTGTTGATAAGGATTTCTTGAATACTTCATCACCCAATGTAACGGATTGTAGATTTGGAAGATCTATGCATTATACATACTCAATATCAGTTTAATACCTCGAATCACAAATGAACTATGACAGAAATTGCAAGAATCACTTCCAATTGTACCAATTTGAATGGATTGTAATTGTGGTAGATTCTTCAATTCAAAGTCACCTCCAAAATCACTGAAACAAAATCGGCCAATTTGAATGGATTCCAATGATTCACAATTCAATATATGGAATGACTTCGATTCATCATCTCCATTTCTATACTTTCTATGAGTAAATGAATTCTTTCCGATTTTGATAGTTTTCAATCGTTTTAATCCATCAATATTAAACTATTTCACTGAAGCAAAACAATCATTTTTGATTTCGATTGATTCGACACAAGTGAATCGAGAGAAATCAAATATTGTATAATCAATATCATTACAGGTCCAACAAGGGATGGTAATAGACCTAACTACTGAATCAATTGATTGAATATATTCAAAGGAATAGACTTTTGGAAATAGTAGTTCAGAGACATCTAATAAGTTGAAAATGTGCTAATTAAAAATACTGCTTATAGTTGGATATATGGTGTACTGAAATGAATAAGGTAGATTGACTATTTTAAGATTTGGAATATCTATATACTGTCAACATTCAATTATCAGAACTACTTTCCAATGTCACTGAGTGATAAGAACAAAATCCAATTCTTCTAGTATTAATTGATGTTAGATTTGGAAGATCTATATTCAATCATGTTAACTCATTCCATTATTACTTCGCATTAGCAACGAACATAAAGGATCATTCTTTCTTCCACGAAGTGCACCTTGACCAAGTTCAATGGATTGTAATGATGGAAGATCTACATCAATCATTTCATTCAAATTCATTCAGTACTTTCAATTATTGTTGTTAAGGAATCAAGGAATGCACACCAACCTAATGAAATGGATTGTAGATTTGGAAGATCTATGCATCATTCAAATATTCAATATCATGTCAATACCTCGAATCACAAATGAACTATAATAGAAATTGCATGACCTACTTCCAATTGTACCAATTTGAATGGATTGTAATTGTGGTAGATTCTTCAATTCAAAGTCGCCAGCAAAATCACTGAAACTACATCGGCCAATTTGAATGGATTCCAATGATTCACAATTCAATATGTGGAATGATTTTGATAGAAAGTATATTTCGCTATTTCGATAATCAGTAGACCTTATTCCGATCATCATTTTGCGTTTAGTAAATGAGTTGTTTCCGATTATGATAGTTTTCAATCGATTCAATCCTTCGATTCGGAATGTTTGCACTGATTCAAAACAATAATAGCCGATTTCGATTGATTCCAAATTATACAACAATGAAACATCCCAATCAACCAATACACAATTGTTACTCAGTTTCAAATGTTTGATTCCGATATTCATTGGTTTTGAGCCATCGCCTTCATATTCATTATTACATTCAATTCCATTATACCATTCACATTCATTCACTAATTTACCATATCGATCATATACGATTCCTCTTCCAAATCGCTTATCATCACACCAATATCCTTCATATTCAATCAAACCATTATCATGATAACTCGTTCCATATCCAAATCGTTTCCAATTGATCATTATGCCCTTGTACACCAAGAATCCATCATCATCATACATTTCACCATATCCAAATGGAATTCCAATTTTACCTTCTTTTTCTTTATTAGTCAATACCAATCCTTCAAATCGACTTCCATGATCCAAATCCACGATTCCTTCTACTACTTCTATGGATTGTTCTTCATTATATGAAATAGCACCAATTTGATGATTTCCAAACACTTTCAACACTTTCTCATCATTGAGCACAAATCCTTGATTCATGAATACTCCATTATCGAACTGCAATACTACGCACTCTCTATTACTCAAAATAAGTGAAATCCAGCCATTTGGTTTCATTTCTTTACTCAAGCATGCCTGCACATTTTGAATAATGGAACTATCGACATGATAGTTGTTAATAGCAGAATTGACAAAATCAGCAATGTTTGAATGCATCGAAATACAGAAATTTATAAAATAAATAGTTTTATAACAATAATTTGTTATAATAAAAAAAACTAGATAACAGCTACTGAAAAAATAAAATACTTCATTTATGGTAGATATTTAGTACCATACAATAAATAATACTGAACCGCGTTTTCCCTTTCCTTCCTCTGTTTATTTTACTATCTATATCACTCTACATTCAATACGCTCCATTGTTGTTGATCGGGTTTGAAACGATTCCTATGGATGTGTAGATCAATAATTCGTGTAATATGAAAGCGTTTCATTTATTTCTAATCGTTTTTATGTGTTTATGTCGCCTGTTACAGTTCCAATTATAATTGTTGCTATTCATTTACCGTCACAATCACATCACTTCCAGTACAAGCACTATCTTTTTACTCAAAATCATCATTTTCATTCCAATCCTTCCTAATAACAACTTAACGCAGCAAAACTCCAATTGAGGGTCTTTATTTGATTTGGAAAATATAACTTAGAAAACGACCAACATTGTTTATATGATTCCCATATCCAAACACATCGTCATTCAATCAACTTCAAGTCTTTCCCATGAACTCATTCACGCATCATTTGTTTTTTTCAAACAAACAGACACAACTACAGCGAATTGTTGAGCAGTACTTCCACGATCACAAACATTATCGCCGCGTTCGGAACCGTTCGCAGCACATGCGCCGTAAATCCCGCATACATTCCACGCATTCCTGCCTCTCGATACAGCGCTTTGAACGACGAAATCACCGTCGAGTACTCCGTTCCCACCGTCCGCTCCCTCATTCTCGTGCGCACCACTTCGTGCGGATAAGTCGTGGTGGTCGCCACTAATTTCGCCAAAGCGGCCGTGCAAAATAGCTACGATTAATGGAATTCCAGAAGACAACGCAGAATTTGGAGGGATGGTCGTTGTGTTTGTAGACGAATCGTTTGAAACTGTCGTAACTACCCGTAATTTTGGAATTCCAGAAATACCAGGTAAATTGAATGGCAGTTTCAGTGAGGCCTAAATAGGAAACAGAAAGTCCTTTGAAGAAGCTGCGCAGTCCTTCTTCGCGGTAAATGCGACGAATCGCGTCGCCAATGCTGTTATAATTTCGAAAGCGCTTGATGCTTGATGCATGGCATGAAGGTCACTGCTGCTGTTTTTATGATTGATGATGAAAGATATGAGTTCAGGCTCGACGTTTGTCTGAAGTTGGATGCGTGTTTTAACCACCCAGATGGGATTGCAAAAGGTTACAGCGGTCGCACCTGCGATAATGCTTCTGCAGAGAGCGTTGAGAGTAGAGGACATCGATGGAAAGTGCTCATTCAGAAAGGGCTTGGTCGATTCATATCTATCTGCTTAGGGACGTGATTTAGAAAATACACGAGAAAATGGACTCCTCGCGTGGGCGCAACACTTGCGAGCATTAGCTACGCGTCATAGAAGCAGAAAACAGAAACCAAACAGCCTTTCCAGAGGGAGAAAAACCCCTCGTTTTTAACCACAGTTTTCATACCACTTATTACCCCATTTACCCCTCCATAGCGTGCATTAAACGAAGACTACAAATAAGCCATAGTTTCAGTGATCACTTGACTCCGAGTCTTAACGAGTTCCAGGGGACATGTAACAATCACTCCTAAATTTCAAACTCAAACTCAAATCGTACCACACGTAGAACCGCAAACTCCTGCCCAAAAATTGCGGAAGGCGCCTGAGTGTTTTCGTTTTTCCGTGTTGCTACTCATCCACTTCCTTTTCTCGTCTGCTTGAAACTGGGGAAACTGGGGAAACGAACATGTAAAAATAAGTCAACGCATACATTCTATTCAAAAAGGAAAAATGATTCTGTGCGTTATGTTCCAGCCATGTCGTTCGCATGATCAACAATCCGCATACAATCAACTACTCATCGATTGTTTGTTTGTTTTAAAAGCAAATACTTGCAATGTATCGAACAAACAGCGAAGAGATTCATTGAAAATAAACAAAACGAAAAACGATCTCGGAAAAATGGCACTCTCTTTTTCCTCAATCATCACACTTGCTTTCACTCGTTCCTCTCCGATCCAACCGCGTCGCATCCACTCTCACCAAATACGACATGACGCCGTCTTCAAACCTCCTCAAACTCTTCTCCCCTCCTGCATTGCGCGCTTCAAAGCTTCGGCATTGCTCGCAGATGTGATCAATTCTACGCGTAATTCGGCCTCCAAACCCCCACGATTTGTCCGAGCTGGCCTGACAGCAGTTATAACAGAGCACCTGGCCGCATCGTCTGCAATGGCGTTTCGTTGTGATCAGCGAGAACCGCTTTTGGCAGCGCATGCACCGCTCCACCAGCTTGTTCGGTAAGAAAAAGCCCAGTTTATGTCGATTCTCGCTAGGACACAGTTTCTACATCACGTCATCGTATCATCATCATCATCATCATCATTGTTGTTGTCACCACCATTATTATTATTATCATTATCATTACAACCACCCTTTCATAATCACCATTTTCATTCCCACTCCCATCATCATCATCATCATCATCAACCTACGTTTATAAACTGCAACTGCCCTCGAATCACGGGACCCAGCGCTTCGTACACGCCCTGCAGCGTTCGCGGCGCCGCCTTCAGCGCATCCTCGAGATCCGTCACTGCTTCGCCGCTCAGCGGTGCCGCGCAATTCAGCAGGAACACAACCGCGGGAATATCCCCCGCCGCCACCGCATAATGCAGCGGAAACCACCCGCGGGAATCCGCCACGTTCATCCACGCGGGCTCCTTCTTCGCGATCAACCTTGTCAAATCTTCGCTTCGTCTTCGCGCCGCTTCCGCCAGCGCGGTGCGTCCTTCCCGCCCCATCCCGCACTTCCCCGCGGTTCCGTACGCCAGCAGCACGCTCACGCAATGCATGTCGTCGCGCCTACTTCGCATTCCCGCCAAAACACGCACTCCACCGCGGCAAACAGCGGCGAAACGCCCTCGCCGTCGAGAACCGCGGGATCGCACCCCGCCATGAGGAGCAGTCCGAGCAGATTCCCGCGGAGCGATCCGTCCCGCGGTTCCGCCTGGGAACGCACGAGCACGTGAAGACAGGTCTCCCCCGCGGGAGTGCGCGCCTGGACGTCGGCGCCGTAGCCGACCAATAGGCGAACGAGCGTTTCGTCGAGGAGGACGCAGGCCACGTGGAGCGGCGCGAAACGCCCCGCGGCCTCGGCGTCGCTGCGCGCGCGAAGCAGACGGACGAGGGAGCGATAGTTGGAGGCCAGCAGAGCGTTGAGCACGGCGCAGGGGAGCAGCTCGCGGGAGGGATTCCCGCGGGAGGACCAGAGGCGAGGGAGGGACTGGGCGAAGAAACGGTGGCGGGAGGGAGGGAGGAGGGCGAAGAAGGCGAGGCCGTGGAGGGAAGCGACCTGGAGGGGCGAGGGACCGCGGGGAAACGAGGAAGGCGCGGAGAGCGCGGATGCGGCGTGAGGAATCGCGGGGAGAAGAAGAAGCGCGCAGCGAGGCGCCGAGCAGTGCAGCGCGAAGTGCAGAGCCGTGAAGCCGTCCAGAGCGTAGAGACACGGCGAGGAACCGCGGGGAGAGGGGAGGAAACAGCGAGGGAAGCAGGGACAGAAGGAGTCGGTGCAGGAAGCGTTCAGTGATTCATTCAGAGAGCCGTTCAGTGATTCCGTGAAGGATCCCGTGAAAGATTCGGTCAAAGATTCGGTCAGAGAGCCGTTCAGTGATCCATGATTTCCATGCAGCGAGCAGGGGTCGCGGTCGCTTCGCCCGCCGTCCGGGTTATTCCCGCGGGAACAATACCGCGCCATGCAGAGCCCGTCGTCGAACGAGGCGTCGCTGCAGGCGGGGCCGAAGGAGAGCGAGTCTCCCGCGGAACCCTCGCCCCACCGGGCGGTCCCCGCGGGGAGCGCGGTCTGTGCGGGGGTTTTGGCGGGGAGGGCGGTGAGGAGAACGGCGTCGCGAAGCTGGTCGAGGTCGGCGAGCGCGACGTCGAGAGAATCGCGGGAGAAGAAGCGGACGGGGGTCTGGGGGTCCACGTGCTGCGCGAGGAGCTGGGCGACCCCGCGGGGCTGGTTGAAAATGCAGGCGATGTGGAGCGGAAGGAGCCCCAGCGCGTTGGGCGCGTCGTAGCGGCAGCTGCAGATGAAATCGGGGCAGGCGCGGTCGGACTGGCGGTGAGACCGGGGAAAAAGAGGGACGAGAGGGACCAGCCAGGCGTCGCAGACGAAGTAGCAGGCGTGGAGGGGAAGGTTGCCGAGGATGTCGCGGCTGTGGATGAAGTGCGCGCGAAGGGAAGGGAAGCGGCCGCAGAACGCGAAGAAGTCGAGGTACCCGCACCAGGCAGCGAGGTGGAGCGGAGAGAGGTATTGGGCGTAGAGAATGTCCACAGGGTCGTAGTACCAGGATTGCGGCGGAACTGGGGATGAGGGGAAGGAAAAGCGAGGACGAGTGTCGTGAAGGTGGGAGATGTGCTCCTTCATTTTGGTCAGCTGCTCGCTGAGAGCGTCGGCGGGAACGCCGTTGAAGAAATTCAGCCAGCTGGAGATTAGATCGCTCTGAACTTCTTTCGGACTCTTGCAATCGGACAAGATACTAAAGCACTGATCGCGCTGTACAACGGCTACCTCGGACGCAGCTTCGACAACGAAAACATCGTTTTGCAACAGTTTATGTAACTGCCGATATAAATTTGGTTATTGTAGGTCGATAGAATTGTCTCGACAAATTGGACAATCAATTCTTCTGATGACAGCATGTCCTTGCTTTCGGTCCGTATAATCGAACTCTTTGCATCACCCTGCTATTTAGGCACTACCTCCTTTGCTTTAGAAAATAGAAATAATAGAATTAATAATAATAATAATAATAATAATAATTATAATTATAATAATAGTAATACTTACTTGTTTTTTTATATTTCTTTTTTTCTGACCTGGAATGTTCGTTCCCACCAACTCCATCGTAGCGTTGATTATGGTTTCTCTCGCCTTGTTCGGCTGGGGAACCCAGACCAACTCGGTGATTGATCTGAAAGTGCCTGCGGGAGTCTATCATTTTGAATTTATCATCTGGAGAACGATCTGGACCATTCTAATTTGTCTGCTTATCGGAACTAATATTGTTCCACCCGAACACACTGGGTTTGTCGAAAATTTGATGGAAGTCATTCGTTCTGGCGTTGGACATTGGCGGGGAGATTGATCCCATAGAAGTCATCAATTATAACCCATTTCGGAGGAGCCATGTTGGCTGGTATTCCAGATATGATATTCCAAATATTCCTATTTGCGAATATTGATGGATCTGGACTTGCTAGCACCGTCCCTATCCAAGTGGGAAGCGACACTGTTTTCGGAGCGATCCTTACACTGATCATCGATCGCAGAGCCAAACTCCAATTCTACATTCCTGGACTTATCATCAACTGCATCGCCATTCTCCTCAACGCTGTCACCTATCGATCCCTTCACAACGAAAATGTAGCTAGAGACAAGGAAGCTCTTGTTCCACAAAACGATTATCACAGCAAATTCTCTACGACCAAAATGATCCTCATCGCGCTGGCCGGCGCTCTCTGTGGTGTTCCCTTTGGACCGGGAACTGCCCTAGGAGGAAAGGAACCCAATGCGTTGAATCCTTATGTAGATCCTTTTTTTGCCTCCTCGTGACTCTGTAGTCCTTAGCTCTTGTTTTCTGCATTTCTGGTCTTCTCGCTGCCCCTTTCTGTTCTTAGTACGCTTTCTCGCTTCCAGTTTTACTCTAGCTTGTTAATGCGCTATCCTTTCCAAGGAGAGCCTTGTTCGATGCGTGATTGGTGGAATTGCACCTGGAAGCAGCGATGGCCCGCGATTTGGGGAGGTCTCATGTGGGCGATTGGAACTCTGGGCTATTCGCTGGCAGCTCCGCATTTGGGGTATTCTGTAGCGTTTGTGTTCGGGCAGTCGACGCCGTTCGTCACCTCTCTGTACTCAATCTTCTATTTTAAGGAGTTCGCGCATGCAGGGAAAAAGACGTGGACCTGGGAGATACTGATGTTGCTTTCGTTCTCAGTCTCTCTGGGATTAATGTGCTGTGCGCAAGAATGTTTTGTTTGTTCGTACACTTGATTATCAAGAATTGCTGAACGACTAAACAAAAAGAAAAAGAATATGAAGGCAAGTCTCGTGCTCAAGCTACTACTCCTTGCTTATTTACCGCTGTCTGTATACTATTCGCTCCAAAGTTCGTTTGAGGAGTCGACTGCAGTTGCGGATGTATCTGTATATTGGTATATTTTAGTCACAGATACCGGCTGGTCTCAGCAAGGAAATATGCATTAATAATAGCTCGGTATTTACTGACATGTGGAACGAGCGTTATCTCCATATCGATTCCAATCACCGCGAGTATTCCCTTTATTCGAAAAAGACGATCGGTGTGTCATTTTTGAAAGATAAACATGTCTCGAACATTATTATGTAGGATCGAGGTAATATTATTCCTGTTAGAAAGGAGGGTCGCTCTGCACCATTTTCGGTGAATGTACGGATGTACTTTTCGCGTTGCTACATAATTCGGAACGATAATCCACAAGGAGAGAATTTGCATGTGCATCTCTATACCTACAGAGGTGTGAATTCATAATTGCTATAATGCATAGTCCTTTGTCCCGTCAATGCGGTTGTAATGTTTCTTCTTTTATACATGTTCTTTTTCCATCAGAAGTAGCTTTTTTCTATCGCTGATTCCTTGTAGAGAGCTCCTTAAAGACGCCGTTTTGTATGGAGCCAGCGTGTTGTGTCTCATCGCCTCGCTCACTACCTTCATCACCTATTTAGAGCGTCGAACGCTGTTGGCTTTTCCAGTTTCTCCACTCATTCCCAGATATCTCCCCGGCGTGAAAGTGATCAACGAGAGCATTCTGCACACCCTTCCCTACATCATCTTCTACTCCTTCTTCCTGGTTCATTTTCTGTCCTTCGTTCTTCGAATCAGTCTGAATTACTACCATATTTCCATCAACGAGTTCAACTCCGTTCCGCACATCGTCAGTTTCTTCGGTCCTTTGGTTTGCCAATATCAATACTGGGTCGTCGGACTCTATATGGTGCTCTCGTTCTTCGTTCTGCCGCTCAATCGCGATGGGCTGTGGATGTCGGTCGTGCTGGGATCCGGTTTGCTAGCGTTTTTGATGATGTACGGAGCCGACTCGCTGCTGCAGAATCTTACCAACGGAATCGTGATTGCCTTGATGCTGTTGACCGTTCTGCCATTTTTGTGGAAGAAGTAGGGAGAGGAAACGAGAGGATGACTGGTAGTGGCTATTTCTATCTGCTGTTCCCGTCATCGAGTGTCAAGGAGAATAGAGAGTTAGAAAAGAACTTGAAGACGGTTATGGATGAGTAATTGTGCTTGCGCTTTTTGTTATTGTTTGTTTGTTTGTTTGATTTCCTTTTGGAATGACAAAAATCGGGGGGATTTTGTGAATTCTTTTTTTGCTAGAATTCTCCATCCTTCTCCACTCAATTTAGGAATGGTGCCTAAGAAGGGAAAAAGCAAAAGAAAGACAATCCGTCAGCAATATACCGCTCGAAAACTCGTACGATTTGCGACAGACTGTTCCTTTTTAGTTCTTTGCTCGAAAGAGAAAAGCAGCTAAGCTCGAGAAACGTGCCAGACGGGAAGGAAAGGTAAAGCCCAAACCTAGAGACCCAGGCATTCCAAACAGCTGGCCGTTCAAGGAGGAAATGCTTCAGGAGGTGCGTATCTGTGTTTTACGTTCACGCCACAGATTCAAGATATGAAGGAACTCGCAGCCAAAGAAAGAGCGGAAGCGCGTGCCAAGCGTCGTGAACAAAGAGTAGGCATCGTCCACCCAATCGATTCGAAGGCGAGAGAAGAAGCGATCGCCCGCGGAGAAGAAGTTTCCGACATGGAGCCGATGGAAGCCGAGAACGCCTCCGCCGACGCCTCGAACCCCATTCGTCTGCACGTCAACGACGACGGCGCGACGCTGACGGACGTACGATCGCTCTCCTTTTTCCATGCAGTTAATCAGCAACAGCGACGTGATTCTCGAAGTGGTCGACGCGCGAGACGCCATCGTACCTCCTCTCCTTCCCCTCCACCGCAGAACACCCGCTGCTTCTCCGTAGAGAAGGCCATCGCCGACGAGTTCCCCTCCACCCGGGTCATTCTCATCCTCACGAAGATTGACCTCGTTCCCCGCGCGCTCCTGGCTTCGCTCCTCGACACGCTCCCCGCGGAACTCCCCGTCATCCTCTGGAAGAACACCACGCTCCCGCCGCAGACGCGCTCCCGCGGGAGAAAGCCCGCACACTTCTTCGGCGTGCGAAGAATCGCGCGGCAATCCGGCTTCGCCAACTTCGTCTTCGGTCCTGACTACCTCATGGAAGTACGCTCTTCCCCGCGGTTCCATCTAGTGTCTCCGGAACATCCAGAAGTCCCGCGGGGACTGGATCAACGTGGCGGTGGTCGGGTTTTACGGCGTGGGGCGGCACGAAGTGCTGCGCGCCATCATGCAGAATTCCCCGCGGTACCACGCCGATCAGCTGATAACCGCGGGAGACTCGGTGCTGCGGCGCATCGACGATTCCATCCAGTTATTCACGGTTCCCGGGCTGGTTTCGCTGCAACCGCGGGACTGCGAGCATTTTGACTACCTGTTCAAGTGCCATCCCCGCGGTTTCGTAGTGGCGAATCGTGGAATTGAGGGTAGATGACGATCGATTCGCGGGAATTGTGCCGCGATCTGATTGGCTCGCTGGACGGGCATCTGCTGAGCTTCTTCTACCAGATCCCCGCGTTTTCGACCTGTACCCGCGGGAATCGGGCTGACGACTAGACGAGGAGTTCATCGGGCTGCTGGAGGAGCGCGTCGAGGATAAGAGTGTGTGTCGGAGCGCGGCTTGACCCTAGAAAACATGCGGCCCAGCACGGCGGCGCGGCAGGTTCTGACGGACTGGGCGAGCAACCGGCTGCCGCACTACGCGGAGGCGGAGCGCAGCGCGGTGCAGACGGTGCAGACGGAGGTGCTGAAGCGGTGGAAGGAGGAGATGGGGTACGAGGCGGTGCTGGAGAGAATGAAGAAGGACCCTGAGCTCGATCGGTACGCGATGAAGCCGCTGGAGCGCGTGTTCCGCACCCCCAATGTGCAGCCCGAGGAGGAGACGCTCGACTATTCGTGCTTCCTCCCTGCGGCGGAGAGAAAGCGAGAGGAGGAGGAAGAGGAAGAGGAAATGGAAGAGGAGGAAGAAGTGCCAGAGCTGGTGGATGATGATGAGGAAGAAGAAGAAGAAGAGGGTGAAGGTGAAGAAACGGAGCTGGTGGACGATGAGGATGCTGCGTTGTTGGAGTAGTTCGTTTGAATTGTTTGTGGCAACAAAGAGTGGAAAACGCTCGGTGTTCAGCAACACCTGGACTATTGTAAAGATCACTTTATTCCTTCTTGGGAGTAGCCTTCTTCGGAGAGGCCTTCTTGGGAGTCGTCTTCTTAGGAGTTGTCTTCTTCTCCGCGGCTGCCTTCTTCGGGGTGGTCTTCTTCGGAGTCGTCTTCTTCTCAGCAGCTTCCTTCTTCGGGGTGGTCTTCTTCTCGGCTGCCTCCTTCTTCTCCGTGGCTGCCTTCTTCTCCGTGGCCGCCTTCTTTTGCGGCTTCGCGCAGGCCTTCTTGGTGCCCTTCTCCTTCTTCTCGGTCTTAGCTGGCTTCTCCTTCTTCTCCGTGGATTCCTTCTTCGTGGAGGTCTTCTTGGTGGTGGTCTTCTTCTCCTTCTTCTCCTTTTTCTCTTCCTTCGCCTCCTCCTTCTTCTCAGAGGTTTCCTTCTTCTCCTTCTTTTCCTTCTTTTCCTTTTTCTCCTTCTTTTCCTTCTTAGAGGTCTTCAGCTTTTGAACCTTCTTCTTCTTCAAGATAGACTTCTTCATATTCGCTGAAATTTTGTAAGAGTTCTTATGTCTGGGAGCAGACACAATTTCCTCATTATCCAACATCATTTTCACAATTCTACGCACAAACGTGTGCTTCAATTCAATATCCGGGTGGTTTTCCTTTATATGCTTCTCAATAGCGGGGATGGAGCTTCCGGTTCTGTCATTCAGAGCAGAGATGGCTTCCAACACAAGCTTCTTGTAGGGAACAGACGGTTTCTTTGCCTTAGGTTGAGTCTTCTTTTCCATTCGAATATTCTTGTTTAGATTTATTTGAAATAACGGTGCCGGCTAATATGGGCGGGCGACTTTTGAAGGACCAATCATCATTCAATTCCTAGATTCATGGGATTTTGTTTTTTGATTTTCATCCCTATTTCAATTCCATAGTTTTCGCCCTTAGGCTTTTTATTTTCGTTCGCTTCTTTTATCATTTGATAGATAAGCATGTGTACTCTGTGATAGTCATAATTAATTGCGCGAATACAGTTCCAATGCGGTGAAAAACGTCAACGAATATGATATGAAAGAACATGGAATAGAACAGTAATCTTTCACATTATCATATAATTACTCATGGTAGTCAGCGAATTTTGATGAGTTCTTTCGTTATATCGATTCGTGGCTTCTTTGCACTTCAGCCACATAATGGGCAAAGAAGAAGTGACAGGAAACCTTCATGAATTGTCACTTGAATCCTGAAATATACTTGGATTTGTTATGAATATGATTAGCATCAAGCCAAACATTGTACTTGATCGATTCAATTTTGAAAATACGCAAAATCCAATTGAATTTCGAACAAACAAATGAATGAATCACTCCATATCCATATCTTTCTTTTCCTCTGTTCCCAGCTCGGCTCCATTATTCGTTTCCTTCTCCATCTCTAACTCCTTTTTCGCCATCTCCTCGATCTCCTTCATATACACTTTCATTCGATCATCCGTATTGATATCCAGCTTCGGCAGTTCGTCATTCTCCACGCCATACGCACTCTACTCACATCCAATCCCGCAATCCTACCAGCACGATCCCCACATCCAGCGAATTCATCGCATACTGAAACATCGTAATGTTCTTTTTGAACGACGGCGAGTGGACGATTCGCTTCAACCCCTCCACAGAGCGAAGGCAGGGAGGAACCAGCGGGTAGAGACGCTTGCAGATTTCCGGATTTCCAAAAATCGACTCGACGTTTTCTTCTTTGATGTAACGCAGAGCATCGAACGGCAGTTGCTGGTAGAGCACATCGCGCTCGGCCTTTTCTTTATTCCTAACTGAGAGATCTTCAATGGATCTACATAATTTCGAAGGCAATTTGGAAGGAGGTGAGGAATCGCTTATACACGCTTTCTTCCGGTTCCTTGGAATAAGGACAGATCTCATCGTGTCTCACCTGGCACCAGAAGAAGGAAGGGGAGTGATCCCTCTGGGGCTTGCACTTACGAAGAACGAAGACCACCGCGTCCTTTACTTCATCATACTACGGCAATTATGCGTATCGTCCTCTGTCTTACTATTACAAACTCTTGGTCAAAGGAAAGAGGCAACGTCTGACAAATGAAACAATAGAGGCTTTCTTACGATTGGTTTTGTTTTCGAACCGACTTCGGAGGACTCCCAATGCAGTTCATACACACTGAATTCGTAGTCGTTTTCATCATCGTCAACATGCACAGAAACCTTTTTACAAAGGAGCTTTAGAGTTCCATGCTCGTCCACGGGCGTAACCAAAATGGAATCCGCCGACATCGTCTGGTTTCGGCAATATCCCGCAGGAAGCTTAGCAATAAGCTCAAACTATGCATTAGCGTATCCATATCGTGGCTACTTTTGATCCTTTTGTGTTCATTAAGAAAAAACTGAGTCTTTCAAAACTTTTCGCTCAAACAATATACATCAAAACTCCTAAATAGACACTTCGAGGATACTTCTTCTGTAGTTGAGGCCACTGGACAACAAAGGAGTCAGCAACGTAGTAGAGCAAATACCCAGATACACTCAGTCTACACTTCAAGAGCCATTGCTTCGTTCACCTTTCCACACGGCAAAAACTCTCGACAAAAACGATTCGGCAGTGAATGATATCCAGAATGCGGTAGAGAACAACAACCAATGCCACTGGAATGCACGTGCCTACAAATCACATACACTAACAATGCCAACCAGGTCCATTGATCAAGAGCAAGTTTGGTTGCTCGAACAGAATCAATACAAGACATCGGAGGAAAGCACGAAAAGTAGACCGAATGGAGGAGAAGTACGACTGGCCGACTTCCCTGCTACGAGGAATCGTCTTGATTGTAGAGTCGAATGCAAACTATAATTAAACAAAGAAATAGGGAAGCACGTACATTCTCATTCATATATCGCGAAATGCTCTTCTTGTCGGTATCTGCACTCACTATTACCATAGGAGTGTAAAGAGAAGGGTCTAACGAATGGAGGAGTGCAAGCATCTCCGAAGTGTGTCCACCTGCAAATAGATTCAAGAAGCAAGCAGTACCTGATCCTAAAACCACCATCGTCTTAGCCGGTCGCGCATCCACGTTTCCGTGAGACCAATATCTGTTTATGGAAAAACCGATCACAAACAGAATAGCAAGAACGCAGCAAAGGACCAAATCCCACATGAAAACAAAAATAAGAACGATATGACTTTTCTGTTCAAAATTAACACTAATGAAAGCAATGGGAGTGTGAGATTCATCCGCATATTCGTGTCTCGACAGTATAGAATGCTAAAAAAAACAGATATTTGCTTTTCACAATTCATGCAACGAGTAGTTATCACCGGAATTGGGGCAATTACTCCATTTGGAGTTGGAATCGAGCATTGCTTTAGTCAGTTGGTCAATAGCTGTTGTGCCATCAAGGTGAGCATTGTTTTCGACTTTCTATGTAGCGACTAGAATCTCCAGAATTTGAGAAGTGTAAATGTAAAATAGGCGCTCCCGTTCCTAGAGGAGATGGAGCTTGTGCGTACGGTGGATTGTTTTGATGAAATAGTTTGCTATAACCCCGTGAAATACAAAGTTACGGATAGAGCAACGCAACCGGATGTGATTGGTTTTGGAATCGCGGCGGCAACCGAAGCACTTCATGTTTTGTTCCTTCAATTTGTTAACTGCAGGAAGCTCAAATCGATACCAGCAACTTTCCTGTTCCAAAAGATCGAATTGTATTCATTCGCATATTCACATATCATATTCAGGGTGTTTTCGTTTCCACAGGGATTGGGAATATCAATGAAATCGATGCTTCTAGTAATTTGCTCAATGCAGGAAAAAGGTACACATGCTTTTTTAATGTAACATCTAACAATCAGACTGAGTCCGTTTTATGTTCCTCGCATTCTCAACAATCTTCCTGCTTCAAACATATCAATTCGGTTTGGTTTTCAAGGGCCATGTGTGAGTAACAACATGGCTTGTGCTTCCTCTGCATACAGCATCCTAGAAGGCCTCAAGTTTCCACGTTTCCACTTTCTAACACTCCAGTTCGATCCGCCAAAACGAGTCCGATCTTGTTTTAGTTGGGGGTTCGGAAAGCTGCATGGGTCGATTATCGTATCAAGGATTCGGCGCCATGCATTCGCTTTCCACTCACTTCAATGAAACTCCCACACAGGGATCACGACCCTTCGATCGAATTCGAAATGGATTTGTGATGGGAGAAGGAGCCGTTGTGATGGTTTTGGAGTCTCTCGAACGCGCACGTGCTCGAAACGCCCCGATTTTGATATCTTTCCATCCGTTCCCGCGGTTCTCTTAACGAAACTGCGAAGTGATTGGCGGGAGCAGCAACTGCGACGCGTATCACATCACATCGCCGCATCCGGAAGGACTGGGCGCGAAAATTTGCATGGAAACGCTGCTTCGCAAAGCAGGGATTCGCGCCAATCAAATTGATTATATCAACGCACATGCCACAGGAACACAAATCGGAGACAAGGCGGAAATGCTGGCCATCCAGAGCGTTTTTGGCGGGGTCGCGAAGAAACCGTTTGTGTCGTCGACGAAGGGAGCGACGGGTCATTTATTGGGGGCTGCAGGAGCGTTGGAAGCGGGAATCTGCGCGTATGCGATCAAAAAAGTGGGGGAAAATGGAGGAATTGAGGGAAAGGAGATCATGCCGCCGACGCTGAATTTGGAAGAATCGGAGATTTCGTTCGGTTTTGATTTGTTAGCGAAGAAGGCGAGGGAAGGGCGAGTGAATTACTGCCTGAGCAATTCGTTCGGATTCGGTGGTGTGAATGTGAGTTTGTTGTTTGGTCGTGTGGAATCGATTGTTTGTGAGTACAAAGAAGAAGAAAAAGCAGGGCAAGAAAAAAACAACAATAAATCAATAAATAAGTAAATAAGTAAATAAGTAAATAAGTAAATAAATGAGTCAACAAACAATTCACACAATACAACACACGTTACATTTCGGAAGAATCAAAACGACTCGCATCGATTTCGAGTGGTACGAACGCTTCCTTTCTCTGGTTCTGACTATTCTTCTTCTCCCTCTTCTTCTTTTCCTCCGCTGCCTGCTTCAGCATCGCTTCCAAAATCCTTCGATCCGCTTCGTTCAGCGTTCGAATCACTTCGCGGAACTGTTCCTTGTGTGCTCCTCCCACGATTAACACCACATTTCGCGCCTCCGCTTCGCATTCCGCCGTGTCGTTTCCCTCCAACCGCAATTCTTCGCATCGACGCATCAAACCGATCGACAATCGCAGCAGCAACTCGGCAATTCCCGCCTTCTGCTCCGCCTTGTCGTACAGCAATCGCAGAATTCCCGCGGTTCCAGACAAGCCCTCGGGCTGCAGCACGGGAATCGCGGGAATCAGCAGCCAAATGACGTTCAGTCCCGCGAAACTGAGAATCAGGCGCGCGTGGGTTTTGCTCATTTTGCCGACGATTCCCGCGAAAACCGGGATTACCGCGGTTATGTAGTCGCGGTCCGTTTTGGAGGGAGGCGTTTCAAGATGAATGAAACCGGAGAACTCCACTAAACTGATTTGGAGAAACGTGGAAACGATTCGGTCATCGGGAGATTGTTGGTAGAAGGAGCCAATCAGATTCGTCAGATTCACAATCGCGGGGATCGATCGGGTTTTGACGGAGTCGCTGACAAACTCCACCGCCAAATCGGAAACACTATTCCGCAGCAGCCAATCATCTTTCACGACCAGAAGAATCCCGCGGATAATCTGCGTTGCGTTTTCCCGCGGAACTTCGGGGTTTTGGAGGGAAGTCAGCAGATCGTACGCCACAGCGGCTCGAATCCCGCGGTTATTTTCGAAGAGTTTCATGAAGGAAGTGACGATGGCGGGAAGGGACGCGATAACCGCGGGAGAATGCGCCATTCGATGGATTTCGTTTAGAAGCGAACCCAGCAGAGGGGAGGAAGTTTCATCGCGGAAGGAAAGGTGGGAAAGTGGGAGTTTCGATGGATCGTATGGGGGTTCCGCGGGAGTTTCATTGTGTTCTGTGGGTGTTTCATTGTGTTCCATTGATGTTTCATTGTGTTCCGCGGGGGAATCGCCGATTTCTTCGCGTGGTTCCTTTTCTCCCTCCATCTCGGTTTCCACGTTTCCCCAGGGATCGGAATCGGACGTTTCGGCCATGGGATTCGGTTTGGAACAGGGTTCCTCCAATTCCACATCCCAGGCCTCTTCTTCGAAAACCGCGGTTTCTTCTTCGCTGGACCACGCGCCAGATTCCGCCGTGACACCGGCTTTGCTCGGTCCATCGTGAGTAGGAACCGCGGGAAGCGCCGCCATCACGCGATCCGCCTCGCTTCGCTGATTGGAAGATTCGATGGAAGATTCGATGGAATGTTCTTTGGAAGGTTCGATGGAATGTTCGATGGAATGTTCTTTGGAAGGTTCGATGGAAGGTTCGATGGAATGTTCGATGGAATGTTCGATGGAATGTTCTTTGGAAGGTTCTTTGGATTTGGGCAATTGGATTTGAATGCGCGGGAGTTTCGTCTTCGCCTCCGCTTCGGTTTTGCCGGTCTGGCTGGGCAATTCGATCTTCGGGAAAAGCCCAGTTCCCTCCTCCTCTTGCGTTCCCTCCTTCTCCTTCCTCTTTTCCTTTTTGTTTTCTTCCCCCGCGGTTCCCAAATCCGCCACGAAATCCGCGATTGCCGACGCGCGTCGACTCGCTTCGCCCGACCGTTTCGCGCGGCTGCTTCGCCGCATCGCCGCAGTTCTTTCCGTCCCGCGGGTTTCCCCGTTTCCCCGTTCGTTGGCGTCGTTTTCGGCGTCTTCGCTATCGCTGAATCCCGAATGAACCGCGCGACCGGGTTTCACGCGAACCGACGAAACGCCCGACGAAACGCCCGACGAAACGCGACGACGCGATGAAACGCCCAGAGAGCGTTTCGTCGAGGAGGGAGTTTCCTCTCTAGGCGTTTCCTTGGGAGTTTCCTTTTGTTTCTCCGATGGTTTCTCTTCCGGCTCTTTTCGATCCGTTTCTTCCTCCTTCTCGGTTTCCCCGGTTTCCCCGGTTTCTCCGGTTTCTCCTTGGCCACTCTGGACGATCTGGTCCCATTTCCGCCACTCCAATTCCTGCAATTCCCGCGCTTTTTCCGCGGGAATGTTGATTTGGAAGAAATTCCCCAGAATTCGGTGATCCCGGATTTCCCGCCGTTTTTTCTTCGCTTCCACGGTTTCCCCGCGCTCCTCGACGCACGCGCCCAATTCTCCCGCCAATCCTGCTTCGCGCAGCAATCCCGCCACTTCCCTCAGACACGCCGCGGCCGTTTCATCGCAGGTTTCCACGTTTCCACGAAGAAACGACAGCGCGAACGCGGCAAAATCGCGGATCCAGGGTTCCCGCGGGGATTTCCGCGCATGTCTAGTGATGTTGGCGAGGGCGGCGAGAACCGCGGGGAGCGGCATAGAACCGCGGATCTTGGCGAGCGCGAGGACCATGGGTACGATTCCATTTTTCGGGGCGATTTCTGGCAGCAAAGCGGAGAGCGGGACGACGACGCGCGTTTCTTCTTCGCCATTTCCCGCCAAAGCTTCGCGCAGCCGCTCGACCCATCGTGGAAACAGGGAACCGGCGTTGCGGACGGCGAAGTCCCGCACGCAGCGCGCGGCGATGGGCGGCAAAGCGGCGTTTGGGTCGTTCAACGAATCATTTAGTGATTCTTTTGATTCTTTTGATTCATTCAATGATTTATTTAATGATTCTTTTGATTCTTTCGATTCATTCGATTCATTTATCAGCAAAGAACGCGTCAGCAGCGCCAGCAGCGCGCGGTCCCGCAGCGAATTCTTCGCCCGCGCCGACGGTGCCGCGCTTTCTTCGGGCAGAAGCAGCTGCAATTGCCGCTCCAGCGACGCTACGCGTAACTCCCTTCCACGGTTTCCACCTTCGCTGCGGAGAACCCCCAGCTCGATCGACGCGCGCAGCGTCTCCAGCGCCATCCCCGCGGTTTCGGGCGAAGCTGCCGCCAAAACGCGGCGGATCGACGCGGTCAGCTGCGCTTCGAACTGCGTCAGCAGGGGCGTTTCGGGCGTTTCGGGGTCGGGAACCGCGGCGAAGTGGGTCAAGACGCGGCGAAGAAAAACCGCGGCAAAACGAGCGATGGAATCAATCGTGGAACCCTGGAAGGAAACGGTCGTCGCGTGGCACCCCAGGCGAAGCAGTTCTCCCGCCACAATCTGCAGCGCGTTCCCCGCGATTCCCGCGTTTTCCAGTCGCGGGAATAGTGTTTCGCACACGTCGTAACTTCCCTCCAAACACAGAAACGTCGACTACACGTCACATCCCCGCGGGAATTTCACCTGCCACATCCGGTCGCCCTGGTCGCCTCGGTTCCCCGCGGGAATCCCTCCCTTCGCTACCGCCTCGTCGTGTTCCGCGGGACTGAGCGGGGTTGTGGCGTCGCCCCAATCCGCGGCGTCCGGTCCCTTCCCCGCGGGACTCAGCACGAGGGGGGCGGGAGAGTTGGCGGGAAGCGGTTGGAGGGAAAAGTCGGGGAGGCCGATGGCCAAAAGCTGGGAAAGAAGCGACCAAAGCGAAGCCGGCGAATCATCGCCGGAACACAATTCCTTTTGGAGAAACCGGAGAAACAGGGAACAGCTCGCCGAGGCGCCGGCCGGTTCGTCGAGTCTGGAACAATAACACAATTCGGTTCCCGCGTACTTGACGCACTCTTCGTAGCTCCGCAGAATCGCGGCCATAACCGCGGGGAACTCGATGGTTTCGCGGAAGAACCGGCCTCCCTGGAGGGCGGCCAATTGTTTCGTGGCTTCGATGGAACACACTAAAAATCGGGGGGATTTTTGGCAGTACGCAAAAAGTCGATTTGATCGCTGTGCAATCCTTCCAAAAGAATCGCGGTTATGCTGCGCACGTGCTCCGCAGAGGAACACAATCGCATGGCCGCGATCCCCATTCGCAGAACCGCGGTTTTCACCGCGATTTGGTCAGTAGTTTCTCCGATCTTCGCCTCATCGCTTCCCGCCAAATCCCACGTGATCCGCCACGCGCACCATTCCCCGCACCTTCCCCGCGGTTTCTTCGTCGGCGGGGAGCGCGTCGAGCCACGTGGTCAGCGCCTGGACCCAAACCAGCGCGCGCTGCGCCCACCGCCCTTCTTCGCCTATCTCCGTTTTGGCGGCAAACTCCGCTTCGTCCCACGCGACGTCTTCTTCGTCCCCCATTTCCTCCTCCAGCGCCTTCAGCGCCCAATCCGCCGTCACAGAACCGCGGGACAACGACTCCTCATTCCCGCGGTTCTGGGACGGCGCCAAACATCCCACGCTGCGAAGCCACCACACGCGAAACGGCCGCCGGCGGTCGACGCGCTCGATCTCCATTACCGCGGTTATCTTCGAGGCCAGCGCGGACTCGCCCATTCCCGCGGTTAACCGCTGGAGGAAGGCGAGGGAAGCCAGCGCGGCGCCCATTCCCGCGGGATCCGCGTTCCCGTTCAGCAGGCGCTACGCCTCATGAATCGTGGAAACGTGGAACCTCGAACTGCCGGAGGACGTCGGTGGCGAAAACGCGGTCGGAACACAGACACACAAATGCGAGGGATTGCGCGGCAAGAAGCCGGATGGAGGATTCCCGCGATTGCAGCGCGGCAAGAAGCAGGTCGCGCAGCGAAACCATCCAGGGTTCCGTCGTGAGCGTTTCTCCCAGCGAATGAAACGCCTGCCATCGTGAAACGCCCGACACGCCTACCGAGAAACACAACCAAAACGTGGAAACCACGTTCTCCAGAAGCCGGTTCTGCGCCTCCCGCGGGATTCGGTCCACTACCCGTCATCCCCGCGGTTCTCTCCCACCCTCGCTCACACTGGCCAATAATCCTTCGAGGAGCGATTCCCGCGGGTCTCGCGATTCCCCGGTTTCTCTGGTTTCTCTGGTTTCTCCGGTTCCTCCGAGCAGAAGCAGCTGGGCGAAGAAGCAAACCGCGGCATTGGCCAATCGCTCGCCCCAGAGCGGCCGCGCCATCGACAGACGCAGAACCGCGGGAGTCGACGATTCCGCGGGGAGACACTTCTGGTAGAGGATGAAACTGCCGGTCAGAGGTCAATGAAACGCCCACAAGGACTGGTCATCTTCGTCTTCGCTTGTCATTTGCAAACCCGTCGACAGCAGGTTCCACAGTTTCTACGATTCACCGGCCGCGTTCGATCGAACTCTTCGCTCGCGGGTCAGGTCGGTTTCCCCGTTTTCCACGATTGCCGTGTCCTCGCGGGACAGCTTTTCCCGCCGTAGCGAGCATTCCCCGCGGTTCTCGGCGATTCCCAGCAGCGTCACGTAGCGCAGCGCCTCCGAATCGAGCTGCTCCCGCGGGGATGCCGCCAAAATCAGGAAGAGAACGATGATCACGCGCCATCCCGCGGGACTGATCTCATCGCCCATCGCATACAAGAGTGGAAACAGAGAAACCAGGGAATGGAGTTGGCGGGAGAAGGGCTCGAAGAGGGTCGCGTGGGTTTCCACGATTCTCGATTTCCCTCTTGTGAGCATCAATCTACCCATAAGCCGGTCCCGCGGTTCTGGCTACAATGCCTGGAGGGTCGGGTAGCACGTGACAAGCTCCAGATTTACCGCGGAACGCATCTTCTGCATCGCCGATGCATCCATCATCATGCGCGCTTCCTTCGCTTTGAATGCTTCCGCCAGCGCGCTCAGCTTCCGCACCGTCGTTTCCACGTCCTCCCGCATCGTTTCCACGATTTCTCCGATTTTCGGCTCCACCCAGTTCTCTAGTTGGTACCTCCGTTTCCACGTTTACCCATCATCCCCAGTCCGCCCATCAGCATCCAATACCCGCGACCGCACTTCCTCCACTCCGCCGACTCCACAACCGCGGGACTCGAGGGGTCCGCTGGGTCCGCTGGGTCCAGAACCGCGGTTTGCGCGGCCTGCAGCAGACGCAGCTGCTCGCTCTGCGCGAAAAGAGCGTCCAGAACCGCGGGATCCACGTCTTCGCCTTGCGAGCGCGCCAAAATCAAAAGCTCGCCCAGAAGGCGGCAAATCCCCGTGACAAAATCCGTCTATCCGTTATGGACTCCAAAAATCGGGACTTTTTTTGTGGGGTCGACGGCGATCGGGTCGATTTGGCCCTGAAGCAGCTCGGAACACTGGAAACACAAATCCCCCAGCAGCGAACCGTCCGTGGAACACACCACGAGACACAATCGATGCACCGCGGTTTGCAACGAGGGAAACGTGGAAACCAAAAAGGGAAGCAACGTGGAAACCATTTCCGACCAATCCGAGCGAATCGCCTCGCCAAAAATAGGCACGATTTTGGTCAACAGGTGAACCGCGGTTTCCACTTGGAGGAGATCCCCGCGGGAATCGATGGCCGTTTCGCTGATCACGCTGAGAGCCAGTTTCATCGCGGTTATCAGCTGGTTCTGCGAAAAAACCGCGCAAATTCCCTCCATCATCACCAGTTCCGCGGTTTTCTGCGTTTCCACGGTTCCCGTTTCTACGTTTCACCCCCTCCGGGAAGGTACCTCGAATCCACGCGAACAGTTCCGCGGTTAAATACCCCACATCATGCTCGACGAAACTCCCGCGCGCCAATCGTAGAAACCCGATCACCGTGTGCGCAGCGGTCAGCAATTCGCTCGCCGAAACCCCTATCCCTCATCCCCGCGGTTATCCACCACCACTCTGCAGCTGCGCCAGCAGCCACTGAACCGCGGTTTCCACCGAAATCCCTCCCGATGAAACGCCCTCCGAACCCTCCTCGTCGCGAACCCGCGGTTTTTCGCGGTTCTGCGCCACGAACCGGCTCAGCATTTCCGCGATTTCCCCCGCGGCCATCGCCGCTTCCTGCGGTTCCGCGGTTTTCAGCGTCGCCATGGCGGCCTGCAGTGCCGCGGGGAAAGGAACTTCCTCGCAGGGAGCGGCGAGCAGAACCGCGGGGATCTGCGCGAGGAGCTGGATGGCGGCGCAGCGAACCGCGGGGATCTCGGGGAAACGGAGAACCGACTGGGCGAGCTGCTGGGCGCGAAGCAGAAAGGCGGGAACGAACGCGCGGGAATCGGAGTCGAGGCTGGAGGGAGGGAACGAAGCAAAGAGCGGCAAAAAAGACGCGGCAAAGTGGAAAACCGCGGTTTTTTCGGATGTCTAGGAACGTGAGGGAACGAACAAAGAATGAAACGGGAGCGTCTTTGCGGTAGGTGGCGGAAGGGATCGAGGAAAGGTCGGGAAGAAAAGGAAGCCAGGAAATGTGCGGAGAGCGGGAAAGACACGAGAGAATAGAGAGACTTTGGGTTTTGACGCGGGGATGGGTTCGCTTGCTACTTGTTTTGATGCAGTACGCTGGATCGAATTTGGAACGATCAATTATACCCAAGAGAGCCGAAGCATCACAATGATGGGTGCAATACAGCTCTGTCACGAGCCGATCGATCTCCTGACGAACCGTAGCATTGAACAGATCTTTGCCTGCGCGTTAAACGGAACAACCCGTATGTACTTCGCTTCCCCTTCGTTGCTGCTATGTAAAACGCCTCAAATCTACGGGTAGAACACACTCCAAAAAAGGAAAAACTCTTTGGCGCAACTGGTAATGAAAGACGCGCCCGTCAACGAAATCCCTTCTTGCAACTCTCCAATCAGGGTTGCGAGACTTGCTCTATATATAGCGAGATTATCTTTCTTCTTTGCGCAGTTGCCTTCATTGGAGTCGCATTGCGCTATGCCTACAGTTCTTCAGCAAGTTGAGCATCTTATCGATGACAGTACCAACAATATCGTTCATCTGCATCGTGAAGAAACGATTGTGTTAACAAACAGTCATTCACCACTTAGAAGTCAATAATGGGCACACCCCAAGTGCAGCTCGACTCGATCTCCAGGTTGTCCTTGTCGGTCTGGATGCGGAACCATCCGTTCTCGCCCCAGTACTCACCCCAAGAGTTGCGTCCAATCCAGTACTCCTGTCCATCCTCCGTGACGCCCCATCCGGCCACCTCGATGATGTGGCCTCCCAGCATGGAGTGGTCGTGCTCCACGAACACACCGCCCGTGTAGTCCAAGAACTCCTGCGACACGCTCACGTAGCAAGAGATGGGTCCGCGCGCGAAGATCTCGGCCTTCATCTTGTCCTTGCCGGACACGTAGCCGTAGTCGCCCACCTTGTAGCGCTTATAGTCCTTCACCGCGTAGCAATCGCGGTCCGGAGGGCAGTCCATGCAGCGGTTCATGTCGTTGCACTCCTTGTTTCTGGCCTCGTACACCTGGCACGTCTGGTCGGGAATACCCTCCTCGTGCGCGTAGCGGTACACACCCGAGTCCCAGCCTCCGTTGCACGATCCCGTGTTACCGCAGTTGATGACCTCCTGCACGGACAGCTCCACAGTGGGCCACTTGCCCTTGCGCATGATGTTGATACGATCGGCGATGGCCGAGGTCGATCCCTGAGCCCAGCAGGATCCGCAGTACTGAGGAATGTGCTGGTTCTTGTCCCACGTCGCGTAGTTGCGGCCGTCGATGTTGCGGATATCGTAGCTCTTGGGAATATCCTCGCTCTTCAGGTAGAAGTGGGGCAGAGGCTCCGTCACCACGGCGGGCTCCTGCTTGCGGATGGCGCAGGAGTGAGGGAAGTAGCGGGCACGGTTGTGCAGGCTGCGCATCTTGTCGTTCAGACGCATCTTCTCCGGCACGCGCGGCACGGCCCACGTGCACTCCGACTCAATTCCCAGGTTGTTCGTTCCACGCACAATACGGAACCAGCCGTTCTCTCCCCAGTAGGTTCCCCAGCTGTTGCGCACGATCCAGTACTTCTTGCCGTCCTCTTCGCCCCAGCCCACCACAGAGATGGCGTGGTTCAGAGAGGTCGTACCGGTCTTGTCCTCGAAGATTCCGCCCTTGTAGGCCACCAGCTCGTCCGTAGCGTCCAGAGCGCAGGTGATCGGACCACGAGCATAGATCTCCTTCATCATACGCTCCTCGCCCGACACGTAACCGTACTCCTCCACGAAGTACTTCGTGTAGTTCTGCACGGGGTGGCAGGGGTAGTCATGACCGCAGTCACGGCAGATGTTCATGTCAGTGCACTCCATGTCCTTAGCCTCGTAGCGCATGCAACCCTCAGTGGGCACACCGCGCTCCTTCATCAGCTTGTAGGCAGAGGTCATACTACCTCCATGGCAACCCATGGCAGTGGTAGCGCAGTTCACAATCATCTGAGGAGAAAGCTCAGCAGTGGGCCAAGCGTTCTTGGTCATCAGACGCAGACGATCAGCCACGGCGGAAGCAGCAGAGAAGGCCCAGCAAGATCCACAGTACTGAGGAATGTGCTGGTTACGGGAGACAGACACGTAGGAAACACCATCAATGTTACGGCTAGAACATCAATTACCGACTCGAATCTTACGGATCATAGCTCTTGGGAAGCTCCTCGTTCGTCATGTATTCCCATGGCTGAGGAGTCTTCACATACTCAGGAACGTTCGTAGACGGATCGTAGCATCCTTTGGCAAGAACCAAAGCGATGACTATAGGTGACTACATTAGAGCACATAATACTGGTCGCAAAGAGAATGGATTTCATTTACAGAGAAAATATGATATGACGCAGTGTATTATTATATAGGACAAATCGTAACATATCCCCCAATATTATAGATTTGATGTTTCTCCGATTTCCTAGCGCCCGCAATTCTTGAACAGTACCAATTGGCAAACTCGAGAATATAGAGAACGTAAATTAACGAGTGTATTACACAAATAAGGAACGATAAATGAAATTCACACAACTTCTTACAATTTAGTGCTTGGGAACGTATTTGAACTTCTGTCCACAGTAGGGGCAGCGGTTTACACCACCGTTCGGTCCATTCACACGCAAGTACTGCATGGGGTGGCCCATGGGTCCACAGCCTACGTAATCAGCTCAGCTACCAAAAATCCTTTACCTCCGTCGCAAATGATAACGGGCTCGCTTACTTCAATTACAGGGCTTTGAGACAGTCTCCACTCGGCGTCCGAGTGCTGCTTGTTATCGGCATGCTATACAGCTAAAATAGAACGCAGAACTGCCTACGGGCTCGATCTTGACCGTTCTAAACGCAAACGAGCGGGTGACTACGGGAGCAGCGAGTGTTCTTGCTTTTAACAAACAAAATGCAGTGCTTCTAATAAGAGAGGCCATAGATAGCTAGATTGTGGAATTAATCATGAATCGGAAACCGTCCGCTAAAAGTGGGGAATAATCGTTTTCACGCTTTCTCTCGGAACATCTATTTTCCAATTATGTACAGATCCACACGTCCTTGGAAAGCGCTGAAGGTCGCTGGCCTTGGAGAAAAGGGTAGTTTTCTTCATCGGAAAAATCTCACAGAATAGTGCTTCGGCAGAAATGTCGTCTTATTAAAGACCCCACATCGGATGAAATGCAAGACTTCGCCATGAACGCAATGTTCACTTGTGTACGTATTGCTGTGTAACGTGCACAATAGATCCGAAATAACGCATTCGGTGTGTCGGCTCCCCAGCTCTATCGACCTATCCGCATGTTTGTGATTCGAGACTATTCCACTGTTCCTGATCCATGTAGTTCGCTCATTCGGTCAATCATAGCTAGCACAACTGTCAGCAGAACAGCACATGTCATTGCCCTTGATGCCTTATTTCAATCCACGAATCGAGAGCCGTTCCCGCAAGCTCATGGGGGAATTTGAGTCCTGTCTCAGCGATCCCTGGTATGTGCTACGGTTGGTGGAGGTGAGAAAAAGGAATGTCGCTTTCGTGGCCAGACCCCACACAATCGGAATCAGTTACATCGATGGCTTCGGCAAATACCAAGAGAAGGAGATCTCTGGATGGGAAGCTCAAGTCTTCCAGCACGAATATGACCATTTGGAGGGCAAAACGATGGCCGATATGTGCACCCAGAAGGGAGTAGTGTGCGTTCATCGCGCTTGACCGTAGTTATACATGTCCAAGGAGCGATACAAGCGATGTGAGGCGTATTGGAAGAAGGTGGAGAACCTGCCCGATTTCGAGGCATTGGCGAAAGCGTCCCAACTCCTCAGCAATGGAGGGTATTGGGGTCCGGAAGCCGAGGATTCGATCGAGCCGGAAGATCTGAACATCGATGCGTTGAAGTCGCAAATGAGGATGTTTCTTCAGTTCTATGATAAGGATGTGGATCCAGAGAAGCTGACCAAGGAAGATCTAAAGAATCTTGCAGAGAGAATTGTTTATAAGTTGCAAAATCCTACGGATAACGTTTCTTCAGAATCGATCGAGGGAAAATTGTAGTTTTAGCGTTTTCTGTGTTTGAGAAATAATGAAAGGGGCTTCTATTGTTGTGTGTAATGAAGAGGAATGATAAAATGTATTGCTGACTTGATAGCATGAATAATAGTGGAACTAGAATACGACAACTTATTATGGAGATGTGACAGTTAGCATTGTGTACTGCGATTTCTGAATGTGACAGGAAAGATTTATGGGTTTGTTATACGTCATTCTAGGGTGAGAGTGGGTTGCTGTTTGTATGCGGATGGTTTAGTTGGGTTGTTTAGATAATCCAAGATACTGCGATACACTACACCATTGAAAGTTTATAATCACTTGAAATAAACAAATCTGAAGAAACATAATCAATCATATGACATTGAATTTATGTTATTCTAACAGAGAAACTCTGGAATAACGAATGATGTTACATATTCTGTTAGTAACCACAAAAATGGGCCGTGTCGATCACACTAGTTTAGAAAGCTAGCGAATTCGTATGGAATGAAAGTAAAGGGTCAATAAATGAAATAATAATAAATACTACTATTATTTTTAAACAATTGGCATTTGAATATTACTGGACGATTGGAATGGATTATTGAGATGCGGATAAACAAATTTACAGAATCAAACAATACCAGAGAAATGATCTTTACTTATAAATACTATTTTATGTTAATACTTCTGTTTTGTTAAAATCTTACATTCTGTATTTGGCAATTAACAATTATTTTTGTTTTATTTTTCTTCGACTCAGGATATGCATGTGTGAGAGTATTATTAACATATATTGCATGTTGTAGTCGTAACCTGAGAGTCCCAATAATTAGCGTTTGACTGTTTATTCCAAACGTGTGGAAGGACGATTGTATTCTTGAATACAGTGTATGAACATATTTCCGCACTTTGAATTTCCGCTATATATTTAAATGCTTTTAACATTTGAAAGAAAGAAGGTTGGAAAAACTAGTAAAATATAAAATATAGTGTATTTCCATAGGAGTAATGGTCGTATAAAGTGTTGTATGAAGTATGGTTAATAATCACCATATCTCTTTTGTTATGTGACCATATGATGATGAAGTATCGATATTACAATAAGGTACGATACTAAAATGGAAAAATCTTACCATTGTGAACATTGTAAATACAATTATTCCTAGTATTCCTACGGTTATTGGCCTTATGGTCATATAGGAAAAACAGAATAATCCCATAATTATGGGTGGAAACCATGTGAAAGATATCAAAACGTTTGATATAATACGATGAATTTAATGGAGACTTTCAGAGAACGTGATGGGAAATATATAGGAATCTTAAAATATATACCTAAGGCAATGGATGTATATTGAAGCAACTGTATAGAGAATAATATCGTCTACTGGTCTAATGGATATACCATGCCCATTACAATTAGAAATGGAGTAAATAGGAATAGCCTATCAAACGTATCCAGTAGAATGCTAATAGATTCGGTTAAATCAGCATGCTCCGAAATATTGCATTGTAAAGACTAAGGATTTTGGGATGAATTTTTATTATGGAAGTGTACATAACTAAAAAAGAGGGGAGGATAAAGAATGGATAAGAAAAGTAAATCTGTACGAGACATTGTCCGGTCATTTTTTTATTTCTGCGGACTATTTTAAAATCATAAGAATTAAATAGCATGCAAAGGACGATATTCTTGGAGGTACCTGTCCCAGTTCTTGGGATTCCAGGTGTCTCTACAATGCTGACTTTTTCTTTTGAGTTCACGGCAATTGGCAAATTCTAATAGAGAGAAACTCGGAATAGCACTCTGTGCTCGGGTCGATCGCTTGGATCAAAAAGCGAAGAAATCGCATAAAGATAAGTAGTAGAGTCGATCGAAATATCGATTTACTATTCTTATCGACGATTGTTCATCAATCGCCGTTCTCTAGTTCTTGATCCATTCGTTTACCCAGTTACGTATATCATTGTATATCCATATACGTATTTGTGGGAATATCGCATGATGGGAGCTTTCCCAACCGTTCACGATTCCCTCTTTTACTTCGTGAATAATGTCTACATTGCTAAACTAAACTTCCAATTTAAAGTTGAAAGACAAAACCATTCAACTTGAGTTTTTTGCCGGCACAGTGTTATTTTGGATGAATAAATGTCAGAATGTGGATAACACGATGTTTAATAATATCGTGTTCTGTCTAAACGCCAACTAACTCCCATTCCAGTATGAACGTTAAGTTTGGAATTCTCGGTGATTATTCCTCTGGTTTATTCTTCTCTTAGTAGCAACTCTTTTTGAATAGTAGGCTTCATCATCTTTCCTCAAATATCACCATTGAACTTTTTTCAAAACACTTCCTACACTACTGTGTTCCCCATTGCCTCCCCATTCGAGTTTCTCAGTTCATTTCGTGCAATGCCCTCGACGTATGGCGCGAATGCCCCCTATTCTGTGAATATATGCCCTAACTATTAATTGTTTTACTGGATTTCTGGGAAGTATTCTCATTATTTTTCTATCTTTGTCATTATGGGTATTTGCGATATTCCTAAGGTTAACAAATTAACTGGTCTTATTCTGATGATTGTAAACATTTTCTTCCCCGGTAGAGTTTGTATTGTTTTTGTGAAGTCTAGGTATTGGTACCATTATTGGTGCCGTTATTAATGAGGGTGGTTGCGATGCCGGAATGCTGATTGCCGGTGTTTTGCAACTTTGTTTGACTGTTTGTGCCATTGGCTGGATCTGGTCTATCTATGTGGGATGCAAGATGGGCTGCTGTAGAGATTAAGTGTGTACTTGTATTTGTTGCCACAAACACGGATAAAACCATTTAAACTCTTTCTTTTTACATGCTTCAAATGTTAGCGAACCATTGTACCCTATTCCCTAAACCCACACCTTTATCCCGACTAAACCTATAATCACACGCAGTAAGCGTAGCCCTCTTTTGATTTCTATCGTCATAGAACTGTCCGTTATAGTAGAAATCATCCGTAATTCGATTGCTGGAGTGATGATTGTATGTGTCGCGTCCCTGGTGCAAGTTTGTCACTACACATAACTCATTCCTCCTCGCATTCCAACTCTTCCCCAAGTCGATCAGCGGGATTTTCTTCAGAAGCGTGAAATACATAATGTAGCTATCAATCTTCCTCCGTCCCACGACTGCGCTCTGCATCCTCTCCACAGGGTACTTTCTGCTGAAGAAGAACACATCCTACAGTTCAGCCCCCGCCCTTCTTCTACGGCACTGTTGATGTTCCGCAGCCCCCATCTCCGCGGAATATCCATCAGCGATTGCTTCACGTGCTCCATCGAATCGTACGACAGCACCACGTCGTCCAGCGACACATCGTACACCCTTCCCGCGATGCAATGCTGCTGATTAGAGGGCGCTGTTCCCTACTGCAGCGCGGAGCTTTCCGTTTTTCGTGAGCTGCGCGGTGATTCGGAGGGCTTCGAAAACGTCGGGAGAAATGAGAACGTCGCTGTTGATGTACGCGTAGTACTTCGAAGTGAAGGAACTCTGCGCGAAGAGCAGGAGATTGCGGAGGATGGGGAGGTCGTAGCGATTGCGGCGATAGTTGCTTTCGACGACGATGTCGTGGGAACGGCACAAGTTGATGATATAAGGATGTCTGGAGAACATGAGGACCCGAACCGCTTCGTGCTTCTGATAGAACGATAAGAGATGAATTGTGTTGTTGAGTTTCGACGGAATGGCTCTCTAGGATGCTCAAAACAAACAGGAAGCGCACGTTTGAGTCGGGAGGAAGCTCGGCGGAGAGGGTGATGACGACAAGGCAGGGGTATTTCGACGATCCGCAGAGAGTTGGAATACGCGAGCGGCTTTTGGATCGTTTGCGGTCCTTGTAGAGCGTGAAGAAGCCTGCGTTTTCGCTGAAAGAATCGTCTTCCGAACTGGCGTCCAAATCCAAAACTGGGCTGGAGGTTGACGACGATTGGGGTTGGATGGAAGGGGACGAAGAGGGCGACGATTCGGCAGTGGAAGTGGATTCGGTTGGCTTGGAAGGAGAGAAAGTCGAAATGGAAGGGAAGCCAGTGGTCGGGATTGCATTCTTAATCGATTCATTGGATTCACTCATAGCTTCGTTGGATTCTTTAGCCTCATTAGACTTATCAGATTGAATAGCATCATTGGATTCACTTAATTCACTGGATTCATTAGATTCACTCATAGCTTCTTTAGATTCATTAGATTCACTGAATTCACTGTGTTCTTTAGATTCACTCATAGCTTCGTTGGATTCACGGGATTCACTGGACTCACTGTTTTCTTTGGTTTTATAGGCGTCATCGGCTTTCACAGACTCAGCATCTTCAATAGAAAGAACCTTTGCATTGAATGAAGGCAATATAGCGGCTTGGGTGGATGTTAAAACGGGCATGGATTCATTACCATTGGAGGAATCCTCAAGAGGCTGCGTAGTCGCTGAGCGGGTCTCATTTGATTCATCCGCTCTTTGATCGACGGGGAAAACAGTGGGAGAAAAGGGATTGCCAAGGTCATTAAGAGTACTTGTGGGTTTTAAAGAGCCAAACTCTTTAATTCCCGATGTAGGGGACTCAGTGGGAGTGGCCGACTCGAGAATACTTTCACTTAAAGAAGAAACCGATGGTATAAAATGGGACTCCTTATCCTAATACAATAGAAGAGATAGACAAACCGTACCGAATCCGATTTTATATCAAAATGAAAAGGAGCCTCTCTTGAGGCTAATTGGTTTCTCAAACCAGATTCAAAAACATTATTCACTTTATAAAAACTATGTTGAGCATCCTCCACACGTAACATCCTAGAGGTATCAGCAACACAAAAACTATAGTGAAACAATTCAAACCCGTGGTAGTTTGAACCACACTTATTATTTTGATGCCACCTAGATGCCTAAAATTATAAGTCCAGATGCAATCCTACTATTTGGAGTTCTACACTCACAAACAAAAAAAACACAAAAGATAAAACATATGAATAAAGACGCATTTCTCTTGTAAACCGTATCAAAAAAATACTCTATTTAACCTGTTTTTTCCCTTATAAGTGGTTATTTTTATAACGAGATGGAAATCTGTAAAAGCGAAAACAAAACCGAGGACAACTATAATATGGCACTTATAGTGCCACAGTACGTGTTCGACCCAGCAACTCATGATCTTGTTCAATCTTCTGGGGAGAACGAAGTGTCGAACATTCTAGATCATGTCTCCATTCAAAATGGAGTATGTTCTATCGAAGATTCCGATGCAGTGACAAATCCATCTGAAACTGGGCACGACGTTTATAACGACTCTTCTCCTCACTTTATTGGAAATTCACGAAGCATTATCGATATCTATACAGCTCTCTACGAAAACCATTCGATTTCGAATGTAATCCATTTCATTCGTGTCTGTTTGATAGATTGTGCAGCTTATAGGTAATTCAATCCTAATTGGAGACAAGATGAGTGATGAGCTCCTAAGTCCTGCGCAGCAACAATTACTACTCGATTCTCGATCGTTTTTGTTGAGATTTGTATTGATAATAGAGTTTCTCCGGTGTATTATCTAACAGACACAACGCGCTATCTTTTGGAGTATCCAGAGGACGAGTCTGATTTGTCTCTAACTCGAATCGGTTCAGACCCAGTGAATTTCAGCAGTATCTTTGATTCCTCCTCCTCCTCCTCACCACCTCCCGTTTCTCCCTCTCCCACTCCCTTATCGTCTTCGTCTTCGTCTTCGTCTTCGTCTTCGTCTCATCCTCCCACTGCTCCCGTGAGTCACCCTGAGCATCCATCCGACCTTCCCCCAGACCCGAAGCCCTCCCACTCCTGCTGGAGCCACATCGTTTTCTGGTCCATCGACGACCACTGCGTTGCCTCCCCTCTCCCCCCTCACTCCCAGTGCATCCTCGAGACCGACTACCCCGTCGTCCACGACGCCGCCTGCAAGCCCACCGCCGTGCATCTCCACGACGCCCAAACCCCGTTCACCGAAGACGAAACGCTCAAGCTCTACCTGAACAGCGTGATTTCCTCCGCGCAGCAAGTCGTGATCTACAACATTGCCGACAATTCGCCGCAATAGTCCCCTAATCTTGACCCTATTTCACGCGCAGCGTCACGCTCGTCAAAACCGAAGACATCCCCGATTTAGTCCAGATCCCCGTTTCCACCAACCCACCCGACGCCTCGTCGCAAACGTCGCAAACGTCGCAATCGTCGCAATCGTCGAAACCGTCGAAACCGTCGAAACCGTCGAAACCGTCGAAACCGTCGCTGGACACGGAGGACTTGAACCGGCAAATCCGGTCCCTGACTTCGTTTTTGCTTCGCGGATTGACCGAGGAAGGTCCCTATTGGCTCGTCAAAGAGGACGGGAATCCCGCGGTGCATCTCATCAGCCTCGCCCACGCCGCCACCTCCGACCCCGCCGCTTCTTCGCCCGCCGCCCAGCGTCGCCAGACCCTCCAATGGAAGTCGCGGTTCCCCGCGGGACTGACGTCTAGAACGATGGCTCTGAACATGTGCATCCGCTACGCGTCGCTGATCGCCCAGGGCGCCTTCAGCGACCACCACACGCATCTGCAGCAGCAGCTGCAGCTCCACGCGCTTCTCCTCCTCCAGGTCGGCGTTTCCGGGGCGTTTCATCCAGGACATGCAGCGGCTGTGCGGGGACCAGCCGGCTCTGGCGCACCACTACGCGGACCTCTCCATCCAGCTCTTTCTGCAGCTCGCCGACAGCCATCTCCGCTCCGCGACGGCCAGTCCCGCGGGGACGGGCGCGCTGCGGAGCGATGTGCGGGCGGAGGAGGTGGCGCTGCACGTGGAGAAGGCGCTGGACTGCCTGCACACGGCGGACGAACGCATCGAGGCGGAGGCGAAGACGCTGGCGGCCTCGTCGCCGACGCACTCGCTGCTGTCGCGCCTGGAGAAGTACGCGGCGCTGCAGAGAACGCTGCGCGGGAAGATCGACGGCGCGTTGCGATCCCTCATTTTGTTCAACGTGCCCTTCGGAGGGGAGTTTCATGCAGACCGAGAAGCAGAGGTGGGACACGCTCTTCCGCGATGTGAACACGCTGCTGCGCCACGCCGCACGGCAGAATTCGCAGCAGGACGCCGCGTTTTTTGCCGCCAGAATTATCGTGGATTTCTTCCAGTTCGCCGTCACGCACCCCGATTTCCACGTTCCCGCCCTCCCCCGCGATTACACAGGCCTCACCGAACCCTTGCAGCGATTCATGAACGTCGGGTCCCGCGGGAATCTTGAGTTTAGAGCCATTCCCAAGTCACCGCCATTCTTCCCTCAGACCCGCGGTTCTCGCTTCTCCGACTGGCTCTCGCGCTGCTACCCGCGTCGTCGCCCGCGTACGCGAGCGTTCTGAACGAAGCTGGGCGGTATTTGCAAACGCGCGATCTGATTGGCTGCTTTCTGACCAATCAGAATTTTGCATCCGCAGTTTTCTGTTATCGCGAAGCTTACGAACGATTCCACGCGCTGCATGATGCGGTGAACGCCAGCTTCGTGCTGGGAAACTTCGCTCGGCTGCTCCGGAGTCCGCTGCGAGTGGGAGAGAGGGAGAGAGGTGACATTCAGGAGAAGGAAGGGATGTCCGGCGAAGAAGCGAAGAAGCAGTACGAAATGCTGCACTGGCTCAATCTGGGAGTGGACTTCGTCCTTTCCGCCGCGTGCGACGACTCCCTGAAGCAGAACGTGCATTCCAGAAATCGGGTGTATTTTCTAGTTGATGCTGGAGTTCTGCGAGTGTCAGCTGGAGTTCGTTCGCGTGCTGCTGAACACAGAGGAGAAGGAGCCCGGGTTCGTTTCCCGGACATTGGAGCAGTGCTCCCGAGTGCGGAATATCCTGGATTATTGTTTGAGCGTGCTGGAAATGGCCGTTTTTTGCTTGATTGGGGCGCGAATCGTAGAAAGACGAGGAGAAGCGAATGCGGGCGCGATCGCTGGTGGTGCAGGAAATGGTGCTCTTCGAAGAGGAAAAGACGGAAGAGAAGGAAATCTGGGAGGCCATCCGCTACGGCGAGGCCATTTTCGAAACGGTGAAGTAAGCTGCATCGCGGGAAAGGCGTGAAAAACAGGGAAAACGACATCAAAGAAGCCGTTTTAATCACAAGCCGCGTGTGCCTGCTCTTGCTGCACTACGCCAAGCAGTCGTCTGCGTTGGGAGATCGAGTGAGGGATAGGAAAATACCGCGGGAAAAGCAGCTGAGGGCGCTGCGAGAAGCGGTGAGCCATATCGTGCGATGTGCGCCACTGTTCGTGGGAACGAACCTGGATCGCAAGATTGAGTATTTCAATACGTTGAGCACGCGATTTCGAAATGTTTGGACCTGCATGGGAGCGCGATGGGTTGTAGATCATTTTTGGAGTCATGCGGATTGTGCAAAGCGAGACGGATCAGAAGCTCAAGGAAAGCGTGGTGAAGCGATGCAGACGCTGTATTCAGATTTATAACAATGATGATTTTTATCTCTTCTTTAATACAGTGGAAGAAGAGACGAGTCTTTTATTCGGCATGCTACTACAAAATTGATTTAATTGTACAATAGACCTCTTGTTTGTTGAACTAGCTGCGAGATACACGGGAGATTCATCGCGCGACATTTATGGTTTGATGGTTTTCTCAGAAAGTGCTACTCGAGAGTCCTTATTACCAGCATGCAACTCTTTTTTAAGACTGTTACTGTAGGGAATGTGGTTGATTTGAGCGAATGGTTCCTAATCGTTTTTTAGGGAAACACCGTCTCTCTTGAGGTTCAGCCCACGGAGTCCGTGGAGAACGTCAAGAAGATGATCCAGGAGAAGGAGAACATCGACTACTACAACCAGCGTTTTGTTTTCGCTGGAAAGGAGCTCGATGATTCTGAGGCTATCAGCGCCTGCGGAGTCAGCGAGGCCGCCACCATTGAAGTGCTCTTCAAGATGGCTGGAGGAGTGATCGAGCCCACCTTGGCTGCTCTGGCCAAGAAGTACAACTGCGAGAAGATGGTGTGCCGTAAGTGCTACGCTCGTCTTCCTCTTCGTGCTCACAACTGCCGTAAGAAGAAGTGCGGACACAGCAACCACCTCCGCCCCAAGAAGAAGCTGAAGTAATTGTGGATGGTTGTGTATGCTCGCTCTCGAGTCATGTTTTGTTTGTTGAAACAAGCAGAGAGAGAGAGAGAGAGAGGGAAATGGCGCTTTTCACGGGTGAGAAGAGGGGTACGACAGCGGCTCATACTCGTCGTCAGCATCGCTCTCTTGGGATTGGAAGGTCTGCTTGGAGAGAGGAGGAGAAGCGAGAATACCACTTGGGTCCATTGCACCTTGCCCTTCTGTGCTCTGATACCGCTTATCTCGTCGTTATGGCACAGCCTGATGATATGAAAGCCACTACGGGTAAATGTGCGGTCATGACGCACTCTGGCAAAGAAATCGAAAGGGAAGACATTCTCTATCTGTTTAGATTGGTGAATAAAATGTGTAACGGCCTATCGGCTTCGTCGTGGCCTATTCAAAAGAGGCTCATATCAATATCCCTTCTCCCCCCCTTTCTTCTTCTTCTTCTCCTTCTTCCTTGTCAAACCAAACAAGTCATAAATGAAATAGATCAAAAGACACTGATTATTCCTTCAGAGCCTTCTTTTCCTTCGACTTCAGAGCAGGGAGCGTCGCCACCGTACAGAGGAGAGACACAACGAACATGCCCCAAATGATCGCAAGAGAGGATTTGGTAATATGATCCCAGGTGAGACGGTCGGGATAGTACTCGTAGAACTAGATAATAAGAGGCCTTGCACGGAATAATACGATGTGACGCAGACCACAGACGTAATGATAACCGAGAGCATAGGTCAGCAAGAACTTTCCGGAGTAGAGGACCAGAGGGTGGAACTTGATAGCCTCAATCAGAGCGGGAACGCTCACTCCACAACAGGCAGTGATTCCGGCAGCAGTGAAACCTGAATCGTTAGAATTCTCCACGGAAAACGGTACCCATCCACAGACCCAAACCAGTCAGACGGTGGCAACCAGAAGACATGGTAGCCCAACGGACCTTGTAAATGGAGAGATGAGGAGACACCATTCTTCCTCTAGCATACTGTTCCTCGATGTAGCTACACAACTAACACCCAACACAAGGCTCTTACGACAGAGGTCTCTGGAACACAACAGGCGAAGCCTTCATAGCCAGAGTCTTAGTGGATCTCAACAAGGGTTGGAAAGAGCGAGCAAGAAGAGCGGGTTGCATGATTTCTACTGTGAATAAGCTAAATAAGTGGAAGTCACGGCAGAATCTCGAGTCTGTTTTGATTATTGATTGGTGTATCGTCCAATGCACGTTATTCCACTCAAGAGGATTACGATAAAGGATGATTCCAGAAATGAGAAAGCACTGAAATTTTGCGTCTTGTAAATCGATAAACCAAACCACCAAACTTGTCCAACCGAACCAGAAATTGATAGAATTTGGCCTTGATTATGGTTTGCCTTGGGACTCAATGTTGAGAGTGACATTATTTTTGCCAAAAATTGGTCATGGATATTAATGATTTTTTGGGAATCATCGTATTTTCCTACTATCTTGTTCCTTAACCATAGAACAACTTCACCAACGATAACATTATTGTTGCCGCTGGAGATGGGGATCTTGAAAAGGTAAAGAGCTATTTGGATAGTGGAGTGAGTCCGAATATGCAGGATCAAAATGGTTACTCTCCAATGTGAGTCTTTGCGGTTTGCGGTTATTTTAAGGCATGCGGCTGCTTCGTATGGAAACCTGGAGGTGTTGAAGCTGTTGGTATCCCGTGGTGGAAGTAGGTTCGGGAAGGTGAAAGTAAGCGAGTAGATGTCCTTCTTCAGGATAGTGATGGTGATACACCTCTGCATGTATTCGATTGGCGATGTATTTCTTATTGTTAGGTGTGCGAAGATCGGGAGTGTGGAGAGTTTTTGATAGAGAACGGTGCTAAATTCGATATGCCTAACAACGAGGGAAAGACTGTATGATTTGTTGGTTGAAATGAGTGCTAGCCTATTTGGTATGCTGTGGAGGAGGATTTCCAGTTTATGGTGGATTATTACTTGGGTAGAAGTGGAGAATTGGTGTGACTTGTAGAGAAGGGAATTCTCACTCCGGATCTGGTGGAGCGTATTAGAGCTGATGTTGAAAATGCTTCCGATTTGTGTGTTTGTGATAGATCGAAGTGTATATTTGTGAATGAATAGGATAGGGACAGGGACAGGGATGGTTGGTATATATGTATATGTATATATAGGTATTCTACTTCAAGGTATGATGATGATGATGATGATACTCATCGATTTCATTCCACTGGATGTAAAAAACCCATGCATTACTTCCCAGTAGTATAAAACAAACAACTCCACCCTGCTTACAGATCATCCTCCTCCTCATAATCCTCATCATCGGCAGCACTGGCGGCCTGGAGCTCCTCCTCCTGGGCGCGCTTCTCCTGCTCCTTGAACTCCTCATACATCTTCTTCTCTCCCTCCACCTTCTTGAAGAACGTCTCCTTCGCGAACTCCTCAGCCTCCTTCACGTCATCGCACACGATAATATCATCAAAAATCGATCCCGAGCGCACCTGCCACAGCTCGAATCCCACATACTCGCAGTCCTTGCACACATTGTACAGCTTGTCGTCCGCCACGTAATCGGGGTTCTCGATCATTCGCGGAGCCCACTCTCCCTTGTAATCGGGGTTGTCGATCATCTTCGGCTGCCACTCTCCCTTGTACTCGGGGTTCGGGATCATCGGAGGCTCCCAGTCGCCGTCGTCCTCATCGTCCCAGTCCTCGGGCTTCTCCGCATCGGGGTCCGGAATCTCAGCTGGGATGTCGTCCCAGTCCTCAGGCTTCTTGTCGGTGGGGTCGGGGATCTGAGCCTCGTCCACCCAGTCAGCGGGCTTCTTGTCGGTGGGGTCCGCGATCATCTTGGGGGGAAGGAACTTCCAGCCGTCCTCCAGGTTGCCGTGCGCCTCCTCCACACCATCAATGCGGTACTCGAAGGTGTTGTCGGGGTGGATAATGAGAGTGTACATGTGAGAGAGGTTGTCAATCACAGCACGGAACTTCTCAGTGCTCTCCAGGTTCTGTCCCTTGTAATTGAGAATGATATGCGTCTTCTGGTTCGCTGGGAGTCAGACAAGGCAGAGGTTCACTTACAGGATCCGCAAATATCAGGTCCGAACATGATGCTGTACTTGGAATCTCCACCGAAGGACTCCTGGTCCGTCTCGGAAGGAAGCAGCTTAATGTAGGCACCGCCGCAGTCGATGTCCTGCTCATACTTGGTGGTGAACTGGAGAACCAGGTCCTTTCCCTCGTTGTTGAAGACCTTGTTCATCTTGGCAGAGTAGCCATAGAAACGAGCATCCTGACTAGTCTGGATACCCTTGTCCTCCGCGTCTCCGTACCACTTTCCAGCGGTCCAACCCCATTTACCCATTTCGTCAGCCTTCTTCCACTCAGTAGGCTGCACCCAACGATCTTCATAACCTGCCCGTCACAAAAACCACAAAATGACTACCCTCGTCGAACTTCTCCTGGAAGTAAATTTCGGCAGAAGCAAGGGCTAACACAATAGCCAACACACTAAGAAACTTCATAGTGAATAAAATCCTCCTTCTCACAAGAAATCAGTGAAATAAGAATTATGGGAGTGTCATGTTCTAGAAGATGAATGAAACTCCTTTTCAACAGTTGATTGGAAATTGATGATAATAATAACACGTGTGCAGACGTGTTTCAAACCTCGCGCGGAGTAGGGAGCCACGATATCGAGGTGGTGAAAAATGATGTCTCACTGTATTTCCGAACCCATCTTCTTGTTGACCACACGCTGCTCTTTTCACCTGCATTGCTAGACTCGAAATAGATTCCTTTGAGGAGTTTCATTGATTTAAAATTCAAAGATATATTGTTATGCCACGGAAGATATTTGTCTCGCCTTTACAGCTGACTGAAGACCAATACCGAGAGTCATATAAATTTGATTTGAACACAATTCGCAGAGGGAGTAAAGTGGTTCAAGTAAATGTGTCTATGGGATCTAATCGTTAGGCTGTACTGTCTTCATATTGTTCGATCTGATTTGAATAGGATTACAATCCCGAACATTTGAAATTTGTGAGAACCTTGGGCCATGGTGCCTCTGGATCGGTTTCGTTATATTATGATAGTCATCTCAATAAGAACGTAGCTGTGAAAGTACGATCCGGTTATTTCCTATATTTTCAGAGCATTTCGGTTGTCTCGAAATCAAGTCGTGACCAAATCTTTCAAGAATATAGTTGTTTGAAGGTTTCCCACAATTCTGAATAGTAGTTGCGTTATCGCTCATCTTTTTGTTTAGTGTTGTTCGCTGTGAGGGCCTCTACATTCGAAACAGTTCCATCAACATCGTGTTGGAATACATGGACGAAGGTTCTCTCAAGAGCGTACTTCCCCCTCCTTCCCATCCTATTTAGCACTACTCTCCCCAGAACCCAATTCCAGACCGTGTTCTGCGCTGTATTGCTTGGCAACTTGTTACCTCCCTCATTGAACTGAAGCGCGCAGAAATCATCCACCGCGTTCCAATTCCCCTATTGTTTCACATAGGACATCAAGCCCGAGAATATTCTGCTTCACAGCAGCGGCTTAGTCAAACTCTCAGACTTCGGCATTAGCAAAGTGGACTTGAGTCCGTTCAGAAGATCGATTAAACGATAGACGAATGCAAGACATACGTGGGAACACTGAAATACATGAGTCCCGAACGCCTTCTATCCGAGGAATATACGTAGGGATGGAATGAGGCTGGCATCTAGATGTCGATGCGATTACTGGTCCATGGCAATGGTTATTCTGGAAGCTGCACTGGGGTATTACCCGCTGCAAGTAGGATCCACGTCGATTGATGTGAGTGATGAATGGTGGAGTGAGGCGTAGTTGGAAACGACGATCACGCACTCCAGGTTTGATGAAGTGTTTAGTATCTGCTGATTGCTGGAATAGTAATAGGTAGAATTGCTTAATCAAGATCTGGTGTATTTCTTGCAGGATTGGTTGCAGGAGGAGAGAATGAGATCATTGCCAAACATTAAAATAAGAGATAGGTGGCTTTATGTCGATGGGCAACCTCTGACAAAAGAAAAGAGTATGAGTATTATTTCGGAGTGGCTTAAATCTCTTCATAAATCTAGTGATAGTGTTTAGTTCTTTTATGCAGTGGTTTGTTTGTTTGCTAGTGAGTTTTTTTGGAGGAGTGTAGGAACTTTCGTTTGTTGTTAGTACTGAATAGAATGTCGCTTCCAATAAAATCAAAGTCCTTTTCCATGCTGCAAGAGAAAAGGAGGAAATTGCAGCTAGACATGGCGAAACAGCGCAGAGATCAGCTTATTTCGTAGTTGTACACCATAACCGTAACATATAGAAAGAAAAGGGAACAGCTGTTGTGGGAAAGTCTCTCCGCAGGACAAAAGGGATCCTTTCCGCAAATTCAACAGAAAGACAAGCGAAAAGAGGAAGCTGTCCGTGATCAGAATCGCAGACGCCAGTTTTGTCAAACACTCTGTATCCCGGAATGGATGGTCGAGGTTCCAAACGATCTAGCAAGAAACTGGATCGTGATGCCTCGTCCTGAAGGTCATCGCTACTTGGTGTCTTGCAAACGAGGCAAAGCGTCGATTCGAAGTCTGAGTGGCTACACAAAAAACATAAAAACAAATCTTCCTGGAGGACAGTACGCAAGCTTGCCGTAAAGTGACAGAATAGAATGAACTTTTCTGGGAATTGCATTCTGGATGTGATCATTGCCGATACGTGTGTCTATGCAATGGACATCCTCGTGTTTAACTCCACCGAATACTCCGAGTCTGAGGCTGAATCTCGTTTGTTTACGCTTCACAGTCGAGTATTTGACCATTGTTCGCATTTCATTCAGTTATCCGAAGAATCATATTATCTCATTCTCGACAAAAAACAACTTCCCATCATCGTACTCATCCTCCTTTCTTTTGTGTCACTCCAGATCGTTCCCTATTTCGAGTGTTCCGTCGAGAATCTCTCCTCTCTGCATGCAAACACTCTCCATGTTCCGCTCAACGGACTTCTTTTCTTAGAGTTTTTGATTCTTTTTGTGCCTCGCTTACTTCCAGCCGCTTTGGAAAGATGGAAGAAGGCTGCACGCCGCTCCAACTCCTCTGGAAAGACGCCCAAACCGCGACATACGTGATCAACACAGACGCGCAGGGCGCAATCCTCGCGAATCAAAGCGTCACAGTAAGCAAACTGCATTGAATGAAAGGGGCAGCTCCTCTACAAGGATCGTTCTCTTCGCTCGTTGGAAGGGTTTGTCGTCGTCGAGGGCGAGTTGCCTTCGTTTGACGACGACTCGCTTCTTCGCTGCACTGTGGGAGGCGTTCGCGCGGATTCGGAGCGTCAGCAGTGGCAGTTAGTGGACGTGAACGTTGTGGGGTATGCTTCCTACTCGAAAACATTGCCGGATTCGTAGGAATGGAGAGAAGAAAACACTCCATAGAATGTCGAAAATCGTGTTTCAGCAGATGGCTCGCGAGTGTCCGCTCTCGTTCGATCAGCTGCTTGCCAAGCTGTCAATTGTTTGTAACAAACACGTTCATCAATCAATCCTGTTTTGTATGCGGATGATCCCGATAGACCTTCCAAACACAAAGGAGATAAGTGACTGCGAAAAGGGCGTAACAAGCAGGAAGAATGAGCGGATTTCCCAAGGTCAGATGGTTCCAGTAACACTGCTTCTGTGCGACGAGGGGGAGAGAGGCGCAGGATGAAAGGTTCGAGTTTGTCATCAGTAAATAAAAGATGGTCATGATACAGAACCACCGGGAGAAGGTTATCAGCAAACGATACTGATCGACATAAGCTTCTCCGTCCCGAATGAGAAAATCAGGGAAAATCGTTTTCTACTTATGAAGCTGTACGATAGAACAATACAAAGACATTGGGCTGCGATTCTAAAGTATACACCACAGTGTACATGGAAATCGCCATCAGAATCTATGCTTTATTCCCCAAGTAAACTCAAACAATATAAAAGAAATACGTTTTTTCTCCAGACTCTACAAATCAACAACAACTACGACTTCTACCATATAAAAATGGCCAATCATATGCCAGCCATATCGTAATGCCAGCGCTAATAATTAAAGGAAAAAGGCTCAATTTGTAGAACATGGAGATGGAATACCAAAAGAAGCTTTCGCTCTGTATATTAAATTGACTTTCACCACAATACAGTTTGCTCGCTACTCATCTTACTTTCTTTGATTTGGAATGCAGAATGGTGTAATAAAACATCCGTCCTCTGTCTCTTCAATACTCAAGTCAAAGGTTAGAATTGGCAGGGACAGTATAGAAGTGGAAATCCAGAATTCGCGGCGATTTCAAGTCTCAATATTCACAAATAGAAATGAAACCTGCAAACGAGGGTAAATCAAGTTTTTCCCTCAAGTACATTCTAAAGAATTTGCCATACAAATTAATTTGGCTATTTCTTTTATGTTTGGCCGCTGCTTCCTATTATGTGGTTCTCCTGCTAAAAGAAGTGATCGATTGTATACAGTTTGATATGTAGGAGCCCGAGCAATATACGGTATCAGCTAAGTTTGAAGTCAAAGATGATGAGAATCTCATTGTGGGAGATGTCGTCGCGATTGGTGATGACGGGATGATAACCAAGAAGACTGGAACTACGGTATACAAAAATGAGCACAAGTTCAAAAACAAGGTGATGCTCAATCTCCATGCAGTGGCTTTGGATGACATTACCTTTGTTTCCGTTTACCAAGGAGGCATGGTTTTGGTTCGTCTGGATTCTAAGGACAAAGTGGCGGTAGAGTTCCAAGTAAGGCCTTCTCTCTAATTTATGATGCAGGTTGATTTGCCCACGATCGATCTCGGAAAGCCGCGACTCATTGACACGGCCATCTCAATTCGAGGTCATTACACGTTTTACGTGATTGGTTCCTCTCGAATCTTGTCTGTCAAGGTGAAATTCGAACATGATACTTTTATGGTTGAATGGGGTGGGATTTGGAATATTCGTTTTGACAGGCAGGTGACGATGTGACGTACTATGAATCGCCTCTCCAACTCCACCCCGAAGCCTCCATCTTCCCAAATGGCCACATCGCGATCCTTTTTACGGACAACGACGCTCTTCTGCGCGTCGTCACGCTCCAAGCGACCGAAGAAACGAACTCACTGCAGCTCCTCTCGTCCATCGTGGTGAGCGAGTCCATGACGCACTACGACATCGCCGCCATCACGGAGAACTGCGTAGCGATCGCTTACTCCTATCTCGACGCCACCAACGTGACCTCCACGATCCAGACCGCGCTGGTTTATGACCATGGCGACCGATTGGAGCTGGTGGAGAGCGCGGCCATCGACGAAGTCTCCCCGCTCTCGTTCATCCACTTGGAATCCTGGACGGCGTTCGACGCCTCCGACCTGCAGATGATCTTGGTGTACTCGCCCGAGAGCAGCCAGGAGGATCTCGTGGTGCAGAACGTCGCGCTCAGCGCGCAGCGAAACCAGATCGTGCTGGGCGCGCGGCTGAACAGCAAGAACGGGCAGCTGCGCGTGGACTCGACGGGGATGCACTCGCTGGACATCACCATGCTTCAAAACCGCAAGTTCATGGTCTTTTATTGCGAGCTGAGTGAATTGTAGATTTATTACTCGAGTATTCTCAACAACGGATACACTGCCCTCCAGATCTATCGGCTCACGCCCGCGTTGGAGCTGCTGGCGGACGGGCCGCAGTATATTCTGTCGAAAGATCTGTCGGGAACCGTATGGATTGGGATTGGCGGATGAATGGAAGGAGAAACAGTATTACTATGTGTCGGCTGCAGAGTGGGGGCATCGGGCCTTCCTGCTGGAGTGTCTGTATGACTACAATGTAGGGATTGGAGTGCTATGCGAGGTAGACCGTTTCAACGACGCTTAGCTTCATTGACATGTACAATCGTCCATTTGGAATCGTTACGAATCTTTGGAATAAAAAGGCCACTGTAGTGACGCAGGGATTCATTGAAACGCGTTTTGGAAGAGGATCGGTTGTGCCTGGGAAGTATTACTATGGAAACTCTCGAGGGCAGTATATTGAAGGAGAGTGGGCTGGACAGCAAGGAATGGAGAGTTATTTTGTGTACACGGAGAATGGAGAGGTTAAAATGATTACTGATGTTCGGAACCGACTTGGATTAGCTATTGACACCTACAGTCTATTGGTTATACCAAAGGCATTGAAGTAGTCATATTTACAGATGGGAATGTGTTTGTTTGAGTCAGTTGGTAGAATGTGTGTACAGTCATTGACACCTACCATAGTAATCAAGAGCTACCTTCCCTTGATTGTATCTACACAATGACAAACTTGGATAAAAAGCGGGATTTTACAGGAATCGCCTTAAGCATACACGAAACAGAGCATAATGCGAATTATTGAGAGGGTGTAAAAATAGGACCGATTTTTGCCATTCTTCAATTTCTAAGAAAAGCAAATGCCCAGCAAAGTATTTGTTGCTAATCTTCCCAAAGACGTCCGAGAGTCAGAATTGAAGGACGAATTTAGTAGAGTATTCGATTTCTAGTTTCATTTCCCAATTAGTATGGAACTGTAATAGACGTGACTCTCAAGCTCACAGGACACACTCCCTATGGATTTGTCGAGTTTGAAGAGGAATCTGCAGCAGAGGAAGCTGTGAAAGGTAAGAATGGCTCTGTGTTGGGTGGATTATCGTTGCGTGTTGAAGTTGCTAATGGAAGAGGACCAAAGGGAGATAGAGGTTCAAAATACGGTCCTCCCGTACACACCAACTATCGAGTAGAGGTGACTCACCTTCCCTACCACTGCAGTTGGCAGGTATTTTTCCCCAAAAAGGCTGAGGATTAGGATCTTAAAGATCATATGAGAAAGGAAGGAGATGTTGGTTATTGCTCAGTGGATGGTGGTGTTGGCATTGTGGAGTATACAAACTATGACGATATGATGCGTGCAATCAAATACTTGGACGATTCCAAGTGTTTGAGTCGTGGAGAGAGTAGCTACATTCACGTCCGCCGTTACCGTGGTCGTAGTCGTAGTCGTAGTCGTAGTCGTAGCCGTTCTCGAAGCAATCCGCGCTACTCACGAAACACTCGTTCCAGATCTCGTTCTCGAGATGTGCGTCGCTCTGACCGAAGAGACTCGCGGGATCGTTCTCCTCCTAGAAGAGATTCGAGAGATCGTTCTCCTCCTAGAAGAGATTCACGGGATCGTTCTCCTCCTAGAAGAGATTCGAGAGATCGTGCAAGCCCTGAGAGAAGAGACTCCCGGGATCGTGCAAGCCCTGAGAGAAGAGACTCGAGAGATCGTTCTCCTGAGAGAAGAGACTCGAGAGATCGTTCTCCTGAGAGACAAGATTCGAGAAATCATTCCCCTGAGAGACAGGACTCGAGAGACCGCTCTCCTGAGAGAAGAGATTCCAGAGACCGCTCTCCTGAGAGAAGAGATTCCAGAGACAACTCCCCTGAAAGAAGAGACTCCAGAGACAACTCCCCTGAGAGACAAGACTCGAGGGATCACTCCCCTGAAAGAAAAGATTCAAAATCGCGTTCTGCTTCCAAAAACTCTCGTTCCCCTTCTCGGTCCCCGGAGAGAGAATCGCCTGAACGAAGAGAAAGTCCTCGTGATAGCCGCTCTCCGTCACCAAATAAGACTAGTGCTTAAGGTTCTTCCTAGTATATCGAAGTGTTTATTCTAGCAAAGAAGAGTAGTGCCACATGCTTATAACAAACAAAACCATTTGTAGAGTGTTCATTACTCACGCCATAGATTTAGTGATACTACATATCAGAAATACGACAAGTGACGTACATGCATAAATCCAATCTTGGGAGCCTGCTCACGGAAGCAGCGTCTGCAGAGCATAAGGCCATACTTACGAATAAGTCCACGACGGTTGCCACAAGCACGGCTACGAGATATAATCCAAACACGCCTAAAAACCTACCAAGTACGAGAACCGGGACCGAATTCACGAGGATGAGTATAATCAAGACTAGGCATGGTTTCCTATAGCAGGTTAGAACATACATACAAAAAGGCACCAAACAAGAGCCTACAAATTAACAACACTCTAAATTATTGTCTTCTTGGTTTGTGGAAGGGCGTTTCATTCGTGATGGTGTGTTCAGTGGTTGAGCTGTCTTGATAATCATGAATTCAAACAGAAAGAACTTTAAATATGATTTGCAATTATCTACTAAGCACTCTCTTTTTGCTAAGCTACGCTCTAGCTACATGTAGAGATAAATTTAATTTTATAAGATTTAGTCGATACCAATGAGGACGTGTCTCATATTGGTTTGAATCAGTACAAAAATGGAACCATCATAAGCAATGGTGTGAGCCATTTTGTCATGGAAGATCCTGCTGTGACGAGTGGATTAGGTATTGTATATTCTTTTACGTTGGTATCGTAAGTGGTTTGGTGAACTATGTCAAATAGTGAAATTACTACATATGGACGCCGACTTGGAAGAGTCGTCTATCACTGCGGTGATTTGACTTTTGAATCGTATTTGTAATCCAGATCTATGACTGTAGGTTCCTCGATAATAATATTCCGGTGCAGCGCTTTTCGAAAGATCACTCCTGTAAGGAACCCGTTATGTACATCGATATAACAAACGATATTGAACACAATGCTACTTATCATATTATTGTTGCTTCCAATGATTACCCCATGTACAATCTTATTGACAATTCCGTTGTTTCCGGTGTTATTCCCGGGTATTCGAAAGACGAGCTGGTCACCTATGGCGCCTTCGTATGTCCCGTTTCTTCTCCCAACTCTAGATTTCGGGGAGCTCTCATTCGGGAGGCTCTGTCGACGCTATCAACATCACAATCTACAGTGACGCCTTCTCTGCGACTACCATTCGCGCCTACGTATCTCAATACGCTTCTGCGCAGGAAATCCGTCCCTTATAGTATCCATTCCTTCATAACCATCGACTCTCTAGTTTCACGCGTGACGGAAACCGGCTCTTCGCGTCGATGAGTCGAAGCCACTATCTATTCTGCATGGCCTGCACTCGCTATGTGGGCTCCGCATCCCTTCTTCGATCTAGATCCACATTCGACCCGAGATAGCGGGAGGCGAAATGGCGCACTTCTCTCTTGACTTCCACGTGGATCGAGGCATCAAAGAGCTGCAGATGAACGAGGAGTACCAAAGCTCGGTCATGCCGGACGTCCACGAGAATCAAATGGTGATCGACTTCCGGACCTTCGAATTCGATTACGACTGGAACATCATCGTGAGAAAGCTCGACCAGGAATCCATCCCGCTCTATCTCGAGTTCTCTCACACCGTTCTCGCTTCTCCTATCGGTTCCCTTGTAGTCGTTCGATGACGGCGAGTGGGACGTCGAGAAGGTGGTCGTTCTCAACTCGCTCGAAGAAACCACCGTCACCATCACGCAGCTGGATCCCATCTACGCCGTGGGCGGTGTGTTTTATCTCCGTCTGCGAAGCAACGTCACCGTCACGGAGGAGTGCCAGTTCTCCATCGTGTATCACGTGCTTCCCGGTTTGTCCCGCGGGGAGGATCGATCGTAGGGAACGTCCCTTACCTCTACGGCGACGAAGTGCTGGCGCACAGCTCGAAGAACACGGGCGTGAGCATCGCGTATTACAAGATCTCCATTCCTTCCGAGGAGTTCCAGGACTTCAAGTGCGTTTCCATGGGGAGTTTCACTGCAGATCGGTGACGATTTCGCTGTCGAACATCGCGTACACGTGGAATGTGAATCCTGCGTACTGCATCGGGTTCGATGTCTATTTGGGCATGGCCAAAACCCGCCTCATCATCAACCCGCAAGACAACTCCACCTATTCGCACCACGCCTGGCTCTCCGCCCGCAATGAATTCTCCGTTACGATCACAGAAAACGAGCCGGGCTGGTGCAACAACTGCATTTTCGGAGTGGCGATTCGCACCACCAACATGACTTCCTGGCGCATCAACGCCCACTTGAATTATGGTTGGTTTTTTTCCTTCCCTTCTAACGCATAGTCGCGATCCCTCTGCAGCCCGACGTTCCGCGCCAAGGCTCGATTATCCCGTTTACTGGAGGTATTCACTCCTCGTTCTACCTCCACCAGACCGACTACCGACCCATCTCCATCCGCGCTACGCGCCTCCAGTCCGCCGATAAGCACATCCAGCTGTTCGTGTCGATCACGGAGCCGGCGACGATCAAGAACCACTCCTGGATGGACACCACCGTGGGCGACGATCTCGCGCAGGTCACGCTGTCCAGCGACCATCCCTTCTTCTGCACCGACTGCTACTACTACATCGGCGTCTACTCGCTCGAGGAGGAAGAGGAGGAGCACCCCGTCGACGTGGAGGTCGCCGTGGAGTGTCCCGACGGCGTCTGTCTCAGCTGCGAGGCGGGCTACGACCCCGCGACCAACTGCCAGGACTGTCTGCCGGGCTATTTCGGCGCGACGTGCGAGCCCTGCAAGGGATGTGCGCACGGAAAGTGCGATAGCGGGAAGCAGGGAAGCGGGAAGTGCGTGTGCGAGGAGGGCTGGGGCCCGGAGGATGTGTGCAATGAATGCAAGGCAGGGTTCTGGGGACTGCAGTGCGAGGCGTGCCCGTCGTGCAATGGACACGGCCAGTGCAGCGATGGAATCGACGGAACGGGGCAGTGCGTGTGCGAGGGAAACTGGGATCCGCGCGTGAACTGCGAGGACTGCATCGCGGGGTTCTGGGGCGCGGCGTGCATGGGAGAATGCCCGCGGAACGAGGAAGGATTGATCTGCTCGGGACATGGGAAGTGCAACGACAAGGACTTCGGAAATGGGCGATGCACCTGCGAGAAAGGAATGGTGGGAATCAAGTGCGATACGAGGAAGGAGGACGACAAGTGCTCGCCGTCCTGCTCCGAACTGCACGGAGCCTGCGATGAAGAGAAGGGTGTGTGCGTGTGCTATGATGGATACAAGGGAAAGACGTGCGAGAGCTCGCAGAACATGGTCATCATCATCGTGGGTATATCGGTGGTGGTGCTGATTCTGGTCGCCGTTGTTTTCTATATCATCTACACTACGAAGAGCCTGAGTGGGAAGAATAAGAAGCGCCATGCGAAGGACGCTCTGCTGGAGAGCGTAGAATGGAGTGTTTGTTACAAAGAGAAGAAGTATCCACAGCTAAACTTAGAACAGCTTGTTCATCACGGCCTTGCTCTGCTCGTAGCACACGAAGCAGGCAGCATTTCCCAAGAAGGCACGAATGATGCAGGGAGTAAAGCCAGGGAAGAAGGCCTTTACACCTCCATTCTTGTAAATCGACTTCGCACAATCGATGAAACCCTTATATTTACGTTCAGACTTCACAATGCTTTCCACCTGGAGACTCGACTACGTCTTACTCTCGCCTTCCATACCTACCTTCACGATATCCAGAGGATAAATACAACCCCAGTAGGCGACTCCAGCCACACCTCCAGCCATGAACTGAGTGAACGAGCCTTGGTACTGCATGTCGCTGAGGGGTTGACCCTTCTTCAGAAGAGCGCGGCGATAAATTTCATAGAATCCAAAGTAAAGAGACACGCCAATGGTATCACGAATCAGAGTCGTGCAGAAACCTTGGTAGCAACCGAGAATGCCATTGGTCTTGATGATTTGCTTGATAGCACCGCTCACAGTGGTGAACTGAGCCTTGTACTCCGGATTGTCCTTGGCACGAACAATCTGCACCTGGAGCTGAGACTTGAACAGATCCATGGGAGTCTCCACGAAGGTCACAGCCATACCGGTAACAGCTCCGGCGAAGAAGGTCTGAGGAAGAGAAAGGATCTCTCCGTGACCAATAGCTTCCTTCATCTGTCCATAAACGATGAACTGCACAGCGTTGAATAACATGTTACCTAGACTATCAAACGGGGACACCGCCACTACCCCAAAGTGGAGAAATGAATCCCTTGTACAGTCCAGACACTCCTTCCCACTTGATGGTCTTCTTGATGCAATCAGACATACCAGTGTACAGAGGATTGGCAGGATTCTGTGTTTGCAGACGTGGAAATTAAGGAATCTACTTAAAATATCTATTCTCGTGTTCATAGGATATGGACCTTGACGGTATCGAAGGGATGACCCACTGCAACGATACCAATACCTCCGAAGCATCCAGCAATCAAATCCTTAGCAAGAATCTTGGCGGGAGAATCTCTCTGGCTCATTTAAAGTGATAGTGTGCGGTGATATGAACAAATTGTGGTTTGAGATAAAAGGGGAAATGGGGAAACCGAAGTCACCGAGTGGTTCTACCTTAGACCTCGATTCCTTCCTTTCACTCGTACAGTGGCTCGTTTGAATTGGCCGTTTGAAACCGCCATACTTGCTTACAAAGAATAGACCTTTCGAAATCCTTTTGCACTCGTTTTTGGTAGAGAATAAAAGATGTGTGAAATCGCTTCGAAATTGAAAGTTTACACAACTTCATCCACTTTTCACTATTTGTTACCAATGGACTATGAGTACAACAAAGAGTGATCTTCCTGCTCCCCCTTCGCTCACCTCACCGGTATCTGTGTAGATTTTGTTCAATTAGGTAGACAAGAGAATCACCTCTTGCTAATTATACGGTGGATATGTCTTCCTGGAATGGCTCCGTTAGTACCAAAGTTCTTGATAATTACAACTACAACTTCCATTCTGTGCAAAACGAGATTTCGGATGTTGCATTGTGGGTCGATTCCATTCGATAATTAGTTAGTGAGCAAAACTCACTAGAAGATGACTTCCTCTCTCTTCTAACAACCTACTATGATATGACGCCAGATCGCATTATCAGTGTATGAATCTGACTGTACTGCTCACGAATAGGTGTTTAATCAATTCGACACGAACAAGGATGGAAATGTAAGTTTTGATGAATGTAACCGTATCCTCAATTTGTTCGGAATCTCCATGAAAGACCAGATTTTTGATATATTAGTCCGCCAAGTTGATAAAGATCATTCCGGCGGTTTAACCCTGAATGAATTCGCAGTCGTATGAGCCTTTTCACTCGTTAACGCTGAGATGCTTCAACGCCTCAAGATGCTATCTTTGTTTCAAAACTCCGTCATTGAGCGTCTTTTAGGGTACTTGGTGCTTGTTGCTTGTTTTCTTATAGAGACAATTCGCTTGGCGAAATGAGCCATCTCAGCTACAACCTGACGCGTGTCGAAGTCGAGCGTCCCATCCTGGTATGTTTCCCCATTTCCCCTCGATCGCAGGGTATCGAAACGTTCTTCATGAATCCAGACCCCGTCTGGTCGTCTGTGAATTGGATCCACCTCTCGCACGTGGAGCCTCTGTCCGTGCAGCGCTTGGGGGTCCGCTACCGTCTCCATCCGCTGGTGGTAGAGGACTTGGTGTACCGCGAGAACCGCGAGAAGATGGACAAGTACAACACGCACATGCTGATCACCGTGCCGTTTATTCAATATCGAAAGGAGGAGGAGCTGGCGCGGCGTCCGAGCTCGGGCTCGCTGTCCAGCGAGGACGATTGGGTGTCGCTTCGCCCCGATTTGCCGTTTGGGCTGTTTGTTTGATCGATTTTAAGAATGCCACACAGTAATCCGCTGCGATCCGGCCTGCAAAAAGGGCTGGTGCAGCGCTCGATGTCGTTTGCGGACTACACGTCGACCAATTTTGCGTCGCGAAGCCGAGACACTCATCTGCGCCATCTCGTGATTCGTCCATTTAACCTTGTTTTTGTGTTCACCAATCCGTGGAGCGGGTCGAGCCACGCCGTGATCAGTCTCACTCAGGAGAACGATGAGGGGCTGTGGGACTACATCTACCGTTTATTGAACAATAAAAACAATCGTGGAAAGCAGGAGGGCGGGTGCTATCTGGTGTACGCTCTCTTGGATTATGTGGTGAGCGTTGTGAGGGGAGTAAGATAGAGTGTAGGTCGACAGCTATGTGGACGTGCTGAAATCCTTCGCAGAGGACATCAAAGCAGTCGAGGAAAACATCGATAACGCGGACTCGATTTATCAATCCGTGCTTCTCTCGCGCGAACTTGACGCATTTCAAAACAGAGTTTGCTTCTAGTCAACGCGCGATGGGGTTTAGATTCGCCCGCTTCTCTCGATTTTCGATCAGTTAAGAGAGGATTCTTCGTTCTCGCACCGCGTTTCTCTCTACTTGAACGACATCAAAGATCATGTTCAGCAGCTACTAAATGATATTCAATACTGCTCCAATCGAAGCAGCAATGTGTACAATGTCGTGCAGAGCATCCAGTCGAAGAAGCAGGAACGCATTCTGTTTATTCTCACAGTGATTACTGCGATTTTCACTCCTATCACGTTTCTTGCGGGAGTGTATGGAATGAACTTTGATAACATGCCGGTAAGGATGGAGCGGGAAGTGAATAATGATACGTAGTCTCTACATTGGAGATTCGGCTATCTCTATTTCTGGATCTATGTAATTCTCATCGTGTCGGGACTAAGTATCTTCCTTCGGTTTTTAATGAGAAACCTTTGATTTCTTTGTGTAACACAGAAAACAATAAAGAAAAATCCGAGCTGCCGGAATCGAACCAGCGACCCTTAGATTGCTGCGAAGCAGCCACTACAGTCTAACGCTCTACCAACTGAGCTAAGCTCGGGATGTTTTCAATTTCAAAATATGCATATATATAGATAGAGACTGTCAATTCCTTTTCCCTTATTATTATCTCTTTATGATTAATTAATACATTGTATCTCGCAATAGAATTGAAATAGGTAGGGTACATTCATATTTCTATTGGTTATGATTACAAATTATCACTTCACATTCGTTATAGTAATCACACAATAATGATAGTAATAATAATAGATCAATCCAAAAGAGAAAAAATCCGAGCTGCCGGAATCGAACCAGCGACCCTTAGATTGCTGCGAAGCAGCCACTACAGTCTAACGCTCTACCAACTGAGCTAAGCTCGGAACATTTCCATTTTCAAAATATGCATATATATAGATAGAGACTATCAATTCGATGTTTTCCATCTCTATGCCATTCTCTATCTATCAATTCATCGTATCTAACATAATAATCGAAATAGTTGTAATAAATAGATAATGTTAATAATTTCTATTAACAAATGATTTACTCAGAATCATAATAATAATAATAATAACAATAATAATAGATCAATCCAAAAGAAAAAGAAAAAATATCCGAGCTGCCGGAATCGAACCAGCGACCCTTAGATTGCTGCGAAGCAGCCACTACAGTCTAACGCTCTACCAACTGAGCTAAGCTCGGACTGATTACTTCTTTTTCTTAGCCTATTTCATCATTATAACCAGTGCAGTGTTGTTTGGTTTTATATTGTGCAGCGATGAGTGGAAACAGTTCGTTTCGTTTTATCACTCTAATCAGTAGACCCGAACCCTTTTGTCAGGAGACAAGTCCAGCCAGCCAACACTGAAGCGTACTACCAGCAACCACAAAGTCAACAACCCCCTTTCGTGAATACACCGTTTCAGCAGGGAAATACTGAGTTTCCGGGTTTCAGTTCAAGCACCTTACCGACAATTAATACAGGGTAGCTAATTGCATTTGTATTTTATGTAGAAATGCCGTGTTTGATATGGCGTTTAACCAGACAACCAATCTCATGAAATCCAAGTGGGATAATTATACTCCCGAAGCGACCGGTTTGTGGAACAATTTTAAGAAGTACTTCCAAGTCAGCAATCAGTACGTCGTTGCAAAATTGAGAGTATTTTGGTTTCGTCGTTCATTCACAAATAGCTTATTTTATTCCCCTTTATGTCTCAATCCTGGAAACGCCTTATAACCGTTGGCGAGGATGGTCAGAAGTACTACCTCCCGCCTCGTCAGGATGTTTATGCCTTTGACTTGTACATTCCGTTGATGGCGATCTTTACATTCATCGTAACTGTCGGTTTTACAGCCGGAACCAAAGGAATCTTCTCCCCTCAAATCATTTCTACTTCCCTCTCCGCCTGTTCCGTCTCGATCATTCTCGAGGTAGTTTTCTTCGCTCGATTCCATGCAGCTCCTCCTCTTGAAGCTGATTCTCTTCCTCATAAGTTGCCCGGCGCCCATTCTGGACCTTCTTTCTCTGATTAGCTATAAGTTCGTCGGGTACTCGCTCTCGTTCCCTTGCATTTTTAGTCTGTGTATCAACTCCGTGATCTACTGCTTGTCGCACAACCGCACCTTCTACACTGTGTCTCTTCTCTACACGGGAGTGTGCATGATGTTCTTTACTGTGAGGCCGGGAGAAGCGACTGATGGATAGATGCACTCGTTGAAGGCCATCGTGTATGAGGAGAAGGAACAAGAGCGGAAGAAGCGACGATTGCGAAATTACTTTGTGTTATTGTGGGAATGGAGGGGAGAAGTGAGGTGTAGAAGTAGCGTGATGCAGGTCGTGTTGATGTGGTTGCTCGGGCGCTATATGGGATAAATGTACTCTGTGTGAATGTGTTTGTTGACTCAAACGAATCAAAGAATGGAGGTTGCTCGGAGCAACGAGCAGTCAACGCTTCTTCGAATGCCCCAAAGATCCTTGCTTTTTCTTTGTTGGCTCATCCAACAAACACAAAGTCACACAGCAGCGATCCTCGACTTTGACATTGATTTCATTGTTTGGTGTCTCAAACATTTCAAGGTGACTTGGCGTGTGATGATCGTACCTGTACTTTCAGTCCCTTCTTCTCATAAATCGCTTCAGAAGAAGCCAGAATACCGTTATCCAGAGCGAGATATTGCTCGCCAAGCTTCTTGCACTCAGGAATCGAATGCTTGTCATCATTCCACTCCTCATTGGCAGCCATCTCCGAGCAGAAAGCCTATACGTCATACATAATCGAAAATAATAATAATACAGAAAGAGCATCACGGCCAGACACGCTGCGGTAGTTCTTGTTCAAGAACACCATCTTCATGTTGGCAACTGCGTACATCTTACCACCGCTTTCGAAGCTAGGATGAAACGCTGACTCCATATTTACCTTTGTCGGAACCAAACGTTCTTTCCGTTCACAGCAACAACCGATGTTCGCAACGTGAACTTTTTAAAAAGGGGGAGGGAGCGAATATATTGAATATGCGACGTACTGACGACACAGTAGGCATTGTTGAACCACTTCATACCAAAAAGGCGAACCGCAAGGGCATAGCGACCGTAATCACAGTACAGATTGTAGGAACCATTGTTCATGTGTCCGTATAAGTCAATATCACAAAACCAAGTTCTAAATGTCATTGTGTCCTCTACTACTAAAAAGCAACTATATTTCCTACCATCATTCATATGTTTCAGTCTTGGCATAAATATACTTCTCACTATTGTCAGAAACACAGTAATTGCATAACCCCCAGGTAAAGATCTACACTAAAACAAATGAAAAATAGGAAACCGATAGAAGATTGCGTAGATTATAAACACGACAATTAGAAGTACGGTATTCATTTGATGGTACAAGAAATAAATACGATGACGATATAGGGAGTTTCATCTATCGACTTTGACAATTCCGCTGCGATTCTTATTCTTATATTCTCTTTTGAATGGAGTCATTATAGACAACCAGTCTGTACCATCATATCGTTTTTGTAATGATTATGTGGTCAATATGTGTCCGACTACAGTATATGGAAGAAAACACCTTTAGAAATTTGGATGTAACTACTGCATTTTTCTCTTCACTGAACCATACCATTCTCTTCTGCTATGGACGAAAGTGTTATTGTCGATTTAATCTCCCTGTTGAAGTAAATAGTTTAGCTTTTTTCGCTTAGTGCTAGAGATCCTCAAGCTCAGGTCCGACAGCAAGCTGCTGAGATTGTATGCAGTCTTACATCTACGGAGGACGGTTGCAACATGATTTACCAGAAACAAGGTCATCTGGCGTTAACCAAATTACTCGGGGATAATATTGTTTGGTTTCTTAAGTGGTTGTGATTGTAGGCTATTAGTAAATCGGCGATTACCGCCCTTGTTAATATGTGTGGTAATGCTGCTGTTCTTACTGATATGGCAAATGACGAACTTGTTGATAAGCTTATGGAGAATCTTATGGTATCTATTATTCCTTGTTTCGACCTCAGGAAGACAATTATCCGCTCATTAACCTTAATTTGATGTTATTAGCGAATGTTAGCACTGTACCTTCTAGTCCCTCTCATCTATTTTCTAGAACGACATTGGTGCGGGAGCCATTCTCCAACTTCGACAAAAGCAGGGTAAGTTAAAGGTACCACCTCCACATCCTTCGCCTCATCCTCAGGGCCTCCACCTCTGCCGTCTCGTTTTGTGGTTCCTCCGAACGTCGGTCGAGAGCACCGAAGCGGACCCCTACCAATACATCGCAACAATTCTCAACAACATCACTCGCGTACACAGCCTTTTCTCTCTCCGACGCATAGCTCTACGAGGGCCGTGACCTCATAATGAACAAGAACCGCAACTTAATCGACAAGCTGATTCCCTTCATCAACTCCGCGAATCCGATCCGCCGCAAAGGCATCATCAACATGATCCGAAACGTCATGCTGGACGAATATTACTGGGACCAGCTCGTCGATAACTGGAACACCGACGGACGTCTGAAAGGCATCGTGTATCGCGTGTGCGCCAACCTCAACGGAGACCATCGCGTGGAGAAGAAAGAGCTGGACCCGATCGTGTATTCGACGGTGAAGGAGCGCGAGAAGGACGTGGAAATCATTCGCATTTCGATGGATTTGCTGCTGATTATCACGAAATACCAGAACGGACGCGAGCTCTTGCGCGAGGCCAATGTCTATCCTGTTGTGAGGGATATGCATATGGGTAGGGGATTAGGGGGAGGCTGAGGAATAGCAATGGAGCAGTTGCTGCCGCAGGAAGTGGTGGATGTGATTGGAGATGTCGTCACGCATTTGATGGCGGAGGAAGAACACCCGCGAAAGAAGGATGGACCGATTGTGGAGGAAATTACGGAGCCTGGAAAGGAGATGAGTCCTGAGAAGGAAGAGAGTGATGATGGTTTGGATGATTTGCCTGATTTAGAATGCAATGTTTGTTTTGCCACATTTTATGCTGGATACGTGAGCCACAATGATCATTGCAAGAACGCCCAGCCCAGCCATCGTTCTCGTTCTTCTCTTTCCACCCAAGTTTCCACCTATCGAATTCTTACAGTTTTCTATTCTGAAATATACTAGTGGCGTGCGCACTTGCCCTGCAGTGAACGAGAAAGAAGCCTTTTTTTCCGGTGACAGTTCCGCGGTTATGAACTATCAAATGCCCTGGAAGAATCATCATTATAATCGCCATGGAAGCAACAGAAGGATTGCGAAAGCAAGTGGAAGAACAGGGAAATGTCGTGCGTGAACTGAAGACAAATAAAGCCCCCAAAGAGGAGATTTCTGCCGCGTTGAACAAGCTCTTCTCTCTTAAGACGGAGCTGAAGGAAGCGCAGCAGCTTGAGATGGGAAATTTGCTGGAAGAGATCACCAAGCTGAAGAATGAGAATGGTGACGAAAACTTGATTAAGGAGAAGGAGGCTCGCGTCGAGCAGCTCCAGAAGTTCCTTGAGCCTCAGGAAAAGGAAAAGAAGCAAAAGGATAAGAAGGTAGGGCTTTTTGTGTTTTCTGCTGAGTATCCAGGAGGCTGGACCCTCTAAGAAGGATCTCCGAAAGCTGAAGAGAGCTGAGGAGCAGAGCCGCTCGGAGTCTGCCATTGTGCCTGCCAACGATATGTTTGGAGACTATCCTCTGTGCCAGTCTGCTGAGCGCACCGAGAGAAAGTGGACTCCGTAGTTTCTCGAGCCGAGCGTAATGTGTAGTCTGGAGGAGATTGAGAACCACATCGGCGAAGAAGTTCTGATTCGCGGCCGCGCCTTCAACGTCAACCACAAGGGCAAGTGCTGCTTCATCATTCTCCGCCAGCACGTGGACTCGGTGCAGTGCTGCCTGTTCCAGGGCGGCGCGATCTCGAAGGCGATGGTGAACTACGCGGGCAAAATCCCCAAGGAGAGCATTATCGATATCTACGGAATCGTCCAGAAGGTGGAGACGCCCATCGAGTCCGCCACGTTCAAGAACGTGGAGATCTCGGTGCAGAAAGTGTTCGTCGTGTCCCGTGTGAAGGTCGAGCTGCCCTTCCAGCTGGACTCTGCGATGCGCACCGACGCGGAGATCGCCGCCAACGAAGCGCTGGACGAGAAGGACCGCAAGTTCATCACGGTGAATCCCGATACCCGTCTGGACTACCGCTGGATCGACCTGCGAACGCCGTGCAACCAAGCGATCGTCCGTCTGAGCAGCGCGGTGTGTCTGCTCTTCCGCGAGTACCTGCTGCAGAACGACTTCGTGGAGATCCACACGCCCAAGATCAATCCCGGAACGTCGGAGGGCGGGTCGAACGTGTTCAAGTGAGCGAGGCGCGGGCGCGTGAGGCGTAGGCTGGACTATTTCGGGTCGCAGGCGTGTCTGGCGCAGTCGCCGCAGCTGTACAAGCAGATGACGACGGCGTGCGCGGATTTCGAGCGCGTGTTCGAGATCGGCCCCGTGTTCCGAGCGGAGAACTCCAACACCCACCGCCATCTGACGGAGTTCGTGGGCCTGGACATGGAGATGACGATCAAAGAGCATTACTACGAGGCCGTGAACATGATTGCCAACATGTTCGTGTACATCTTCGATGGCCTCAATGCTCGCTTCGCCAAGGAGCTCAACGCTGTGCAGGTCGAGTCTCCGGCTCTCTCTCTGATTCATAGCAGCAGCATCCCTTCACCCCGCTCGTCTACCCCAAGCAGACGCTCATTCTCTCCTACTCTGAAGGCATGCAGCTGCTGATCGACAACGGATTCGATGTGGATCCGATGGGCGATCTCAGCACGCCGATGGAGAAGCAGCTCGGCCGTCTGGTCAAGGAGAAGTACAACACCGACTTCTACATCCTCGACAAGTTCCCGCTCTCCATCCGTCCCTTCTACACGATGCCCGACCCCCACAATCCCGTCCCTTCCTTTTGATTTTCCTCATCGCTAGAAGCTCTCCAACTCCTACGATATCTTCATTCGCGGAGAGGAAATCGTGTCCGGTGCTCAGCGAATCCACGATCCCGAGCTCCTCGCCGAGCGAGCCAAGGCCTGCGGCATTTCCATCGAGTCGCTGCACGCCTATCTCCAGTCCTTCTCGCACGGAGCCTACCCGCACGCGGGCTGCGGAATCGGTCTGGAGCGTGTGGTGATGCTCTTCCTGGGACTGCCCAACATTCGCTACACCTCCATGTTCCCTCGTGATCCGAAGAGATGCAATCCTTTGAGTGTTTGTTATCGAAAACATGAGTATTCCTCTGCAAAAAAGTCGTCTGCTTGCACCAGCTTGTCCACTTCCTCGCCTTCGCCATCGGAGCCATTTGGATCCGCTTTCTCTGAGTCGGAAGAGCGCGCTTCTCGAGCTGCAGCCGTCTCGCGCATTCGGTTCAGCATCTCCAGCATTTTGGGGAGAATCGACTTGCGGTATTTGACGTCGTTAGACACTGGTCTTAAAAAAAAAACAGCAAAATGTACGATGCTCCTGGCGAAGCTTGTCTTCTTCCTCTTTTGCTACTTTTGTATACTCCATGATGTTCTTTTGACTAGAATCAAAGCCTAGAATAGCACTCACATCGTTTGTTTGCTTTCTGACAGTGGCTTGTGGGGGAAAAGAGGAATATATTGTTCACAATCCGGAAAGTACTCGACATACTACATTGAAAGACCCAATATCATTGCGTACTTTGAGCATTGACTCGTAATCTGGTTGTTCTTCGGACGTCTACTAATAATCGAAAATACGTTATCGGTACTTCTGATTTTTTGTCTCTCATTCGGAAAATCTTCATTTTCTCAAGAAAACGCGTCTACCATAAAGAATCGCAACCAAAACCTACTCGTTTTCCTTTTAATCGATTTTCCATCATTTTTTTGTGATTTGTAGAAACGAACGACTACAAATCACAAAAAAAGAGAAGGAATACAAATAACTCATATTCTTTCATCTGTTTCTTTAATCCCTCCGCTCTTGGATCATCCTCTCCGATTTTCTTCAACAATCGACGAACATCACGAACTTTGCTTTTATAAGAGTGCGATTTATCTAATTGTCATTCTCATTATCTAACGAGGACGACGTTCCATGAATAATATTTCACTTGTTTGATTCTGTAGTTTCTCTTGTCTAAACTAATGAATTTGTTGTGAATACGAAACCCTCTTGTGAGAGTCGGCACATTCCATGGGAATCATACCATACGCTTTCCTCACACTATCAATGACGCCTATTTTCGCCATATCTTCACGTATCTGTCAACAAACATGCGATTCCTTCGGAGCAGGATGGAATTCAATCAAGTAATTTCCAGACTTCTTCACCAACGGAAGCAACAATCGGAAGTAAAAGTCCCTCGCCGCAGCCGGAACGTCTCTCATCATCACGCAGCACGTCCAATAATCCATTGCCGTATAGGCAATATGCATGTAATCGCGTTGAAGTCCTTTCCGAATAACCCTAGCCATGTCTTCGGGCGTTGCGAAGTGTCCAGGCATGTTCCGAATGATTGGAACGTTCGTCATCGGCGTGTCCACCGCTGCAGGAACGATTACACTCACAAACACGTTGTAGTCTCGCATGATCCAACGGAGAGCTTCGCCGTAGCTCATCACGGCGACTTTAGAGGAACTGTAGAGTGGATTCATGGGCTCGCTGCACAAGCCGGCGGTGGAGGAAACAATTCCGATTTGTCCGGCACGACGAGCTTGCATACGAGAAAGAAGGGGGAAGATCGTGTTAAAAACACCATCTACATTGGTAGAAAAGATTTCTGTTGTCACCTAGTTATGAGAAAAAACATATAAATTACTGTGGCAATGTCCTCAGTTCTTCCACAATCAGGAATCATAACTGCTGCATTTGCAATAACTAAGTCGATCTATAATTAAACAGATAATGTAAGAAGAACAGGTGATTCATCATCCGCCTTAGTAATAAGCTCATTCATTTTGTCCTTATCACGAACATCGCACTGCAGCACAAAAACCTTACTACCCTTATCTGAGCAGATTTTCTCGACTTCCTCCAGTCTTTTTTTATCTCTTCCCATCAAATATAAAGTCGTATCCTAAATCTAATGAGAGACAACTGAAATGAACAGGAGATGCATATTCAATAGCAGTAGCTTTTCCTATACCCGAACTTGCACCGGTGATGAGAATCCTGTGTGGAACAGGAACTTTCTTACATGCAAAGTAATCGTACACATAGCCAACAAGAACGATACAAAAATAGATTGGCCATAGGATAATACTCGCTATCCACTCAAAAAGAAAACCAATGGGATTCATTTACAAATAATATGTAGTTTTCTTTTCTGAAATAAATATTCGTGGATTAGCTGATGTGGTCATCGTGTTTTATTAAGTATACACAAATAGCGTAGCAATTAAGTGTTCCAGTTTATATAATCATATTACTATTTGCTCTATGAAAAGCTCTGAAGACAATATACTCTGATTTAATTTAAATAGATTAGTGCGAGAATGCGTGGAATTTCACGAGTAGTCAGAAGAAAACAACCACAAAGCGAGAAAGAAATAGTACTAAAAACAAACATAATCGATATTTATTTAATTATCTTTGGCTGACCCATTTTCAAATCAATACTTTCTTGAGCTATAAGACCTTAACCAAATAGTTCTCCGCTTACATTTCCATTCTTATTACCAAATAGTCCTCCACTCATAGTAAATGATGGAGCTGGGGGTTGAGGAGCTTCACTGTTCTTATTTTCATTCTTATTACCAAATAGTCCTCCGCTTACATTTCCATTCTCGTTCTTAGTATTGCCAAATAGTCCTCCGCTCACATTTCCATTCTTATTACCAAATAATCCTCCACTCACATTTCCATTCTCGTTCTTATTGCCAAATAATCCTCCACCCATGCTAAATGATGGAGCTGGAGGTTGAGGAGCTTCACTGTTCTTATTTTCATTATCGTTCTTATTACCAAATAGTCCTCCACTCATAGTAAATGATGGAGCTGGAGGTTGAGGAGCTTCAATACTTTCACCTTCATCTACATTTCCTTTTCCATTTTCATTCTTAGTATTGCCAAATAATCCTCCACTCACGGCAAATGATGGAGCTGGAGGTTGAGGAGCTTCACTGTTCTCCGTCTTGTTCTTATTACTAAATAGTCCTCCACTTACATTTCCATTATCGTTCTTATTACTAAATAGTCCTCCACCAACATTGAATGATGGAGCTGGAGGTTGAGGAGCTTCACTGTTCTTATTTCCATTATCGTTCTTATTACCAAATAGTCCTCCACCAACATTGAATGATGGAGCAGGAGGTTGAGGAGCTTCATTCTTTCCATTCTCGTTCTTATTACTAAATAATCCTCCGCTTACATTTCCATTCTCTTTCTTAGTATTGCCAAATAATCCTCCACCCATGCTAAATGATGGAGCTGGAGGTTGAGGAGCTTCACTGTTCTCCGTCTTGTTCTTATTACTAAATAGTCCTCCGCTTACATTTCCATTCTCGTTCTTAGTATTGCCAAATAATCCTCCACCCATGCTAAATGATGGAGCTGGAGGTTGAGGAGCTTCACTGTTCTTATTTCCATTATCGTTCTTATTACTAAATAATCCTCCGCTTACATTTCCATTATCGTTCTTATTACTAAATAGTCCTCCGCTTACATTTCCATTATCGTTCTTATTACTAAATAATCCTCCACTCATAGTAAATGATGGAGCTGGAGGTTGAGGAGCTTCATTCTTTCCATTCTCGTTCTTATTGCCAAATAGTCCTCCACCCATGGTAAATGATGGAGCTGGAGGTTGAGGAGCTTCATTCTTTCCATTCTCGTTCTTATTACCAAATAGTTCTCCGCTTACATTTCCATTCTTATTACTAAATAGTCCTCCACCCATGCTAAATGATGGAGCTGGAGGTTGAGGAGCTTCACTGTTCTTATTTTCATTCTTATTACCAAATAATCCTCCACCAACATTGAATGATGGAGCTGGAGGTTGAGGAGCTTCACTGTTCTCCGTCTTGTTCTTATTACTAAATAATCCTCCGCTTACATTTCCATTCTCTTTCTTAGTATTGCCAAATAGTCCTCCACCCATGCTAAATGATGGAGCAGGAGGTTGAGGAGCTTCACTGTTCTCCGTCTTGTTCTTATTACCAAATAATCCTCCACCAACATTGAATGATGGAGCTGGAGGTTGAGGAGCTTCATTCTTTCCATTCTCGTTCTTATTGCCAAATAGTCCTCCACCCATGGTAAATGATGGAGCTGGAGGTTGAGGAGCTTCACTGTTCTTATTTTCATTCTTATTACCAAATAGTCCTCCGCTTACATTTCCATTCTCGTTCTTAGTATTGCCAAATAGTCCTCCGCTCACATTTCCATTCTTATTACCAAATAATCCTCCACTCACATTTCCATTCTCGTTCTTATTGCCAAATAATCCTCCACCCATGCTAAATGATGGAGCTGGAGGTTGAGGAGCTTCACTGTTCTTATTTTCATTATCGTTCTTATTACCAAATAGTCCTCCACTCATAGTAAATGATGGAGCTGGAGGTTGAGGAGCTTCAATACTTTCACCTTCATCTACATTTCCTTTTCCATTTTCATTCTTAGTATTGCCAAATAATCCTCCACTCACGGCAAATGATGGAGCTGGAGGTTGAGGAGCTTCATTCTTTCCATTCTCGTTCTTAGTATTGCCAAATAGTCCTCCGCTTACATTTCCATTATCGTTCTTAGTATTACCAAATAGTCCTCCACTCACATTGAATGATGGAGCAGAAGGTTGAGGAGCTTCACTGTTCTTATTTTCATTATCGTTCTTATTTTCATTCTCGTTCTTAGTATTGCCAAATAATCCTCCACCCATGCTAAATGATGGAGCTGGAGGTTGAGGAGCTTCACTGTTCTTATTTCCATTATCGTTCTTATTACTAAATAGTCCTCCGCTTACATTTCCATTATCGTTCTTATTACTAAATAGTCCTCCGCTTACATTTCCATTATCGTTCTTATTACTAAATAATCCTCCACTCATAGTAAATGATGGAGCTGGAGGTTGAGGAGCTTCATTCTTTCCATTCTCGTTTTGTATATTGCCAAATAGTCCTCCACCCATGGTAAATGATGGAGCTGGAGGTTGAGGAGCTTCATTCTTTCCATTCTCGTTCTTATTACTAAATAGTCCTCCGCTTACATTTCCATTCTTATTACCAAATAGTCCTCCACCCATGGTAAATGATGGAGCTGGAGGTTGAGGAGCTTCACTGTTCTTATTTTCATTCTTATTACCAAATAGTCCTCCACCAACATTGAATGATGGAGCTGGAGGTTGAGGAGCTTCACTGTTCTTATTTCCATTATCGTTCTTATTACCAAATAGTCCTCCACCAACATTGAATGATGGAGCAGGAGGTTGAGGAGCTTCATTCTTTCCATTCTCGTTCTTATTACTAAATAATCCTCCGCTTACATTTCCATTCTCTTTCTTAGTATTGCCAAATAATCCTCCACCCATGCTAAATGATGGAGCTGGAGGTTGAGGAGCTTCACTGTTCTCCGTCTTGTTCTTATTACTAAATAGTCCTCCGCTTACATTTCCATTCTCGTTCTTAGTATTGCCAAATAATCCTCCACCCATGCTAAATGATGGAGCTGGAGGTTGAGGAGCTTCACTGTTCTTATTTCCATTATCGTTCTTATTACTAAATAATCCTCCGCTTACATTTCCATTATCGTTCTTATTACTAAATAGTCCTCCGCTTACATTTCCATTATCGTTCTTATTACTAAATAATCCTCCACTCATAGTAAATGATGGAGCTGGAGGTTGAGGAGCTTCATTCTTTCCATTCTCGTTCTTATTGCCAAATAGTCCTCCACCCATGGTAAATGATGGAGCTGGAGGTTGAGGAGCTTCATTCTTTCCATTCTCGTTCTTATTACCAAATAGTTCTCCGCTTACATTTCCATTCTTATTACTAAATAGTCCTCCACCCATGCTAAATGATGGAGCTGGAGGTTGAGGAGCTTCACTGTTCTTATTTTCATTCTTATTACCAAATAATCCTCCAAATACATCTCCACCAACATTAAATGATGGAGCTGGAGGATGAGGAACTTCACTGTTCTCCGTCTTGTTCTTATTACTAAATAATCCTCCACTTACATTTCCATTATCGTTCTTATTACTAAATAGTCCTCCACCAACATTGAATGATGGAGCAGGAGGTTGAGGAGCTTCATTCTTTCCATTCTCGTTCTTATTACCAAATAGTCCTCCACCAACATTAAATGATGGAGCTGGAGGTTGAGGAGCTTCGCTGTTCTCATTCTCATTCTTAGTATTACCAAATAGTCCTCCACCAACATTGAATGAAGAATTAGAGGGTTGTGAAGTGTCCCTAACTTCAGATGTATCATAATCTGAATTTACAGAATTAGTATCCATTACATCATCAATTATTTTGCTGGTATTTATATCACTCATATGTGAACAGCACTGCATAATCTGACCGACAGTATTAAGTTCAGAGGTGATTACACTTTTATACGATGTAGTAGGAGCATCTAAAATATCCTTCACAATGTGTTTAGTCTCATCTATCATTTTGTTTAATTGTGTCGCCAAATTCAATGTACTTGAGTAAGAATCTATAATTTCTTCGCATTTCAAGTGGCGGTTAATTACAGAATCAGGAACAATTTCAGTCACCTCAAATTCCCTATACCTTTCTCTAAACAGCTGCCGAAGATTATCACTTCTTTTCTTTATATTCAACTCTGGAGAACTAAACTGGGCTATATCTCTTTGTTGTTGTCGATGAAGTTCTGCTATCAGCTGATTTAGCTTTGTACTAACTTCTCTATGCCTTATTAATTAGTTCAAGAAATACTCTCCTAATTTAGACGTTTCTTCAAGAGGATACAAATTTACTCTTTCTGCACACATCTGGGCTTTTCTGTTCTGATATGAATTTAAGTAATCAGCAAAGTAGTTCAACTTCCATTCAAACATTTCTATTTTTTTCTTTAATTCATGGAGAGATTGAATATCATAACTAGAATTTCGTTTCGATAAGTATTTCTGCAATCGCTTCAAATTCATTTCTTTTAAGGAACTAAACTGAGCATTGAAGTGTAGTAGAATTTCTTGAATACTTCGAAGTTGAGAAGCAACCGAAGAGATGTAATTATCTTCAATTGACAAGCAAGTTTGAGTTAGTAGAGTTGACTTATGTATTTTAGTAAAATCAAAGCGAGGAATTGAAATGGAACCATTTGCTTCGGAAATACTGTTAACGAATTGATTACAATACGAAATAAGTAATCTTAATGTCACAGGCAGATCATGCCCAACAACATCAACAATTTGTTGGCTTGTGTCATCACTATCCGAATATTCAGAAACAGAATAATCATAGGTATCAGGTGAAGATGATTCTTCGGAATCAGTATGACTAGATTCGACCGAAAAATCAATCTGCGATAGATAATAAGAACTACTTTCACTATTATTAGATTGATCAGATAAACCATCAAAAGCGAGACACTTGTTAAGCCCATTCTCATTAAGCAATATATTCATTGGTTTATTAACTTCTTCACCATTCTCATCATTTTTTCCTCTATTCTCTTCATTCTCTACATTCTCTTCATTTCTTTCTTCTTCTTCTCTGATTTCTACATTCTCTTCGTTCTCTATATCCTCTTCGTTCTCTTCGTTCTCTACATTCTCTTCATTTCTTTCTTCTTCTTCTCTGATTTCCGCAGTCTCTTCGTTCTCTATATCCTCTGCATTCTCTTCGTTCTCTACATTCTCTTCATTTCTTTCTTCTTCTTCTCTGATTTCCGCAGTCTCTTCATTCTCTTCATTCTCTTCATTTCCTTCATTCTCTTCGTTCTCTTCATTCTCTTCATTTCTTTCTTCTTCTTCTCTGATTTCCGCAGTCTCTTCATTCTCTTCATTCTCTTCATTTCCTTCATTCTCTTCGTTCTCTACATTCTCTTCATTTCTTTCTTCTTCTTCTCTGATTTCCGCAGTCTCTTCGTTCTCTTCGTTCTCTACATTCTCTTCGTTCTCTACATTCTCTTCATTTCTTTCTTCTTCTTCTCTGATTTCCGCAGTCTCTTCGTTCTCTTCGTTCTCTACATTCTCTTCATTCTCTTCATTCTCTTCATTTCTTTCTTCTTCTTCTCTGATTTCCGCAGTCTCTTCGTTCTCTTCATTTTCTTCATTCTCTTCGTTCTCTACATTCTCTTCAATCTCTACATTTCTTTCTTCTTCGTTCTCTTCATTCTCTTCATTCTCTTCATTCTCTTCATTCTCTTCATTTCTTTCTTCTTCTCTGATTTCCACATTCTCTACATTCTTTACATTCTCTTCATTTCTTTCTTCTTCATTCTCTTCATTTCCTTCATTCTCTGCATTTCTTTCTTCTTCATTCTCTTCATTCTCTTCATTCTCTTCATTCTCTTCATTCTCTTCATTCTCTTCATTCTCTTCATTCTCTTCATTCTCTACATTTCTTTCTTCTTCGTTGTCTATATTCTCTTCATTTCTTTCTTCTTCGGTCTCTACATTCTCTTCATTCTCTTCATTCTCTTCATTCTCTATATTCTCTTCATTCTCTTCGTTCTCTTCGTTCTGTGCATTTATTTCTTCTTCTTCTCTGATTTCTACATTCTCTACATTCTCTTCGTTCTCTTCATTCTCTTCATTTCTTTCTTCTTCTCTGATTTCCACATTCTCTACATTCTCTACATTCTCTACATTCTCTACATTTCTTTCTTCTTCATTCTCTTCATTTCTTTCTTCTTCGTTCTCTTCATTCTCTACATTTCTTTCTTCTTCGTTCTCTGCATTCTCTTCATTCTCTTCATTCTCTTCATTTCTTTCTTCTTCGTTCTCTTCATTCTCTTCATTCTCTACATTCTCTACATTTCTTTCTTCTTCTCTGATTTCTACATTCTCTACATTTCTTTCTTCTTCATTCTCTACATTCTCTTTATTTCTTTCTTCTTCATTCTCTTCATTTTCTTCTTCTTCTCTGATTTCTACATTCTCTACATTCTCTTCATTCTCTTCATTTCTTTCTTCTTCGTTCTCTTCATTCTCTATATTCTCTTCATTCTCTACATTTCTTTCTTCTTCTTCTCTGATTTCCACATTCTCAACAATCTCTATATTGTTTTCATGCTTTTCTTTTTCCACATTGACACTTATTTCTGTAGAAGCATCAGTTTCAATTGCTTTATCTTCATATACTACCCAAATAGGTCGATCACTACGAACACTAGAGTTCATAAAACTGCCTTGTTCATTTCCCTCATAACTATCACTCTTGATACTTGGAATACTATTTATACTACTTTTCTTATTTAAATTAATATTAACAATTGGAGAAAGAGTTATAGGTTGGGATTTTCCAAAATTCTCTTCACCCATGTTATTTGATACTTGAGCACTGCTTTCAAGTCCATGATATTGTGTACCAGCATTGAAATTAGTGTCCTTGCCTTCAGATGCATCACCTTCAGGAGGTTGCTCTTGAAAATCAAATTTAATGGGATCATTTGGCTCATTTATCTCTTCTCCATTCAGACTAAGCATTTTGACTATATGCCAAAGAAAAACTAAGTCATTAAACTTTGCATACTGCATTATTTATACCATGCTTGTTATTTGTATTTTCAAATTTATCATTTGGTGTATATCATACAAGTCGATGACTAATGGGTCTATTCCTATCAATGGTTTATATTGCGCTGTTAAACTCTAAAACATTGTGAAACACCTTAAAAATGGATCAATGCTACATAATTCTAGAAACCTTTTTGTCCCCTATTGTTTGTACATAAAAAGGTCGAATATTCGGTGTGACGACATACACTAAACGAGTGGAATACAAATAGTATTCACATATTATTACTGGTGGAAATGTTTGTTTCGCAGTCCGAGGCTGTTTCTTTACTTTTGGCAGTTCTTACTATGATCACATGGGGTACGAACAAGATTGCAGTCAAGTATTTGACCTATCCTGTTTCCCTGTATACGATCGATTTCTTTGTGTTCGTTTTTATATTCCACACCATCCTGAGTCTCACTTTGGGTGCTAAGTGGTTCCCTCCGAATAATGAGGATACGTTTGTCAATATTATTGAGATATTTAAGCAGGGAGTAGTCTTGTTTTGTCTTTGTTATGTTTAGCCCGCGATGGCTTGGTATAAGATTGGTGGACCTTTCCTTGCTGGAGCTACCACTATGGGTTTCACTTTAATTATGTTCGTTCTTGTTGACGGATACGGCCTCACGAGTGCTATCCCTCTTCTCTTTGGTTCTTCTATGCTGCTTGGAGTCATCATTACTTATTTCATGCAGAGAATTGGAAACGTATATCTTATTTTCTCTGGAGTTGGTGTGCTCTTTGTGGCTGTGGTCTTGAACACCATTTCTTCCAAGTAAGTTCTTGTTGTATGCGTCATGGTGTAGTATGAATCAGAAGTGTCAGCGAAAGAGAGAGGAAGAGGCCTCCCTGCTGGCTAATGCTGTTGATAACCAGCCTATGTCCAGTCAAACTATTTCTAAGGCTCCTGCTACCACTGAGGCTGCTCCTGCTGAAGCTGCTCCTGCTACTACTGAGGCCGCTCCTGCTCCTGCTCCTGCTCCTGCGGAAGCTGCTCCTGCTACCACTGATGTGTCTGTGCCTGTGCCCGAACAACCGAAAAAGCTGGTAGGGCGCCTTGCCTTCCCTTGATTCGCAGCTCTCCATGCGTTCATTCATCATTCTGGGTATTTCCGCGGCCGTGTGCGATGTGTTCTACGCTCCCTGCACAGCTATGGGATCCAAAGCCCCCATTCCCCTTTCTCCCTATGTAGACTCATTGGATTGGCTTCTCATGGACAGGGAATCTTCCAGGTGGTCAGTTTCGCCTCGATGATCACGGTGTTCCCCTTCGCCTAGTTTGCTTTGGTTTCTTCTCTCACACACAGCATCGTGATGCGTCATCCGCTCCAGGGACCGAAGTGCACCTTCTCTGACTATTTCCATGCTACCTGGAAGCAGAGATGGCCTGGTTTGTCTTGAACGCTCCGTTGATGTCTAGCCATTTGGTCCGGACTCCTTCTGACGCTGGGTAACTGGGGTTATGCGAGTGCTGGAAGCAAGCTCGGCTTTGCTATTGGATATGCGTTGAGCCGTGGTACGCTGCTGGTGTCCGCTCTGCTGGGTGTGTTCGTTTACAAGGAGTACAAGGGAGCTGACTGCAAGACGTGGACAGTTCAGATCGTTTCTCTGCTCCTCTTCCTCGCCTCGATTCTTATGGAGGCCATGGCTAGTGAATAAAATAATAGGTTTGATTGATCTTGTTTTTTACTCAAACAACTCACAAACTCGATCGCTTCTTGCAATCGTTACACACAGCAAACCAAGTGCTTGACTCATGTCCACAGTTCATGCAGCAGTACGTTGTCCCAACTCCTCCCATCGTGTCCACCGTCGTCCGCCACTGCACTTGATCCGTGGCTGTATTGTAATAATACAGCTTCCCGTCAGGAGTCACATACGACAGCAGCATGCCGTTCTTCTTCGAGGGCTCAAACTTGGACTGCATCAGCAAATACGAGGACTTCTGGTACTCCTCCATTCCCTCCGCGGGTACATCCCAGCACACTTCCTTCGTCGTGGGGTTGTAATAAAACTTGTTCGACGGAATGTCGCCCACTGCGCGCACCCACGCGCCCACGCGGTCCTTCGACATCGCCTTGTACACCTCCGTGCTCGCCAACTCGCGCTTATTCCAAATCTGGCAGGGGACGCAGTACAACGTCTTGTCCACCGCGCTCTTCAAAGCATCTGCGTGCATATCCATGCACTTCGTGCAGATGCAACGCCCGCATCCACGACACAACACCGCTTTCAGCGAGTCTTTGCCAGGCTTCGACGCCTTCACAGGCGACATATCGTGCGCCGTTCGAATTTGCTCGTCGAGCTCCGCGTTGAACTCGCAGTTCTGGTTGCAAATGCTGCAAATGCGGAAGCGCTTCTGCATCTCCGCGATGGCCTTCACGATCTGGTCGTACCACTCGGTAATGGGCTTGATATTCATCAAATCCTGCGGATCGCTTCGAATCAGCTCGCAGAAGGAAACGCTCTTCTCGTAGTCTTGGATGGTAATCACGTTCTCCTCGATCTCCACGATCGAATTCACTGCACATCATCGCTATTCCCCAACACTACCGAAGTAGAAATAGTCTCGAATGTAGAGCTTCCCGTTCGTCTCCTTCCCATACAGCAGAATATCGTTGAACATATAAAACTGCATTCGCTGCTCCACTTCCGAGATCGCGTAGTTCAAATTCTACGGTCAACCCGCCCATTCACCATTACATCTTTGATTTCGCGCTTCGTGGGAACGATGCACGCGAAATATCCCTGTGGGTCAGATGGAGCCAGCGAACAAACCTTCGTTATGAACTTGCGAGCCGGTTTCACGATCGGAACATTCCCCTCCACGCGCTTTTGCAGCAAGTACAGCTCGTTTTCCTTGGTCGTTTCGACGCACGAATCCAGCTTCTCGATCTCCTTGTGGAAGATCGCGTATTGCTTGTTCAGTTCCTCTAAGCAGGGATCATCATCTAGGGTGTTCTTCAGAATGTTTCGAAAAACTAAATCGATTTGGCCTGGGTGCTTTACAATTCTATCGAAATAATCAGCTAGAGAGTTTCTATATTCCGTCTTTGTCCAGCGGCGCGATTCGACCCACTTGTAAAACGGGTCATTTGAGTTAAGCTCGTTAATATAGGTAACACTTTTCTCTGCATTTTGCATGAAGAATTTATAACTAGGATCAATCCTGACAAAAACACATACAAATGAATATATTTATTATAGGAATCCCTGATAATATTGGCCACATTTAAATTCTCGACATTTTGGAAGGTTAATTCACTCTCTTCAACCAAACCGTCTATGGTTTTAAATCCAAAGCTTCGAATGATCTCCTCTGTCGCCTTTTGAATCATATCAATCCCAAGACTCAAAAACGTGTATTCCCTTTTCATTTCCTTTTCCATTGGATTCATATAAATGTCCATCATGTTCCTATTCTTAAATACCTCCTTCAACCAATACCTCAAATTCTTTAGAAATGTGTTTTCATTCGTAATGAGCTCGCGCACATTATGAATACGATCTGTCCTCTTCTTCTTCTTCTTGTCATCCATATTTATTTAAAAACTAGAAGTTCTTATAACTTAAAATGGAAGGATTCAATTTTCTGGATTTCCGGAAGTTTGGGTGTTTTCTTTATCAAACATTTCATTCTTTACGATAAATACCAGAAACAAAAGGAGAGATCCACACAAGAAGTCCGATCCACACAAATTGAAGAATCAACGCCAGAATGTTGTAAAACACTGCCAAGTACTGCATTTGTTTTCTTTTCTGGGAAATCATCTTCTTAAAGTGCTCTTTCTGCATTATCTGATCATTTCTTACAATTTCCCCGTTGATTGTAGCTGGAAGGACGATCCTGTATTTTTATTGATATATAGAGCAATCTTACTCTACTTTCTGAAATGTAAAGGAACTAGATCTCGAATATAAGAACGACTTTGTAAGGAGTATTCGAGACAGGTTGAGAATAAGCCATATGAGAAGAGCCAGAATGAAACCGACAATCGAACTGTGTACAAGCCATTCAGTGTCGCAGGCTGCTTGGTGGGAGAGACTATAGTTTGTTTTCGGGCAGCACGACGCCTACTCTTGCAGAATGACTTCGTTCGGAGGACTACACGAAATAGAACAAGAGGACAGAGCAGAGCAGTTAAAGACAGAATCTCTGAGAGGAAGAATGGGACGTGACGTATCATTTTGGATTGAAGACAGTTGCTGCAGGATATAATCTCTTCGCTGTCCAAGTATAGTTTGGTTTACGCACTTTTCAGACAATCGAGTTACATTGTGCAGGCGATCGAGTGCTTCTACGACACTGGTATACTGAACAGTCTGTTCTTGGTACGTTAGTTGAGTCGATTTACCCATGTTTACACAGTAATCACTTCGCTTCTGCTCATACCGTTCATTGCCCTATGATCAAAGAGGATCAACGCATTCAACAATTGTTATTGCATTCTCTGCCTCCATCGAGATGTAATTGGATACGAGAATGTTCAGATTGCGACTGATAAAGCTCCTTGATCGGATTGAACACATCCATGGATGTAATTCATCAGAAGTGGAATGTAGATCGCAGTGGCTATGAGGATCGAGAAAACTCTACAGTCCTATTCAAGAATGGAACGTACACAATGCAGCCAGTAATAAATAGTGTAGGAAGGAGAGCGAGAAAAAGCGAAGTGATGGAATTCCAAAAGGAGGGGGAATTTTGTTTGCTCGCTTTACCAATTTGGATTGCATGCAATTCTCCTCGAGAAACCACTTTCAGGATGGTGTGTAACAGCGAGAATATGCGGTACAGGGCATCAACAATCATAGCAGCGTGTGTTATATTGCCAAACTGTTGAAATAGTCGATCTGTATCCACATCCATCGTCTCAAAGGATTTGGGTTTCCAAGTGGAAAAGAAGGATGTGAACATATCACGAATTGTAGGAATGAATGACAAAAGAGTACTATTATTATTATTCACAGTTCTACATGGGATGAAAATAGAATCAATTACATGGATGAAGTTTGTGATGTATTCAGCACGGAATTCCACAAATCTTGGATAAATGTGGTTTGGTTCGTTTCGAATTCGCTCCATAATAGTGATGTATTAACAGAAGGAGGAGCGTAGTCATCAAAAACACTTTCTATTCTGTCTGTAAAAGCCTCCACTTTTGCAGAAACTAGCATCGCATTTTCTTGAGTGTGATATACCAACTGATTCATTGATTGTGTTAAAGACTCAAAGTGGCTTTGCAGCTTTTGTGCGATTTCCTCCGAGCTCGGTAAGGACCAACCCAATTCAATGGATGGGAAGTTGATAGAGGGAAGAGAGAGTGAAGGAAGAATTCCAAAATCGATCCCAATTTCGTCGAGTTTTTCCTTCACTGCGGCGATTCGCTGATACAAAACCTCGATTTCGGCAAAGATTCCCTTCACCATTGTGATAAATGAAGTCATATCCGCTTTAACAGATCTACAAAACAAATCAAAACCATAGAAACTACAAATATCGATTTTGCAGCTGTATGTTTGCATTAGTAAAGTCCTGTATAATCTTCTGGTATTGCTGATACATACTATCCACTAATTGACATCGACTGTCCATCGTAATGCAACTGCTCATATTCAGAATGTCAATTCCTATATTGGAGGAAATAGCAAAGAAAACGTTGTAGATAATAGGTGACATTTGTAGAAATAAGAGTAATGTTGAAAAGAAAGGGATTTCGGAAGTCGACTAGACTTGTTAGTTTCGATTGAATGTAGTTTGCGTCATAGGCAAGTCTGCACATTATGAGTCACACATATTTGAAGTACCGATTTTCGTACTGATCCAGAACATATTCATAGGCAGATGCAGTTTCCTCTTGTTGTGTTGCGACTACCTATTGAGTGAGACCAATCCTATCACATATCGAACTTGAGCAACGTTGATTTGGTCCTGAATGATATTGAATGCTTCATTCAGGGAATTCACTTCCTCACTTGAGCAATAGTCATAGTAGAGAGAAGCTCCTTGATTAGCGCTCATGACTTCAGCCATTGCCGTACTCACTTGTTGCAACCTATGAATAAAGCAATCATCAAACAATCACAATTCATTATTCTTTTCTGTCAAATTGTACAGAGATGATAATAACTGAGAATTAATAACTTCATTTTGAATAGAGAGAGCGACTTGGAGTTCATATTCTTGATTCAGGGTCGAGTTGCAGTCCTACGACTCAGAAATGTTATGGTATCCAACGTCAATTCCTTTTTGAATGCAATACTCGTAAGTACTTCGTTGGTATTGAATTTCCGAAATGTATTGCTACGATTCAAATAACACTCAAAGCCTTACAGAATACTCCACTTTGAGGTCATTTATGCTAGGAGTTAGAACAACCGTATCAACAATGAAATAGGCGGCCGATAAACTTGTAACCGTAAATAACACGGTCGACAAAGCAATCATTACAATTTTTTCTTTCGCCAAACATCCTGCTCGTTCCAACCCATTCACAGTCACAACAGGTAACTGCAGGAATTCTTGTTGACGATTTCCTGACTCGGAATCCATCCGTTTTCCAAAAAATACTCACTCCTCCGCATAGGTGTTGAAACAAACATATCACATGTCATATAAAAGGCATCCATCCAATGTACATTTGAGCTAAATTTACAAGATCCGTCGCGTCCTTAATCACATTCTCCACCTGCCCCTGCACGGACAACTCCGTGTGTCTCACCGCACTGGCATTCTTTTCCTCCTGCACCCCTCTTCGCTCCTCCTTTTTATTGATCATCCGCTCTCCATAGACGCCTCGCAGTCGGTTTTCTACCACTTTCAGAATGTTGCTGAACACGCTGCTGCCCGACACGCCATGCGGATCCGGATAGAACGTTCTCCAGTCCATTAACGGATCGTACAGCAGCGACTCCAGCACGCTGATCAGCAGATCGTGGTTCTCTCGCATGCATCGAATCGCCAATTCGCAGGTGCAGCGGAACGTGCCTTCGATTCCACTCACACCGAACACATCGATAAGATTCGACGTTAAACGGAACGGAACGCGCTACCCTTCAATCCCCATCGATTCACTCACCTCCGGGACTTTCAGAATGGTTCCCTTCTCGAAGATGCAGTCGAAATCGACGTGTGACACCGATCCATTGCACTGAACCAGAATGTTATCCTGGTGCCGATCGCCCAATCCAATCACCTGCCGTTAAGAACCCTCTCTACACTCAAGAAGGATATATATCCCGTCATGCTCCACACAGCCGTCGTCTGCGTGAACAGATCGCGCGCTTGGAGCCATTGCCGCGGATCGGGGAAGTCGAGAAGCAGCCATTCGTGCAACACTGGCTTCGAAGCGCTGAGAATTGTATTGATGTACAGCGAGAGCGCGGACTCTTGCTGCTTCTTCGCGAATAAGTCCTGCACGTGTTGGAAGTCGTTCTTCAATTGGAGAGCCAGCGAACTGCTGGAGCACCAGCCTTTGAGCTCGCGAAGCCGGTCGATTTTGCGTCGAATGGGCTCCGAGTTGGGAACCCACTCGATCAGCGCGCTGTTTTCGGAGAGACATGTGACACACTTGAATGGATAGATGGAGAAAAAGAATAGCTACGAAGGTGCAGAGCTGGAGATGCTTCCCCTCTCCTTGCGAGTCGGCAGCGAGGATCCGATTGACGATGGTGATGTACTCCATCATTCGGAGATCTTTTCGAATGTCGCCCTTCTTTTCTTGCTTGCAGAGGAAGAAGAACTTCTCGTTCCGATTGTTTACCAGGATGAGCTTTTTGGGACGTTCCTTGCTTGGAATGATTTGAATGTTGCGCGAAAGACGGCAGATGTACATCTATTCGGATCAAAGCCGAAGCGAATCTCCACATCGTCCGTCAGTTTCAGATCGTTGTTCATCGAATGAATGTACTGCTGGAGAGGCAGAATCAGCGGCTTTGATTCCAAATAGCGATTGCAATCCTACTCTCAACGCACTCATCCAATTCTACATTCACATCTTTATCGTCAATCTTCAGCGCTGTACTCAAATAGATCAGCTTCTTCGAAAACTGATATGCGTTTTCGAGATCGTTCCGCTTCGATCGTGGATAGACTCGCTCGTCCGTGATAATCTACCAACTCACAAGCCATTCTCACTCCCTCACAGACATCATGAACTCTCGCTTCGGTCCGGATTTCACGTTTAACATCGCGAGAATCTGCCACACCACCTGCTTTGGGTATTTCTGAAAGACCCCAGAGACGATTCGCGCCACCTGCACTTTCAGTTTATCGTTGGGATGGCAAGCCACGGTCAGGAGTTGCTGGAACACGATATACCATTGGTAGGGCTTGATCGATTCGATCTCGGGGACCACGGCCAACAAGTCCTCGCTGAGCGATTGCATGGCTTTGAACCAGAGCGTGGTGAGACGGATGATGGAGTGATAGAGGAACCGATCGGACGTCTGCAGACAGAGACAGTAGTGCCGGACCGCTTCTTGAAGATCGAACGACTCTCTATCGATGAGCCAATCCAATGGGACGCACTTGGCCATCTGCGAAGTCACCATACTGTCATGCAGTCTCGCCCAATGATAGTGGACCTCGCTCTGATCGTCGGTCACTCGCAGCAGCTTTTTATACTCGCTATTCTCGCAACAACGCCGTCATCCATACTCCATAATCGAAACGTCGTAAGGCTCGACTCTCCGCTTGATCTGACAGTACAGCTTCAGACAGTCGCCGTTGCTCTCTTGGGCGTGCAGCATGTTCATCGCGTTGGTCGTGAAGCCCTGCAGATCGTACAACCGCGCGCGAATCACCGACGTGCATGCTCCAGTATTCTCTGCAGCGCACAAAGCGGTCCACGCAGCTGAAGTGATTTGATGATCCAAAGCCAGAGAAGCCGCCTAGAATAATAAAGAAGATCGGTGCATTGGAGTACTTGAAGCCACAAATTCCCGATCTGCGCTTGCTGTGTTTGCTGTGTTTGCTGTGTTTGGAGAGTCAGCGTTTCTCCTGTGTGCTGGGTCTCTTGGGTATTTGCGAGAAGAACAGCACGACGAACCGCCAGGAGAAGATCGCGAGACGAGAACTGCCGACTTGTATTCTTCAATCGGCGATTAAAGAGCTCTTCCTATGCATCCAATCCGCCACGCATTCCTACTTCGCATCCTGAATGACTGCTAGAGAACGCAATATCCTGTATAATATGCAGATGGAGCAGCGAATCGTACGCCATCTGAATCGTGCTCATCGGAGTCGATGCTAATGTTCGCACCACCGAAAAGCGACTTCGATCAATGCAAGCCTGCAAATCCTGATGCCGATCTTCCTTCACAGCCAGCAGCATTTTCCCCAGATAATAGCTGAATCCATACAATCCCTCGTCTTCTTGACGATCACTAAACAGCCATTTCTCGCTGCTCCCCGTCTTCTCATGTCGATTTCGCCACAACCATTCGAACTCCTCCAGGTTTCGAAGCAGTCCGTTCCAGTCGTTTTCTCTCCAGCACGCTTCGATTTTCCAATACAAAAGCTGGGAATTCTGAGAGAGCGAATACGATGAGGGGGCGGACATTAAGAGCGCTGCGTGCCAATTCCCTCCCGCTTGCAGGCAGCGATAATATCCGCTCGCTGCTTCCTCGCGCATTTCTGTTTCAGAGGACGACAGCTGCGAAGCGTAGTACTGCTGAGCTGCGATTTGCCACTGCGATTTCATCTCGAGATCGCGAGCTTGGTGGAAAATCGATCGCTCGTTCTGCGCTCGTTCGAGTAGAGTTTCGTAGCCGCGCGCCATATCTTGATTCTGCAGTTTGTAATAGAGAACGAATAGCTCATCGAGGAGATTGGCGTCCAAATCACCAATCACGGACGTGATGTGCTTCTGCGCTGTCGAAGTCGTTAGCTCATGCGTCGATCGAATCAGCGTTTCCAACTCTCTACTCCCTCAATGCACTCCTCTCCCTCCTACTTGATCGCTCGTTCATACTGACCGAGTTGTTTTGCCACGCGAATAATCTGACGACGATCGATCATTGCGAGGAACTGGTTCAGAATCTTCCCCTTCGACTTCCATGAAACATTCTCCGCTGTCTTTCCTCTGTATTCGTATGTCATTGCCCAGGACTGAAGCGTGTCCAGTCCCGCTAGCAAATCACTACAGCAGTGCTGCATCTCGTTGTCACTCGAAGCATTGCAATGATCGAGAATGGAGTTGATGTAGTCTGCGAGTTTGGAGAAAAACGGATTGGATGGAGGTTGCTGTTGTTGTTGTTCTAAGTGCGGTGTCGTGGATGAAATGCTTTCCGTTGTGCTGGCTTCTCCCTTTCCATAAAAATAGAAGAGAGCAAAGGACAGAGCGTGAACGAAGAGATAGCTCACTTTGTCGGAACACTCTGGAGAAAGGAGAGAGCGAAACAGAAAGATAACTCGACCCTCCAGCGGCTTGGCATTCTCACTATCGATTTCTCCAGTGGATCCATTTCGCTTCAGAGTCGATTCCAGCGTCAGATTCGCTAGAGTGCACGTCGAAAAGCGGGATTGTGGATACTCTTCTTTATCCTTCAAGATACACAGCGAAATCAATCGATCCGTGAATCGAGTAATCCACTTCGCATAGTTCTTACAGGGCAGTTTATCAAACCCACTACTATCACCAAGAGCTTCTTTTCGACTTGAATACTCCGTCTTCCAATACTGACTGATCACGTTCAAATCATCACTCGAAAAAAGCTCGATTAGATAAGAAGGAAGCGAAGAGAGATCGGTCAGCGGCTGCTTCGCCAGGTCCTCTCGGATCTTCTCGATCTTCGCATTCATTGCGTCATCGTTCGACAGTTTCTCTGTGCTTTTTGTGACTTGAATGTGGATAAACCGAAGCAAATGCTGCACCGTCACAGCGATTCGATTGTGAATCTTCCGATCCGGAAGTCCTTTCAAATCCTTCACAAAGTACCGCTTGATCATATAGCGCGCCAAGTCGAAATCCGTCAGCAACGGCTGAATCGTCGTGTCCATCACTTTCTGCTCAAATCGTTCGGGGGCAATCGCGCCCAGCAATCCAATCACTTCTCCTATAAGGAGCTGTCCGTGTTTATTATCACACTCCACAAGCACCGAGCAGAGTCGAATGCAAAACAAAAAGAAGCGCTGGAGAATGTCCGCAGTGTCAGATCGAGTCGAAACCCACTGCTGGAACGCCTTCTGGGATGTTTGGAGGATGCGAACGATGAAGCCGAGTGCGGGAATCACTTCGAGAGACCGTTCTGGAATGTTCGATGTGATCTGCAAGATTCTGAGAATGTCTTCGTCGGTTCTGGAAAAGGAAGGCGTCGATAAACCGAAGATTTCTGCAAGCGAGCGATCGCCGAATTGAAGAAGCAGCAAATAAGGACGCGTAGCGAATAATTCAGTGAACTGCTTGGGATAGCGCTTCGAAATCTTGCGAAATGTGTCAGCGAGACAGGACGTTGTGTAGTACAAATACGAGGCTTCGTCGATGTTTGTTAGATCATACCCGCTTGATTGAAAACTGAACAGCAGATCGTGGTGTGTATCAAATGATCGCACTTGGCACGAGCAGCACATATCAAACGTTTTCTCTCCAGAAACCGCCTTCTCTTCTTCCGTCTTCCCGTACACCGATAAGCCTACACTCTGCGATTCTGCGCTCTGCGAGAAATAACTGTCGATCGTTCGACCTCGCTGCTTTGCGTTCTTCTCTTGCTCCTTGCTCACGGCCTCGCGTTTCATTTCCTTGAGGTTGCTGGAATAGAAGCACATTCGGTGTTGCTTTCTCCGTCTCAGCCATTTACGGACCTGCTCAAACGAAGCGGCCGCACAGACCAGAATCTCTGAAATGTTTCGAAACAGCATACTCTCCGAAAGAGTGTCAAGGAACGAATCGAGGAGAATAAAAGCGAAGAGCTGCATTTCGGGCTTCTGGAGAATGCTCTTAATGAACGATAAAACGCCCCAGAGAAAGTTGTCCGGGAGAGTGATCGACGGGTTTTGATTGACTTCTTGGAAACTGCGGAGAGCCGATCGCAGCGCGAGAATCGCTCGCTTCAATTCGAGATCGTTGAAGCTGAGAGCTTGGTTGATTTGAAAGTTGAAGTAGAAGAAGGACTTTTTGAACAGTTCGATTCGCGAATGAACGCCGTCCGATTCATACAATCTACAATAAAAACCGAAAATGATGGGGACTCGTAGAGCGACTTCAACGCAGCTTCGCTCATTTGTTTCTCATGGGGAATCAGATCTGTGCAGTCATACAGCAGAGGCCATAAAATCTGATGTCCCTCCTGCTGAATCAATTGAATGATGCTCAATCGCGACGATTCTGGCAACTGAATCGATCCCGTTTTGATCTTTTCATCATCAAACGATCCTTGGAGAAAGAATAGAAGAGTCCACGCTTGGGTTGACTCCTGGCCCAAATGCTTCAGTAGATACACGAGGATGTTGTAAATGCACACATCGCCTTTGAGCAATGAGTTAATCGTGGAAGAAACAGAATCGAGATGATTGATCGCTCGCGAGAGATTCACAATCGACGGAATATCGCTCAGATTGATGTACACTGGAAGCACAAAACTCGATACATTGCTGTACCACTCCGATGTCGTGAGCGACGAATTGAAAAGACTCGTTACCACGCGTTGCTGAAATTGCTCGTCGGTGGCAAGAAGCGCTTTGACCATATCAGCAACAATGCACTCTGGAAGAATCACCCAGAGAGGCTTTCTGTGGATAATCATCGCGTAATGAACAAGTCTCTCCAAATGACTCAACACGTAGTAATAAATCGGGTTCCACGAATTGGAAATCATCCAGCGAAATAGCTGCATGACTAGGAGCGAAAGACATGACAAAGCTCGCGGATACATCATGAGCGGAATGCACACGCCTCCAATGACCGACAGAATGCCGTGCAGAGCGGCTCCATACCCCTTGGACCAATAGCCATATTCCTCCTTGAACTGCTTGTCGTGGAAGTACTTTTCGATCGAGGAAACGATCACAATGGAAGGTTTGAAGTCCGTGAATTGGATCATGGCATTGGACAAATCTTCCGACAGATTCACACTCAGCATGTTCAGGAGAAGAAATGAATGCACGCACATCAGAACCGACGTTGAATGGAAATTACAGAGCGAAACGCACGAGAAAACGAGGCGAAGAACGTCTCGCAGTTGACTCAGATTCAAATACACCCAGCAGTTCTGGACCTTCTGCTCGATTTCGTTTTGGTCTTGTGTGGTTTGGAATCCATGGAGTAGCGAGTTTCCATTCTGGTTAATCACGAACGAAATGAAGGAAATGGAATGGCTCACCAGCGAGGAAATCGTTTCTGTATAGAGAGCAAAGACGGAAAGGACTGAATTGAGTCCTGCCGAATCTTTAGATTCAAGAAAGCGATAGATTGATGAGTGGAGAATGGAGAATAAGGTGAAGAACAATTCATTGAAATCGATGGACGTGTTCTCGGAGTGACTGAATTGATTGTTGGGATAATCGCCATAAGCGGAATGAATGGACTGATGCAGACACAGAAAGCAGGATGCGTGGTTTATGAATTTGGAGAGAGAGCAGGAGAAATAAGAGAGGGAGCGCAAGAGCTGCTCGAGACTGTGCATCTGGTTGTGTTCGATCGACTCCGAAATTAAGAGAGACAGAAACAGGTGGAATTGCGAGAAGGATTTGACGCGATGGAGCATGGAATGCAGAGCCAAACTCACAAAGCAATATCCACTACACCTCAAAACGGGTCGACAAACTCACTCAACGGAACATTTGTTGTGAAGCGAAATGAACGCGCTAGCCAATGTCTTCACCAACGCGTCTTCCATCTGTTGGTTCTCATCGCTACGCGTCAATCCAAGCCAACAGCCAAACAAAAGAGAAGGCAATAAAGCAGTCAACACCAACATCAGATCGCTCAGAGAGAACGAAGATAACGAAAGCTCGGTTGAAGAGACTCGAAGACTCGACGAAGGAGGGAATGTGAGGAGTCGAAGACTGTTGCTGCTCCCATCAAAGAACACCGTGCACAAATCCGATTTTCGCTCTGCAGAATCCGACAGTGGAGTGTTGAGACTCTGCAGAATGTATTGCATCAATCGCCTCCGCATCTCCTTTTCGTTTTCCAACAGCTGCGTCAGGCAGACTTCCAAACAAACGACCAAGTGAGGCAGCGTTAAAGGAAGCGAGGAAGCGATGGGAGACGTGGAGGGCTTGAGAATCGAGTGAGGCGGCAGAATCACTCTGGAGAAATGCTGAATGAGCGCAGATCGGAGCGATTCAAGCAGCGAAATATCGGTCGAGGGAAAGAACGGTTGCGATTTGTGATTGAGATGGATTACGAGCGAGTTCATCACCTTCAACAGAAAGAAGAACACCCAAATCGAGCTGTTTTCTGGAATCGCAATGGCGTCATCTCCGCTCACGCCGTCCAATCGAACTCGCTTCTCCGTCGTCTCATCGAGACAGTGAAACACAGACAGCAGTGTGCGAAGCTGCGAGGTGTCCAAGAGAATCAGCTGCCCAGCGAGCGGCGAAATGGCCTCCACACATCGAATGCTCGCAGCCTCGCCGAGCGCTGAAAGCTCCGCGATCCGATGATACAAAAACGACAGAATGATCGTGGCGGAAACCAACTGATGACTGAGGAGGAAGAGCAGAAGGCGCGCTGCGGGGGCGAGAAGCGATGGATGGGAAGCGAAGGGGAGATTCACGAGGAGATCGGGAAGCACTTGATAGATGTAGTCGGCGGGATATCTGAAAACAACAACAAGGCAAGGAGAGAATACAAGACAGATTGGTGCGAGAGATCCTCCAGAAGAACAAGAAGCTGGCTGAGAAAGGATTCGAAGATCGAGTCTTCGATCAGCGAAATTGCAGAGCTGCCGTTTTCCCGATTGCCGCCCAGTAAATGCTGCGAAATCGAGAGAATCACGCACTGAGCGAAGTAGAGCGATGAGATCTTGCTCGCCTGCAGCGGCATTAGAATCGTCACCAACTAGAAATGATTCTGGAAAGCGGATGGGACGTGAATGCTGGAGTTGATCATTCGATAATCGCGTAGCAAATCACTGCAGAGCACGTTGAACGTTGTGATCGATTGCGTGAAGGGAGAACTCGATTTGCATTCCTGGAGAATGTAGCCGATGAGGTCCAGCGCGTTTGTGAGGAGCGCGTAGCGCGTGTTTCCATCGCTGCAATCCAAAACCACACAGAATTCTTTTGATGTATAACTTGAATCTAGAAGTCAATTCCAAACATGGAGAGTTAAAAAATACAAGTTTCGCTCTGTGAATTGATTCTAGAATAAGAGTCACAGATGTGGCGTGAAACATCCAAAAAGGAATGAAGAAGTGCATTTGGAACGAATTCGTTTCGAGAATAGTGCTGGCAAAAGCAGAACAAATCCTACTGTAAACACAAGTGCAACAATAAAACCTCTATTAGCTGGCGGCAATCAAATAGGACGAGTGACAAAATTCGAGGATCATCTCCTGCTAACAAACGACATAAACATTTTCGTGCTGTTGAGTTCATCTCAGATGTAAATGACTCTGTGTACTGGTGAAAGGATAAACCATAGAGCAGTTGGACCAAAATGTCAACGTACTATGGATTATACGCATAACAAACGAATACCGGAATACTAGACCCTCCGAAGTACTCAACGATACTAATATCGTTTAATCCTGTTGACTTACAATACTCCAACAGCTGAATCATGTTTTGCTTGTACAGATTGATTTGGTTTTCGTCAGCATTCAGAGTAGGATGATTCTCTCCCTCCTTTTTCACCATTCCGAACAAAGACATCAGATATTCAATTTGCTTCGTTGTCGCGTCATCACTCATCGCTGCTGGTTAAAATGCTTTGTTCAGGCTATGAGTAAGAAAGAATGATTACTTCCCGCCAACATTTAATTCTGGAATTCCAATTTTGCCCCAATCTCTCAAGGTTATTTTTCATTGAAATGCCCTCTACGTTTAAATTTACGCCACTCTATGGAGCGGAAAATGATGGGCCTGTATGTTCCATACTGCAAATCGATTCCGTATCTCTTTTGGAATGGATGACGACTTTTAGATCCATATCATGTTAGACTGTGGGTGGGACGAGCGGCTCGAAACGGATATGTTATCTCCTATCAAAGACTACATTCCTTTACTCAATGCCGTTCTTATCTCACACGCCGACTTTCTTCACTTAGGTGCATTGCCTTATGTATATTCCAGATGGGATTGTAATGTCCCTATTTTTATCAACAAAGACGCGTTTCTAGTCCATATTGATTGTTCTAACACGTAGAGATCAGCTCGCTCGATTTTGTATGGAAGATGTAATGGAAAACCGACTGCTTGGCGAAGAAGACTGCATTTTCGGCAAAGATGATATAAGCAAAGTGTGTGAATGCTTTCGAACCGTGGTGTACAACCAACAGGAACGCATTATGTCGGAGACAGGAGATGTAGTGTACATCAACGCGTAGCTTCTGTTTTGCGCCCTGATTCCTAGTCGAGAAGCAGGCCACATGATCGGTGGTTCGATTTGGGATATCATAACCGAAACGGACCATCTCGTCTACTCCATGAACATCAATCCCCAGCCAGACAACCATCTCCGCGGAGCGAGTAGCGATGTGTCCGGAAATATCTCCCTGCTCATCACAGACGCCTGTGAGCACATGACAGAGAAGAGTCGCTACAACTCTCAGCTCGAGAAGGCGAAATTCGGTCACTTCAGCTATTTGATCACAGACACACTGCGCGATAAACACGGAAGCGTGCTGATTCCTGTGGATTCGGTGGGCCGTTGTCTGGAAGTGATCCTTCTGCTCGAGCGTGTGTGGAAGGAGAGCAACCTGGAGAACTACAAAGTGCTGTTTCTGAGCTCGTAGCCTTCACGAATGGATTTTAAAATAGTCGGAGTTCGCAGACGGTCAACTACATTCAGGGCATCGCTTCCAATCTAAACGAGCGAATCCTCCAGCAGAGCGCCGAAGCAGAGCGCAAAGCCTTCGATCTCCAATTCGTCACGTGCGTCTCGATCGTAGAGAACGTGCTGGAAAGCCAGGCTTCGAAAGTCGTCATAGCCACGCTCCCTGGACTCGAAACTTCCTTCGCGCAGACGCTTCTCAAAAAATGGTGCACACGCTCCGAGAATTTGCTGCTGTTCGTGTGCTCGCCGCCCCCCGACACGCTGGGTTATCGCATTCTGAACAGTCCCGAGGAGAGCACGTTCGAGTTTATCGTGAGAGAGAAGCGCGGAATCGATCGTAGAACCGACAGCGAATCCCGCTGACAGGCGAAGCATTGTCGAAGAAACTGGAGGAGCGAGATCGAGAACAGCGAGAGAAGGAGGGTGCGAATGGGAAGGCGACGTGAGAAATAGAGAAACGGAGAAGAGAGGAGCAGGAAATGAAGCAACGATCGGGAATGGCGGAAGAAGAAAAAGAACCGAAGGTGCAATCGAAGCAGAATATGTTTCAGAACTTGCTGTATCGTCAAACGAAGTTGTTGAGAGTTTTTAGATTCGATCGAATCGACGACGACGTGGAAATCGACGATTTCGGCATCGTAACCAAAGAATACGTTCCCGTCCTCGAACAAAACATCAAAGACGACGAATCCGATATGGAAGAAGAGCTCTCCGACTATGTTTCTCCTTTTCTCTCTCTCCTCTCACGTCCAGGAAGAAGAGAAGAACTACTACACCTACAAGATCTCCCAGGACGAGCTCTCCATCGCCATCCGCCGCGAATTCATCGACTTCAACGGACTCACCGACTATCCCTCGCTTCACAACATCATCAAGCGATTGAAGCCCAGCGACGTCATTTGCTGGCACGGATCCCCCGCACAACGAGACTTCCTTCGGTCCCATCTGCAGCAGGACGACAGCTATGCTGTCATGCTCGCCAATAACGGGGAAACCGTGGAAATCCAGAGTCATAACAGCATCGTCGATATGCAGCTCGATGATTCGCTTTTGGCTTCGCTTTCGCGGCAAAAAATCGGCGAATACGAAATTGCGTTTCTCTGTTTCCACTTTTTGAGCGTAGTCGAGTGTGTGGAATCGTGGAAGAAATCGAGGAACCCCAGCAGGAGCGATATAAACACAAATTAATCGCGGGAACGGAGGGTAGCGGAGAGAATGAGATGCGATGTAGAGTTGGGAATTGCGCCGATCGAAGTGCGGCGAGACATGTTGGTTCTGCGAAAAGTGCATGAACTGCTGCTGAAAGATACGAAAATGGATGTGCGCTGGGAGAATTTCTGCATTCGAGATGACACAGGGAATGTGATGATCCGAAGTGAGAAAGATATGCTGGTGGTGGAAGGAAACGTGTCTCCAGAGTTTGATATGGTTCAAAAGTTGCTGAGTGAGCAGTTTATCATTGTTTTTTCTGTTTGTTGAAATTCGATCGAATGGAGGAGGGGCCGTTTTGTTTTGAGTGGTAATTATGTATAAGAGTGAGGCGTAGAATGGAAAAGAAGCCAGCATTGTTGGAATATATGAGGCGGCGTTATCGAGATAAAATAATTGACGATTTCAGCAAAGTAATTGATAGACATGGAGGTTTTAAAGGAAACTCTAAAACAGCTCAATATTGTGAAAGACTTGGTACACTTGATGGAATTAAGGCATTCATGAATCGGTGGTTTTTGATACAGAAACTACATGGAGTTTTAATAGTTTTCAGCGTTTAGTATAGGAAAACGAGCAGGACCCTATTATCCCTTCGAAGCCACAAGATGATAAATGGTTATTGAGAGAATTAGAGGAAGGAGGCTTTGATAAGGAAGAATCACTCGAGCTACAGGAAGAGTTGAAAGAAATATGTAAAATGAATTTTGATGCTTTTATTAAAGAAGCTGAAAAAGAATCGGATAACAACGAAAAGATTGGCATTTCTGTTAGCAAAGAAGGATTTTATTTCACATTCGCGAATAAGGAATTTGAAAAGAATTTAAAAATAAGGGGGGATTCTCTAAAAGGTCTTTATGACATGTACAAAGAGAAAGATGTAAGCAAGGACTATTACCATAACGAGAACTTTCTTCGCTCTGTGTATCTGCTTCTCTTTCGGTAATTTTCTCTTTATTCTCTCATCTGTAGGTATGATACTACGGACGGTGATGCTTCAGGGAATCAGATGGCTCTTCCCCACGGAGTATTTGATTATTTACAATCAGAATACGGATTGGAATGCGAATGTTTCGCCAGTCCTCTCAATCGATACGCGAAGATCCAGAACTATTGTAGTCAATTCAAAGACACAGACGAATCCTTCGGTTCTTTGGGGAGTTTCTTTGAATTTTGGCCGGAAGAAGGGGCGTTCGAGTGCAATCCTCCCTTCGTGGAGGAGTGTATGATTCAAAACATCCAGCATGTCTTGCAATGTCTGAAGAAGGCCGAGGAAGCCAAGAAGTCGCTCATGTTTTTTATCATTGTTCCAGCGTGGAAAGATGATTGTGAGTCGTATCGGTTAACAACTGAAAATGACTACAAAGTATTGGAAATCGAGATGAAGAAATATGAGTACTTTTATAGGAATGGAATGGCACACCAAAAGGATTATACTGTGATGGATGTGCGGAGTGATTCGTTAATGCTGGTCTTGCAATCCTCCGAAGCGAAAAAGGAGCATGAGATCGATGGTGAGAAATTTGAAAAGGAAATTCGAAGCAAATGGGGAATAGAGAGTGAAGAATATATGAAAGGAAAGAGAGAAAGTAATCCGAATCGTAAAAGACAAAGACAAAGACAAAGACAAAATGGATATGAAAAGGACAATTATCATGAGCGACAAAGACAAAGTGATTATTATCGTAAGCGATCAAGACAGAATGAATATGAAAGAGACAATTATCGTAGTCATAAGCGGTCAGGACAAGATGAAAATCATGAAGATAATGGATCGAAGCGATTAGAATATAGTGGACATCACTATAGTAAATCTGTTGAGGAAGGACACAGTCATTGAGAGCTTGATTATGTTAGTAAGGAGTTAATATAGCAATTCTATTGTTTCTTAGAATATACCAAACGAACGAATAGGCTTCCTATTTTCGAACAAACACACACAATACATAAATATATATTATTTTATATTCATATATATATAGAAATGCCACAACTGCAATCACTCTAGTTTTTCTGCGTTGATCTACTTTGCGAACACACTCACATCCATACTTGGTTACCTAGACGAATTAGATTTGGAATGTAATCTATCAAGCGATTCAATCCCTCCTTTATCTTTTCAAATAGCGCAGTAATCACACGGTTCAGCGTATTATCAATCTTATTTGCGTTCTTCTGCTAATAATCATCTATAAATCGCAAATACATCGAGAATCGGATTGAGAATCACTGTTGTGATGAAATCAGTTCCCTACGACGTTTTATACTCAACGCAAGACAAACCTGTGAAGATGGCATCCAAATCCAAAGTACCAATAATAGTTTTAACAAGTGATAGAACCAGAAACTGCGTTTAAGGCAATCACTACCAAATACCTGTGTAAAAAATAGTCTAGCACAACAAAGAAACATTCAAAAATGGATAATACCATCCTACAACTAAACAAGGATCCAGGGCATTTACCAATATGCGATCCACCGATTCTTGCTAGCCTCGTCATTTTTTACAATAGCATCATATGAGGAATAGCAGGGAAGCACATAGGCAGACAACGCACTACAAATCACTGCACTCTAACACCTAGACTATGGTATTTTGTACAAGTTGTAAAATTGGAACATTCTCTGTGAACAATCAACAAGTGTGTATTTTGGTAACGTTGGAAAGTGAATAAATCCTTTTCTGTATGTCATTTTCAACTCTCTTCCTTCTCTGAATTCAATCATACATTTTGGATCGCTTTTGAAATAATCAATGGTTCCACTTGAACGTACTGATGATTTTCTCTGTATGACTTTTGCGGACTCGGCGATAGACATTGAGTCTCCCTGCAATCGGCGAGTTCTTCGTAGAGATACATATTTGTCTATTATGCAAATTGATTGGCGCACGATTCGCAAAGTGATGTCATAGTCTTCACCTCGAACGTAATGTATCCGTACTCATTATTCTATTCGCATTATGCCTCTTGTGCAGCAAAACATCTATTGTGAGACCCCTCGTCTGTTTGAAAGAAAACAGTCACAAACATATTATGGTATCTGCCTTCTTACCGTGATAGTTATCATGTAGAATCCAAATACTATGAATTACAAAAGATACTGCGAAGAACACTACGTATTCTGTTGGTAGATGGTCGTTTAATCGAAGGAAGATTGCAGGTAGAGACTCGATTTCTTGATAACCCACAGTGTTTTGACTCGGCACTGAATCTCATCTTTGTGAATGCCTACGAAATCATCTCCGGTACTCCTTTCTATTCTCTTTTCGAATCCGTAGACAGCCATCTCGTCCATCCTATCGGTCGCCTGATCGTTCCGGCCTCGGAGGTGCGCCAATTCCAAGTGAGCAACTGAACGTGGAGTGAAGAGCGTGCAGCACGCACCCAACACCGAACAGCTTTCATTCATCCCCTATACAATCAACTATACTGATAATTCTTCTGTATCATGAGAGTCCTTTAGAGGTTAGAGGCTCTGTTTGTTCAACAAACACTCCACAAATCCTTCACCTTCATCGTCTCCGTGTCGAATCCGGGCATCGGGAACGAGGTGGCGAACTCCGCGACCTCATGCGCCAGCACCGGGATGTCCTTGTTGTTGGGCAGCGCGGCCACGAAGTCCTTGAGCATCTTTCCCGAGCTCTTCTGCACGTCCAGGCAGATCTTCACCACGCGGTCCAGGAACTCCGCGACCTTCTCGAAGTCCGCCTCCTTCAGTCCTCGCGTCGTCAGCGCGGGGGTTCCGATGCGCACGCCGCCGGGCGACTGCGCCGAGCGATCTCCGTGCACGGTGTTCTTGTTCAGCGAGATGTTCACCAGGTCGCACACCTTCTCGATCTTCGAGCCCGTCAGGCCCAGCGGACGCACGTCCCACAGCACCAGATGGTTGTCCGTGCCGTCCGTGCACAGCTTGTACCCCTTCGCCATCAGCGCCTGCGCCAGCGCCTTCGCGTTCTTCTTGATCTGCACGCAGTACTCCTTGAACGCCGGCGTGGCCACCTCGCGCAGCTGCGTGGCGATGGCCGCGATCTGGTGGTCGTGCGGACCGCCCTGCAGGCCAGGGAACACCGCGTCGTTGATCTTCTTCTCGAAGTCGCGCTCGTCCTTGCGGAAGAAGATCATACCGGCGCGCGGACCACGCAGCGACTTGTGCGTGGTGGTCGTCACGATGTCGCAGTACTCGAACGGATTCGCCACTTCGCCCGTCGCCACCAGGCCGCTGATGTGCGCCATGTCCATCATCAGGATCGCGCCGCAGCTGTCCGCGATCTTGCGGAAGCGCGCGTAGTCCAGATCGCGCGGGTAGGCAGAGAAACCCGCGATGATCAGCTCGGGCTTGTACACGTTCGCCGATTTCTCCAGCTCGTCGTAATCGATGAGACCAGTCTCGCTATCCACGTGGTAGGGAAGCGTCTCGAAGAAGATCGAGGAGCCAGAAAGGGCCTTGCGCACTCCCGTCTTGGGATTGAAGGTGTAGTAACCGTGCGTCAGATGACCACCCGAAGGAAGATCCAAGCCCATAATTCGGCTGTGGGGCTTCAGCAGACCCGTGTACACAGCCAAGTTCGCGGGAGAACCGGAATAGGGCTGGACATTCACACCCCACTTTTCAGGGTCCAAATGATAAGCGGCCAAGGCACGCTTCTGGCAGAGCTGCTCGATTTCATCGATGAACTCGTTGCCTCCGTAATAACGGTGACCCGGATATCCCTCCGAGTATTTGTTTGTAAGACACGATCCCAAGCACTCCATGACCGCTCTCGAAGTAAAGTTCTACACATCAACCGCCAGCACTCAAAGTCACCTCCGAAGCAATCATTTCCAGCGACTTCCACTGGCGGTTCTTCTCTCTCTCAATCATATCGGCAAGTTCGGGATCCACAACTTCCAAAGGTTCTCTTCCAGGCTACACCATAAGCCCTCGCTGGTTCCTCCTCTCCCTACCTGCATTCTAAAAAAACAATTCGATCTAAAAAAAGATTGGATTTCCGCCCAAACGATCAGCAGCTCTTTTCGAATTCTTCGATTTCTTCGATTTCTCCTTTTCTCCAACAAACAAACCATGATGATTATCGACCTTGAAACCGATCAGGCCTCAGCCCGTCGCTTCTCCCATCGTCGTCCCTTTACAGCTCCTTCGCCTCCTCCGCGGGCGCGGCCTCCTTGGGCTGGTTGGGCTTCCAGGCGGGCAGCGGCTGCTCCTTGGGCTCGTGCACCACGATGATATCGGGCAGAGCCTTCTTCGGGCCCAGACGACCCTCCGGATCCGTCGGCTTCATGATGCGCACCTTCACGCCCAGCATTCCCTGCTTCACCAGCACGTGGCGAGTCGCCTCGTCCACGAACTCCTTGCAGGCGTTACCGGTCTTGATCATGTAGCCCTCCTTGAACTTCATCGCGTTCGCACGCTGCTGGCGCAGCTTTCCCGACACGATGACCTCGCAGCCCTTCGCTCCGGCCTCCAGAGCGCTGCGGATCACAGCGTAAGCGGCACGGCGCACAGGCAGACCGGCGAGCAATCTGTACTTCAGGGCCTCCGCCTGAGTCTGGGCGCACAGGCTGCGCTCAGCCACACGCTCGGCGTACAGAACAACGTTGTTCTCGTTGAAGCCGAATCTAGGGAATTAGCTTGCTTTCTCACAAAACGCAAACCTCTTCTGGACCAGAGCAGTCAGCTCGTTGATGCGGCGAGAGTTCTCACCAATAATCTCCTGAGGTCTGGGAGCACGAATAATGATCTCAGTCTTCATGGTAGACTTGCGGATGCTCACTCCGGAGTAACCAACTTCAGAAAGCTCGCGGTTCAGGAGCTGAAACGTCACTTCCTAGCCAAAACACCTCCTACCTCGTCGAGCTCGGCGTAGAACACTCCATCGGCCACACACTGATGCTTCTTGCTAATTCTTTGAGAGGACATTTCCAAGGACTAATAATCAAAGATTTCTGGTTCAAGTGGAGAGGTGAATTCAAGCGTACAGTCATCTCCCTTTCTCACTATTATCATCAAATACCTGGACAAATGGGAGTTTCATGAGTTGTCAAGAATGCTATTTCGCCATTTCTATTCACTTTCAAAGAGTGTGGAGTGTGGAATAGAGGTGTAAAACAAATAGTGACGGTAATCTACAAATATACAGGAACTAGAGGGAAGAATGACGTTCTGACTCTTCTGTTAGAATTGATGGCTCTGAACAAGGAACACTGCATGGTTGGCTCGGCTGACTTGGTGGAAGGGGACTGGCACTGCTTTTGACAGAGGGAGTCGATCGCTCACTGTCGTGTAGACCCATCACATTCTAGAAATTATGTGGAAAAACGAGGTTTCGAACCAGATAGTGTAACTGCAACTCGTCACTGTCCCGAGCGATGCTGTTCATCGTTTTTCTCATTCTATGCATTCAATTTGAATCCAATAGCGACTTTTGAGACTTCAACAACTGCTTTTCCTTTAAACTATTGAGCCTTTTAACCATTTCCAGACGGAGATAATAATTAAATAGTGTAGAACTGAAAAGGGTGATGGTTCGGCCAAGGTCGTCTAGAATCCTCATTCTTTCCTTCTTTTTTGTTTACCTTTCTCTGACAACACAACAGGCTGCTTTGGAGCCTTTTTCGACCTGCGCGACATGTTTTATAATGGTTACAAGCAAGTGTATAACGTGTGTTAGAGAGGATTCTTGGGAAATAGTGAAATAATTTTGGAATACCCTGTAAGTTCAAGGATGTGTTGCTAGATGTATGAGGTAAATACAGCTCAGGCTGGTGCTATAGAATCAAGGAATCAGTGTTGTGCCTGTTCGATCTTATCAATGCATACTACGATCTTTTCGTTGGACTCTTCCCAGCTTCCGGATTCAGGTGAACACATATCCAACAAACACCAAGCAAACGCACACCAAATCCCTCCCTCTTATCCAGAACGCCTCAAGATCTGATAATTCACAGACTCGATCACCCATTTCACCAAATCAAGCGCCTTCAAGTATTCGCTCTCCACATTCTCAAAACACTTCTTCAAATCCTCCAGTTTCTCCACTGTAACGGCCTCTCTTCGTGCTCGACTATTGCGAATCTGCTTCAACTCATCCTTCGCAGACACGAACTTCGCTTCCTGTTCTTCCAGCGCTTGCTGGTAAACTCGCAACGCCTCCACCCAGCGCGCATACCATCGACCGTTCTTCCCTTTGCTCGTCTGCAGCCGCTCCCAGTTGATCTTTCGACCGAAGCACGTCGTTTCGCCGATGAGTTCCCGCAGCGTTTTGCCCAAAAACGGCTTTCCTTGCTCGAACGCCAGACTTCCAGCCGCTTCCTTATCCTCGAATTCGAAGGAAATGCGTGTCAACTCGTTCAGCAGCGAGCCGATCTCGAAGAATATCTTCTCCTTCGCATGAATCGCATCGACCGTCTTCACAAACGCAGCTCCTACACTCTCATCCCCTTCCCTTTCGCCCTACGATCTCTCGAATCCATAATAGAAAGATGCGTTTCGACCTCCATCGCGTTTTCTCTCATGCAAATCTCCACATCGCTCTCCTTCGTCGAGAACGATTCCCAATCCACCGAATCCTCGCTGAACACCAGCGTCCCCAGCACCGATTTGTCCAACTTCACGCTCTTCTGCTCCAGCAAATGCGCCAACGTCGCCGCTCCCAGCGCGACCGGCTCGTCCATGTTGAGGGTGTGCATCAAATCCGCCTGGTTCCACCCCAGCGACTGCACCGCGCGTTTCAGTTCCTGCTGGAGACAGCACGTTCGCATCGCGCCGCCAGAGGGAAGCACCTTCACCAGCGGCGTGGAATCGTGGAAACCGCGGATGGCTTCGCACATTTCTTGGAGGGCGGCGCGGAAACGAGCGACGAGCGGGGCGCAGCGAGAGGAGAAGGCGTCGATCTTGACTTGGAGGAAGCTCATGTCCTGGTCGCCGTCGAATTCGATGTAGTCGGAGAGATCCACGTCGATTTCCCCGATTTCTAGAAGTGATGCGAAGCGGAGAAACCAACCCGAGGCGTTCAGATCGCACTTCTTTTTCTCGCACACGTCCAGAATGTGGAGGTAGTTCTTGCGCTCTTCGCGCTTCAGTCGCTCGATCGTCTCCTTCGACACCAAGCACTCCATCATTTTCTCGGTGAAAAGCCTGCCGCAAACGCCGGGAACATCGCGAGCATACTCAATACAGATCTTGTTCTGCGGTTCATCCTCCATTCCGACGCTACCTTCGAATAGCACACTACGAATAGAGTCATGTGTGTGGCTCCAGCGTCAACGATGATGTGTCGCGCGGGTTGGAAGGCTGGATCATGCGTGCATTCATAGAATCCGTTCTCCAAAGCGATCGCAAGGCAAGACTTGAGATAGAAAAACTGCTTGTAGTTGCTCCAGGAAGTCAGCGTCCGCAGCTTTGCGATCTCATTTGGACCGAAGGTGTCCGGAACCTTGGGAATTAGAGAAAAAACGAGGGAATACGCTCGCTACCCACACGCCTCCCTCGGTGCTTTGCCGCTTTGGAATCTCCAGACGCTGTGCGTAGAGGTCTGAATCTTTGCGCATGATACAGTAAAGAGCGTATTCAAAGTAGAAATTCGCTAACACTAGAGATGACAGTTTTTGCTCCTTTCCGTTTATCTTCATAGCAAATGAGATTTCGCCATTCTCATTCACTAGATCGCACGGATTCCAGTCTTTCACCAGGCGCATATCTTCTTCAGAGAGAGAACGGAAATACTCCAAACAGCCGCAAACAGCAGACTTGGGATCGCTATAATACTAGGGATCAATTGCACATAAATCGTACCTTTGCGGAGCAATGGCCGCAGATGTTTACTTGGTTCCCACTAAACGAGCAGCGCATACTAGAATAACAATCCTTATATTCTTTCTACACAGAAAACTTCTTTTGATAGTCGTTTAGCACAATCTTGGAAAAACCTTCAGGATTAAGTGTTAGATCTCCCTCAACCCATTCTCCGATATACAGAGTCTGGCCGCCTATATCAATTCCAATGATTCTTGTCATGTTCCTGTAATTCTTTTTGATTTTGTCGTTATACTGAGTTAAAATGAATGTTATTTGGTGGATTCTGGCATACACCATCCCGATTGCTGTAGCACAGACTGTAATAGGTGCATCCTCGCAACGAAGTATTTGAAACCAAGTCGATGGAATGTAGTGTTTGTCAAACCGATGGAATTGGTGACGCTTGACTTGTTCATCGATGAGGAATATTTGTTTTCGTATATGGATCCCATAATAACTAGGATTTACTTGGAAGACTTGGAACCAAGTACCAACTACAAAATTGTAATGTCCTATCCGGGAGTAATTCCGGTGCAGTATGATCTTTTCCTGGAAGAGGATAGTGATGACTTACCTACTTTTCACCCTTCGATACACAATCGACGGATGCTAGATACACGAATTTTCTCGTTTAGGACAGACAAATATGGAGATCTGTATCTGATGGGAGAAGATGCAGACAAGTCAAAGCCTGAAGTACTTTTCCCCATGTCTGTAAGTAAGTGATAGAAAAAATATGTTCCAATCCTTCATATCATCCCCAAACCCTATTCCATAGAGCAAGTTCCCGAATCCAGTCGGGAACGTTTCGCCACTTTTGTTGTGGAGCCAGTTTCTTTCGGAATGACGCCGACTTCTCTGCAAGAAATCGAATTGATCGTGACTCTGATCGTTCTAACCGTGTTCATTGTGTATATCTACACAGGAAAGCCATCGTTTTCGCAAGGTGTCAAACAAACAGCGTCGATTTCGAATCCCAAAAAATCCGATTAGTTTAGTTTTGTTTCTTTGATCCCACAATCGATTCCTTCAGAAACTCTCTCTCCATCCGGACTCTTTTCGTTCTCCGCTTCTTCTGCATCGACGAAACGAACATCCACAAAGCCACGCATCCAATCAGCAGATATCCGATCTATCCCTCACTCTCTGTTTTCATCCTCACATTGCTTCGCTTGTCCAGACACTCCCTCAAATCCTCCTCAAACAGCTCATAAATCATCAATCTACTCGCTATCCCAGCGTTCTCCCTACTTCTCTTGCAGCTCTTTGCACTCGGCGAACTGTCGGAACATGAAATACCCCACAATCGCGATCACTCCCAGCAAAACCAACCCGATCCACTTCGAATCCAGCATCGACACGCCCTTGTGTTCCTTGATTACCGCGGGATTCAGCATCATGCGCCAGGAGAGAACGAACCAGCCGTTGAGGGAGCAGTAGAGGAGCTGGTCAGCGAGGTCGTCGAGAGAGTAGAAGATGGGCAACTGGGAGACGATGACGTGGAAGAGAGAACCTAAACCGATCGTTATTTCTTTCTAGAGTCGAGAGGGGTGGGGAACAATACGTGAAAAGAAGACCGAGATGAATTGATTCAGGTCTCCATTCGGACCCCTCATTGAGAAAACAAAGCGACTCGATTCCGGCTGAGTCATTCCAAAAAAAGTTGTAATACACAACAAACAAACAGGCAAAGAATTAAATTACTTGGCGTTATCAAACTGATCTGCTAGTTGCTGTGTCAACTCCATATCCGCATCCATAAAAATACCAATCACATGCATCACGATTTGCTTCACTGATTCATTCGTCGCGTTCATTTCACACCTCCGAAGCGACGGATACACCGCCTTCAGCAGCACTTGCACGTTCTCCTTGTCCCGAATCACCGCATTGGAGAAAACATTTCCGCTCCAAAGAAAGAGAATTCGCTCCGTGACTTGCACATGACACGAATCCAAACACTTCGCAAACCGCTTAAACAACGCTTCCCGATACGGAACCAAGTCCGCAGGGTTGAGTTGGCTCATCAAATCCTCCAGTTCGTTGAGAAACAGCACTTCTTTGGAGCTGGATCCGGTCGGCCAATAGCGAAGCAGCCCTTTTACGATCTACCAATCAGCGAAGAGGAAAGGAGAAAAAAACCGGCGTGCTGAGCGACGGGTCTTTCTGTGCGTAGAGCGTCATGCAGTAAGAGAGAGGCGCGCTGTACTCGTCGTACTGGCGCATTTTGTGGAGCGGAATGAGCGATTTCTCGAGCGATTGGCGATGTTCGGGGCGAATGGGAAGCGTAAAGCCGTTGATGATCGACGCGAGGATCTCTAAGAGGACGGAAATCCCGTTGTGGCGCTTCGTCTCGTAGAGGAACGTGTAGAAGGTGTTGTTGATCGCACCGCGGATGGTGGCGCGACGGTTTGTGAGCTTTCCGTAGATTCGGTGTGTGGCCATTTTGAGATATTCGCGCTCTTGGGGGTCGGGCGAATCGAAGAGCGAAATGAGTCGCGTGATAAACGAGTTCGTGATGTAGTGCTTTCGAATCGTGTTGTCGATCTTCACGGAGAGAACGAGATGGATTAAGATCTCGTAGACGAGGGAAAGATGCGTCCATTCCGGATCGGAATAGTCGATTTCTTCGTCTTCGTCTGAAAACGAGGGCTTTGAGTGAGCCAAATCAGATCATAACAACTACCTTATAGTCCGAATTCAGAGGTCGAACCAGCGCCAACTCAATGCCTTGGATCATTTCCTGGAAAATACACGCGTTGTTCAGAAGCTCTCTATCTCTCACGCTTCATTCTTGTCCATTACGGAGCTGAATCCACAATGTCGAGAAGCTCAACCAGCGTGGTTCGCTTCACATCGCGATAGGATGATTCAGATTCTTTTGAAAAGTCAAAGTGCAAACCCATGAGTCGGATTTTGTTCCAAATCAAAGCACGACGGTAAGGAACGGGCATGTCTAGAGAGTCAATGAAGCTTAAAACTACCTTTGATCTTGGGAAACAGACTTGCAGTGCGGATATGCTCCGGACTTGCGTCGAATACAAAAGAATCTAGATGTGGAGGTGCAAAAGAAAATAAACTTAGAAAGCAGAAGGGAAGGGTGCATCGCATCAAAATACTGATCCAGGAATTCGCCTCATCTTGCGAATCAACGTAGAAATGGTAAATTTGTTTATTTTCATGGTTTCGTATTTCGGACGAGGGCAAATAGGTTTTATCACTTATTCCGGGCTAAAATCAGAACGAACACAAACCCAGTACCACGACAATAATTTCTATTCCTGATTTTTCCAATAGCCGCTTTTCCGTTAATTGGACAACCGCTCCCTACGATGAAAATGGAGAAAGAAACGTACTAATATACAAATTGACTGGGAAAAAGATCCATCACGTAGAGTATTTTCATACTTGAAATTATTACCGTGCACAGACTACAAAGGGATTCAAATGGACCAACCCCCACACAAAAAAACTTCTTTAAGGTCTTTTTGTCCTCTTGATGAAGGTACATGCACCCCTCCTTCTCACAAATCGCTGTAGAAGGAAGCATATAGACTGAGGTCATTTCGAAATAAACTGCAAATGCCAAATATAAAAAACGAGTCCCGAAAAAACCTCTTAGATCTAAAAGCAAATGCTGCTAACAATCAAAATAGGCTAAATGCTTCAAATCCAATCTCATGAAAATGAAACGCCCACATTCAAAAGTGGAAATACCAAAAATCGCACTATTTTCTGAATACTGCAAACACTCTATCTTTTGAACTTGTATTAAAACAAGCACTGTATTTTACTATGAATAGCACATGGAGCTCAAATCCAAGTAGTCAAAGATGATATCTTGATATCTAGTACGTACCTTGAAAGAATTGGGTATTTATTTTGACGAGGAAGGAAGACTCCGGTCCACAAAAGATAACTCTATAATTACAATGGAAAATCTTACTACAGATCCACTTCTAACGGTAACGTCGATTACTCAATATGTAAATACATTATTGTCAATAGACCATGATTAGATCCAAATGAAAATGGTTCGAGATTATAGTTTTGAAGAAATTCGAATTCCACTAAGTATGGATTGCAAGAATTGCTCTCGGGGGAGTATTTTCGGATCAAAAGGTATTTCATTAGAGCAAATAATGATTGTGTTCTAGGATGTTTGGTGATGAAGACGTTGGTGATTGTGATTCCTTCCTCAGGAACCTACCCAGGAATCTGGAGTCGTAGTCTGTGTATAAACGAGGGTTTGATGAAAGGCACAATGCTTCCTTTCTTTCACAGAGCTATGCAAGAAGACATGGGAATTATTGTATTGAATCCAAATGTGAATAGCTACTTTGACGAAGAGACTTCAGAACGAAAACCCATTCCATACAATGATACTCCAGAAAAGCATGTGTTGTATGTGTGGGATCGTATCATTTCGTTCACCACTGCAAAAGATGTTTTGATCATTGCTTACGGAGAGGGAGGAAATCATGCAAAAGCTCTCATTCAGGCGCGCGAAAGCGTTGTTCTGAATAAACTTCGTGCAATCGCTTTTACTGAATCACAACACACTCTATCTTCGGATCTCAGTTTTGGATTAAGTCGAGTGGACTCGAAAGCCACTCGAGATTTCTTGGAAAACCACACGCTCAACTGGATTACTTCGGATTTGCCGATAGGAGAAAGAGACTATGTAGGATTTCGGGGGAATGCGGATGACGACTAGGAGCAAGAAGAGCAATTGGGCTGCATTTGTGTTAGTGCAGCTCCTTCTAATTGTAGTCCTGGCCTATTAAACTCGATCGCAATGGATCAGATCTTTGACTTTTTCCATTACGCTTGCAGTGATCCGACACACACGACCGAGCAATACTGGGAAACAGTATTGCATTCGAAAGATAGTCCGATTCGCCAACCTTCTGGATCCGATGATATGAAAACAACGAATGAAGTGTTAGTGACGAATCTGCCGTTATCTACGAACTGGATTGCAGATAATATGGTTTCGAAATGATGAGAAAATGATGGCTAGGTGGAAGAGTGTCAGATTTGCTTGATTCCGTTTTCGTTTTTGGTTCGAAAGCATCATTGCCGGTCGTGTGGTCGCGTTGTGTGTTCTGTGTGTTCCAAGTACAAAATGATTTTCAATGATCGCGAAACTCCCTATCGTGTGTGTTCTAGTTGTTATTTCGAGTATCAAAAGGAGGGTATTCGTATTTGCTTTCCCATAAATGAAAGGACCTTCTGATAATTTATCGCCTGTTTCTCCCTCCTCTCTTACAGTAGATGATTTCCAATTGTTGCGAGTGATTGGCCGAGGATCGTTCGGCAAAGTGTTGCTGGTTCGTGGGAAACGCGACAAACGCGTGTATGCTCTGAAGATCTTGCTGAAATCGCATGTGGTTGCGAAGAATCAAGTGGAGCATACAAAGAGTGAACGAAAGATTTTGGAGGAAATGGACTATCCGTTTTTGTGTAAGTTGGAGTTTGCCTTTCAAACAGACGATAAGCTCTATCTGGGAATGCCTTTTCTCTCTGGAGGGCCTCTATTCAACCATCTTCAACAGGTACAAATGACTAGGGATTCTTGAATTGCAGTGCCGACGATTTACAGAGGATCGAGCGCGTTTCTACTGTGCGGAAGTCGTGTTGGGAATTGGCTATCTGCACAAGCATAATATCATTTACAGGTTTGAGTGGAACAAAGAATCGATCGTAGAGATATGAAGCCTGAGAATTTGCTATTGGATCGAGAAGGACATGTTGTGATTACCGACTTTGGATTATCAAAACGCACTACAGAGAATCGATTGCAGTACCAAACGATTTGTGGTACGAACCTGGGAGTATCGAGTTACTGACTAGGAACTCCGGAATATGTGGCTCCTGAAGTGTTGTCGGGAAGTCCCTATGGTCAATCGGTTGATTGGTGGAGTGTGGGAACGCTGCTGTATGAGATGATTGCTGGTTATGTAGAAGATTGAGTTGGGTGTGAGTGTGTAGCCACCGTTTTATGATAAAAACCGAAAGTCGATGTTTACGAAGATTATCAATGGGAAGTTGCGATTTACTGTTTGTTTTGGGGCTGGAGCTAACGAATAGCCCTTCTTTAGCATTCAAGCATGCAACATCATCACATGCCTTCTCGATCGACACCCTCAAACGCGACTGGGAGGAGGACCAAGCGATGCAGAAGAAGTAGGAGAGGATGAGAAATCGTCATGTAGGTGAAAAAGCACCCGTTCTTTGCGGGAATCGATTGGGAAGCTTTAGAACGAAAGGAAGTTCCGTCTCCCTGGAAGCCTTGTGTCCATGGAGAAACAGACACGACGTATTTCAATCACAAGTATACCATAGCTGACATCGATGAAGAACCAAGTGTTGTAGTTGTGTTATTGAGGTGTGAAATAGACAATGAATACATCGAATTTGCCCAATTTTCCAGATTTTACGTACCAAAATCCTCGTTCCAAGTCTCCTTTTTGTTACAAACACAATCATACCATTCTAATTCTTCTTATTCTTCTTCCTCCATTTTCGTATCTTCTTCGCCATCCTCTTCTTTTCCATTCTCTTCATTCGCTTCCTCCACTTCCATTTCCTTCTGCATCGCTTCCCACTGCTGTCTACGAATCTCGTAATACTGCGCCGCAATCTGACTCAAATGCTCGCCACTCTGAACTTCGAAACTCGCTACCTCATCGTCCACGCCTCTCTCACAAGGATAGTACTCATTCTCCACGAGCTGAAGCATCAGCGGTCTTTGGAGGAGAGGACGCATGATCTCCTGCAGCTCCAAACACTCGCGGAACAACGAAGCCTTTCCGAACACATACAGTCCCAGTCTCGCTCTTGAAACGGCCACTAAGAGACGGCGCACATCGCGCAGATATCCGACAGAACGCGTTCGAACCAGAGACAGAAGCACGATATCGTTCTGCTGCCCTTGGTATTTATCGATCGTGGAGATTTTGCTTGGCATTCCAAAGAGCGGATTCTTTCTGCAATACTCGCGGAGATAACTTCGAAGCAGTTCCTTCTGACCATTGTAGGGAGTCAGTAATGTGATCTTCTCTGCGGGATATCCACACAAACGGAGATATTGGTACATGACCAGAACAAATCCTGCTTCCTTTTCGTTCTGAATTCCATGATTGACCACTTCTTTTTCTTCTCCATCCACATTAATCATCTGATAATCATATCGCAAGCACGCGTTCGCTCGCTTAAACTCCATTCTTGTACATAGAGAGGAATTTCTCCACTTGCTCAGCTTGATCATTTGGCTGAGCTTGGTCTGCTCTTGCTTGCTTTAAGTATTTTTGAAATGTGCGCTTTGTCCTTAACACTTCCCACGTCATGTGGAGACGCGGATTTTTACTCAACTCCAAAGAGCGACGTCGCTGATGAACGTTCTCCCAAATCTCAATAGAGCACAATGGAAGGACATTTCGACGGATTCCATCCTTCTCCATAGACTAAATATCACCACAATGCAGAAATCAAACAAGAAAGGCATATTTGAAGAATGAGATATAAACTTCAAGATCTTCTTCCTTGATTTGCTTCTTCAAAAGTAAATCGATCGCTTTGGAAAACAGAATGCCGATTTTGCTTTCTTCCTTCAATATGTACTCCTATCCCATACGAATCACTTCAACCATCTATCTCCATGCCATTGAGACCTTCGTCACAGTTAGAAACAACAGCTGCAAGAAGCTCCATGACTTGTTCCTTGCTAGCATTCTCATCAAATCTACTCCACTTTTCTGGGTCCATTTATAAAAATGAAGCAATAATGTGAAGTTGTGAAAGAGATTTATGAAAAGAGTGAAGACGAGTGGTTTGGATATGAGTAAGGTGGGATGAAATATCTAGATATGGGGTGAAGAAGAGCTTGGTTTGAAAATGTGTCAACATTGCTGAAACTACACTCCTGGATAGAGAATCTATACATATTTGTAAGTAATTCGAGGAAATAGAGATTGCACAGAAAACAATCAACGTAGGTTCCCTACTTTTCCATTTTCCCGACTCTTCCATCCATTTTAACGTACATTCTAGAGCCAGATTCATATCCCTAAGCCTATCCAAGCGTGTTGTACCTTTTTCCCATTGGTAGGTAACGGTCCCTACAACGACCTCAATAACTCTCTTCCAGCAATTCCAATCGTTTTTTTTTTTATAGAAATAGCGATGTAGAATCGATTTGCTGCTTGTATATTAAGGAAATCGTAATCATGATCGAACCCTGCTTTTTTGGATTTTTATCATTTTGGATCAAATCTGATTATCCGAGGCACCGAGAAAAATGAAGCGTATGTTTTCGAAGAAGGGACTCGTAGAGTCCGCCAAAGACGAGAAAATCGAGGATGTGGAAAGTGATGCTGATCTTCAAGAGTAAGTCGTTTTTCCTTTTCTGGAATTGGACGATTAACCCTTTCTATAGCATTCAGCCTCCTCCAGAAAAGGCTCTCGAACTTCCTAAAGAATGGCTCACTACTGACTTGGAAGAGCAAAACAGCAGTAAATGGGGCGAAAAGGTAGGCAGATTGGCGCCCGAGTTCCTTGCTTAGATTGTGAAACAAATCTACAAGCTGCATATTGATGAGGAGATGCGCAATTGGTATGGAAAGGTCGGAATATTCACATGAAGCGAGCCCGAATATACAACCCTTCGCGATCTAAAGTTTTGGTTAGGAACCTGGAATGTGAACGGCAAAAAGATTGACGAGAACATTAATATCTGGCTGACGGGCTCTGTGACTGGAAAGCCCACTGTAGGATCTTTTTATAGCTTTTCTCCTGTAGGCCGATATCTACGTTGTGGGTCTCGAGGAGATGGTGGATCTGACAGCAACGACCGTGGTGCTCGAGGCGCAAAGCCAGAAGCGAGCCGGTGTTTGGTTAGAGATGGTGTCGAATGCTTTAAATCGCGGCGCCAAGAACGATGTGCGAGTTCGAATGATTCGTAAACGGTAGGAGACGAGCTACGTGTTGATCGAGCATCAAATCCTTGTCGGTGTTTTCCTGTGCGTGTTCATCCGCAAATCGCTTCGAGATCGCGTGACGGACGTGATGAGTGAGCGCGCTGGTCGGCTTTGAGCTGTAGCGACGACGGCTGCGACGGGTCTATTGGGCATGATGGGAAACAAGGGAGGCGCTGCGATCCGCATGAAGCTTATGGACAGCACGGTTTGCTTCGTTTGCTCGCATCTGGCGGCCCATCGCGAGAACGTGGCGGGTCGAAACGCGGATTTCCACAAGTGCGAGCGAGGCGGTGGGTGAACGGTAGGATCTGCGATAACATTCGGTTCAAAACGGAGGACGAGACCTTCGGAATCCTGGACCACCAGCTGATTTTCTGGGTAGGCAGCGAGTGGTTGAATTGATCGCAGATCGGCGACTTGAACTACCGAATCACTTCGGATGTGCCCACGCTGCGCGTGTTTGATTATGCTCGCGACGACTTGGACTATCTGCTGAAGAAGGACCAGGTGTGTGGTGATTGGGCGGAATGAAGCGCAGCTGAAAGTGTCGCAGCGCGCAGGCCTGGCGTTCGAGGAGTTCACGGAGCCGGAAGTGAAGTTCCCTCCGACCTACAAGTACAAGAAGTACACGACGCAGTACGACAAGAAGGAGGGAAAGAAGTGCCGCGCGCCGGCGTGGTGCGATCGTATTCTGTACAAAACGGGCGATGGAGCGTCGATGGACGACATCGAAGTGCTGACCTACGACCACATTATGAAGCTGAGCGGATCGGACCACAAGCCGATTTTCTGCGAGATGAACGTCCGTGTGAAGGAGTACGACCCCGCGAAGCGGAAGAAGATCCAGCTGCGGATCGAGCGGGAGCTGAAGAAGAGCGAGAACAGCGCTGCGAAGGTCCACGTGGAGCTGAGCGGGGACGAGATCGATTTCGGCAAGCTGAAGTACCGAACTCCGGAGCGTCGCACGCTGACGATTTCGAACGAGGGAGAGGGCAACGCGTACTTCCACTTCCTTCCCAAGGCGGAAGACTCGCACATCTGCAAGCGTCTCTTCAACGTGTCAAAGGCGTACGGCGTGGTGAAGCCGAACGAGAAGCTGGACATCGAAATGGAGGCGCTGATCGACCCCGAAGCAGCGCATGTAGGCGAGTGCGAGCCGATGAGTGATGGCTAGGAGCTGAATGGAGGCCACGACGTGCTGCATGACGTGCTGGTGCTTCGCGTGGAGCACGATCGCGACTACTACATCACGATGTTCGGCGATTACGTGATGTCCTGCTTTGGACAGTCTCTCGAAAACCTGATTCGAATGAAGGCTCCAGGTCGGTGTGCAGCGAGAACGTGACGATTAGCGCGCGAGTCCTCCGAGATCAGCAGCAACAGTCCCGTGGCGATGGCGATCCCGAAGGAGTTGTGGCGCATGGTGGACTACATGATGCAATATGGCTGCGACAGCGCGGGTCTGTGGACGGACAAGGGAATCGAAGGCGAGGACGCGCTCATTCGCGACATGCTGGACGAGGGCCGACCGTTCGAGGGCATCGAGTTTATGATCGGGCGAGAGAGTGACTGGTAGCGTTCACTCGATGGCGGACTGCCTGCTGGACTGGTTCCGCGCGCTGCAGTCGCCGCTGATTCCAGAGAAGTGCACGTCGCGCATTGAAAAGGGCGAGAAAATCAACAGCGCGTTCGTCGATGCGTTTATGAATATGGTAGGAGTGAGGGAGGAACGTGAGGAAAGATGTCTCCGGTCCGAAAGAATGTGTTTGTGTATATGATTATGTTTTTGCGCGAGTTGCTCAAACATGCGGAATCAAATGATCTGACCGCGGAGTTCCTGGGAATGATTTTCTCGCAAGTGTTCATCGTGAATGCCTCGAAGAAGCAGCAGCTGAGCAAGGAGTACCGCGTAGCGCAGGAGATGGTCACAGAGTTGCTAATCTACCTGCTGAAGTCGACAGCTCAACAACTCGCTGGAGAGGTTGTTGCGGAGGACTCTGGATCCGAGGCTTCCGACGAAGACTAAGGAAGGGTTGGGTAATTGCGTTCATTCTTTGCGATTTTTTGTTATAATCCTGAGTAAACTGTATAGTGATCGGAGAAATCTTGATTATCATGATGATTCGACCGACATTTTGATTCTCTAAAAAAGAAAAAGGTAGATTTGTCAATCTAGAATCATGCCTAGAAAAACAGATTACCCGTTATGGAGCTTACAGCAGGTGGATCTCACTGGACTGGGGTGATTTTGTAGAAGAGAAGGCGATTCTTGATGAAAAGGCAGCGATCGATGCAGCCTCCGGAGAGCAGCAAGAAGAATTGACTCCGGTTGATGCAGAAGGAGGTGTCTATTCACCCGCTTTCTTTGACCTTGAAAAGTACCCTACTCATTGGAAGCTGGTATTTGATACTCATTGAATAAGACAAAGGCCGACGATCCGGTCAAGGGACAAGATTGTTGGATTGGACTGACTGGAGAGAACTTTAAGATTCGCGGCCCGAACTACTTGAACGATCGAAAAAAGATCATGTCGGAGCGCTGCGTATTTAGATGTCTTTGCTGTGAGTTGATCAATTCTGCCAACCGTCTTGAGCATTTTAGCCAGAACAGCAAGTCTCTTGTTCAGAAGCTAAGACGCGAGGGCTACAAGGGCTTCATTTATGTGTACAACATTATGGTAGTTTTTTCTTCCTGGTTGTGAAAGGATAGGTAAAGTACAAGGGAAAATACGTGAGTATGCTGAGCTACTTCGAAGTCCCCGAGGATCTTGAGTCCGTTTCACCTCATGTGAACCAGCTGTGGAAGCGGTACTTGGAATCGGACGACACGTTCCGAAACGACCGCCTGAAGATGATAGCGCGTTGTCCTGAGATATCCTACAAATAGGAGTGCGGTGTCTTAACGCCAAGGACCTTGGTTTGTAAAGAAATTGGTGGGAAATGTTCCCACGATTATCGGTCACAAATTGCCACAGAAAACGTTCCGCGGAGAAGGCTACTGCGAGCAGATGATTGATGTGACGGCAGATAAGTTCATTGCGAACGTAGGTGACTGGGAGGAGGTGCGATGTAGTCTGTGGAGATGACGCTGAAACAGGCAAAGAAGATCGTGATTGATCTCGGACTGGTGATCGAGTGTAAGGAGGCGGAATTGCTTCCGGAACGATTGCTGTGCGCTTGGAGAATATGCAGACCGGATTTGACTCAGACGGTGAACATTGACTAGTGTGTTTGTTGACAAGAAATGTGTTAGATGGGGGGAGGGTAGAAAGGAGAGACAAGGAATTAGAATGAGATGTGAAGAGAAGAGAAGAAAAGAACGGAATAGGTGGCGTGTAATGAATGAATAGAAGAAATAATACAGGATTGGAAATAAAGCATTAGGAGAGTGAGGGGCAAACAGGAGAACAGTGATGTGAAGGAAGAGGAGATATTATATTTGTGAGTAGTGTAACATGGTTTTCTATAGTGCCCAGTGATTTACGAGTAAGTACGGAAAGAGAATTGAATAGGAAAGGAAAATAGAATCATAAGAAACTGTGGTTTGTGGGTTGTTATTGGACTTGTTGTGATGAATGAATAACTATATAGTACAATGGGATATCCTGTAAGTATTAGATCAAAAAGAGAGCGAGAATCGGTATGAACGAATGCGAAACAATAATAGGATCAATTATGAGTTGAGAAAAAACACTGATTCTTTGTTTGTGATTAAGAGGGAGAACCAATAAGAACATTCAACAAGCGAAAAATACAATAAAGAAAGTGTACTATTTAACAATACTTGAAAAAACGAATAATAGAATGAAGGAATTGGGACCATTACTTGATTATCCTGTTGTATGAGAATAAATGAGACTTATATTACAGTTAAAAAGAAAACTAAAGATTGAATTACTATGCTATATTGGCATATAGGAATGTATACATCCACAAGTATTCTTGATACAAATTCACAAATATAAATATAGGATATAATAACTAGTAATAACTAGTACTTATTAGGAGAAGCCAGTGTCGTATGACTGCAGGATATCAGAATTAGCATTGCTTGAGAAATACACAGATTCAAAGGCTATAAACTGCTGAACAGTTGAGTGGAATTACTAACTAAATGTAACAAATATCAAGCTACTATTATGTTGTTCTGCATCAAATGAAGACAATAGGGGAAAAGAACTGAAAACATTAGACCGCTCATATTTACACATTCTTAAGTAATTGGAGTATTTGTGTATGTTAATAGTACACTTCATGGCATGATTACTGAGATATTTTTCTTTAGAATACGAGATCTGATGGTTACAATAAAACCATACTTTTCAGTATCCTATACATTGTACAAGCAACTAGTTATCGAGATTAGGGAAACTCAATTACATGCTAAAATAACCAGGGATTTGATGAATAAGTATGATAATGATTATCGTCATTTACAAAGATATTGGTGTTGGAGAAACAATAAAAGTAATGAACTGACCGAATAAAGATGATAAATGGAAAATTATGTTATAAACTTAGAATCGCAACGATGATACGATCGTATAGAGATACGAAGTGTAGATTTCAATGAAAAGTAGCTTCATCTTATTTACACTTTCGCTGCCCAGAATTTTATATAAATCATAAAAGAAACAGGAGAAATCAAAAGCAAATTATATAAATGAATGTAACTTGGCAACAGAAGTCTTCTTATTGCGAAAATAGTTATAGGCACAATCAATCACTTTCATGGAACATTTTTGGCATTCAATATGATTAGTATTGTTAGCTCTAGGAGGAAAGTCACTATGTAGTAGTTCGTTATTTGTACAATTCGGTAAGAAAGATACAACATTTTCAGTTTGATCTGCCATTTTTACGTGTTGGGGAACCAGCTCATTTGTGAAGAAAACCTATGAAAAATATGCAATAATAAATCCTACTGATTCCTTATAAGGTAAACGTGCATTCTTGAGAATATGATGCCCACAATGCGTTGGAATGAATTGGCACAGTGTACAAAACTTTCTGGTTTTTGCACATTTAAAAGGAGGAATAATGAGAGATCGATTCAATCTGTTTGCCAGTACAACAGCAAGTGATAATTCATTTACAGTATCTAAATAATATGGTAAAATAACACGTACTGCATTTCTCTATTGTCAGATACTTTGCATCTGGGTTACTATATTCCCCATCTACATCTAATTTGTAGAGCTTCAATTCTTTTAATCGGTATATTTTGTTTTTACTTCCAACGATATAATTATCATGCATCATTATTTGAGTTTTCCTGATTTTGTCCCAATAGTATGAATGCTTTTTAAAAAACACTGCTCCAGAAGAAAACAAGTGATCTGGTAAAAGAAGTAGTTTAATTGAGGTATTGCTTTGAACAACCATATTAAAAGCCTGTTGATCATGGGTTAGGGTTAACAAACAAACAAACAAACAAACAATTCATTGACCTGCAGGAGATCTTGAGCGGGCCGTTGACCGCCTGTTACGTCCGTACCTTCCGGCCTTGGACTTCTTCCCAGTAGCCGACCTCTTGGGTCTGCTTGCTATCCCTCTGCTCCAGATACCAAAAAGAGTAAGCCGATCATAGTTGAGTGCTTTGCAAAAATCTTGCTAGTTCCTCACATACAACCAACTCACTCCTCTCCCCAAAGAACTTCTCACAACCAATACCTGGTGTCTGGATTTCCTCACAGTCCTTCCTTCCTGTGTTCGGGACCCAATTATCCCTCCCATGGCTATCCGAACCATGATTCTCCCCAGACGAGGAACACACAGAGCCAAAACCATTTCTCATCGAACCCTTGACAATATCTCTCCAGTCTGAACAATAAATTCTTTGAATGACCCTCCGTCCCAAGGATCCTCTCGGAATAACACTGCAATCACCAAAGCCACGTAGCGAGCCTCTCACATCCACCGGGTCCTTACACAATAGACATGGGCGAAATCGGCTGTCCACAGCGATATGAGTAGAAACTTGACACGCGTCACCAGAATCCGCAGTCGAAAACGTCGAATTAGCAGTCGTCGAAGCAGTCGTAGAAACAGCGCGAGAACCTTCGTCGTTCTTGTCCGGAGTAATTCCAGTTATCGGTAAGCTCTTCCCAGTCGTCCGTAGGGTCTGACATTCCGTATCCTTCCTATCGATTAAAGGTATAATCTCGGGGGTCTGAGAATCCTCGTCATCCGTGGGTGACTGTCGGTGTGTCACTCCTTTCGATCCTAGTGCAACACGATCGTTGCGTAACTTGAAAGCCAGCAGAGACTCTATTGGCTCATTGTCTGAAGTAGATCTGTCGTTTGTCGACAATCCGTGGGTGTCTCTCCATGTCCTCTCCTGTACCAGTCGTAGACGTTTTCGGTTCGACGGGTCCAAAACAGTCCTCCTACTGTCAGTCCATCTTCATCTTGTCCTCGTTCCAGTCTTGTCCAAAGTCTTGTCCTTGTCCGAAGTCTTGTCTGAAGTCTTGTCCGCAGATAAATCCTTGTCCTTGTCTGAGCACTTGGTCGCGATCTTGAAAAACTCGTCGATTCCAGACTGTCTATTCTTCTTCCTACCCGGTACCTGTGGCAAAGAGGTCACCTTAACCGGCGCCGAAAAGCTAGTTGGTGGGTGTGATAGCGACACAACTAACCAACTTTTCCCTCTCAGGCACGCCCCCAGGCGTCGAAACTCTCCCGCTCTCTACTTGATCTCCCCTTGCAGGTCCAACACTAAGATCCGACTTTGTCCCTCCGCGTCTCGGACTTGTGTCCTTCTCTAGCGCTCGTGTCAACCTACTAGCTGCCTCTGAGTCGTTCGGACTATCGGGCAGAGGTAGGGCATCCCTCTTCACAGACTTCTTCTTCACTCCCTGTACTTCTGCTTTGTGGGTCGACACATCATCCAATCCGAGAACCATCCGGATCAGAGAAAGGCTCCACGTCACGCTCCTCGCCCAACGTGAGCCTCTCTCTGATCCTTCGGACCAAAGCCAGTCTTTCTTTCATATATTTCTGGCATTTAAAGAGGAAGTGCTCTAGGGTCTCCCTCTCGCACTCTCCGCAGCAAGGACACTTGCACCCTTCTGGCCCCTCTAGCTTAGGGTAGCGCGTCTCCACACAACACCAGCTCCCACAGCGCATTTCCAGGATTACCTGACACCCTCTAGCCAACTCCGGATGCCTGAACCACAAGTCCAGGTAGCGCCGGTTGATGGCTCGTCCTCTTGTCAAGTACGTCCTCAGAAACTGCGCAGTGCTCTCCTGCAGCTGGCGTATCCAAAGGCGTGGAATCATCCTCCGTACCAGATCTCTGGCCGAAAAAGGATTTCCGTTTCGTGGCTCTCCACCCCACATCTCGAATGCCATCTGGACATGGCACTTCCGCCTCTCATCTAGCCACCGCGCCGGAACCTCCTTACCGCATGCCAGGTGATCATCGATGATCCCTCTACCTACCGTCTGCAGCACTTCCTGTGCTATCCTCTCCGTCGTCTTCAGGTAGGTGTTCTTCGTTGACCACCATTCCAGCCTACTATCTATGAGATCGCCCAACGTGCGACTCAACCACCTCCCCTTCCACATGCATCGCAATCGCTTTGACACCAGAATAGGATACACCGGAGGCATATCCAACTCCAGTTCCAACGATGGAATGCATGTGGAAAACTTCCCGGTGGCTTGTAGGATGTAATTGAGACCTTTGTTTAGCACTCTTTGTACCTTCTGTGCCTCATCCTTGTTTCCGCCCCATACTTCTGCTCCATAGAGCCCGGATGTCAGCACTACACTCTGAAGTACTTTGACTCTTAACTGTGCCGGAATTCTGTAGTTGCATAGGAATCGCTTTTGGCTACCTAGGAGCATCTCCATCCTCCCAATTCTCGCATCCATCATATCCGTCCTGTCCAGTTTGGGGGTGATCTTCACTCCTAAGTAGGTATATTCCTTAACTACCGCTATCGGTTCTCCTTGGAGAATCCATTCTCTTCCTTCATAGTTTGCGTTCTTCTCGGCAGTACCAAATAGCATCACACCACATTTGGCATGCCCCACAGACATCTCCCATGTATTCGCCCACTCCGAGACATGATCCAGCAACTTCTGCAATCTGTCTGCCGTCCTCGCAAATACCACAATGTCATCCGCAAACATCAAACCCTCAACCTTGGGTTCCCAAGAGAATAGTCTCTTCTTTGGCTTAGGGAGGATATCGTTAATGAAGATCGAGAACAATATCG